TGACTAGGTCAATTTTTTACGTCAACAGTTTTTCTGAAGGGGATCTTCCCCTCACCACAAAACAAAAGCACGAAGCACCGTATGATCTTTGTAGTAACGGTGAAACTCAGATTAAATTCAAGACAACAATTTGCAAAAGGCGCCAAGACAAGCAGAAAATTGAGACGAAGTAGCCGTGAAGTGAAAATTTAATAAATGTATCTACGACATTTTTTAGTACAAGTATGTATAACGAAAGCGTTGATGACGTGGACTAGTTGTATAGTACATACATATGCCTAATATACGAGCAGAATATAAATGCATACATACATATATACAATACGTATGCGTGAGTGTTTGTCTGACTTGCTAATGTTGCGCTGTTTTATGGGTTACCAAAAAATCGTGCTTATTATTATTCTTATTTCTGCATGTACATGTATAGATTTCACGTTTGCATCAAGCTTAATATTGATGACGTTTGTCGGCACTAATTTTAAAACATTCATAAATTCTGCTGACAATATGTTTTGGATTTGTAATTTTTTGTTTTTCTGCCTTTTCGCCAAAAAACGAGACTTAAGAAATACAGTTCAGCAATCACGTAAAATGTGTTCATTTTGTTTTGTTTATTTATTTGTTTGCAATTTTATTATCAATTGTTGGGTGCAACGGCCGAGTTCGTTATTGGTTTGTACATATAAAAAGCGTAGTATTGCAATTTGTATCAATTATTATTATGTCTTAGAAAGCAAACACCAGGTGAAACACCCTGTATTTGGAGCCAATGGAGGGTGCCTGTATACACTTGGCTATGCTTAGCATAATGCGCAGACAAATGGAAATAATGATGAACACACATACATACATACATATGCACATACACGTATGGAAATGTATATACAGTTGCGATCAATATAATAGGAGTGCCTCCCTTCAAAATATTTAAGTTTTAAGTATTTAAGTATTTCTACTGTTAAAGCTTTCTTTTGCTAATTTTGGCAGATCGGAAAATAAACCCAAAATTGAAATTAAGCTGGTACGCAGCAGCAATTTGCGCAATGCAATATTATATAAATAAATATCGTATCTTGCGGGCGATCTCGCACATTGACAAAGAGATTTATTAATCTTTAGCGCCACTTTTCTCATTACAAATTGGAACTTAAGGGAAAATTTGTAGGCTAGTAATACGAAAAATGCATATCCAATAAGTTATATTTGAGTTTACTGCTTATGAAGAAAATAAGTATTTTTTAGTTCAAATAAATGATTTTTGTTGTATATTGTCTTTTGAACTTCTGAATTCCGTTTGCTAGCGATAATACGTATTCAAATTATAATTTTTAGGAGGAAAATTTCAAAACGTGCACGGTACAAAAGAAAAGTGGGGAAGGCATGTGAGAAGGCATTTTATGAACATCAACCAACCTAGGATTCCAAACTTTTGATTATGAATTGTATCTGCTTAATTTAAAAATTGGAAATGTTATATTCGATAGTTTTGCATTACTTTTGGGTCAGGATTGGCAACCTTGGATGAACAAATTGCTTAAAAATGATTTCTAAAGAAAAATTACATAGTACGGACACAATAAGATATACGATTACATACAAGTACATAGCTCGCGGCTCATGCCCATGACAGCATAAAGATTTTGTTGCAAGACACAGTGAAGGGTATAACATAGGTTCGGCGCAGCCGAGATAACTAATCAACTCGTTTTATATGGTTTTTAAAATGCATTGAAAGCACTACTATTATTTTTACCGCAGCTGTATATATGTACATACATATGTAACGATGTTTGCAGGGCCAGTTTTCAAAACATTTAACCGTTTCACCTCGCTGAGCTTTGCGGACTCGGTAACCAAATAAAACAAACGAATAAAGGCAACATAAACAATAGTTGAAATATTTGTTTTGGACGAAGTTTATGAATATGTACACCTAGCCATTACACTCTGTCGAGCCAATCCAAATCGGAACACCATGCTTAATGTTAAATTGAGAAGCACGATATATGTTCATACTATACGATGTTATTTCATACGAAACCCAAGTAAATACATATATGTATATGTACATAAGTGTATACCATTATAAGAACGATCTGCATTAAAACTGTTAGACTATGCTCCATTACGACGATGATTTGGCGAGATTAGTTAACCAGCATTTGTAACAACTGCATTTTCTGCGTTGCTTCTTTTATTTTCTGACTCCATAATATGCGCGATGTATTGAAATGTCACGCACGCAATTTACATAAATGGCCTCACTTCCGCTTTTTTCTCCTGACCAGATCTGCCCGATGTTGGCTGAGCAGACAGGCAGGCGTAGCCAACAAGAACAATAACAATGAAGGCAAATCAAACAGCGGCAAGTCGAATGTATCTACACATGCGGAGCAACAGCAAACGAAGAGAAATAGTTTACCAGGCCTTCTATCAGGGCAGAATCAATTTGTAGCATGTTATGCACACATTTACATTAAACCTTCTTTATATCGAATATAAAAAGTAGAGGTCTGCACGGCGGCATTCATTTGCTGTAGAAAAAGTGAGATTTTTTCATAGTATAACGGATCTGGGCCATAATTTTTTTCCAGGCCAAAAGCGCTTTTTATATTTATATTTTTTTATATTATTTTTTTCAGCTGCAATAATAAAGATATTACTACTTAGATTTTGGTCTTATCGAGTGCCTAAGCTTAAGCTTTGGGAAAATTATCGAATGAATTGGTTGGAGCTTATGGAAATACAAATATTTACAAATATTTGATTTATTCTGCCGATAGTACCTAAGATACAGAATGTATAAAAACTATTTGGGGAAATAACAAGTCAATAATAAAAATGTTATTTTTAGTTTCTGTTGCGGAAATCGATCAAGCAATGCATCCACGGAATGCTTGTTCGACATATCGTTAGCAAAGCAGTCGGAAAACGCAAAGATATTAAAAAAACACGCATGCCTCAAGTTCCTCAGATAATGCGAAATACCCATACAGAGCAAACGACCAACTAACCAACTTCACGGTTTGTTAACAATTTAATTTGCCTACAAATTGTTGCTCTATATTGTCTGAATTTCATTCCTACATACAAAAATATGTGCATACATATGTACACACATGTATGTACAAGTATACATATATGTATGTATTCTCGCTGATTTCAAGCTTGTAATTTCTTTGGCCATTCCCGTGTCTTTCTTCGCCTTTGTGCATGAGCAGCGAGCCCCACAACGCCCTCAATGTGTAGCAGAGAATTTGTTTTGGGGAAATGAAAATACAAAAAAAAAGGAAAACAAATGATGATAATAATAACAAATAAAGACCGAGAAATGTATGCGCACGTGTTTGGCAGCATTAACACACTTTATGCTTTTGGATACAGTTAGAGATCTGGCCAAGTTACTGACCGGCCGGTTACGGCTCTGTCTGAGCAACAAAGGTGCATTAATTAAAGCACGTCTTCCCCATATGTACATATGTATAGTATGTTGTACTTACATACATATGTACGTGCGTATCGTAAACGTTGAAAATCAACAAATATACAAGTATATGTATAGACAGAAAAAAATATACGTATGTATGTATATAGTATATGTGTATTCATAAATGTGTGTAATAACAACTTTTGTGCGTGTTGGCTGACTTCGAAAATGAAATGCTGAGGTTTGTGAAGACTTATGGTGTAAATTGTTACTTTTTATTATGCTAATTTTGTGTTTTCATGTTGGACTTGACCGTTATAATTGCCGACTATTTTGTAATTTGGTAGCACAAATTAGGAGGTTGGACTTTTCTTTTTCTTGAAAGCCTGTGCATAGCCAAAGCAGTCAAAACAAGTTAATGATGTTGGTTGAAAAATCAATTTTCGTTTGGAAAAGAGGCAAGCAAACATTTTGTTGAAATGGCGAAAAACGTGCTCCGCACCCTAAAATTTGCAACAGCAACAAAAACCAACTGAACTGGCGTCGACGCAGTAGAAAACCCACCCAGTGAGTAGTTTCGCCGGCTAAGAAGGCTGTCAAAACTAACCTCAAAACAGCATGTAAAAATGCATATTTTGGAGGGAGCGAACACACTTGCACTTGGGGCAGGGAATGGTTAAAACTTGTCATAGAAACTGTTAGCGTAGAGAAATTGAATATATCGACCGCAGTTGAACCGCTCGATTCCTAGGGGTAGTTATAAAACTGAGGCGTATGAAATCATTTCCGCTACTGAGCAACTGGCGACCCGACCATGGCCATGGTTTAGTTAAATTATGTATGCTAGCATGTACATATGTATGTGTAAAGCATTGGTGTGTTTGTGTTTACTATGCATGACATAAGCGGTGGGGTGTGGTGCCAGAGGAAAAAAAAAACACTTGCTAATATGGTTTTTTTTTTTAATAACTCGTTAATTACTCCCATGCTTGCAATTGAGCGACACCTGTACAGCTGCAGAAAATCGATTCAACAATAACGCCCCCGCCCCATTAAGATGCAAACGTTTCAATGGTTTATCGAAGTAACTGTTGCCAGGCACTCGCTGCTGGCCTTCTCTTCAGCTCTCTTGCTCTTACAGCCAACATTCGACCGTCTGTGCGATGGCTCATCAATGATTTCGCTTTTCATACTTTTGATAAACTCATTTTTACAATGTCAAAGCTTGTGTTAAGTATTTAGTAATAGAAAATGTGCAAAACATATTAATAAATTAATATATATACATACATATATACTACATGTGTTGTGTGGAGGATGGGTCCAGCACACACTGCTTATAACACACAGACAAGAGAAGTCGTGCCACCTTTCACTTTATTAGTTGGTGCGAAATATCTTAGCCAGATGAATGAATGAAGAGGCTGTGCATAGATAATAAATAAAGCAAGACAAAGACCACCACGCACCATGAACAGACAGCGAATTGTGCGCAAAATAAAAACCGTCAATAACGAAAGTAGAAAATCGCACGCACCTGTCAATGGTGATGATGGCGCTGTTGGCTACTCACGCTGCACTTGTCTCCATGCATTTATGATATACGTTGAATGTATGTGTCCATATATCAATTTGTCAATAATTGCGGCGGCGGCTGCTGCAGCCGCTCGTATGAGGGTTGAGCTTGCAACTCAGAGTTCCAGAGTAAAGCAAGTGCAATGTCGCTGCCGTCGCTAATGAGCAAGGAAAGCGGTTGTACCAGGTTGGATTTTTTTCCAGCGCTTACACACACACAAAACAATTTGTTCTTTTTACTACACGACGTTATTGAATTTCTTTCACCGAACTAACTGGTTTTTTACAGCTCCATCGGTACATGTACATACATACACGCAGTCGGTCAAACGCAGCTAGTATGTACTTTGCGGCGATTATCACGATTTGCTCTCCGAAATAAACTATTGACGCATTTGAATTTACTAATTATGCTAATAGAATTGAAAATTAGGGCTTTTTAACTGCTTTACTGCAATTTTTGCTACGATAAGGCAAGTGTACGGGCTAACTGCGTCTAACGCGCTGCAAATGTGAGAAACAACTGAGAAAATTGAGAGAAAGCAGCACCAGCTGTTGGAACTTTTGTGGCGTTGCCAGTTTGCAGAATTTATGCCTGCTTTCCGTTGGGCTCTAAGTTGGCAGGGCTAATTGATTTGCGCAGCAATAATAAAATAGTAAACATTTAAATATCAACATGCTTTTAAATATATATTTTTTATTTAGTTAGTTAAACCAGCTGATGGGCCATTTGTATTTGGGTATTAAAAGGTATAGAAACAATAGAATCAGGACCGAAATATTATTTTTTTATGGAAGTAAAATAAAACAGTTGAATAATATACACAACGAGTAACATGGTATTTCGGAAAACAAAAATTTAAAGGATATTTTTTGGACTTTATGCAAGTAGAAAGTATTACCAGAACAATTGAGCAAAGGTTGCATGAGGCTCATGTTAATTTTTGTGTCCTCGACATCATAGAGTTATCGTCCTCCAGATGTGTGCGTCCCATTGCCATTACCAAATTATCTTCTAAATCATGGTCGTCCTGTTCATTGTGCTCCTGTAAGGGGGCTAGTTTCTGACTCTTCATACGTAGTTCGAACACCTGACTGATGGCATCGCGGAAGCAAATAAAATTATAATCAATAACGCCCTGGCGATTAAAGTTTTCCTCGCGCAAAATGCAGACGAGAGCCAGAAATTTGTTCACTTCTCTCAAATAGAGAATCGTGTTGTTGTTCAGTTTAATAAGACTAGAACTGCCGCTGTCGAAGGCGGTTTCCTCGGAACTGTTATGTGAGATTGTGAATAACATATATATAGATATATAGTATATAAATGTATGTAACCCACCTATATATGCTTGACAAATCGATGACCATATCAATCATATCACAGCACAGCTCATAGGCTTGCATATCGACTGGAGATGAATCGGTTGCAATATAAATTTTTGAAACAACGTCGAAGAGAAAAGCTTTCTCTATACCAGAATTCTGAAATTGTATGAGTTCGTTTAGTTTTGTTTGCAAGCCACACGACTATAACTTACCGGTATAAAAATGTTTAACAGATTTTCGAGCGTTGGCAGCTGGGAAATTAATTTTTGCACAACTTTTGAAAACGCTTCAAATATCGAGTGATCGTAAATGGAGGTAAGGTGAAAACTTAGATGAATTTTATTAAGTCCGGCTTCACTGAGGTCATCAGATGTACGTTGATGTATATCACGTTGGGATTCCATTTTCGAATCATCGCTTATGCCGTCAACCTTTGGGAAATCATACAGCTGTTGAAACGTACTGATAACTATTCAATATATACAGACAGTCTCACCTTATGTATGAAAACTTCGAACTTAATGTTCGGATTAACTTTGTATGCCTTTATTACCGTGTTCTTGAACTTTGTCAAAGCCTCGTTGTAGTCGTCCTTGGCATCTATGACAAAAACAAGTGCACCACAGCCACCAAAGATCATATCTGAATCAAACGTAGGCTCTATGAAGTCTATCTGACCAGGGAAGTCCCAAATTTGGAACTGCACAAAACTGGAATTGTTTATGTCGTCCTTAACGATTTTGCTTGTAGATTCGAGGAACAGGGTTTCGTTTGGTGACATCTTGTGGAAGACTACTTTTTGTATGGAACTCTTTCCCGAACGACGCAGACCCATGAGCAATATTCGGGGCTTTGTCTCACTGTTGCTTGGCAATGCATTTACGTCCAATCCATCCTGATCATAGGCAGTATATTCATACTCCTTCGGGAATGTATCCACAGGATAGTCATCATCTTCGTAGCTCTGCAAATTTCACAGTTTTTGTTAAATATCATATAGAAGGGCGGAGGCTGGCAATTTTGCAATGATATGGCTTCTTTGTTTATTTACCATTGTAATGCTAATGGGCGTTGGTTGTATACTGCCGTAGATGTTACATGCAGTTTGGTGGCAGATCGCGTAATTACTAAATCTAATTGCAATTTCTTCGCGAATTTTTAATAAAAATCTAAAAATGAATAAAAAGCTTCTTATCGCAGACAAAGTGTGTACACATATTATCTGTTTCAGCACAGCTGTTGGCACCAGAGTTGTGCGACCACTTTATTGTAGAATTAGTTATTCAATATAATATGTTACAGACGAATTACGTTTTCATTATTACTTGTTATTATTAAGGTCAGTCTATCAGTCTACGACAAATTATTAATGTTTTTCATTTTGAGCGAACTAATAATTTCGGGGATTTAGAGCGCGCAACTCAAAATGCAAATGTCAGCTGCTTCTTCACTAGCTGTGAATGGCTATCAACTGTATCTGTTAAGAAGAAGACCAACTTGTAAGAGTCTGGCACGTTTAGGAGTGTGTTTTATTAAATTGTTTAATTAAAAATATTGGGTACTATGTCGGCGCGTGGTCTGCTGCTCATGGGCCAGTGCATGCCCTGCATCAAGAAGAATGCCTCAAAAATTCGAATACGGCGTATGGAGCTTGATAAGAACCTTAACATGGTTAGAAGAAACTTTTTCGATGCAGGCAGATTTAGTGTTAACCCTATATCTCATTTCACAGTACTTCAAAAAAGACGAGTTCTACTTTGCACATGATCCACAGAAACTATGCAAGACTGGCGATGTGGTCCTGATAAGGGAGCTGCCGGAGAGGTTGACACGTCTAATTACACACGCCGTTGAGAAAGTGGTCTATCCGCTTGGTGACATAACCGATCCTATTAGCGGCAAAAAGGTTGTCGTCGGTAAATATCGTGAGGACATTGAAATGGCTAACCAGATGTTTGGCAAGTCTGAAAAAGCCTTCGACTACGACAAAGCACCTCCGCGCGGTCGTTTGGAAGGCACCAAGGACTTCACACATGGCGAAACTTACATTAAGTATCACGAGGATGGAAAGGATCAGCCATTTGCAGTCTAGGACTAGACATCTTTTGCCTAGTCTATAAGTTTGTTAGATGTGAAAAGTTTGTTAATAGTAAAACTTCAAATTTATGTATTTTAAACAGTTTATTCATCTCAACCCATCCTGTTTCGCGTAAAAGTTTAATGCGTGTAGACAGCACACCTTTATAATTAGTAGGACCAGATAGAAAGATCTACGTAGTCGGGTGAAATATAAAAATATATAGCACCCAACAAAAGCTGTACGAAATTTGTCGTTATATCAAATTAAAATGTTATGTAGATGAAAATAATAGTATATTTGCGTAATGCAGAAAATGCAATGCAATATAAACAACTGTGAAAGATATTCGAAGAATATGAAGGCTCCAGGGGAACCGGAAATATATTTTTATATAATGTGAAATTATTTCCAACCTTTCCCCGATTTATTTGACAATGAAAGACTTTATACTAAATATTTTATTTAAAATGTCGATAATGCTCTGCTTGCCTTTTTACGTATAAATGAGTTTCTTGAACTGAGTTTTCAGTTTCCCTCTCATTTATTCTAAAGCAGTTTTTGATTCCCGAATTCTTTACAATTTATCCTAGTTTAAATATGTAGTTTTTTGATATTAAATTTAGTGCTTCGCCGATTTTGAATCTGTTGGGTCCTCTTTCATGCGTAGGCGTCGAATGCGTTGACATCAGATCCGTGAATCCATAAATTAAATTGTTAACTAATCACAATCTCTTACGATGCTAAAATTGTACTGGAGTATAGCCACATGTGCGTTGTCATCGCATAGTTTTTGCTGCAAATGATAATTATTTAGATACATTTTGTTAGGGATATTCAGTATGCAAGGAGCAATTTTGATAATGTGATTGTTTGAATCTGGAAACTCTGAATGTAATGCAAATATTGGAATACAGAGTTTTTGACATAAAGATACACATATATCTTATCAATACCTGTTCTAAATCATGGCTTGCGCGTAGCATAAAATCTCGCACAAAGTAGCCACGACTGGGTATGTCCAGAGCTAGTATTAGCTTGTTGTTTCCCAGCTGCTTGATAATCTTGACCGATTGGACGGGTCGGGCCACATCATCCTCATTTACCTGTGCACCAGCTTTGTCTTGATCTCCAGTATCTGCATCGCTGCAGATGGACCATTGTAGTGGCTTGTTGGAACTGTAATTGTAATGTGGATTTATTTTATTTTACTTTTCTTTGCATGCTCTTAAATAGCTTACCTTAGATGCACTTCAATGTTGCTGGCCTGAAGGTAACGTGACACGGGCACTATGTAGGATGCATTGAGTGAGGTGCCGGTGCTGGGACAATATTGCTCCACATCTATTGTGCGGTTGTATTCAGCGGCCAGCACACAACTGGTAACCGTCCAGCAATCTAATTGTGACTGAATAGATGGATCCTCTGGCTCTTCTTTAGCATGCGAATCGCTCACAATTCTGGTCACCAATTCCAAGTGTTCGATAGAATGGGAGCCGTCGGTTTCCAGTGTGTCAATTGGTGCTGTTGATAGATCCGTCTCAGCAGAGTTTTGTTTCGCTTGAGCTTCGGTTGCGTGGGAACTTTTTCCATGATGCGCACGTTTCGTTGCTAGTGTTTTATTTGCTGGCATTGCCTGCACTACCAACGGTTCAAGCTCTGATTCCTGATCCTGCTCAGCAGACTGCAACTCATCATCAGCATTTTGCTGCAGTGGCTGCGATTGCTTTACATTGGCGTCCACTGTATCTGAATGTGTCTGCTGAAGCTCTTCAAAACAGGTTGACTATGGGAAAAGTAAAGGAAATAATATATGTATATGATATGTTAAAGACTAGTTTATTCATAAATTAGCTAAAATAGCATATAAAATAAATGGCAAGCTAAATATTTTGCTGCAAAATTTTGGTAAAGTATTTCGTTAAAAAATTTGTCTTTCTTTTAAAATTTTCAAAATTGTTAGAAAATAATTACGAAATTCATTACATTTTTATATTTTATAGAAAATATATATGCAAATACTTAAAGACAGCAAGTTTGCTAAACTAACTATTAAGAAGAAGATCCTAGAGAGATGAACTATTAAGCCGTTACTTATAAATAAGGAAGCTTTTAAAAAAATGCCCCAATTCCTCCTTGAATCATAAGTCGTTGCTCTGACGGATATATGATATACATACAGACAAAGCTATATGACATGTTAGCTGATGTGTGACGGCTATAAAAACATATAGTGGGGTACATACAGGAAATTGTTAAATTATACATACGTATGTAAACAAAACATCGAATTAATGGTGCAACTTACCAGACACTTTTCGCCGACTGTCTCATCACCATTGCACTCGGGCGGCTCCCCAAACATCTGCGCCTTGATGGTCTTGTGCTTGATCCACTCCTGACTATGGGGATTGGCTGAGCGTCGGCCCACGCTCGAGTCGCGCACATCGGTATACACAAAGCCAAACACGGCTGTGATGGGGTTGTCCACGGACTCGTTGGTGTTGCTAAGATTCTGCAGATCGAGCGCATCGGCATTATCATGACCACCACTGCTGTTGCGCACCGTTGTGGGCGGCACTTCGAGAGCCACCTGAGTCTGGGACGGCTCGGTGTTGACTTTGTTGGTGGTCAGAGCTAGGTTAGCAGTTGGCGGCGATACCGTCTTGTATACATTGTAGATAACCGCATCACCAGTGTTTAGCTTGCGAATAGCTTGACCAGCGGCTGCTGTCGTGTTGGGTACGTGTATGCGGTTGCTGCTCGCTGTGCTGGCGATGGTGTCCACTACAACAATGTGTTCCTTGGGCTCGGATTGCTGTAGAGCGACGTTGTCCTGCCCCGTCGCCAGCTCAGCGACCGCAGCTGCAACTGCGGAGCCCCGAACTCCAGCTGCTTTGGGGGAGCCCAGATTCTTGCTCAAGTGCTGGGCATCTATGTCAATGGAGTTGTTCTCGAAGTCCTGCGGCACGGGAATAGCCTCGGACTTCTCAGCCGAGGTATCACTGCCGTTATTGCTATTTTGCGCCTGTGGCAGCAACTCCGCCGACAGCTGCAATGCCCGCACTCCTTGCACCCCCTGCACCAACTTCTGAGAACCCTGCGTGGCCCGCAGCACCTCCTGCGGCAATGGCCACTTGGCCTTGTTCTTACTGCTGATCGTCTTGTTGATCCGCGGGGCTGTCGTTGTGATGCGTATGTGCTTGGCGCTCAGTAGGGCCACCTGCTGCTTCGACATAACCACGGCCAACTCGTCGTTGGTATCCTCCTCATCGCGGGGGCGACTTACGTTCCGTACCGAGGGCGGCCGGGATGTGCTGGCGGCGTACATTAAACTGGGCCAGGCCACATAGGACTTGTTTTTGAAAATGGTTTGCAGATTGTGCTGCAGATAGTTGCGATCCTCGTCGCTCATGTAGAGAGGTACATCCGGGCGATTATGGGCATTTCCGAAAATCTGGTAGCTCTCCAATTGTTGCTGTTTGTTGTGCTCAACGAAATAGAGTGTGGATACAGCCGCCAGACTGTATGTGCGCGATAAAGAAATGAAGTCACATTTTAAAATGGTAGGTTTCGGTAAATATAATCATTATTTATTTAACGAAATATGCATCCACATTTTAAAAGGATAAATAATCTGAGCTAAGCAATCAAAGTGGTCGTTGAACATAAGTTTAATTATGATTTGTGGATTCTTACTAAATAGAAATATCTATATAGGTTTTATACAAGTGAAAAAAAGTATCCTAACGAAATCTCTTATGCCCAAATGATTTGATATATTTGACAATAGAAGGAATAATGCTTTAGATATGCCGTGAGCCACATAAGATAGCGAATGTATAAATACATTCTTCTTCCTTAATTCAACTTTTGCGTACGAACATAATTTTTTGAATTATTTGCTCTGTGCCTTAAAATTGAAATCGAATTTGGCGCCAAACTGAGATACACAAATTAAATTAGAAGTCTGCACTGAAACATTAATCATAGAAATCTTTAGAATATATTGATTAATCAGTTTGTTAAATCGTCTTCAAAGTAAAACTGAATCAAAGCATTTTAAAAGAAGAAATGTAAACTCTATGCATTGGCAAAGATATATCGTCGCTTTAAATATGATATAAACATTCGATTCAAGCTGTGCAAAATCATTAGTTCCACATACAAGTATATCAACAATATTCAAAATGGTTTTTGAAACCTGTCAGTTCCTATGGAAGCTGTCAGATATATAAGTTTGAAAATCAATTGTTACAGCGTTACAGCATTACATAGAACCATATATGCTAGCTTTTCAAAACTAAGAGGCTAGTTTGAACAGGGAAACAAATATCGGTCGAAGTATTATATGAACACAAAGAAGTAAGCAATCGCAAAACAATTAGAGTGCTAGCTTTGAAAAATCTCTAAACCCTTTGCAGTAACCCTTTGTTACTTTGAATAATTCACGCGGCAGGTACTGGTTATGAATATACAAGTTGTTCGAGAACTTACCAAGCGGCCATAACTATGATCAGCAGAAATATGACAATCTGAAGCGTGCGGCTCGAGCAAATCTCATAGCCATCGCGTCGGGTGTTTGTGCGACGCATGCGTTCTGTCAATAGGCTGCATGGATCGAGCTCCAGAGGCTTCGCCTGTGGTTTATAGGTATTGGCACGTTCCAAGTGCTCGATGCGTGTCTCTAGCACGCCGGTCACCTTGCACAGCTCCTTTACGGCGCCAATGTTCTCCATTAAAATGCGATCCTAAATATGCAAAAAAAAAAACATGGTATTTATTACGAAATTGTTAGCCCCTTCATTTCATGTTCAATTATATCTAACGATCCCTTACTTGTAATTTCATTAAAATTATTTAGGAATATTTATTCAAATTCTTTTTTCAAATTATATTTCATTTTTCACAAAATCGTTGACTGTCCCAAAACCAATTGTTTTCTAATTCAAACCAACGTTAGCACAACAACATTTCAAAATCTGACCACAATTAAGGACAAACACACAAATCAGGCAGACTTCATTTATGTGTATAGAGATTCGATTTTCAAGTTTCTCAAGATATTCGTACCGAATTAAATGTGAGAGAAAAATCATACAGACCTTGTTGACAAGCAAGAAGTTCTCGATGACGTTGCCGTTCGGCAGGACAACGCTGCCAGCCTCTTGCACCGCATCGGGAATAACCTCGCGCACCTCCTGTGCTATAACGCCCGTGTCCACGATATCTTCGCAGTCACTGACGCGCCGAAGGCCCGAATGAATCGCAAACTCCGGCTCGTAGCGATAGCGCACAATGCGGATCTTCAGCAGGTTGCGCAGCTGAACTGAGGTGTCCAGTTCACCGATCTCGCGCTTGGCACGACTATCGCTCGGCTGGACAATGTGGCCCGATACCTTCAGATTGCCATGGACCACCAGGCTCTCGTCTGGACGGTCTGTGTTTATGCCCACGCGGCCGCTGTGGAATATGGAGTCGTTTAGGCCTCGTTGCCAGCACAGATCCACATCAGACTCGAACTGGCCGGGATTGGAGGCACGTACAATGATGCGCTCACTGCCGTGGCTAATGACGGGAAAATTGCCCGAGGTCGTGTGCACGTGGAGGCCCACTACAAGCTGAAAGAATCGCTGCTCGGGATTGGGGCGTCCTTTCTTGCGCATGTTGTTCTGAGTTGTCTCGGAGAAATGCAGCCGGCCGACTGTGATTTTACTGACAATGTGGCTCTGGAGATCGATACTGATGGAAAAGGTAGGGATTATAGTTTGTTTCAATGTAATTTATTATTATTATAATTATTCAATTCAATAAATTTAATAATAAAGGAAAAGTACTTACGGTACGGGATAGAATGGCTTTTTCGAGCGATCCGACTGGCTCTGCTCCACGCGAATCGTTTGATTGGGCGCCTCGAATTTGACGCCATAGAAATGCAAGTGGAAGGATTTGATTTTCTCCAGGCCGGACGGTGTTTTTACAAATTTGGCATCGCCCTGCAGGCGTGCATGGCAAGTGACTTGAAAGTGATTCTTCTTCTGGCACACGTACGCTTCGTCTGAGACGGAGAAGTTAAATCCCTTGTCGGCGTCAACTCGATAGAAGCTGACAGACAACTCTTGCAGGTTTTGATCGCAAAGCTTATGCCAATTCTCCGGCTGAAACGGGCTGAAGCTGATGCACTGTGGCTGCGCGGCATCGCCCGCCTCGCTGCTGCCAGATCCCAAATTGACAGCTGTGGTGGAGCTGCTGGCGTGGCCATCCAAACTGTTGTCCGCCTGGGAGTTCACTGTGGACAGAGCCGGAGACGCGGAAGCCGAGGAGTGTGAGTGTGCGGGTGTTTTACTCAGATCGCTGTGGCTGCTGCTGCCGTGGAGGACACCAGCTCCGATGCCACCATGGCCAAAGCTAGAGCTCTCCAGCGAAAGGGAGTGATGCGAGGCACGCAACGGGCTCATTATCAGGCCCGGATCGTGCTTGATGCTGGGTGCGAATTCTGGACAGTCCAGCTGCGTGGACATCTTTCGCTTACGTGACGATGAATGGACCGGCGTAGACGGTGCCGAGCTGCGGTTAAGCGAGACCTGACTGGTCCCAATCACCTGCACACGCTCGCCCAGTGACGACGTGAGCATGCAGGTGGCCGTCTGTTCGCCGAAGATGCTGGACAAGTTCTGGTAGCTTCCCGTCCCATAGAGCCCGCTCTCATACTGCAGCTGCCCTGGCGTCGTATATAGCAGCTGTTCATGCACATTTTGCTGGCTATCCTGCAACTGTTGCTGTTGCTGTTGATGTTGCTGATGCTGATGCGACTGCAGCAGTTGTTGCTCGTTCAGCTGCGACTGTTGCTGCTGCTGCAGCAAGCTGTTGGAATTCATTAGCACGCTGTCTTCATGCTTCACCCTGACGTCCTGCGGCGGGTGCATGTGGGGCGTGTACTGATGGTTGGTGGCCTGTTGCTGATGGGGCGGTGTGTATTGCAGTTGCATGATTCCCCCCGCATGCTGCTGTTGTTGGTGCTGCTGCTGCTGCTGCTGCTGCGACTGCATGGGCGCTAAGCCTTGGTAGAGGTCGCGTGTGGCAAGTACCAGACCGTGAGCATCGCCCAGCGGACTGTAGGCCGGCTCTGAGCCTGAGTCTGGCGGGCTTTCCGGCAGCTGCGCATGTATTTGGGGCGTGGCAATTGGTGTGCTGGACAAACTTACGCGCCCCGAGCCCGACACACCAGCCAGCTGTGCGTCCAGGCCGCTCATTGGCGGCGTATGTGGCGACTCCAGTTTCGTGCTACACAGAGCCCCCAGTCCAGAATCCATGGCGAGCCCATCGCTATTGCTGTGCTGGGCATTGTCATCAAGTGCGCCAACACCTGTGGCAACCTGCATGAGCTGGTCCAGGTTGTTGAAGTCCAGGGCGTCATTATCAATGCCGAAATCATTGCGAGCTGTGGGTCACGAAAAAAAAAGAAGGAGGATGATGTAACAAATATAAATGTTTATCAACTTAATTACATACTATATTTAGTCTTATACTAACTTGAGTAGTTTTGAAACCTCCTTCCCTACATTCTCTGAGTTTTATGGCCGAGAAAATTCGTAAACCGATTAAATGTAATATATGGAAAAGGGTTTCTACGTACATATATTATAGGATAATAATAATAATTATTATCCTATCATATGAGACCTGCTGTGCTGGCATACTTATTTGACTTTCTAAATACATTTTGAAGCTTTTTGTGCGTTTAAAGTAGAAGGACGAGTTCTGAATCTAAAACCACTCTCGATTCGACAAAAAAAGGACCGCAACCAAGCTATTGCTTGTTATAATCGTAACTGAGTTTTTATTGATGCTACCATGTTTTTTTTTCTCTACATACTTGTATGTAGTGAAAGATTTGGAGCTCCACAAACAAAAGATAGGGTGGTATTTAATTAGAAGCTTTCTGTCATCGAAGATAATTAATGGTAGTAATTTGCCATTACTACTTGTTTTTTTATTTTTTATTTTAATTGTATATATATTATCTATGTATATAAGGTTCTTAAATCTGGATTTGACATGGTGAAAAAAATGGTGGTATACGGCAAATTTATTTTTGTTTCATAATCGAAAATTTAGCGAACCAGTCACAACACTTACAAGTATATACATTTATGTATTATTATGTAGCCTAACCCGGATTGTGGTATTTATATTTACACACACACATACAAATGTACTTCATACGCGTGTGTAGTTATATGTATCTCGTGATGTTTGTATAGTTTAGTGCTTTGGCAAATGATGGGCGTTTCATGAGAATAACAAATTGTAATGACACTATTCATGGCTCTGTTTAGGCAAGAGCATGAAACTGATAAGGAGTCGAGAAACGCGTCGAATGTTTGATCGATAAACTGGCAAGTCTAAAAAGATGACGACAATATGGTAGTATAATTTATGTGTCAAATAAATTAACAGTGCAAGTTAATTTATTCAAAGCAGTAGGCCAGTCGTTTGCAGAAACCATCAATTATTATTACCATTTAACGTCTTTGGATAATCCATAGTTTGGTTTAGTGTTGGTTGTGTTTCAACTAATTTTTTATACACTATACTCGACTTTTTGTTTATTATCTGTTGCTGTACTTAACACTTTTGCAGCGCGCGATCTTTTGCGTGGCTCAAAGAAATCACACTGACAGACACGTTAAATTCGTTGAGTTTAGTTAGTATAACTAAGGCCTTAAAACCGCACTCTGCCGCTGCAGCGTGAGCAGCATCCATAGCAACAACAAAAGAAACAAAAACAAAAACAATAGCAACAATGCACAAATAATTATCTAACCTACGTTTGAACGAGCATACGGTTGATGCACTCTTCACAACTCGTTGAGCAGTGAAAATGCGATTTAAACAAAATATTTATGTACGAGTATGGTATATAAGTATGTACGTATATAGTATATATATACTATAAAGCATGTACATTTATTTACTAAACGAAGAAAACAGAAGAGCCTGCTAGCAAGTAAATAATTGTATATTTATGGCTCCAATTGAGGGGGAAAATATACAATTTATTGAACAAATGAATTATGCTTTAAGTCAAGAAAAAATAAAAATAATAATTAATACACAATTCCATAGTAATTTCTCGAAATATGACACTATAGCTGACTTTGTTTTTGAATATGTTCTCAGGCGCTGTATCTATTTGTATTGCATGCTAATATGTTTGTTTATTTTTACAAATGCATTGCTAGAAACAATATCAATTTCCCGTTTATCAGTTATTGCACATATAGCCTGTGTTGAGTATTTGAATTTTGATTTATTTTGCACACGCGTCTTCACGTTTAGGCCGCTTCGAAATTTCTTTGGACTGCCAGCAAATATTCGGAGTTTGCCTTTTGTGTTTGCGGACTTGATTGTGATTTTGTATATATTTATATATGCAAACATATACATATACATATCTATATATATGTATGTATGTTTGTATGCATGTACACAATTATTGATCAAACAATTTGCTCGTTTCGTGTTTGTGGCATCACAAATAAGTATGCAAAATCGCATGCAAATACTTACAAACAAACGCGAATTTATATAGAATTGTGCTCCGCAAATGTAACTATAATACACAAAATGAGAATATACACATACATACATGTATGTAGGTGTGTTTGCGCTACTAAAATGATTCCTGCAAGTAGCCGAAATTTGTTCTGCTATAACAACAACAACAACAACGGCAACAGTGGCGACTGCTACATCAATTTATTTTATTTACATCTATTTTTGGCAGCCACTTTTGTTGTCATTGCCGCACATTTGACAGACCAGCCTTCATTATGTTGGGTAAAGAGTATAGGCCCCTACACATATTATTATTATAAGAATATTTTATATTAGGCCCCCATTTGATACAAATTGATGGGACCTGACAGCGAGCCGATTTAAAAACAAACAAATGCAATGCCACATTAAAGTCACTTTATTGCATTTTTATTATTTATTGCAATTAACTACATTTCAATATACCTCTCGAGACGTGTTCGGATCTTAAGGTTAATCTGCCAATTTATTTTAAATATTAATATTCATAATAGCAAATGGCTAATTGCTTTCTCTTAAACTATTCTACTGCAGATTTGTTTTTTAAATATAGGTACTCACAAAAATCAGGGAAATCAAATTCTATATCCATATCTTGACAGTGATCGCGTGCACTTTAGTTGCATCCTTTCAAAGTGGTGGAGCTAACAACATAGTTTCGATTCCGTCTGTAAGTTGAAAAAAATATATAAAAAACAAATTGAATTAGATTTTAATTTACGTTTGTTCTCCAATGAATAAAGCTCTTATATCAAACGTGTTTAGAGAACTGATTATTTATTTACTTCAACTCTATGGTGCTACCATATATTTCATGGGAATTCTGCAATCTGACTCAATGGCAAGCTTTTATTGCCAATATTCTTAGTAAGTAATAACATACAATAAGCTTAAAGAAGAATGCATCTAGCCATCAGTGATAACTTAGTATACAGAATTCAATTCTAGGAAGATGTGGTGAACGATTTCCTTAAAATTGTATTGCTTCTTTTTTAAGAATGATGTCTGTTTGCTTCCATTCGGTGAATTCGATAAAAAATGCAATTAAAGAACATCTATTTTAGTATAATTATCTATACTGACATTATAAAGAGGAATTATTTGATTGTTTTTTTGGCTCCGAAATAGCGTCCTGCCCCTGCTTCGCACGGGTATTTTTACAAAAATTTTAGAAATACATTTCTTTTTGCTATGAGTTACTAAGGAGTAAAATTTATTTTGGATATTATTTTAATGATTTTTTTTAGATTTTTTTGTTATTCTTTATTAGGTTAGAGAACCTTTAACCTTTAAAAGATATGTACATAAAAGATACTGTCAACATATAGTAAAACATTGGTTTCGTATGTTGATGCCTACTTATTCGAAGCCTTGACCTTGGGGACTACCGGAAATTGAAGCCATATTAATGATCAAATGGGATCATCGGTATCCTCGTTATATGAGCTAGTTGACCAGTTGCTGGGCCGTTTATAATAGTTGCTACACTTAAATTGTCCTGCAATTCCTTAATAAGCAGCCTCGTCCCATTGCAAATGCTTGGAAGGCTTTTATTTCTCAAAAGCATGATTGAATTCCGAATTTTACCGTCAATTCATGTGGCGGCAGTCCAGAAGGGTTTAGTGAATTTAAATGTCTTCAATATTAATCACGGTGTCGATCGATTTGTAATCTTTTATTTGGATGGGGGCTTTTAAATAATATTGCCTTAATATTTAAAGTGACAATGTTTCGAGGATGATTATGAACTAACAGCATGCTATTCAGGAGTTTTTTAAGGAAATTTGTTTACACCTTTGGATACATTATTGGCGTTTTAGTAAGGACTCCATTCTTTTTTGTAGCTTCTTTTGTGTAGAATCCATTAAATCGGTCCAGTAGATTCGAAGCCTTTTCAAATCAAACAAACAATCAAATCATTCTTTATAATATTAGTATAGATATATATAATATATTTAGCATTATACTTAGTAATTTTTAATCAAATTAATCTTAAATAATTATTATAAGAGCTGAATTATTATAAGAACGCAATTCATGAAATCAATTCGTAATTAATTAATCCTTTTTTTGCATAAAAAGCAAAGTAAATTGTAGTAGTAAATTTTTAGATGACGACTAACAATTTGTTATGCAAACATTCTAATTAATTGCCAATTTCTAAGCTTATAAAAGAGCTCGATTTGAAATATTATTGACATGCGCCATTTTTAAATAAGAATAATAACAGTCAACTTATCGGGGATATGAAATAAACCAAGTGTATGCAACAAACAAAAGCTTAAATATTTTAAAATGCTTGTACACTATATGATATACATACAAGTATATGTCTTTTTTAAGCAAAACGCAAGCTCAAACGCAGTATGAAACAAGCAGATAAGAAAGAGCTTAGGCTGGTTAATATTTTTGCGTCGGCAGCTTGCACTATCAGGTATAAGTGGGGGTCAGCACAACAACAACAACAAAAAACACAAAAAACGTGAGCGAATGGACGGAACTGGATACTCACACAAATGCAGATCGCATGGTGTTATCTCACAAGTTCTCAAAACTGGCTTTGATTTAGTTGAATACTCATTGTGAAAACTAAATATAAAATTCTTGTTATGCTGAACAAAATGAAATCCCCATTACTGGAAATTGCGGCAGACCGACTTTTGTATACCCTGCACTCCTGCCAAGAATAATTGTCTAAATAATAACGTGGCAAAATCATCAAAGTACTTGTATTTTTTCCATGGCAAACCATTTGCTTCGTCATGTGTGGACTTCCATGATTACTTTTGGGTGTTACACTGATATTCAGGATTCCACAACACCCTTGCACCCATATGAGACAGGTATGAAAATACTGTAATTGTAATTCAACGAACCCAGTTCCCAAGAATCTGTTTATTTACGCGCTCCAGTTCTTCACTTCAACACGTTGTCAGCACAGCGGGGGGCGCTACGAAGTATGCAACATATATGCCATTGGAATGCGTGACGCACGTGGCGCATACGTAATATGAAAAAAATACATCCATCTATAGTCCAATAGGGACAAACAAGTTGGTGTCGCGACAGAAATGTACGCATCAAGCTGAACGAAACCAATATATGTAGCTTTATCTTGTTCTGCTGCTTCCAATTTCAAATGTATTCGGGCACATGTCTGGTGTTTTATTCTGTTGTTGTCTATTTATCTGAATGTTGTTATCGTCTGTGTCTTATTATTGTTGTGCTTTTGATGCGTAATGCATGGCTCTATATATAAATAGCTAAAGTGCAATGCCCACATCAGCCGCAATGGGGACATCACAGCCAGCAAAAGGCATCAAAAGGCAGCTGTTCCAATGCTGACACATATAATATGAACTCGTGACAGATATTTGTCCGTAAAGTTGCACCTCAACGTACGAAATTCAAGCCAAGTTGCCGCTGATCTTTGAATGGTATAGTACAAAATTGGTGGGTGTGAAAACGTTTCTGGCTTATATTAATCAAGAAAACGTAAATTCGCTTCTAAAACATTGGAATGCTACTCATATAATTATTATGATATACATATCTATACATAGTTTATGAGGTTGAAGTAGAACTTTGAAATTTTTTAGAATTTCTTTTCTATCGGACTTTTTTGTCCAGCATGTATAAAATAAGAAACATCCATGGAGATATGCCACAGGCTCCAGATAACCTACCTTAATATCTTGTGGCAATGATTTTGCGGGCCCTATCTTGGAATTAAAAATGCAACTTGATTTGAATAAAATTATATATGGCATTATATTAATCTCCAAATGGCTGTTGCTGTACAAGAAATACACGTTTAGACCCAGGACGCCCACTTGACGAATTCCAGCTTCTGTTTATTGCACTACCTCTTGACGAATTCTAAAACCATATGACCTATGAAGATTCAAAAGCCTGGCGAGCTGATATTTAACAGGTTTCCCATACAAAAATTTTTCCCCTCTATTCAGAGAGTAGACAAGCTTTTTTGAAAGCGATTCTTCAGAAGCATGCTAAAAATAGTACAAAATTAAAGCATTCTCTTTGTTCATATATTTGATCAAATCAGAAGTATAAACCGTAACTATAACTTCGTTCTATGAGTATGATGTGTACAGGCCTACGAGTACATACAACCATAATATACTATATTACACTGCACATTCGTATACAAAGCTTCAATATAGCGAAATGTACTATTAAATAAAGCTTGGCCTATGTTGTCGTCTTCGAAGCCTCTATGACTGCACAGTCATCGTCATCGTGTTCATTGTCGTCGTTGTTGCGACAGTTTTGATTAAATTAACGCTTTGGCTTATGTAGCCCATGGATAGATTTGCAAGCTGTAGATGCTGATGTTGATGGAGATGAAGACGAAGACGAAGAAGATGATGGAACACGGGCAGCTTGTAAATGTATGAAGCATACATGCGAGTATACATATATCATTGTCTGTCTACGCATGCGATACAGTACATTATAATATAATAATTCGTGTGATTTTATTTAGTTTGACAGCAACAGCAACTATACTCAATAAGAAATCTAAAGAAAAAAAATATGTTTAAATACGGGTATAGCTAAAATAAACTCACGACAAGTTTCACTTGACGTCGGAATTGAAGAAGAGGAGCTTCGCTTTGTCTATAGAAGCTGCGAGCTTGGCGACGTGTTCGAAAACCTGTAGTAGTTGTTGCTGCCGTTTTTATTGTTGTTTTGGTTTTTATATCTGAAGCGGAAGTCTACTTTTTCATACTTGCATATACAAAATTATATTATATTTTGCTTATATATATATATATATTTATTTTTTTGGTTAAGTTTATTGTTTTGCTTGGCGCTGTCAATATCTTGGCCGGCGCACACATCCTTGACTCAAAACAAAATACCGACAAGATTTATGATTGTTGTTGCTTTTATTGGGGATTTTCAGTTACTTTGAGTTGGGCTCACACACGCCACTCTGAATGTGTTGTTTAGCGCAGTTTATAAGCATTTAAGTGAAACAACAACAATATCATTATCAGCAGCAGAAGCGGCAGCGACAGCGGCAAAATTTAATTAATAGCATTCACTTTAGAAATGGCGTGCAACCAAAGACTTAAGCCGTCCGCACGTACACCCAAAGAGTCGCGCAAAAATTGAAATACAAATTTTGAGTTTTGTGTTAAACAGATTTGCTGGTGCTTGTGCTAATTGCTTATGGCATGTGATCGTCTGCCAACAACTGTTAACATTTCAATCAAATTTGCGTTCGAGTTAGATTTGAGTTTAACTTTCTAGCCATGCATATCGCTCTAGGCAAGAGTTTTCAAAGTTTTAGGGCGCGTCCATTTACTCGTATGTCTTCTGTTCGATCAATTTGATTACGCAGGTCTTCAATTTGGCAGAATTAAGTGGACAGATAAGCAACGATGAGTCAACAAACAGATTTTAATTCAATTAGCACTATTCCGCTAAATACTCAGGAAAATATATTGTATGTATTACTAACTCCTACTGCAGTCGCAAAGGAATTGTAGCATATGCCCAGCTAGTTATGTAGTACATAAGTTTTATAATTTTTGTGCAAACAAACAGCCCGAGATTTATTTTCTATACACTTTACTGTACCCAAAACGTGGATCAATATTGTTCTTTTTTTCAATTAGAAATCATATTTAGGAACTTATTTTTATTTTTCATCACTTGAGATGAACACGCTTTAGTGGCATGGCATGATCTTTCTTCCTTTCAACTTCATTCTTAATATCATTTCTTGATTTGATTTACATATATTACCATAAACTAGCTAGTGCAAAAACAAAATATTTCATCTTATAAGAGTGTCATTGTGAAATAAAAACTCAGAAATTATGACAATAGAGCTTTGGATTTGTGCAGAACGCAGATAAATATAAACTTCAAACAAATAAGAATGTACTTTTCTTTTTAAATAAGAAATACGTTCAAATATAAGAAATATAGGGCAGCAAAATCAGTTAAAGATAAAGAACTGAAAGACCTTTTAAGTTTTTTAGTTTGGAATTATATAAATTCGGCCTTAAAACAATTGCACGTGAGTATAGAAGTTAAGTTATTAAACAACTTCCCGCAGTTTATTTGAGCGCTTGGTTTAATGTCATATCTTAATGTGCAAAGTACAAATATATGTATTTAATATGAAGAAAAAAATGTGCTATTTCCTCTAAGTTAGGGTGGTTACATTAGTGACTCTTGCCTTGCTGAGGAATATTTATTAATTATTATTTATTAGTTGTGCACTATTTTATATTTTTTAATTCAAAAATTAAATAGTTGTTTATCAGAAGAGTAACAAACAATTTTAAGTTGCCTTATAAATTGCGACTAATAACTCATATTTGTATCTTAAGTTAAAAGAGATTACACTATAGCAGATGGCACATATGTACATATATAAACGACCAGTTAAAACGCAGCGTTTCAAACTATAATATTTAATTTTTCAATGCTGCTCTTATGCAAGAGTAAAGACGACTTACACTGTACCATGGCCAAAGTTATATCGCAAATGATATACGTTTATCAGAAGCCCAAATTAATAGAATTATAAGTAGATACATAGAACTCACTAACAATTGAAAAAGACCGCGCATTTAACAAGATTTTTTCGAAAATGCTAAAAACCAAAATCAAAATCCCTATAACAGAATATCAAGAAAAACTTAGGACTACTTTAATAACTTTGTGTGAAAACTGGGATTTGATAATGCTTATGTATAATGCTAGAAAGCTATTTATTAGCCGCAGGTGTCGAGGCCTGAATCTAGTAATGTTAAAAATTGTGCAGCTAATTCATCTGAACAAGTATGTAGATTTCTGTCAAATGTTTTATGGACAAAAAGAGTTCTTCACTGTTAACTTGCAAATGTAAGAAGAGCCACATGATGAAAAGGGAGCTTAGAGTGCAGAGTGCATTGGCTAAAATGACAATTACGAAGACCCCTACAGAAAGAAAGCAATGGAATATTCCAAACGATTTACTTTCCACAACAACAAAATCAAACCACAAGCAATAAAAACACCAGCAATAGCTACAACTACAACTCTGGAGCATACAAACTAATGTTTTACAACCACGCTAACCGAACCAAGAATGGGAATTGAAAAATTAAAGCTACTGAGCCTCTTGGCCTCTCTGACTTCCACAGAAACTATGCTAAATAGTAGCCAAAGCAGATTTGTGGCACGATCTACATATACAAAATATATTTCTTATGACGTCTGGGCTGATATTTTGCGACTGCCATGCCTTGCTGGCTGCTGTTGTCGAACCAAACTAACCGGTTGAATTTTATGTCTTTGCTGATATTATTATTATTGCTGTGGTTGTTGTTATTGTTGTAGCGATTGCTGCTGGAGTTGCTGATGTTGTTTTTAGCGTCTTTTTGGGCTTTGGGACACGTTTTGCTTTTGCTTTGAATGCTATAGTTGTTGTTCCTTATTTTTGCTCATGGCACAGGTTGAAACGCAGACAGCGCTCGCAAAGCGATGCGATGAAGCGTTAAGCGATACAGAAATACTAAGAAAAAGAAAAAAACAATCACAAGTTGAAAAGAGCACAAGAGGCGCGTCAATTCAGTCGGTAGGTAAGCAAAACAAAACTGGCTGCCTGCTGCTGGACTGAGACTGACTAGCAGAAATTAAGCGTGCCAATATACACATAGCTTCACACATACATACAAATGTATGTACAAATGTATGTGTGGTTTTGATTTTGGAGAGTCTCGACGCCAATGCCGGCACAGTGGGCGGCACTTTCAGCTGAAGATGTGCTTCACGTTGTTGTTACTTTTTTAAGTATTTCGAGTAGTTAAAACAATAATAATAATAACAACAAAACTTGCCAAGACGTCTACATAAACAAATAAATAGTTTGCAGCATTCTGTTTGAATTGCTGCTGTTGTTGGTATGTATTATTGAAGCTGTTGCTGCTGCTATTGCCGTTACTGGATAAAGTTATTTGTGTTGTTGTTGTTGCTTTATTTAAAAATGTGCGCTACAGAGAGCGTTGCAAAGTTGTCTATGGAATAAAAAATAACCAACACTATACTTATTTAACCTGAGTTAGTATTGGCTTTCATATATTTGGATGTGTGTGTGAGTCACGGATGCTGCGCGTTTTTATTTATACGTATGTGTCAATGTTTTAAAGTTTTGTTTGCTATAGACATTTTTATGTATTTTGTATTTTCGTTTTGGGCTTACAAAATAGCCTTTAGTTTTATTAAATTTTTTAATTCACAAACACAGATGCAAAAGTGCTCGCAGGAACAAACTATTTCTATAGTTTCTCTATTTATTTCCAAGTATTTTCAATTTTTTCACACAAATGATGTAAATTAGTAACCTTTTATTTTGTTCTGGTGGCAGTTTTTAGTTTTTTTTTTTTTACTGTAACTCAAAACTTTTCATATCACTGGGCATAAAACAATAAACAGAATGTCGTCTCCCGCTTATTTGTTGTTATCGTTGTACAAGTATTGTGATTGCTGACACTTGCCTTTAAATGCTGCTGATTTGCATCAGAAAATAATGTATAATTTGGCACACACACGCACACACGTGCAAATACACATACACAGATTTCCGTTAGTTTCACGGTTTTAAACAGTAATTGTTGTCAAATTTTGCACTAAATATTTTCGTGAAATTCTTTTGTTATTTGCAATACATGCGCCGCGTTCACGCTTCGTATACTCAATAAATGTTTCTATGATCGTGTTTGTCTTATGTCGTTTTTGTAGTTGTTGGTGTGTTTTCGCTTTGCCGTTTTCATCACTCGTAAAGCAGTGCCATATCTAAATCCGTTGAAGTGTGGACAGCAACTGGCCGGCCATGCGCTCCGACTCTGTCTCGATCTGTGCTCAATGAAGCTTAGCTTCAAACAGCGCGGAGTTGCCAGCTCTTTACAAATTCGCCTTTGAAAATGTTCGGAACTTAAAATAATAAATCTATGATATACTAATGGATCAATTCCGATTCAAGTAATTAGGTTTTATGCTTAGGAAATAAGTGCAATATTTTTATAATATTGCTTTGTTTGCTAAATAGGAAATGTATAACTAATTTCCTTAAGCTATTGAAAAAATAATGAAAGCAATGAATTATATAGATATATGTATTTAAATAGAAATATCGCAGATAGATAAGTATAAGGTAAAACGTAAAATTTCATTAGAAGTTAGAAAATTCTAAAGCATAACTAATAACGCAGAGAGAAACTTCTTAGCTAATTGTGGCTTTTGTTGTTATGGCTTTATTTATCTAAGCCAAAACCCTGTCGATCTGGCAGCCTCAGGGGTGATCGCTGCTACGTCTACTGTCTTTGTAGAGGCAGCTTGTAAATCACATTCACACATATACAGGCTTACGTACTTACGTAGCTATATATTTTGCTTAGCCGCTCTGCGCTGTGAGAAATTGATAAATCGCAGTCAGCGTTTGTGAAGGAAAGAAAAAATGTAAATTAAATTATAACTAGCCGCAACAATGGGCTCCAGCAAAGCCCTCGTTCTGCTCCGCCTCCCCACTTAGCACGAGCACCAGACTGCGGCTCTCACGCAATTAGTGAGGCTGCGAAACCAGCGCCATCGTTCTCAACTCTGGTTGACACAAATCTGGCTCCGACACTCGGCTTGAGTTGTCCCATGTATGCATGTATAAATATACATACATGTATATACATATACCTACATACTTACGTATGTGTGAGAAAATTTGTTGTTGTTGACTGCGCCGCCTGCCGGCGTTTTCCAATGCGTCCGAGCAACACCCCCTACATTTGTTATTGTTTTTGCATTCGGCGCTATGTGATGTCGTTAGTGTTCAGCTGCTTACCCATTAACGCACAGTTTCAACTTTAAATCACCTAATGGAGTTGTTATTGTAGTTCTTGCCTGCCACTTGTGCGTGTAGGATTTACATGAAATTCATTTTAGGCAGAAGAAGCTCTGATTAAATTAAAGCGGTAATTTATGTAAATTACACAAATTTATAAGATTAGTTGATCTTGTTGGTATTGTGATTGTTTGAATTTAGATATTTTCCTTAATAATATAAAATAGAGCCAATATCGTATTGTGGCAACTTCTCGTGAACTTCGTGCAATTCAACTGTGTTTACTCAATATCAGCTTCGCTACCGTGTTTTTTCAAATGTATTCAGCCAAAGTTTATTTAGTACTACTTACCATCTCTTGTTACTCGATGGCATGAATATTAATTAAATAAATTCAATGCAACTGTTTGCTGTCATAAACTTAAGGCCCATATATATACATATGTACATATATACACGTGTATGTATATATGTACATACATAGTTATATAAGTAAGTCCATTTTAGTTAAGTGGGATAGCAAGAAAATTTGTATGTACATATATGTATAGTAATACAACGAAGAGTACGCAAAAAAATGTTATTTAAAAACTAAGTTTGAAGGATTTTGTATCTCATAGTACGATTCCTTGGTGTCGAATTAATTAATGAAATCTCATATCTTAAGCCTTTACAGCATTGCAATCGGTTTTTCAAAATTATTTTGTTTAATGTTTGCTTATATTTTTTGCAGATTCCTAACAAATAATTCCTGGCGCCTATCTGCAGGCGTGACCGATTTTAATTGGACATTTATTTATGTATTTACTATCTTCCGCATAGCGATTTTGTTGGTAAATTAAAACTAGGTGTTGATGCTTTAGGTATACAAAATCGTGGAATTACGTTCTCGTATATGTACTTTAAAAACGAATTTTGTGATCATACTAAGCATACATTCCCGTTGTATACATGTTGCTGCTATGGCTCGAAGTTCTGATATGTTATGAATTATATTCTTTAAAATAACCGCGAAACTTAGCATTAAAGCAGTTTCCAAGCAGTGCAATTAATAATTTAAAATGTTATAACCGACGTGTTATTAAATCCTTATCACGAGCAAAAACTGTATTCTCAATAAAACGTGTGTTTCAATATCTTTCTATTGATACATCAGGATCGGGGAAGCCAGTTCATAATATTATTGATGTTTTCACCATGGTTTCTACATGGTTTTCAGCAAGAACTATCTTTCGATAGTATAACATTCAGCATCATTTAATTCAGGAGTACCGGAACAAAATATTAATGGATCAACTAAATAGGTTCGCTAATTTTTTGACTGTCAATTTTATAATTTTCGGTTGCTGGGCTTGACAATGAATTTCTCATGTGAAAAAGGATGGATCAGGATCAACTTGATCATATTAATTTAAAGTTCAACAGTGGTTGATGTCATTACGCACATTGCTATTCTGAAGCACAAATTGCTAAGTTCATTTAAAGTGACATAATCAGGGAGGATGCGGGAAGCAGCGGAACAGATAACTATCTGGAATGGGATTTTGAAAGCCAGTTAATGTATGCGTGTTATTTGTTGACTATAGTTTTTTTTTCACATTTTTTACGAGCATTGCTTGCTATTTTGGATTGAAATCATAATTCAGTGGTACTTACAATCCGCGGGTAAATCCTTGAGTAGAAAATTAAGCGTGCATTTTTTACGATTGTGTTGTACTAACTCATGTTTTAAGGTACATTGTTTAATTAAATGTTTTAGAAACAGGAATATGTTTTATGCTATAAAGCAATCATTCATAGTACGATTAAACTAAATTGTAGGCATTTTTGAGCGTGGACAACAGTGTTGGATTGACTTCAGGAGAGCTTTGTACTGCATCCATAATAGCTGAGACCACTGAAAAGAATTACAAAATCAAAATACAGTTAACATATGACTGATCTTAGCAACTATATAATTACTTTTCTTTTCTTCCGTTGACATAAGCATAGCCAAAATGGTGAACTCATCGTTCTTGCTCATTTCCAATAAAACTCCTGCTGTTGTGGGCTCATTGTTGGGAATATAGTATTCCTTAAGGGTCCGTAATATGTCGGTCAGGGTCTCGGAATCAAATCCAGCGCCTAGTATCTTGCAAAGTTTATTCAAATCAATGGATTTCAAATATTGGTATTTTTGAGCAGCAGATAGTTCCTTCCAATTGATGTAGAATTGGGCCGTGCCAGTCGGTGCAGGTGGTAGAGTGCGCTGAAAAAATATTGCGGGAATAGTACTAAGATACTAGATCTCACATTAAGTTTAATAACTTACTATTTCATATGTTGGATCGTTTTGTTGTTCAATCTCAGTTGGATTATTATTTTTTTTAGTGTTTGCATGGACAATTTTTTCCGGAACTATTTTACTGTGGGGAACACTTTGTTTGTGTATAATATCTTGTTTGTTATTAGCAGAAGAAAATGATTTATCATCAATTAAACTCGTATCTTTAACATCAACTTTGGTTTGTATTGTAGTGTTGTCGAGTGTCTTAACCCTTGGCTTTTTAACCTCTACGTAGGGACCACAGTAGCTATTGAATATTTTGTCAATATCTTCATCGGAAATACGTAACTCCTTGGGTTCTTCCTTAGGTGCCCGTGGCGTAACTATATCAACAATAGGTACACGATGAAGTGGTTTTTTAGAACGCTTATAGGCAGGCTTCTCTATTGGCAAAATATCAATCAAATCGGCCCGCTCTTCATTAAAATTAGGACCCCCTTTTGTGGTAGCTAACATAAACATTTGATTAAATAGATTTAGCAGAATCTAAATAATCTATTACATACCAATTTTGCGCAAACGATCATTGATACGCTGCAAGCTTTTTTTGCCCTCAACATTTTTGGGATCTATCGCGAGCACCGTAGTACAATCTTTGAGCGCTTCCATATTGTTACCAAGTGACTCGTTCGCTTGCATGCGACGATAATACGCCTTTACACAGAGTTTGTTAAGTGAGATTGCCGAATCACAGTCCTCAATGCAATTGTCGTAGCTGTAGGACAGGATAGATTGCGTAAGCTATAGATTATCTAAATTGGATCCCTAAAATACTTACCGTTCTTGTTTTAAATAGCATAACGCTCGATTAATGTAGTATATGGAGTCATATGGATAGACTGAAACCGCTTCAGTGTATGCTTCAATAGCTCTGTCGTAGTCTGCCACCTTAACGAAGTTGTTGCCCCGGTCTTTTATATCATTGGCCTTTTTGTGCTGCTGCGCCAGGGGATCCATTGGCAAGTCTTGTTTTTCAGTAGGTGTGCTTGCTAAAAATAATAAGATTTAGTTTAGCTCTTATTTTTACAATATTAATATAGATATTCCTACCCGTAGATCCGCCGGGGCTATTTATGGCACTTCCACTGTTGTTGGATGGTGATTTTTCTTTGTTCAAGTTCTGCACAGGCACATGGCTGCGCACGGGTTGACTCTGCGTACAAAAAAATATAATTATAGAATTACATCGTTTAATGGTTGCGAACAACTTACATCATTACCATTGCATGTCGGTGCAGGACCATCCTTTAGGGCCTGCTCCTTGTTTTTGATTTCCTTTTGCCACCTATTGAGATCGGTCACATGTTTTCGGTATTCCTCGGCGTTTTGTCGCACTTGACGCTGTAGTTCCAGGGCCTTATGCGCAGAGCTCATTTTAAATTTTTAGCTAAATACTGTTAGTCTACGGATTGAACGAATTTGCGAGAAAAACAAGCGCTCTTGTTTTGGTTGTCATGTAGATGTAGTGCTGCTAAAAGCACTGATATATTAAGGGTATCGATGATTTTATTCGATGTGCGTCGATTACATTTGCTTCACACGTGTTGCTCATCTTTCGTACTGAGCCAAACGATAGCTAATAGAATCAGTGGAACTTATTTTGTACGTTATGGTCTGCACGAACATTAGACATTTTATTTCTTCTTCAAGAACCAATCAATAAGTTTGAGCAAAAATCTTCATTTATATGTATTGTATTCGTAATAGATAACTTGGGAATTAATTATTTTGCATGAGCTGTTGTGAGATTAAAATGGACTATGAAATAGTAATAACTATTTTTTTTCTAAAGAGTGGGAACAGCTTTTTCAAGAGTTGGGCTCTTGCTTTCCATTTTTGTTTTAAACATGGTTAAAAATCTTTAAAAGCTAATCACATTGAATTTTATTAGGTAACTCTTTTTTTTAAGTTATTAAAACTATTAACGTCTCTAATTTTGTGCCTAAATATCCACAACCACAAAAACAAGGGCAGTAAAATGTATTTTTGATATTTTTTTAATTTACATACTTTTTGCTTCAATATTAGAAAAGCTTAAAATAAGGAGTATTTTATAACGATAACAAAGAACATTACATATATATACAAGCGGGCAAATGGCGATTGCGGGGCGGCACTTCGTGATCTAAAGTTGCCAAAGAAGAAAGTCTTCTGGACCTTCAGCTCTGGCAGTTTCTGGCATTGTCCTTCAAACCATTTATTTAATTTCTCTAAGCTATTTCGCGATACAATGCAAATCTCTGCATTCCGTAGCTTCTCAGTACCATGGGCCTTTAGCTCGGCAATGGGAATCTGAGCGATTCGCTCGTTATAGGCATAGTCGACCTGATACAAAACTTCGTTGCTCGAACTGCGTATGTAGACATGAAAGTCGGCCACATCCGAGGCAGCGGAGACATACCATCTTAAGGTCAGATTTTCAGCCTTGTTGCTGGAAAATGCAAAAATAAAATAATTATTTATTTGCAAGACTAAACTAAGAAAACGCTTCTGTATAACTTGTTTAGAAACGAAGCTAAAGTTCTATCGTAGTGTCACAGAAGTCGTATGTACATATATCCATAGACATTGAGACTTAACTACTTACGTTTGCACATCACGAAAACGAACTTCGGTCAGCTGATCATAGTCAATACCGTTATAGAGTTGCTTCTCGTCCTCCATGCAGCTCAAATACTCGTCAGACAGCTCCAAAAGTCTTTGGTCGTAGACCGGCGATGGTGAGCGGCATCGTAGGCTTTTTAAATCATCGCTAACCTCCGTCTGTTCGAGCATGTAGTGCTTCAGAGGACGCGCATTGCAGCTGCAGTGCAGAGGATTTCCGGCCAGAAAGACCTCCGAACCATTACGCAAACTTTCCACAAGCGAGGGCGGGAAATGTTCTAGTTCGTTTTGCCGCAAATCAATGAACGCCAGGGGGACGGACTTCACCAAATTAGCAAATGGTAAGTGGTAGATTTTGTTATAGGATAGATCAATGCTCATTAAATTTGAAGGCAAATCAAAAATGTGCTCCTCGGACTGAAGGTTACTGAGCTCGTTGTGTGAGAGGTCCAGAAGTTGCAATGAAGTGAAATTGGCCAAAACGCCACGACGTAACTCGTTGATCAGATTATGCGACAGATTAAGGTGCAGGAGCTTTTTGGTGCCGAATGTAATGTCGTAGGTCAGAACTGGCATTTGATTGTAGCTCAAGTCCAGGTACTTCAAATTATAGGGTACATATTGGTGCGAAGGAAAGGTTTTCTTTGTGACAAAGCTAATGCGATTTTGACTCAAGTCCAATCTCTCTAAACTGAGCAAATCATCGAGGACACCATGTGTTTTATTATCCAGTTTGCTGATGGCATTATGGGACAAATCCAGGATCCGTAACGAGGGTAGCCCAATGAATATGTCGTTAGACAATTGCTGCAAATCGTTCGACGACATATTGAGAGTAAGAAGCTGTAATAGGCCCTCAAAGGCGCGTTTACTGTAATTTAAAAATGACGTTAGCAATAGTCTTTAATTGCGTAATATGGAATTCTTACCTTATATCTGAAACTTGGTTGCCATGTAAGTTGATTTCGAAGAGCACGGGCAGCTTTCCAAAAGCACTACGCTCCAGAGTGGTAATGTTGTTGTACTGAAAAATAATAGCTACACAGTCATAATGCAAATAATAATAATTTGTTTTACTGTGCTTAAAGCCTTGTTTACGAAATAAAAATAAATCTGTCTTAAATGTTATAGTGGGTAGTTTGAGCAACAAGTGGGTGGGTGCTTATATGACAAAAACAATAATAAAGGTTTGATACTTGTAATATACAAATTTACGGAATCAGTGTAGGTCGCAAATAGGGATTATCGTTAATACACTGAATGATAAGTGAACAGTGGGCGACATTGGATAAAAATAACTAAATATTTCTATGGATTTAACCAAACTCACACTGATCCATCATCTCTATATCATAGTCTAAAGGGATAAGTTTAAAATGCAAATACGTACCTCCAAATGCAAGTATTGAAGGGTCGACATGACAGCCAATGCTGCAAGCGGCGGTTTTGTAATGCCATTATTTTGGAGCATCAGCCGCTGCACCACCAGCAATCCCGTGAAGCTATTCCCATCCAAGCTATCAGCAAGCTGATTATTGCTCAGATCGAGATAAATTAGAGAATTCATGACAGGCCAGGTGTTTGGCGGTATAGAGGATATATTATTGTTGCCCAAGTACAGCTCATTTAGCGAAATGGGCAATTGGAATAGAGATTGCAGTTGATTGTTGTTTAAATACAGCTGTCGCAAGCTGGTTAACTTGGCCAAGGAGCCGCGCACAATATTGGTCAGTAGATTGTGACTTAGATTCATTTCAAGTAGAGTTGGCAAAGTTCCGAACGTAGAGGATTTTATTTCTTGCATGCTGTTGTGACTCAAATCTACAGAGCGAAGAGAGAATAATGTTTGGAACACGCCGTTGAATATAAACGAAATATTGTTATGCGAGACATCGATGGTATGGAGTTCGTAAAGCTTGGGAAAACTGTTCTTGGGGATCTCTGCAATCTGGTTGTGGGATGCGTTGAGCACACGAAGTCCGGTCATATTTTGTATTGGTATCTGAAATGAAAAGGTAGGCCCTGAATTAAATATATAATCATGCCGAGTTTTATACTAACATGAGCCAGATTTGTAAGTTCGTTGTAACTCAGTTGAAATTCGGAGGCGAAGGTTGTTTCATCGAAGCTGCGACGAGAAAAATTTGCCAAACGATTGTGTGATAAGTCGAGCACTGTTATATTGACGCAGTTCTCAAAAGCTGCACTTTCAATTAACTCCAAGGCATTGTGAGAAACATTGATAACGGCTTGGTAAATATCTTTAAACGAATTCTTTTCGATTTTCGAAATGTTGTTTTCAGCTAGATCTATTAGCTATATAAAAGATGATTTATTTAGACTCATTTATGGCTCAAAGAAAATGCGAAACATTACCTCAACATAGTTCATTTGCGTAAACATTTGATATTCAACTTTCTTCAATTTATTTCGCGCCAAGTCTATTGTTCCAATTCGTGCCACAGAGCCAAATGTTCCACGGCCCACGTCCGAAATGCCGTTGTCACTTAGAAAGAGCCGACGCAAAAATCGCATGCCGCGAAAGCTATTACCATCCAAGCGTGTTATATTGTTGTGGGACAGATTAAGTAGCTTAAGAACTGAATTTCTTGCAAAAGTGCCTGACAATGAATTTTAGCTTTGAATGATTACTAACTCCAAGAAGAAACCCAAAGGCTTACCACGACTTAGCTCCTTTAAAGCATTGTGTGATGCATTGAACCATCCGAGTTTTGTGAGATCAGCAATGTGTTGCGCCTCCAACTTGATGATTTTGTTATGGCTTATGTCCAAAACCTCCAATTCACGTAAATTTTTGAACTGACTGCGCTTTAAATTCTCCAACTTGTTGCCATGCAGGTCCAGGGTTTTCAATTTGCGTAGGGGCTGGAATGTTTCCACAGGCAAATCGCTCAAGCGTCCATTGATAATTCGTATAACTTCGAGTTTATTGGCTATATCTTGTCCCACAAAGAGATCTTTCGGTAGTTTCTCGAAGGCATGGCCATCAATCACCAACTGACTAGCATGTCCCAAAATCTATCAAATTATTAATTCGAGATCGTGGGTATCCAAAAATATGTACATAAACTACTTACGCCAAAGGCTAGCTTTCCAACTTGGCTGAGATTAGTATGAAGCAAGTGCAACTGCTCCAATGTGTTATTTGTGCCATAAAAGACATAGTCCTCAATGGTGGCAAGAGGTGTTTCTTCAATTTTCAGTAAACGCACTTTCAGCTTTGCAAAAAGCGGCCCAAAAAGTCTTACTGGAAATTGTAATTGATTTATTTACCCATTCCTATGGTTATTTTTTAAAGAATAACATACCAAAATGACCTTTATAAATGGTCAACTCTTCCACAGGTACTTCGAGCGAGGCCAAGTTTTGCAGGGCCACGGATAGCGTAGCCAAATTTGTATTTTCACAGCGTACATAAAGACCATTATCGCTGCCTTTTAGGCAAACACATGGATACAAGACTTTGGGCCTTAAAATTATGATAAATAAATTTGGTCTAAATTAAAATGACGTAATACCTACTTCTTTGGGCATTTATATTCGGGCTCTCCATAAACATATTCGCTACCAACCAAAGCCAAGAATTGTAGCAGTATGAGTGTGCGCAGGCGTAGCTTAATCATGATTCGCAGCTGATTGCCATTTCCAACTGAAGTTTGTTGCTTAAGTCTTTCGTTTAGGCCAAAGCAGCTCTCTACTTCTTAAGCATAATTAACTCTATAAAAATGCAATATTGCTTATCAAATTTGCACAGCTCGTAATCGATTTGATTTCACACTTTTACTTTTCTCCACTGCTTTGCTCGTGAAACAGGTCTACTGTTTTTCTTTGTGCTCGGGTACTACTACTATCATAATAAATACAAGTGCAGTGCACCTACTTTTTGTTTTTTATTATCTCTGACTACCAGTATAAAGTAAACGAAATGATGTAAAACAACCACAGCATTGTGTGCACAATTTAATAAATAACCTTTTAATGTTCAAATTAAAAATGTTACTAAATACGCTCACAACAATATCACGCACAATCATCTACTTATTCCTACTTCGATACTTAAAGCAAGTTAGCAGCGCCATCGATGTCCACTTAAAAAGAGTGGCAGCTCTGCGAGTAGACATTTTGACAGCTCGTTTAGTGCGAAGTGGGAAATCAGCGCGTAAATTGTAAAGTTATTTACCGAATATTCTCGATTCCTTTGTAAAGTTAAAAGTACGTCATAAGTAGTAAGTAGACACAATATCGGTTGACACAATTTTCAATCTGTAGTGCGCGCAAATTTGGTGCATTTCGATTTGAAAAAGTGGGCATTGTTCATGCTTATTTCTTTGGTGACCGGGAGAAATACTGACTTCGCCCGATTTAGCCGCCATCGCTTGAATAGCCAATAGCAGCGCGTGTTACGCACACAAGCAAGCGTTTCAACTAAAAATTCGTATACATACACGTCTGTTTGTGCACGTATTAATGCTGAGGGAGAATGCGAGTTATTTGCTGTTGGCAGTTTGTTGCGCGGCAAATTGTGCCTTTTCCGCTATCTCCTGCGACCACATGACTAATTAATTGTACAATTACTTATCTCTTTTAAGTTAATTTAGAATCAACATGAGCTACGCTGCAGATGTATTAAATGCTGCTCATCTAGAACTGCACGGCGGTGGCGAAGCGGAGCTACGCCGCCCTTTTGACCCTACCGCCCACGATTTGGACGCCTCCTTCCGCCTGACACGTTTCGCTGATTTGAAAGGACGCGGCTGCAAGGTTCCACAAGATGTGCTCTCGAAGCTTGTCTCGGCATTGCAACAAGACTATTCTGCCCAAGATCAAGAGGCGCAATTCCTGAACGTGGCCATACCGCGCATTGGAATTGGACTCGACTGTGCTGTTATTCCGTTACGCCATGGCGGCTTGTGCCTGGTTCAGACCACCGATTTCTTTTACCCTATCGTTGACGATCCCTACATGATGGGAAAAATTGCCTGCGCCAATGTGCTGAGCGATCTATACGCCATGGGCGTAACCGATTGCGACAACATGCTAATGCTGCTGGCTGTTAGCACTAAGATGACGGAGAAGGAGCGTGACGTTGTGATTCCACTAATCATGCGGGGTTTCAAGGATTCAGCCCTAGATGCCGGCACCACTGTGACAGGCGGCCAGAGTGTTGTTAATCCCTGGTGCACTATTGGCGGCGTCGCATCAACCATTTGTCAGCCCAACGAGTATATTGTGCCCGACAACGCGGTGGTGGGAGATGTTCTGGTCCTCACCAAGCCTCTGGGCACCCAAGTTGCCGTAAATGCACATCAATGGATTGATCAGCCAGAACGCTGGAACCGCATCAAACTGGTCGTCTCCGAAGAGGATGTGCGTAAGGCCTACCATCGCGCTATGAATTCAATGTCGCGGCTCAATCGCATAGCCGCGCGCCTCATGCATAAGTATAATGCGCACGGAGCAACCGATATAACAGGCTTTGGTCTCTTGGGTCATGCTCAAACGCTGGCTGCTCATCAGAAGAAGGACGTTTCCTTTGTAATACATAATCTGCCAGTAATTGCCAAAATGGCAGCAGTGGCCAAGGCGTGTGGCAACATGTTCCAACTCCTCCAAGGCCATTCTGCAGAGACATCTGGTGGTTTGCTCATTTGCTTGCCGCGCGAACAGGCTGCCGCCTACTGTAAGGACATTGAGAAGCAGGAAGGCTATCAGGCCTGGATTATTGGCATTGTCGAAAAGGGCAACAAAACGGCTCGCATTATTGATAAGCCTCGCGTCATCGAGGTACCTGCTAAGGATTAATTTCTCAGTTTTCTTTAAGCACAATAATTTTAATTACCAGGTTCTCAGTTTTAAAACGCATACAACATTACTTTAAGTGAAATCAATTGTTCGTTTTACCATCAAAATTTAGTAACTTTAACGAAACCCCCTTACAACACACTTGTAATTGCGACAGTTACACAATAAACTTGAATGATTTGAAATACTTGTCTCCCAAGTAAAATAAAGAATCGCATTTTCATTAAACAGAAACAATTCCTTCTATTTGTTCTTTGTGGGTCAAACCCTTACCTTCGTTTGCTACCTTACTCAAATTTTCTGTTCATTCATTTTCCATCGTTTACTAACCGCAAGGCAGTCCTTTATGCAGGCCAATAAATTATTATTTTCCTCTAATCCTATATCTAGTATGTATGTAGATGCTCAGCTTTCGGTTTTTTTTTTTGCTTAAGCCAGCTTTCTCCGGGGTATGTCTCGCCCTCACTAATGTCCTTGGAATAAAGACTGAATGACTCAATGTAAAATAAGTAAAACATGAGTTCTAATGTGAGTGGACTCAAAAGTAATTCAATTTTGTTTATAATTACATGACAGTTATTTCTTCTGGCAGTTCTTTTTATGTTATTTTGCAAATAATATTTTTGATACCTTTTTTTATAAGTTTTAAGTTGAAGAACGAAAACCGAGCTGTCCTTGTAATTCCGATTAAGAACTACACAATGCATAATGAACCTTTTTTACAATCAGAATGAAATTGATTTGAAAACGGGAACAGAAACAGGCCTTATTAACAAGCAAAGCGAAAAGTCAAAGCTTTTGGCTCAGCAAAAGCTTTACGCGCTCGAGAGTTGCTGAGAAATGATCTTCTCGGTGGCGGCGGCGAGTGATGCTCATTAAGTTGAGTAAACGTGAACAGGTCTGTCCGAGGCAAGTGCGAAATTTAAGACTCAGTACAGCACAAACCATCGACGCGTACGCGCCTAGAGAAGTGTTTCGAAACCGGCCAATCGTTCCGTTAGACTTTTAAGGAACGTACACAACTAACACACACACTCCCATACGAGAATATCGAAAAACACGCGCCCGCGCACACCACCGTAACAATTTTCTTTGCTTGAACTTAAATCAACAACAACAACACGAAAGTCTGCGCCAATCATTTGGGGTTTTGGAAAAGTGCAAAGTGAGTGTGAGTAGTAAATGAATGGGGCTGTGCGTGTGTGTGTGTGTGCCTGTCTGTATGTATCTATCTATGTATCTATTGAACTGGCAGACGAGCTTAAAAAACTGGTGACAGCGACAAAGCACATCACACAAATACACACAAACTAGTTTGCCATACTTTGTATGTTTGCATGTGTGCTTAGAAAATTAAACTGGCAGCAAAGTGAAATTTAAATTGCGTACATGCATTTACAAGCGTACATATACACATATGTACATATATATAGATATGTACATATGTATTTACATTGCATTGCATCCGTATCCTCAACGACGCCTTCGATCCAACAGTACGACGAATGATTCATTATTTATATGTGGCGGCGCACTCGATTTTATTTTTTAACCAAGAGCAGCGCTGTTTTTCAATTGAAAGCCAAATGAACAGAGCAGTGGCAGTGAACTATTTATAGAATTATTTGTTTTCATATACCGAAAAAATTGCTCAGCAAAAGGCGAAAAAGTCAAAGACGAACGCGACCCTGCCGTTCGTTTAAAATACGCTTCAAAACATTCATTCTATTGTATGTATGTACATATCTATAGTACATACATAGAATTTAAATTAAATTAGCCAAGTTCAAATGTACAGCATATACATAGATATATGTATGTATATACCTTCATAAATATGTATTTAGATTGTTTATGCTGCCGTCTAGATTGAAAACTATGCGCTCTTCAGGCCCTACAGCCATGCTGCTCCTCCATTAGTTGCGTAGGCGGCAGAGGCGTCGGCGTCATCAGCAACTGAAATTGGCAACTCAGCGTTAGAACAAGCACATAAATACAAAGATACATACCAATACAAATACACATGGATACGCTTTTCGCCTACGCTTCGATTTGATTTTCGGAAATTTCGTGATGCTTGCTGCTATTCCGACCGACGACAATAACAACCAACACCTTCGCTTTTCTGTTTTCTGTTTTCGGCCATTTTAAACTTGTTCATTTGCTTGCTTGCGGCTCGACGTTATTATTTGTTTATTTTATATGCATTTTTGTACATGGATTGCGAGTTGTTGTTTTTTTGCGAGTGTCAGCCTCCTCGACCACGCCTACTCCTCCAATGCCAGCCACCAGCAGCAAGTTCCTTACTGTTTTGAAGCGTACGGCTGCGACTGCTCGTTCCGATTATATGAGATCATTTTCAGTATTTTGTATAAAATTTATGCAAAAACAAAACTCACACAACGACGAGGTGATTACTCTAGTCTGCTCTCAGTCTTTCGTTGTATGTGTTTCTGTTTTGTTGTTGTCGCAAGTCGTTTGAAAAAGCAAAAATAATTCATTTGATAGAAACGTGCTCGCGCAGGTCTCAGACGCCAATTAGATTTTGACTTTTGTTTGTTTTATGATTTCTCGTATACACATGTATGTATTTACGTATTTAGTATGCTTACGTGATAGTTTTTATTAGCTTAACTCCTCTGACCATATGTTCAAAACTATGTATTATTGTGCGCCATTCAAGAAACTAATTTTGTAGCGCCCCAGGGCCCTTTATTATCACATTTAGATCGCCATTATAGCCAGTACTTGAGCTTGTGCATTATTCAATTTATAACACATTTATCCATCTTTCTGAAAGTTCCACACAATTCAGTTATTGTAGTTGCTTGCTGTGGCATCGATGACATCATCATTTAATCATTGGCCGTCATCCTTGCCTGGTTTGCTTGCTTCGGGAATTTTGCATCATAAGCTTTATACACAAAGTCATTCATTCAACAAAATCTCTCTCAAGGTTATCGTATATGTACATCAAGATCAAGAAGTCAGCCACAGCAAGTTTTTAAGCTACATAAAAAAACACAAACAATACACTTGTGCACACATATACATATATGCATGCATAAAAGGAGTTAAGGACGCTTTAAAAGTGAAAACCAGTTTGCCTTCGCACATATTTTAAAAAAACGTGTGCTCTGCCAGTCTGTCCTTACAGCACTGGTGAACACAAAATTGATCCGAGCACAATACAAGTACATATATGTACATACATAATTTCAAAATTTGTTACTGTACATTTTGGGGACCACCAAATATTTATTTTTTTGCAACATCGATAATATTTTTCGTAAATATTTCCAAATACGATAGATGGTCTTAAAAGGTCAATCCGTTACTTTTTCGATTCCCCATAATTAAAAATATTCGCGTGTGCAACTTTTTCACAGATTTTGTGAAAATTGAAAAATGATAAATTTTGATCGCATTCAAAATACGAGAAATACCATGCTGGTTTTGAAAGCACCACATTCAGGCCAATTCCCATTTTGATTGAAAAATTCGTGTTTTTACATGTTTATATTTAGTTTTTAAATGGGATGTACACCAAATAACGTTTTTGCTTTTTAGCAGAAAAGTATATTTTAGTACAGAATTATTATTAATTTTAATTGAATAACATTTATTTATGACATACTTCTCATAAAATTCGACAAATTTGTTTGCACATTTTTTGTCTGTCTGGCCATAACTTTGGCAAACAAATAACAGTATTGTTGCGGGAATTTATTTTCATTCGCATATAGGAATTAAGTTCAATAAACTCTGTGGACTTATAAAAAGTTTTGCAATTTATTGGACTTTTTAAATCATTATGATCCTTTATACCAGATCTATATATACACTTATTTATGTTCAGCAGCGTGAGTATCATAATCTTTTTGGATTAGGTCAGAGATTTTCAAGTGATTGGCGAATGATGCCCACTCAAAACTAATCCGCCATAAAGTGGCACTTCAGAATGCGATTGTTTTGAAAATCACGCTCCATATTCGTACATATTGCTCATACATCAAAAATGTTCGTAGGTGTCCGTAAATGTGTTTGCATATTTAAAATTCTTATGAACTCAGAACGCGCTAAAATCAAGCTGTGATACACCTACGTGCCGACTCATTTAATTTTCAACATTTTCTCAATATGTAATTTGATGTTGTAATAGCAAAAACAATACAACAACAACAAAATGCAGTACACTACCGGCACGGAGAATTATTCAACCAGTTCGCGGGACCCGAACTCGAAATGGGGTGGCCGCGTAAGTAAAACGGAGCTAAGCATTGGGATTGTGTGGAAATTTTAATGAGTTATCAAATTTGCAGAACGATAAGGGTTATTCATATAAGAAGTCTTCATACCAATACTCAAGCTCCGGCGACAATAATGTCTCCTATCAGAGCAAATCGTCAGATCAGAACATTGATCAGTTGGATGCATTGCTGGAGGATTTGAAGAACGAGCGCCAGATTAGCACCAGGGAGCGCGATCTTCTCCCAACCAGCAACAACTATAAAACACTGTGAGCCAATAATGAAATGGAAATAGGAAGATTATATTTACATTTATACTTTTATAGTGAACGGAGCGACCCAGCGGGCACGGTGATAAAGACAACCCGTGTAATTAAGACCACTAAGCACGCTGGCGGGCAGGCGCCTCTGACCGATGACATCGAGACTTTCAATACAACAGACTATAGCACTCTCAAGTCGTCTAAGTACTCAAGCTTTCAGGATAACCTAAAACGTGACGAGTACCAGAGTACTCTCGAGAAGCCGTATTCCCTAGGTATGTATAAATTCCTTACTGTTTTGAAGCTAAATCGAATACGGTTTCCTTTATCACCATTACAGCCCACTCGCCAAGTGGCGGCGGTCATTACGAGAGCAAAACGAAGATTTATGAGAGCAATCGTACGCTGAACAACGCTGAGCTAGTTCCGAATGGCGGCACCACCAGCAAAACCGTGACAACCACATCCAACATTGATAGGGAGCTGCAGGATATTGCATTAAGCGATGGCATTTTGCCTGCCCCCGGCACTAAGGTGACCACCACCGTTCGCACCTATACCTATGAGATACCGGCCACAGGACCTGGAAGCACCACAAACACCATTAACCGCAACAACACCAACGCCATTAGCAGCTACCAGCACCACGAATCGCTCAATTCGAGCCAAAATTATACGCAATCGCCGCCAAATCCACTCCCACATCCACATCCGCATGTGCCACAAACAGTGGTTTACAACACGGAGAGCTACTCCACGCTCAACAGGCCAAATGATCGCCCAGTGGTGACCAACCAGTCGTATGAGATACGGGAGCACAAGGAGACTACCAATACGCTGCACAATAGTGGCGGTGTTGGAGGCCCACAATCGCGCCAATTGCCACTGACACCGGCTGTAAGTCCAAACAGTCCCCCAGGAACTAATCGCACTATTGTCTACAACATACATAAGACCGACAATGTTCACACCGTAAATGAGCTTCCGCCTCCGCAACGCTATCCGCACAGTCCGGCCCACAGCCCCAATCCCAATTATGGCGGACCGAACAGTCCACCGTTGCAGAATATCCCCCCCGGAGGCACAACAAACCGCTATTTCTACAAGGAAACATCGAACACCGTGAATACCATACATGGCCCACCGAATGGCGGCATTCCTTACGAGACCACACCACTGGCTCCGATAAAGCAGGCGCCTAATACGGCCTATCCACAGCAGCCACCTACTGGCAATGGATATCCACCACAAGGCGATGGCTATCCACCAAATACCACCAGCTATACGTATAAATACTCTTCATCCACAAATACAAACAACCGCCGCGGTCCCGGTCCGGACTATGGCACGCCTTCGCCTTTCCCAGTCGACGGAGTTGAATATCCTGTGGCGAATGGAAACCCTCCACAGCGTGTCGACGATTTAATGCAATCATTCGGCACTGTAAGTTCATTGAAATTATGGTCAGACTGGCAAATAATTTGCACACAAATGTTATTCATTTAAATCGACTACTGTTAAAATGTCACTAATTTGTGTGCAAATTATTTTCATAAGTGATAGATAAAGAGATATACATACATAAATAACTCGATATATTCCACTAACCAATAAAAAATGAAATTAATTATAGACGGACCACGTGGATCGTGTTGACATCGAGACGCCTCATCGCAAGCGAGAAATTGAAACCGCAGTGGCTTCGCCTAATCAGCAGCATGTTCCATCAGTCAATAAGGCTGGTAAGGAAGTATACTATCCACCTGGTCATGACACAATCACATTGAAGCGCGAGGAGATGCACGCAGGTTCTGCACAGGGCGTGAGTAAAATGCATCTATTTTCTTATAATAACGTTTATTGATCGGGTTTTATATTTTTGTTTTTATAGGGTCGCTGGGCCAAGGGTTCGGGAATGTACGAGTACGAGTCTGGCTATAAGTCAAAGACGAAAACCAAGTCTGGAGGTGCCATGGTGCCAGTCTGTCTGCCACTATGCTGTGCCATGCCGTGCTCCATTATGTAATATGCGCGTACGTGGTACAACGGATTATCGTATTGTATCGAATGTAATGTATATAGGTTTCTAATTTGTATTGCCGTTAATAGGTCTAACGCTAAATCCTGCCCCTTCGTAACGCTTGTCTTTGATGTGTCTTTGTATTTTTTCCAAACTAAAATTGGGTTTGCGCTCTGTAAATTCCCCAATAATTTGAGAATGGGCGTTATTTGGAGGATTTCTTTAGTTTTTTTCATTGTTATAATTTGTTGCAAAAATTGTGTTGTATCGTATATCTTATCTACTTATGCTATGTATGTGTATATAATGTATTTAGGCACTTTAAAATTGACTTTTTAATAGATTGGTTTGCTCAAAAGTTGTGCTCAGTTTCAAAGCCCTCGAAAGCATTTACCCCAAACACAGACCCAGTGAAAATCCGTATAGCATATAGATAAGTTTCACCATTTTATATATTTTAAAATCGACTTGTTTTAACTGATGTTTTGTGTACCAAACTAATAAATGAGCCACGGAATCATATTCCCAATCTCTATGTCTACCCAGTTGGATATTACATATTACTAATCAGCGGATAATTAGTTATATCCGCCACTTACGCAGCCATAAATATTTTCTAACATGATAATTGAAAAGTATGTAATAATAATAAAAACGAAAGCTAACAAACGATATATATATATATGCTATGTGTTTTAGTTTCTTTCTTTGCCAAACAAGAAAAATAAGTTTCGGTAAAACTTTATTTTCAAATATTAAAATTTTATAAGTTTTTCTTGTAATTTGTCTTGTATAGAAAGTGCGAGAAAGGTTTGTCTATTATACAAATTTTCCCTTTGTTTTTTTACCATGTCTTTTATCGAATAACATCTTTATATCACAAAAGTAATATCTACATTTCACCTTTTAGGGATTGGTGTAGAACTTTTTTTTAAAGTTAAAACTATTGCGAATAATATAGTTCGACAAAAAATAAAAAATAAATAACAAAATGGAGAGTATTACTAACGATATTTCGAGTTAAATTATTGAGTTATTAGTAGTATATAGTATATAGCTATATGAGTATATATACTGGACATACTACATATACAACTAATATTTCTATAGATTCTAGAAATAATATTTTGTTCATGTCTTTACGGTATGCTAGTCTGAAAAAGAGAGACTACGATTCGAGAAAGTAATGTTGTCTTTTGTACATACTTAGTTTTAGAAAGAGAGAAGAGAGACTTGAATATGACTTTGTCTTAATAGAATTATTTCTTGGTTATGTTTCCATTCCCGTCTAACTTTTTTGTTCAGAGTTCTTTAGCTCGGCTAAATACCATGTGAATGTCGGAAACTCCTTGATGCTGTAGACTTCATATTTTATAGAGTTGATGCCATCCATTTCAATTTTACTTATACCATTCTGTAGGTTTTCGTATCTGTAAAAAGGGTCGACTTATATTTACGTAAGACTAATTGAAAATCTCATACCTTTTCGGATTTGCCTTTTCTTTTTGATGCTTCAGCATCATATAGCGCGCTATATTTATCGGATAACGTGATATGAATAGATTGGCATGCTTCAACCTAAAAATGAAGATTTGAGAATCATTTTCTGTAGGCACATTAAGAACTAAATATATATATAATACCTATTAGACATGTCATCATCTTCACCACCCCAGCCAAAAAACGAGTTCGAAAATCCATTGACAGCTTGAAAATGCTGGCGGGTCATAGCAGATACACCGCCAAATATTGAACGATAAGGCAACCTATAAGATGCCGAAAATCAATATTTCGGTTTACCAGTTAAAGCACTGGAAGGGACTTACTTGAATTTCAGCGTATCGATTGCAACGGACATATGCCGCGGCTGACGTGGACAATTGTACAAGTTACGATCATCCAGGGGCAGGAGATCGACATCGTGGAATATAAAACAATCCCACTGGTAAAGCTTTAAGGCCTCGAGGTAACCGATATTCATCATTGCTGCACGATTAAAGGGTTTTCCATTTGTTTGCTCCACTATAAATATGCGATAGGCAATCCGTTGTTTCATAAGGAAGGGATGTATATTCCGTATAAAGGTTGACAAGTGTGCGTAGCGGTCTCGGAAGGGTACCACAATAGCAACATGATCTTTAGGAATGCAGTCATCGGGTTGGTATGCACCGCCTGGACGCAGCAGAGGACCCAGTTCTGCCTCTATGATGTCGAGGGATTCAAGGGTTGTGTTTGGCCTTATAGGTCCTCCTGTGAATAGCAGCAATATAAACTAACAAACCATGAACATTGCATTGTATTCGATTTATACATACCATTTAAAGGATCAGGTTCTGTACATGTGATATTAAGGGCAGATATATTTTGAGGCGTTATCGTCGTCGGCTTGTGCGTGATATTGGTATAATCTTTTGGGTGCGTCTGCGAAAAGTCTTGTGAAATGGAAGTCAAATTGGCAATCACAGTCGTTGAGGTTGAGTTTATGGCGCTAGGTAATTCTCGCTCTTTATGTAGGGCCATGGGAGCAGAGGGCAGCCCGCCGCTGCTGCCGCTTGTATTGTAGATGTGCTCATATTTGTGCACTCTTCGAATGCTGAAAATTATTACCACTAGTCAGCCCTCGCTATTTACCACGCTTAATTTAACTCACCTTAACTTGCTTAAAGACGTGCTAGAAGCGCCGTCAGATCTGAAGCCCGCAAAGTTAAGCACCAACAGCAGACATATTGCGGCGACCAGGAAGCGTAGTAAAGTCTCCTTCGTGAAAAACGTCATGGCCCTTTGATTGCATTATTCATTATTTGAGCTTTTTGCTATTCAAATAGCATTTGAACCCAATTTTATGGTTTTTATTCTAAAATGTGTATTATTAAGAAATTACAGTGGTTGGGCTTACAACTAGGCTGCCACCCTGCGGAAAGCAGCTGATTTATTGTGTTTGCTATAACAACAGGGCGACTCAAGCAGACCGTTCTACTACTAATGTAATTTTAAACTAACGATGTAGTTTGAAAACAAGAATGTACATGTCATAACCGGCATTCAAAATGGACTTAGCTCATATTATTTACATAACAATTGTAATTTGAAGCTAACGAGATAATTTATGTCTCGATTTTTTACAATTATCTTTTTTTTAAATACCTAAAAATGCGTTTGCTAGCAATAAATTAAAATATTTTACCCAATATGTACTTCAAAACGGTTCAATTTCAGCTATATAACCCGTATCCACATACGATAAATAACATTTGCATTCTTTTAAAACATGTTATTTAGCTGGCGCATGAACTCTGACACAACAAACTTTTTTGGAAGTAACTTTTTCAAAGCCTATTGTTGTGATGTCACTAATTTATTTTTGCCAATTATTTTCATGAGTGATAGATAACGAGATATCAACGGATTGCCGGTATATAATATATAAAAGAATTTTATATTGAAAACCGCGGTGGCTTCGCCTAATCAGAAGTTTCAAAGCCTTTATCCCAAATGTACACATGTACATACATACACATGTAGATGGGTTCCACCATTTTATACATATATTTTAAAATAGATTTATTTTTACAAAAAATGTGTGTAAGGAACTAAAAAATGCGCTACGGAATTATATTTCCAATCTCTATGTCTACCAAGCTGGATATTACATACATATTTCAAAGTCGGAGAACACGACCTTAGGTTCTCCACTTATTATAATCGCCACTTACGCGCAGCCATAAATTAACATTAATATTTTATAAGTTTTACGTGTTATTTGTTTTGTATAGAAAATGGGAGAAAGGGTTGTCTATTATACAAATTTTATTGCGTGATCTTTGTTGTATCCAAAATAGTTTTTATAAATATTGTAAATTTGTCCAGCTTAAACTAAGTGAATGGATAATTTAAACAACGTAGCATTGTACAGATCCAATACCAAACAATGGGCCAATAGTGCAATTAGCTCCTGGAAATGGGTTTGCACAGCGAGTTTGGCTGTTCTGAATAACAAAATATAAAAACATAACTGATGATTTCTACTAAAAGAAAAGGATCACGGCAACTTTAATGCCTCGTTGTCCTTTATATTGACCACATTAAATTGATTATTATAGGTGTATTCTATGCGCAATATTTTGTCATCTCCGATACTCGGATCGTAAAAACCTGGTAAATCACTCTGTAATATCAAAAATATGTGGTAAATTAAAAATATGATTATAAATAATGAACTAACCTTTGATGACTCATACAGCTGCAATTTACTATCCTTGACTAGACACTGTAAAGGAACTGTGACATCGTAAGACTCATCGGGATTGAATTGTGTACTACTGCCAGCATTCACACATCCATATATCGCCCTTGTAATAATAAGACCCCTCCGTTCCAACTCTTCGTTCATGATGCGTTGGTAGGTGCGCTGCATTAAATGAATTGCCGCGCTAGCCTCGAGTTTTTTAGCGGCGAGACGCTGCTCGTTTTGTCTTTTTGTGCGTTCAACTTCTATACTTTTCCGCTCTGCTTCCATAGGATCCATTATAGCTTTTTTTACAAAAAACCACGCAATTACTGGCGTCACAGAAGCGTAGAAAACTGCAGCTGGCACTATTTCCTCGCTCAGATGAATGGGGAACACATACGATTGATTTGAACGTATTATTCTGCAATAAATAATACGTTCATAAATTTATACCCATTAGGTAATACACAATCGAACACTTACTTAAATTTAAGTATGACTCCGGAAGGCACACCAATGGATACGGCCGCTAATACCGAACTGTATTTTGATACCTTTTTCTCTACACCATATTCACCCATAAATCCAAATGTGCCGGCTCTATATTGATTGATAGATATTACTGATTTGTAGTTGACATTTTTTTACCAGCTTACTTCACAGCCAACTTTAATTTTAGCTCGTTCTCCAGCATCTTGCGCGTATACGCAATGCCTACATACATGTGTGGCGTACCGATCACGAAGGATGTGTTCCATGCGTGGTTTTCGGTGGTGCGATCAATCTGTGTTGACATAGATGACTGGGGGCCTGCATTTAGAGTTAGGCTGCCCATTGTGTGCTTGTCCAGCTGCACGGCCAGCGTGGAAAACAGCGCAGGAATGACACCGCTGTCGCGAAAGTTTAAATTTGTGCCACCATTAAGCGTGAGCTTTGGACTGAGTGTTCGACCACCTAGGGAAACAAAGCTGTACAAATGAATACTATAACTTGACATTCAGATATAATAATGTTGCCTACCCTTCAGCCCCATCAGGAATCCATTTCCTGCTCCCAAACAAAGCTCCAGCCAACCTTTGTTCAATAGTCGGCGTCCGGCCACAACAAATCCACCACTTCCGGTACCATTAGAGGAGTATAGGTTACCACTCATCACGATCAGATCTTTACGCGTTATGGGCGCCTCAATTGACTGCGCAATGCTCATCGAGCCAATCTCTACACGCGGCATCTCAGTATCATCATAGGGGGCAAATATTTCCGTCGCATTGACGTTGATGGTTATGTTGCCACGCGGATTGGTGCGCTGCTGCAAGCGACGTTCGGCTGCCGCTTGAGCCAGGCGTTCGTACTCCTCCCTAATTTCTGCCGGAGTCTTTGTGCGATGTACTATTTCCCAGCCCTCAGTTTTAAGGCCTTTCTCACCCACAGAATCGTATATGGCGCGCTTATGTGGGTCTGAAAGAACCTCATAAGCCCGCTTGGTACGGTTAAACATAATCTCGGCCTTCTTTTTACTTTCCGGGTCAATGTGTTTATCCGGATGGTAAATGCGGCTTTGTTTACGGTACGCTGTATTGATCTGTTCAGTGGTGGCCTGCGTTGCGAAAAAAGCAATTATTTCTCATTGAAATAACCATAAAGTTATTCACTTACATCTCGCGGCAAATTGAGGAAGGTGTAATAGTTTTCTTCCAGCTCGGCGTCAGAATCGTTTTCCGATGCCATGACGTTGCAGATCTAAATACTTATGGGCAGAAAATAAATGGGATGGTCTCAGGGAGCGGCAGCACATCAGCTAAGACAGCAGCCACCTTACCGGTGCTTTATGTATGATTTAATTTGGTTGAAAATTTTGAAACAAATTCTGTACTTTACGCAATAATAACAACACGTGTGACGTTCGGGGAAAATTATCACACAGGGTGACTCTATCGCAATAAATTAAATAGTAAGGAGAATTATAGAGAAGGAACCTTAGTCATATATAATACATCAATCATAATTTGTATACAAAAATATGTGCTTGCGTATATTTCATAGAAAATCGCAGAGAATACCAAATTAAAATTATTTTAAAAACACATTCAACGCATCGCCAACGCCGCCACATCGGAGTGGCAACGCTGCACGTACCAACTACTTCAGTGTTTCTTTCATCTCCATCGTTTGTGAAACGTGCTCTGTCGTTCTGACGAAATCTTGTTACGAGAGCGGTATTACTGCTGCTGTTTTACTTAAAAATCAGTGTCCCGTGTAAAATTAAAAAGTAAAAACAAGAATGTTGCGCGTACCAAAGTTTTTGCCTCGCCTTGCACGCCACGCCGCTGTTGCTCCAGCGAATTATTCGGCAGTTTCTAGCATATTCCGCAACGTAAGTACACTTCGCTTGTCCCGCCTATTGTCTAAATGCCGCTACCGCATGAGCTTTACATAATAGACCACAAGGCGCTTTCTTTACCTTAGTTGCAGCCATGTTCTTGTCTTTCCAGCGCAAAAACTAACTATAAGTGCTACATTTTCTTTATTTACAGAATCTACCTGCTGCTGGCAATGGGTTATCTGGTCAACTGCGTTATAAGTAAGTGAACTTTAATTATTCACATATGTATATAGTACATACATACGTACATATTTATATCAGATCTTGCCTTCCACGGTGCCTAATTTAATGGCAACCGGAGGCATTGAGCTTATGTAATTAATGATTATCCCCACAGGTGTAGATATTTAAAATTTTACTGTATCTTTAATAATGTTGCATCATTTAACCATATGCTTCACACAATTAACTGAAAAAAAATTATCCTGATAAGAAGACTGAATGTTAGCGACCAATTAACGGGTGCCAATATTGATAATGCAGACTTTATTCTTATCTCAACAAGCTTGTCATTTGTTCAGTGGTGCATTGCCTTTGACCTTACGTACGAGATTGCTTACGATCTCAGATTGCTAATGAAACGTGTATTACATTTTTCAGATCGGGTGAGGTTAAAGGCGCTGTTATCGGTATTGATTTGGGTACAACCAATTCCTGTCTCGCTGTAATGGAAGGCAAGCAGGCTAAGGTCATTGAAAATGCGGAGGGTGCGCGTACTACACCCTCTCACGTGGCTTTTTCTAAGGATGGTGAACGTTTGGTTGGCATGCCAGCTAAGCGCCAGGCAGTTACCAATTCGGCCAACACCTTCTATGCCACAAAACGTTTAATCGGCAGAAGATTCGACGATCCGGAGGTGAAGAAGGACATCACAAATTTGTCATACAAAGTTGTTAAGGCATCAAACGGCGACGCTTGGGTTTCGTCTACCGATGGCAAAGTATACTCTCCCTCTCAGATCGGAGCTTTTATATTGATGAAAATGAAGGAAACGGCTGAGGCGTATCTTAATACGCCCGTTAAGAACGCAGTAGTGACTGTGCCTGCTTACTTCAACGATTCACAACGACAGGCAACAAAGGATGCTGGTCAAATTGCTGGTTTGAATGTGTTGCGTGTTATTAATGAACCCACAGCGGCGGCGTTGGCCTATGGTATGGATAAAACCGAGGACAAAATGTGAGTACGAGAACGATAAGTTAAGATATATTTTGGTATATTGTTATATTGCATTTCTAGTATTGCGGTATACGATTTGGGAGGCGGTACTTTTGATATTTCGATTCTGGAAATCCAGAAGGGCGTTTTTGAAGTGAAGTCGACCAACGGCGATACACTATTAGGTGGTGAGGACTTTGATAATGCAATTGTGAACTTCCTGGTCGCCGAGTTCAAGAAAGATAGTGGCATTGATATTCGCAAAGACAACATTGCTATGCAGCGTTTGAAGGAGGCTGCCGAAAAGGCCAAGTGCGAGCTATCCTCTTCCCAACAGACCGATATTAATCTACCATATCTAACAATGGATGCTGCTGGACCACAGCATATGAATCTGAAAATGACACGCGCAAAGCTAGAAAGTCTTGTCGGCGACCTAATCAAGCGCACTATTCAGCCCTGTCAAAAAGCTTTATCAGATGCTGAAGTATCCAAATCTGATATTGGCGAAGTTTTGCTCGTCGGCGGTATGACCCGCATGCCAAAAGTGCAATCTACTGTGCAGGAGCTGTTTGGACGCCAGCCGTCCCGTTCGGTGAATCCCGATGAGGCTGTAGCTGTCGGTGCTGCTGTGCAGGGCGGTGTCCTTGCAGGCGATGTCACTGATGTGCTGCTGCTCGATGTTACACCTCTGTCTCTGGGTATTGAAACCCTTGGTGGCGTGTTCACAAGATTAATATCGCGTAACACCACCATTCCCACCAAAAAGTCGCAGGTGTTCTCGACAGCTAGTGATGGCCAGACTCAAGTCGAAATTAAAGTACATCAAGGTGAGCGTGAAATGGCTAACGATAACAAGCTTCTTGGAGCTTTCACATTGGTCGGCATCCCACCTGCGCCTCGCGGTGTTCCACAAATCGAAGTTGTCTTCGACATTGACGCGAACGGCATAGTCCATGTTTCGGCGAAGGATAAGGGCACCGGCAAGGAGCAACAGATTGTTATTCAGTCGAGTGGTGGCCTGAGCAAGGATGAAATTGAGAATATGATCAAGAAGGCTGAGGAATATGCTAGCGCTGATAAGAAGAAGCGTGAACTAATTGAACTTGTTAATCAGGGTGAAAGCATAGTTCACGATACTGAGACCAAAATGGAGGAATTCAAGAGCCAGTTGCCTGCCGAGGAGGTAAGAGATTGGATAAGGCAACCATATATTAACATTATTAATCCTAAATTTCATCGATAGTGTGACAAGTTGAAGAAGGAAATTGCTGACTTGCGCACATTGCTGGCCAACAAGGAGACCGCCGAGCCTGAGGAAGTTAGAAAGGCAACTACCCAATTGCAACAATCGTCTTTGAAGCTTTTCGAGATGGCGTACAAAAAGGTGAAAAACAGCCAGCTTGCATGATAAAAATGCCACAGCTAACTAAAATTTTAACTATAATTCATTCACAGATGTCCGCTGAGCGCGAGAGCAGCGGCAGCTCGAGTGGTGGAAGCAGTTCCAGCGATACTTCGGGCGAAGCTAAGAAGGAAGAGAAGAACTAAATTAGGCAACCATAGTCATAGTTGTTGTTTCCTTATTTAATAATAATCACATTTGGATTTCTATTAAGTTCTACGTTAAACAAAAACCACGTCATATTCCGTTTCCCAATATCATAAGCCACAGTCAGACAATAGCAAATGACGTATACCCAAAACAAAGTTTTAAAGAGAGTCAGCTGCGCAAATACGTCAGAGGTGTATAGAGTTTTAATTGTTTACTATGCCCCTACCGTTGTTAAACTGGCTCAGTATCTACCCATATGCTCATGTCGATGTGAGGGCTGAGAAAGTGCGATATGTAGTTTGTTGTGTTTCTAGTAAGATTTCACTTATTTTTACTTTACGTTTATTTTAAACTAGTTGTATTTGTACAATAACGAACTCAACACAAACACATAAGTGACCATTTTACACGCCGTTAAAAGACATGAACATTGTGAAGACGACGTCTAAATTTAAGTGAAATAGTTTTGGTTTCCAGTGGCTAACCAAATGACTGGGTAAAATGCAATTACATTTAACAGATCGATTTAAATTTTATTATACGAGAACAAATATTACATACATAAAAATATTTACAAACATGAAAAAATCGCTTCCTTTTCGTCACGATGCGCCCTTTATTGGTCTACCAATAAACACCATCCCGCAGTTTCATCCTATTGCGTGTGAAGTTATTTAATAAATAAACTTAAAAAATATAAGCCTTATCGAATACTAATTGGTAATTAGTCTAAAGGTAGGCTAGCTTGGCATTAGTTTTTGATCGAAATTCGTATGTAGAAAATAGATAGTTTACATGGCGCCAGTTTGCAATTTGTAGAGAGTATAATAGAGTCCTCTGTTACTTAAAAGCTCCTTGTGGGATCCACTCTCGCAGATAACGCCATTTTCAAACACGTAAATAATGTCTGAGTCCACAATGGTTGACAATCTGTGAGCTATGCTAATGGTTGTCCTACCCTCGGCTGCTGCATCCAAGGCATCTTGCACCACCTTAAAAAAGGGGCTTTAATTTGAGATAAAATAATAAACGTTTATACCAACCTTTTCACTCTCAGCATCTAGCGCAGATGTGGCTTCGTCCAGCAGCAATATTTTGGGATTGCGGATCAAGGCGCGTGCAATGGCAATACGCTGCTTTTGGCCACCAGACAGTTGTGCGCCCTTTTCGCCCATGCGCGTGTCATAGCCCTGAAAGGGTATACAGAAATGTATGATATAGAGTTTATACTGGGAAAGGGAGGACTATTTCATACGCACCAATGGCAACGCTGCTATAAATTCGTGTATATTTGATTTTTTAGCAGCTGCTATGATCTCCTGCTCCAAAACCATCCTGCCATTGTCGCCATACGCTATATTATCCCGTATAGTGCGATCGAATAGAATCGGCTCCTGCGAAACAATGCCAAGTTGCTTGCGCAGGTTGGACATGGATAGCTCACGCAAGTCCACGTCGTCGACGCTCACCGATCCCCCGTCGACGTCGTAGAAACGCTGCAACAATTGTATGCAGGTGGACTTGCCGCAGCCAGAGGGGCCGACTAGGGCCACTGTTTGGCCCGTAAGGACATTCATATTTAATTTATTTAAAACCGAGACCTCCTTGCGTGTGGGATATGAGAACTCGACTTCACGATATTGCACATTGCCATTTGAGTGCCATGGCTCGCGGGATACGCCGGGACTGTCCTGGATTTGTGGCACACGTTTCAGGAATTTGAAAATCGATTCCGCAGCCGAGATACCTTTCTGCATGTTTGGGGCGAAGGCCAGTGCGTTTGCAATCGAAGCGGTACCCATGATTAGCGCCTGGGATACTCTATAAATATTAAATAATGACTTTTAAATTGGTTGATCTACCTATGTATGTAATGTAGAAGTGAATGAACATGTGTTATCGTGAAAAGTCCTGTGAGTTTCGCAAACAAAGATATATCAGTTGAGAAAAATTTGTTTACCTTCAATAGCAGAATTAAGCATACTGACATATTCATTTCTAAAGGAATTGTATTTTATTTATTTGGGGGCCAAAAAATAACATTTTGATTAAATAACGAAGGATGAGTTAAAATAATAATTTATGCATATGATCAACAGAAAAATTTCAACAAATCCAACTCAAATAAATTGCAGGAACTCTGGTAAGTTATGCGAATTAATTTTGAATATCTATATTTAATATACAATTTAAAAAGTTAAGAAACAAATATTTACAACTATGACTATACAAAAACAGGAAATAAAACCATAAAATCCCCACCTCTTTCCCAAATACAGGCAATCTCATGAAATAAACTAGTGCTATACAAATCATTTTTATGTCAGATGTATATGATACAGTTAACCGATTTCATATCATAGAGGACTATACAAAACTTATACTAAATTCAAATTTTCTTAAGATTTGTCTTAATAGAAGCAAGAAGTTGTAAAATGTGAAAAAAGACCGGGGACTTCATAAAGGTGACAAATTGATAATTCGAATGAAGGCACAGTTCTATTCTCTAGAATGGCTAGGGCTTACTTGTACTTACTTGAAAACATCACCGATATCCGTACCTCGGTTAACAACACACCAACCGCCGTAGTACATGCACGTGGCGTATGCAAAGAACATTAGGGACCTCGCCAGACCGTAAACCACACCACGAGAATGAGTATTCCTTTTTGCCCTCTATATATATAGAGTAACATATCGTTTAGGACCAAAACATTTTTATATGGATTAAGGGACACTCACCTGAACCGCAGGATATAACATGCCAATGTAGGTGGAATGGAACATCTCCTCTCTACCCAGAGAGACAACAGTACGTATGTTGGATACTACTTCGACGGCCAGTTTAGTGCTATTCTCCATTGTTTTTGCATTACCCATATTCTCCTGACTCATGATAATGCGTTGCAAGTAGAATGCTATGAGAATGAAGGGTGTGAAGGCTAGGGCCACTAAACCTAAGCTCCACTCATAGTACATGGCCAAAGAAATTCCCAATAGCAATGTTGCAACAGATTGAATAATTGTGCCAATGCGTTGCCCCGTAGCCTGTAAGTATGTGTAAGGATAATGGAGGAGGAACTGTATATGTTTGAATTATAACTTACACCCTGCACTGCAGCCGCATCGCCAGATAATCTAGCACATAGACTACCAGTTCCATTCGCTCGATCATCGAACCAAGCAATTTCCTGGTTAAGCATTCCCTCGAACAACAATCCCCTGAGGCGCTCGGTAAGTCGCTCGCCAGCAATGCCGAAGAAGTAAATTTGCAGGAACGTAGCAATACCAACGACAACTCCAGCTATCAGGAAGTACAAGCTATATTGATTGGTACTATCGCGCACATACTCGGGATCGTTTGGCGTAGCCAACACCTCTATAATGCTGCCGAAGAGAACGGCAAAAACGGGCATTGCACAGCCCATGATGATTGAGGATATGCAGCCGATTGTAATCTGTGGCCATTCCGGCTGATTCATTCTCATCACAGACTTCATTGGGGAGCTCTTCTCCTTGCTCTTGACCTTCTTTAGTTTTTCCTCCTCTTCGCTCTCGTCATGGAGTACCTGAATATCCTCCTCATCCTCGTCCTTTACAGCCAGAGTTTTTTCAACATCTCCTGACGGACTGAACAACGCATCGTCCTCATCCCCCATTTGTGTGGTAACCAAGTTAAAGTAGTGATTCTTCAGCTGCATCAGCTCCTGGTGCGTTCCGCTCTCTACCACCTGGCCTTTGTTGATGACGACAATCTTGTCAGCGCGACGTACAGTAGACAAACGATGTGCGACAATGATGGTGGTTCGTCCTTTGCTGGCTTTTTCTAGCGCCGCTTGTACCTTTGCCTCACTGGCCGTGTCCAGAGCGGAGGTGGCCTCGTCCAGCAGCAGTATTTCGGGATCGCGAATAAGGGCTCGGGCAATGGCAATTCTTTGTTTCTGGCCGCCAGATAATTGGGCGCCTCGCTCGCCCACCAGCGTGTCATAGCCCTTGGGTAGTTTCTTAATAAATATGGCCGCGTTCGCCGCACTTGCTGCCAATTCGATTTCTTCCCTAGTGGCGTCTTCTCGACCATATCGAATATTCTCATAGATGGACTGTCCGAACAGCACAGGCTCCTGACCTACCACACCAATTCGCTCACGCAGCCAGTTAATGTTAATATCCTTGACGTCGATGCCGTTGAAGTAAAGGGCGCCACCACTTGGATCATAGAATCGTTGCAGCAGCTGTATGCAAGTTGACTTACCACAACCCGAGGGCCCAACCAACGCCACCGTTTGACCCCGGAAAATGTTCAAATTCAGTTTCCTCAGTAAGGGAATATCGGGACGTGTGGGATACTCGAATTCGACATCACGGAACTCAATTTCAATGAGAGGTTCGTCGAGGTTGCGTCCACGAGGCTCGATCGGATTTATGATGGGTATTTTCTCAATTATGTGAAAGACCTTGGCACAGGCTCCTTTGGCAATGCCAAACGCCTCAATGTAGGGCGAGGCCATACCAATGTTCATGCTACCCATCATAACCGAGAAGAAAACGGTTATCATCGTGCCTGCATCGTAGTTCGCATATGCCTCGATACCTTCGTCCCTTTTAAGCACTAGACCCACACCATACCAGAAGGCAAGAGCGTAAGAGGCATAAATGAAGAACCATAGTAGACCGAAACCTAATCCTGAGAACATATTTCGTTTTATGTTCAGATCCCTGGCATCTACAATTCTCTCCTTATACGCTGCCACCTCCTTGTACTCCCCTTCAAAAGCCTTCACAGTACGCACTCCACTCAAAGCTTCCTCAGCCACAGTGGCTGCTCCGGCATACACCGTCAGCTCCTGCTTGGCCAGTTTGGATGTGGCTACGGCCACTAGGCCCATAGCTATAAAGGTGACGGGCAAGCTGGTCAGGCAAACCAATGACAGCTGCCAGCCCTTTACAAACGCCAGCACTAGCGAGCCAATCTGAATAGTTCAAGAAGGGTAAATTAAAAGCTTTACATAGTTCAGTCAACACTTACGAATGCTGTTATATAGTGAACAAACATCACCACCTTCTCCCCCAGACCATCCTCCATCTTGGACAGATCCCTACGCAACACAAAAATTTCCAAATGTAGTTCAAACTGGCTGAAATGACGGATTCAACTCGAAATACTTACTCATTTATTCTGCTGCTAACCTCGCCAGTCTTGTTAAAATCATACCTATAATATATTAATATGTTCTATGTCCATGAATTTGTTATGATAACAATAATATTGGTCTATATTACCAGCTCATGTCCTGATGAAGGACGGACCGAAAGAACTTGGAACGTATGATCAGTATTTGCGAGTGTGCCGCGTAATTGAAGCACGTTATTGAAATATAACTGCAAACCAGCATTATTACTCCAATGTATGTGTTTTGAATAGCAAAGGTATCGACAGCATCCAGAAGCGCCTCAGAAGCGGGATCTGCGCGCGTATACATTTTGCCTGCAGGATCTCCATAGTCCACCATGTTCTGTTAAGTGAAAACACGACATTATGTAAAAATAAAGTTAGTCACGTGAGCCCAACTCTTGTATACCATTAAATAATATAGCGCTGTTGAACCAATTTTCAAAAAAAAAACCCTTCAGATTATAGTATGTTGAGGCAATAAAATTAGATTTGGTTAACAAAAAAATAAAGCTGTATATGATTTATAAAAAACAAATTTGTGTGTCCTTAGCTGTTATGGATCATAAGTTTTCGGTGTACATACACACGGAAGAACTTTTCTTTTTAAGTTCGTCTCGTCACGGTGATTCTACATGTGCCTATAAACTTCGGATATACGGGTATAAAAAGAGTTCGTAGCGAATAAGTTCTACCCACATTTATAAGATTGCCGAAAATCAAACTGTTCGCCGGGGTTGTTAGGCCTGTCACCACGGCACAAATTAGACCGAGCGCGTATAGCGCTCTATCTCTATTTGTGGCGTAACGAAAGATTTTGAAATATCCAACTTGCGGAATTTCTTCCTTTGGTTTGCCATCGTCGTCGTTATCTTCGGTTTCGTCATGCTTATTTTTTTTGGGCTTATTTGGTTCACTGAAAGACAGAAAGCATATTTTATTACAACCTTTTCAAAATTAGTAGCACTGCTCATCCACGCGCCACCTTTTGGATTATCGGACGACTCTTATCAAAGACACAAGTGAAGGCTACGTCAGTAATATAATCAAAATTTTACTACCAATACGGCCGTTTTCCGCTCTTTCGATTGGTCCTATCGTTGTCAAAATTACAGACGCAGCGAAGTCGACCAAGCCATATCAATAAATATATACATAAGTATTTATTGCAAGTAAACTTTCCTAAGAATATTTATGAAAGTCGTATGGATATGTATGTATGTGTATACATACATATGTAATTATCAGACAAAAAACACGATAAAACCATATTCTTTGTTGTTATTTATAGCCCTTTTATAGACGCGTATAATCAATGAATGATTAATTTTTGGCAAACATGAATGTCATCATTACTATAATATTACTCAAAGCTGCAAAGCAAAATAATACTTATAGCCATGTGAATGTGGCTATATTCAAATATTGAGAAACATCATCAGAACGTTACATACAAGTTTATAAAACCAATTTAAAGAATTTTTGCTTCATGTTTTTCTGAATATTTAAATCACTTTCTAAAAAAAACTAAAACTTAATCTTTACACAAAATGGTCCAAAAATATTTACAAACATAAGTCACGACATAAGTACATTTCACAAGATGTCTGTTGAGTTACAAAAGTTTTTGTGGCCTATTTAAACTGATGTATATGCATTACATTAAACACTTACAAGCTTTTGCATTCTTTGTTATTGGATCGAAAGGATTCACCCAAAATAATGTTGGTTTTATAATGCGATTGAATTGCTTCATCGTCCTTGACGATGTCGCCGTTTGACGCAGTCATAGCGTTAATTTTCTGAGTCGAACGGGGAGTTTATTTCGAATATTTTTCACGAACGAACCGAACACCACAACACTGAATAGAGAACTGTTAGATTTCGCAACTGGTATAGCATTATATTTAAATAGTGAGTAGCTGTCGGCAAAAATTCCTTATCAAAATATTGTACAATCAGCAGTTAACAAAAGCCAGGAGTAATGGTGCGCTAGACACTACTGATACTACCAATGGCGAAAGAGAAAAGCTTGTTCCCGCTAGGTGCGTTCACGTTTTTAATAAGCAGATATGATTTTTATAGGCCACTTATACCCTATACCCAAAGAGTATAGCCCAAATTTGATAGTTACGTACATCCGCATGTTAAGTTTAATTATGTTATGTCAAATCTAAAAGAATGTTTAACGATTACTGCTTTGGATCAACTGTGTACTGCAAGAAAAATGTTTAAATATTAAAATATTAAAAAAAATTTATATTGTTTTTTTTATCGACCCTTGCATTCGATCCTTCGTTTAGTTGCACCTGTTTAAGTAATTAATAGTTTAAGGTACTTCTATAGTAAATTATTAACTGAGCGATATTAAAAAATTATTTTTAGAGGAGGAGGAGATTCAATTCATTATTATCATTATTTCATTTATTTAATGTATCGATATTACGTGTTGATAACAAAAAATATTAAAACTAACAACGACCTCGAAGGGGTGTTTTATGGACCGTCCGACCGGCTATGCCCCAACTTATTACGCAAAATAGTTCGTAATGTTGTAAGCGCCTAACTTGCAAATTGCGAGTGTGTAACTTCCTAAAGAACAAAATTTATTTCGATTCTGAAGTAATCTGATATTAATCTGATAATTAGGTCTTTTGTGCATATTTGAAAAAAGTAGATCATTTTTGAATCAATTAAGATAAATTATATATTTATGTCATCATCCAATTGCACTTTTTAAGGCCGTTGATTCATTCATTTCATTGGGACTATTTAGCGATACTCAATGTATAATAAATATATCACCTTAGAGCTGATACAAAGCTTTGCGAAAACTTTTTATCGCTCTCACAATAAATGCAAAGTCACTAATATGAAACACATTTCAGACAAGCAGAGACAGGTGTAGGAATTTTAAAAGCGTGACTGCCTATCAATTGGTATCAACAGAACTGTAGACTTGTGATTATACAAATTCGATTAGAATTTAACGTACAATCAGTTGTTATCATATTCATTTACAAGTTCCTTTGCACGTACATATATGAATATGTAGTACATGCAAAGTGATATATTCTAAGTACTTACTATAAGTGCAGGGCCTTTTGTAAGAGCCGTATCCAATACAATACAAAAACATCATTACGCATTGAAAATCAATAATATTTATTGATCACTAAACACTATGACGTACATTTGTACCTACTTGGGTACACTATATGCGTGTGTCTACACCATATCAATAAACGACTGATATCTACTATTGGAACGATATCAAGAAATTCTCATAACCATGCGTAGGGCGTCCCGGTTTATTTTGGCTTGTTTGAGTATATGCCCCTCGATGAAGATGTCCGACTCGTATTGCAGATAGTTAACACATTTGTCCACATAGAGCAGAGACTCCTCCAGTAACTCCCTTGGTGAAAGGCTCGTCTGCAGTGAAATCCGACGCGTGCTTTCAGCAATTGCCGAGTGAAGTTCAAAGCATAACATTCCCAGCATGCGCACCTATTCGGAATTTAAAAAATATTTACTTCGTTTAAGTTAAGCGATCTACAAGTAGAAGAATACCCACCTCGCATGGCGTTATTTTCTCGTAAAGGTCTATCAACTCACGTGCATATCTTCAAAGCACACCCAAAAATATATTAGTTTGAAATCCCATTGCTTTTCGAGTGATACTCACATTATCTTAAGGTTGAGCTTGTCATCTGGTACTACCATCAGAGCTTGCACATCTTTGGCAATCAGCTGAACTAAGAGCATTTTCACTTCGCTCATGTGGAAATGCTGAGAGGGTAGCCACTTCTCATAGTGATTCAGAAACCTGCGGATGGATAATGGAAATTAATTTTAATAAATGTTATATTTCTGTGACACCTACTTTATGGCATTATCCACAGATTTATCCATGTTCTGTATATCCTTAGAAGCGCGCTCCAGAATGCGATCCAGATAGGACTTTTGCACTATTTTCTTGCACGATCCACAGCTGAAATTGGATATGAAGTAAGTACTGCAAGCCCTGTACTAGAATAAATTAGGGTAGAAATGGAAAGTCGCCAAATATATGATTCTGGTTTCGATATTTTCCGATCAACGACTGGGCAACGCTTCCGGTCTTTAGAAGAAACCGAAAACGCCCATACGAATACCCAAATGCTACCAGAATTATGGGATAATGTAGTATTTAACGAAGCGAAATACTTTGAATGGGTAAATAACTCGACTTTCTGTTTGTACACCTAACATGTTTGTACAATAATCCCACCTCCAAGTACCGTTCCAATCTTCCAACTTTGTTGGCAGCATAAGGCCAACGCATTGACTGTCCTCACATTTAATGGCACTGTAATAGGTGCCCAGATCGGTAATGTCCTGGCAACGCACACACGCACACTTGAACAGCTTTGTCTGCTTTAAATGATGCTGCCGGGATGGCCTTGGAAGTAGAGCATCCGAGTAACAAATACTTAAGTGCTCGTTTTTCTGAATCGCCTTCGGCGCCCAGAGGATGCAATGTCCGTTCTTGTTAAAACTCTTTGCCAGATTTGGGAGACAGGAGTTTTCGGTGAAGGAAGCCACATAGAAAACGGCCACATGTGGCGGATCAGACGTGGGGATTTCGTGTCCATTGACTTGAAGAGTACCAATAGCGCGCATTATTTCTTCCTCGCTGAATCGAGAAGTTTTGAAAAATCTGCGCAAAATTTAAAATTAAAAAATGTGTGATGCATTTAAGGTATCCCCAATCGTTTGAATACTTAGGTATAAAATGGCCAATGCTGGCCAAGTCCGCTTTCCACTGGTTGGAGCCTCGACGTGTGTCCTCGAGAGACTCCAGTTGCTGGAACTTTTCCGCATTAGCTGGTGATGTTTCGCCAATAAGTAAACAGCGCACAGTCGTGACACAAGTGTAGAGTGGATGGGGGCCGTTGAATTCCTCCACATTGACCTTCTGACCCCTGCCCTGTGTAAGCCGACACTCGGCCTTGTGCTCATCGAGACTCTTGCACTCTTTCCCACACAATGGCCAGCCACACATCTCACACTTGATATAGTCAGTCGGCTCTATGCTGTTCAAACAGCCCAAACATACCGGTGCCGATATCTGAGCAGGTCCACGCACTAACGGGGCTTCCTTTAATATAATCTCGTAGGGCTTTATGTTTCGCGTAGCAATCAAGTGGCGACCGAGCAGCTCGTTCTCAGCGATCTGAAAGTTATTCAGGCATATACTATACGTATACATAATATGTATATATGTATGTGTGGTGAGGTTATGGTGCATTAATGCAGCCATGTCGTCGAAAAATATGAATGAATTCTTTTCCAATCAAATTATTTAAACCTTAAAGGGATGGCAGTTGGCCTTGTGTTGTCGCCAATCCTGTTTCTGATGCTGCACACTACAGTAGGAGACCTGATTACAGTTTGAACACTTATTTTTCGTTTGCGCCGCACACACGTTACAGGAATTCATTTTCTTTTTATTAAAGCTTTGCCAGATATTAGGGCTCTAATAGTGTGTCTTATGTTTTGGATTAAATTTTCCTTGAGAACAAAACTGTGTGCCTTATCAATGCAGAACTTGCTTTAGACGTTACCACAGTCACGCGTTTCACATGAACTGTTGGAAATGCTTTGATATGTGGGGCAAGAGATGATGAGCACAAGTACTATTAGCGCTATAAATAGACCACATTGTACACAATTTAGTGTGGACCAAAGCAACGAGGGACTGCCACCCCGAAACAAAGCAAAATACCATTGAATTTATCAATAAACGTTGCCCACAACATGAATATAAGCTTAAGAAATTTCATGGAACATTGTTTCCACCATTCAACCAGTATATGTATTTACTCGTTTGCATATGTATTAAAAATCTGTGGCTTTTACATGTAAATGTATGTAGGTAACAATATTTTTAGGTTTGTATTGCAAACAATTTTTAGGTTTGTATTGATCAATCCTTTCTCGATTTGAGAGGAAATAACTCGAGCCAGCGATTGTATTAAAACTAAAAAAATAATTAAAATGTATAATGACGGTAGCACTCAACACAATTAAATTTTATAAATACAATTTATACATAATTTTTATATAGCCTCCACCCCAAAAACACTGAGGTAATAAACTACTAACGGTCTTTTATGCCTAAACTTTGATTTTGGCCTAAATTGCGGCGGCGATTCGTACACGTTCTTGATCATCATATATCAGTCTCGTCGTTGGCCCCACTGGGTTCTCGTAATGTTACAAATTTTTGTAACGTGACATTTTCTTTATTACTATTACGTATTTTTCCTTTTTCTCGCATCTTTGTCGCATCTCGATCGCCATTGACTTGGAAATTATCGCTTTGGAATGGTATGGTGTATTCATTTGAAAATGCTGCCGTGTCCTTATCCTCTTGAGATGGACTGATACTCTCGGCTTGATAAACTAATTGCTGATTGCTGCTGTTGTAGTGTCCTAGAAATAGTTGAAAATTTAATTTGATTATAATATTCTCTTGTGATTGCAAATTTGTAAACAAACCTTTTGCTCCAAACATATCCGCGTGCTGTTTAAATGCATTCCGATTGCGTCGGCCACGCTTTCTCATGTTCATGCGTAGTGCCGATACTTTTATGTTCCTTGAATTTTGGCCACTGGAACGTGTGCGTTTCGAATTGGGAGAGCTTGCCACGATGGAATCTGATGAAGCTTTAGAAAAATGTGTTGCATTCGAAGGCACCTGCGCGTCTATGGGCTGAGTTTCTGGTAGTAGAGTTGCGCTTCGCCCAAGATTGCTTTCCGTGTCCGATTGATTGCTACGTGTGGTCGGGATCGCATTATGTTCTCGTTCCTCCTCACTAATGGACTCATCGTCTTGGTCAATAATTTCAATTTCGTCTACATCGTCGTCTGAAAGCGCACTTCGCAACATTATCTCGGGGCCTCCACCATAGATACTGTGCAGAAAACGCCACAAAGGTGCATTCAGCTGTGCATAATCTGAGCCCAAACGCACGCAGCTAACGATCGAACCATTTAATGAGTTCGTTTCCGCTGGCGCTGCGATTCCCTCATTGGCAATGGGTCCCGGCTCCTTGTGTGTGATGCCGCGTGAGAACTGCTGCCACATTCGCAGCCAGGGCATTGCTATGGCATATATAGCAGACGAGTCCAGTTCACTCTGTAGTCCATTGTATTTTGTAAACACCGTCAATTCGTAAAGCTGACGACGGGAAAGCGCTTCAGCTACACGTCTACAGATCTCGCACTCAAACATCATGTTGACAGCAGGACCGCCTCCAAACTTTTTGAACAAAAAATCCCAAAGCGGCTGGGAAATAGGCACTGCAATTTGGCTTATGAGCGCTGTCTTGGAATGTAAGATGCCGCCATGTGGGCATAACATTTCACGATTATTGATGGGGCCTGGCTCGGCGAAAGTCGCTAGACGTGAGAGCCATTCACGCGTCACGTAAAATTGTATGTCGGCATGGTGTAGTGGATTTAAGTTACACAAGGTAATGGCTTCCTCCCGGAGCATTTTCATATGAGGATTGTGTTTTTGATAGAAGAGCACATAGGCCTGACAATTTTGTACAATATCCGGAGATACTTCTGTTACAAATTGATCATCAAACTCATACCAACGGCCATTCAATGCGTTCCGAGCATAGCAAGTGTAATGACCACCACCGACAGTACCATGATGACAGATGACGGACGACAGATTATATGTTGCTACCATTGATTTACAATCTTTGTGCAAATATGGACGCATATCAAAGCCTTCCAATGGAAAGTAAACATGGGATGATATTTTTGAGCTGTACGACAAGTCGTGACGAAAACGTTTCAAATGAATGCAAAGAACCTCGGGCAAGTTTAAGACACGCGAATATTTTATACCTGTGCGCAGCTTGTTACATCGCTCGCAGCTGTAAGAGAGATAAAACGTAATTATCATTCCAATCCCCTCATAAGAGAAGAGCATACCTATACATGTTGTCGCCTTTTAGTTCGTCAGCACTGAAGAAACTGGCCATACAATCGTAAAGCGTTACCGATGGCCCGTAGAACCAAGAACGCAACATATTCCACATCCATGCCAGCCAACCTTCGTTGTTACGCGCCTGGGCCATATCTACGGCATTTAGGCTCTGCACACTCAAGCTATGCGTTTGGTGGAGCATATTAAGAAAGTCTCTGTTGGGAATTGGCAGTGATAGATCCTGGAATGTCTCTTCTCGTGTCGAAATGCGATCGCACGTTAAGCACTGTACCGATGACAGAAGTTTACCGTCAAAAATATCACTTATTATTGATCGTGCTGAGTCCACAGGTTTTATTTCTGACGTTGGTTTTTGGCGTTGTTTCTGTTGCTGCTGCGATTGGTGCACAGAAGGCATATCGGACGCACTATTGGTGGAGCGAGATGGGGAAACGTAGTATTCACTTTTTATAAATACTTCCGAATCATGATTGGTACGCGTTGAACGATCCGAAAGGCTGCTGTCACAGGTATCGTATTCACTATCCGAAGCGGATGCGTTGTTTGGAGTGTTGGAGGTGCACGCATTTGTTGCATCATCGTCCTTATCATCGTCAGTACTTTCAGCCTTCTCATCGTTCTGTTGTAAAGCATGAATTTGCTCCGTCAGCTCATCATGCAGCTGATCCATAAAACAACGCAAGAACTCCTGAGTGTCGTGCTGTTGATAGCCGCGAAACATCGGATGTACAGATCGAATGCCATATAAAATCCCACGTGGCGCAATAAACTCTGTATTTAAATTCAACATACGTTTTACAAACTTTTAAATAAATTTATGTTACAGCCTACCATACCCTTGGGATCATCAGTTTGTTGCCAGATATCATCCATCAGACGCAGATAGCTTTTGGCTAGTCCAGCTGGTTTACAGCGAGGCGCGCTTTGCTCGGCAATATGCTCAACCAACTCTCCGCAGTTGATAAAATAGTGCGTTAAAGGCAACAGATTGCTCAACGCTTGAAGGGCTGAATTCATGTAGCACGTATTCGCAATGTTTTGCAATCCGACGAGACCCGTTCCTGAGCCGGTGGCATCATCACTGACGCTGTCTTCCCGCTTAGACAATGAGTTCATAGAGCAGCTAAACAGTTTATCCTGCGCCCCCGTTCGCTTACTGTTCTTCAGATATAGCTCGCGTTCACAATAGTAGCACCAAACGCGTTGCGACGAGATGTTCATGTGAACTCCATGCTTATGTGTCTGGAAATGCTCAGTGCTGTGGTCATTCGCCTGCTCCGAGCAACCAGTGAATCCACAGTCGCGGTATAAGCAAATCCAGAGGTTGAGCCCAGTATAGTTGCACGCATGACAGCTAGTTGGCTGAGCAATAGGACAACAAAAACAAACGCTTGTAAAAACACAAGTCATGTAACATTCAACTGTCATATTAACCTTAAGTAATCTCAGATCAACGTCCGTACAATGCTCACTCTCTATGTGGGGACATTTTTGCAGGTTGAAACTCATGGCGAGTGGCGTGGACACTTCTAGGTTGCGCCGAAATTCGAATTATTTAATACTCTTTTATTGCAAGGCGAAATACAAATAAAAATCAACTGAACCAGGGAGGTTGCATTTTTCCTATGAGCATGCAAGAAGCGTGTTGTTTCTCACACAGCTGTTTAAAATGCTGCCAACTTTTGCCCTTACATACATATGTATGTATGTATGTACATATATGCTTGATTCGAAAATGAAGAGAATTTTAGCTACGACGTATACGTTTCAAATTATGATGTGAGAAAAGCTAGCGATGTTAGGAAAAATATTTCTCTGATCTTATTAAGTTTTATTATATCAATATTAAAATACTTTTAACTGGTACGTTTCTCAGTGAAAATGGCAAGTTGGCAGGTCCAGACCGATGTTATAAATCGAACGCGGGCGGTCTGCGCTAACAAAATATAAAAAAAAATTAGGCTTATAATATATAATCTAGGCAAATTTAAAGGAACATGATAATAAAGAAATGAATGTCCGAGTAAAACAAACAAAAACTTCGGGATTTAGCAGCCATTCTTTATTCTAATCTGATTTTCCCGTGCGTTTAGAACTGCAGCATAGAAGAAGAAGAATTCGGAAAAATGTGTATACAAAAAGTATAAAATATAGAGTGTTCAATTAAATACGGTACATATAGGTATACGTATAAAAGTTAAAGGCAAGGCTTACGTTTAGAAATCGCAAAATGACGGGCATATTATAGTTTTTTTCGTCTTGCTCTCCACGGGGGAGTAGTTTCTAAGTGGACCATACATACATATGCACATACACACTGCGCAGTGTGTAGCGTACGCGCGGCCTAGAAAAGTTGAGGAAAGCGAGAGAAAAATCTAGCTAGAGTCGGCGGTATTGCTGGGTTAGAAGTGGTCCGTTACTGTTTAATAGAAAACCACCATGACCCTGGAAGCTGGAGCAACGCAAACGCAACCCGTGGTTGTATACCATGGAAAAATTGCAGGGCTCTACGATCTGGAGGAGACATTGGGCAGTGGACACTTTGCCGTGGTAAAGTCCGCGCGGCATATTTTCACAGGTGAAAGGGTTGCAGTAAAAGTCGTAGACAAAACAAAACTGGACGCCGTATCGAAGTCGCATCTCTTTCAGGAAGTGCGGTACGTTGGGCTTTGGCCTTGACCTTGCCATCGCTTCCAGTTGTATAATATATAAACTTATCTATGCAGCTGCATGAAACTTGTCCAGCATCCGAATGTTGTTCGCCTATACGAAGTTATCGACACACAAACTAAACTATATCTGGTGCTGGAATTGGGCGACGGCGGCGATCTGTATGATTATATAATGAAGCACGATGCTGGACTTAACGAAGACCTGGCGCGTAAGTATTTTCGTCAAATTCTACGTGCGATTACGTACTGTCATCAGCTTCACGTTGTGCACAGGTAAGTACCTATTATAGCATTTGTGATTAGTTTTTACATAACGATTTCGTCCTCACAGGGACTTGAAACCGGAGAATGTGGTATTTTTTGAAAAATTGGGCTTGGTTAAACTAACAGACTTTGGATTCAGTAACAAGTTTTCGCCGGGTCAAAAGCTAGAGACATCCTGTGGCAGTTTGGCGTATTCGGCGCCGGAAATCTTATTGGGAGATTCTTACGATGCGCCGGCAGTAGGTAAGTGTATAAAATCTATATATGAAAATAGTTCTGTGTGCATCTTTTCTACGTTTACGAAACCCAATTATTTGTTTTGTTCTTTAGATATATGGTCGCTTGGTGTTATACTTTATATGCTGGTTTGTGGTCAACCGCCTTTCGAAAAGGCCAACGACTCGGAAACTCTTACTATGATCATGGACTGCAAATACACTGTGCCAGCACACATTACACAAGCTTGTCGACACTTAATTGCATCCATGTTGGTTCGAGATCCAAAGAAACGCGCCACAGTAGAAGAAATTGCATCTTCAGCTTGGCTGAAGAAGACAGATGAGCCTGACTCTATCGAACACTTTTTACCGTTGGCGAGCCGCGATCAGATTAGTGAGGAAGATCACGTTTTTATCATACAAAAGATGACTAATGGAAATATTGCGTCCAAGGAAGAAATTTTGCAGTAAGTAGTCAACGGATAATTCAGGTATTCCCCCATGACTCTATCGGAAACTATATACAGGGCATTGGATAAAAATCAGTACAATCACATAACGGCCACATATTTTTTGCTCGCAGAGATGCGTTTAAGAAGGCGACGAGAGGAGCAAGCGCAAAAGTTGGTATTTGTTTTTGAACACTATGTAAATGGTAACATATTTAATATTATAGAAAAGGAAATGCAACTCGTAAGCCTGGAACAGTAGATAACAAGACGAGTTCAAAAGAAGGCCCTAAAGTTGTAGTACCGATAAGCATTAATGTAACTCCGGCCGGCCAGATAACAAATGATAGCAGCAAACCCGTAAGTTTAAATAATTTAATGGACTGTTGATGTGACTAAATTTTGGCAAATTTGTTGGATAATAGGACAAACGTAGTAGAAAATGTAGCATTGTGCGTGAGGAAGATGAGGATGAATCGGCCAATGAGACCTGTGGCATTGGAAATGAGCTTAGGGTGGCAACAGCGCGACGCGAGTCTATATCCGATGGACGTTTAAATCGTTCAGTGCAGGAGCGCACTAACTCTCCAGCTCCTGCTGCCGAAGTGCCAAGTAATACACGCACAAAAATCGTTGTATCAGTCGATGCGACGCTTGCTCAAAAGCTTAAGCAAATCGACAGAAGTGCCAAAGAGGACGAGGATACCATTCATGGCTTAAAGGAGCTCGAAATAGGCAAATTAAAGCCGCTGCCAAGCGGTAGTAAAAATCCAGTGCTAACGCATCGGCGGACAAAATTGAATAAAATACGAACCCCATCCTGTAGCAGCTCTGAAGCTTCGGACGATGATACCAAGACGCGAAACAAAAAGAAGATGAACAAGTTTGTTGGGGACACACCCACACGATTTCGCATGCATCGCCGTGACTCCCATGACGACTCTAGTGATTCACAAGATCAATTGTATCCCCAGCAGGGCTCGCATGGCAATGCAGCCGCTTTTATTTCGAATAGTAACTCTGGCGTAAGTGGAAAGAAAGAGGGACAATGCAAAGAGGTAAGCCCGTTATTTTTTTTTTTAAATAAATAAGACCTATCTATATGCTTTTTACAGCCAAATAAAACCGAAGAAACGCGAAAATCTCATACACAAAAGAATAGAAAACAGCAGCACAAGGATCATGGTGATAAACATTCCCATTCGGAAAAACAGCAATTGGTGTTATCTCAGAGCACAACACGACGAAGGCGCATACGTGAAAGTCAGTCATTGGACCGCATTACAGAGGCTCAAGAATATGAAATGCGCCATCGATCATCAGCAACAACAATAACAACAACGACAACGCTACATATCGAGCAAAGAAACTCATTATTTAATTTAAATACATTCTCCGTTGCCGAAACTAAGGAAGAGTATGACGAAGAGTCCGAAATCATTCCGGACGCCGATGATAATACGGACCAAATTATGAACACTTTGAATGCAGCCAAAGCAACGCTTGAACAAAAGCAATATTTAAATAACACCAATATTAATAAGATCTACACCAACAACAATAATAACAATAACAACAACAACAACAAAAATAAATCCAACGAAACACCAAAAGATATTTATAATCTAAATTCGGTCGAGGACATCGATTTGATTTTAGAGGATAAAAGCCTTACCAAAGCAATACACATTACCGGCTCTAAGTGCTTTGTCACTATGAAGAAAATTCGTAGGCTCGGAAAATATTTTCCAGTAGTCAACTTTTCCTAATGGTTACATTGCAAAGTGCGTTCGTAATATTAAAGTTAATAAGAAAAAATAATACATTTAAATTATTCATGTATTTAAATTAAATAAAAAGGATTACACTTACGCGTAAATATACAAATATATAGAATATATATATATATATACATATATGCGAAATATGCAGCATAATAAAATTAGTAGTAGCGTAATTGGTTTGTCTGTCGTCATTACGCTTAAATTATTCTAAATAATTTAATTTATGTATAGTAATAAGTATATTTAATTACTCAATGCAATATTTGTTAGAAGATAGTGAAATAAATAAAAATATACCACCCACTTAAAAACAAATGTACGTGTATGCAATTTAAAAAATTCAAATAGCGCGCCTGTTTAAATTCCACTTCGACCCAGTTAGCGCGTAGTTCCACCATTCCGCTGACAAAAACTGCTCCAATCGACCTGCCAACTTGTTGTTTTCGTGGTATTTTTGCACCGGTCGTCATACATGCTTATGAAATTTGCTGAAAATAAGGATAAATTGTTGACGGAAACAAAGCAAGCTGCGTGGAATCTGTAAAACTAATCATCATGTTGCGCATCTACCAAAACACTTACCGGTAAGCCAGGAAGCATGCCACAGTTTTTTCTACTGTATTATTAGCTCATTTCGTCATCACACCTCACATTCCATTCATAGGCGTACTGCAAAAAGAGCTGTTGTATACTCCACCAAGGTAGTTTGCTGTAACCACTCGACACTATGCAACATCAACGGTCACCCACGCCGGACGCAAAGAGCAGGTGCGTCCTGGGAGAGATACAGTCAGAACCAGCGCGATGGATTTTTAGCCCACAATCAAGCCAAGGGATGGACTATACCGCCGTCGCGGGGCTACGGAATGTTAGTGGTGCGCATCTTAAGAGGCGCCATGAAATTGCGTTACCTTGTGTTGGGTGGAGCCATAGGCGGGGGTGTGTCACTTAGCAAAGTAAGCTTGTGCTACTGTTCTTATATAATAACCAAGTTCTAATTGAATGTATTCGCGTTTGGGCATAGAAATATGAAGACTGGAAAGATGGTCTGCCTGACTTAAAGTGGCTTGAGGATGCGTTGCCGCAAGGTGAAAAATGGAGTCAGTTCTCAAGAAAGCTGATTGAAGTTGGGAGTGTTGTCAAGGAGGCCATCGATATCGGTGAGTTTTGTTAAGGCAGGTGATTGCTCTCTCTCACTTTAAATTGTTATCGAGGTCAGTTATTAACCAGGGTGGTCCGGTTCTGCTTTTGAATTCTTAGCTAGTATCTAACATTCTTTGCGTATTCAATTTAACTTGAACTCCTCAAGTGACCAAATTTGATTTTTTGATATTTTACGTTCATTGCATTTTCACTATTAGTATATTGATATTGGGGTTTGTTTTTGCATTTAGATCCGAAGCTAAAACAGCTTGGTGAGGATAAATTAACGGAATGGCGCTCTTGGTTCGATAATCGTCTGGATGATGCGATTGAGGCGGCCGATTATCAAGGAACTCATATTGTTGAAAGTAGGTTACACGCGTCTTCTAATTATTATTATTAACATAAATGCATTTAAAGTGAGAGATTTTATGTTTTAATGCGATTTATTAATAAAATCCAATTATAGCTAAAGACGACATCAAAGCAAAGACAACTGTAGCAGCTCTGGGAATTTCTGCCGATGAGAGTCGCAAAAAATATGGTGCGTTAGAAATTGGAAAAAGCTGTACACATGGCGAAGAAAATTGGGTAAATTTTGTTTTACATTTTAGATAAACTACAAAGTCAAGTGGAAACTCTTCAGACGGAAATAATGAACGTGCAAATTAAATATCAAAAGGAGCTGGAGAAAATGGAGAAGGAAAATCGAGAACTGCGTCAGCAGTATCTAATACTCAAAACCAATAAGAAGACTACCGCAAAAAAAATCAAAAAGTCTCTCATTGATATGTACTCTGAGGTGCTTGACGAACTATCTGGCTATGATACCGGTTATACCATGGCGGACCATTTGCCACGAGTGGTTGTTGTTGGAGACCAGAGCAGTGGCAAGACATCCGTACTTGAATCCATAGCCAAGGCTCGTATCTTTCCTCGTGGAAGTGGTGAAATGATGACGCGAGCACCTGTTAAGGTTACCCTGGCTGAAGGCCCTTATCATGTTGCGCAGTTTCGAGACTCTGACCGTGAATACGACTTGACAAAGGAAGCTGATCTCTCAGATTTACGACGTGAAGTTGAATTTCGCATGCGCGCTTCAGTACGTGGTGGCAAGACCGTCAGCAATGAGGTGATTGCCATGACGGTCAAGGGTCCCGGACTGCAGCGAATGGTACTGGTCGATTTACCAGGCATTATTTCGGTAAATACTACCTTCAAATAGCATCTAATGTTAAATCCTTTTTAACAGATTTGCTTATTATTATTAGACAATGACAGTGGACATGGCATCGGACACTAAGGACTCGATCCATCAAATGACAAAGCATTATATGAGCAATCCTAACGCTATTATTCTTTGCATACAAGATGGTTCTGTGGATGCAGAGCGTAGTAATGTCACCGATTTGGTCATGCAATGCGATCCTCTGGGCAGACGTACTATCTTTGTGCTGACAAAGGTTGATTTGGCAGAGGAACTAGCTGATCCAGATAGGGTTTGTAGTCTTTGAATTATAATTTTTTTGAATTCCTTTCCTTATCCGTACAATGAACTTTTAATTGAATTGAATGATTTCTAACTTAATTTTCAACTTTATTAATAACGATCAACATCGTTATCAATATTCTCGGTTCAACTATTGACATCTACAGATAAGGAAAATTCTTTCCGGCAAACTGTTTCCCATGAAGGCACTGGGTTACTATGCAGTTGTTACGGGTCGTGGCCGCAAAGATGACAGCATCGATGCTATACGGCAGTACGAGGAGGATTTCTTCAAGAACTCAAAACTTTTTCAGTTAGTAAAAACATTACAAAGTATGAAGGAATTATACAAAATGTTGGAAATATTTCCAGTCGACGAGGCGTAATTATGCCCCACCAGGTAACCAGCAGAAATCTGAGCTTAGCTGTTTCGGATCGTTTCTGGAAAATGGTGCGGGAAACCATTGAGCAGCAGGCGGATGCATTTAAGGCAACCAGATTTAATCTGGAAACCGAATGGAAAAACAATTTTCCCAGGTTCGCCTGTCCATACTTATGTAATACTTACCAATATCTAACAATTTGATGCCATAGGTTACGTGAATCAGGCCGGGATGAGCTGTTTGACAAAGCCAAAGGAGAAATACTGGACGAGGTCGTGACGCTTTCGCAAATTTCGGCAAAAAAGTGGGAGGAGGCCCTGAACGAGAAATTATGGGAAAAGCTTTCAAATTATGTGTTTGAAAACGTATACCTGCCCGCCGCACAGTCAGGTTCTCAAAGTAATATTCTGTAGAAATAAGTTTTAAGTTTTTAACTCCGACGAAGGGGGCACGTTCATCAAAATCACGCCAATCGTGTCTGTGTTAGTTTGAATGTGACTGTGAGTGTATCTGTCTTAAGTGCTAAATGTTTCAACAGACGATCTACTGGTTATTATTCGGTTAAGTGTTTCAGCTGATATCACAGCTTGATGTCGTTGATTTTTATGTTCGGAAATAACTTGGAATTGCCGCAACCGATTGGGGACTCACATGTCGAAACTGGTTTTGATATTTCATTTGAATCATGCTTTTATTTTAATGTACATAAATACACCCAAACTTGGTTAGCATCGTTTCTTTAACGTGATCAAACATGTGATTCAGCAATTTTATTATTTGCGCCAACAACGTCGTCAGTGGTGTGCGTAAAAGGCGTGCGCATGCCGGAAAGTGTGATATATTGATTTACGAGTGGCTGTAATGAAACCAGAGCTCAGTTTTATCAAAAGTGCAAATACCAAAATACCTGCTACGGTGGGATATCAAACACGTTTAACTCGAATTCTTGATTTATTTCACACTTTATAAGAGTTACGTTAATTTGATCAATAAAAGCGGGGAATAAAAATTAATTCATGCGTACACACATAATACTTATATACTGAAATTTAAAACCACAAAGATATGTATGTTTTTTAGAACTTTGCATTGGATGAGTTGAAATTAATGTTTTGTTTACGTTCTTCATGTGCTCATCTCTTTAAAGATAGATTCAATGCTCCCCTTAGCTTCCATTCATATTCACTAATTTTTAAATTTGTTCGAACTTTTAGATTCATTCAATACCATGGTGGACATTAAACTGCGTCAATGGGCGGAACAAGCGTTGCCCGCCAAATCTGTTGAAGCTGGGTGGGAGGCTTTGCAGCAAGAGTTCATAACACTGATGGAGAAAGCAAAGAAATCTCAGGATCACGATGGTATATTTGATTCACTGAAAGCCGCTGTCGTAGATGAGGCCATACGCAGGCATAGTTGGGAAGACAAAGCTATTGATATGCTTCGCGTAATACAACTCAACACTTTGGAGGATCGCTTCGTTCATGACAAAAATGAATGGGATCAGGCGGTACGCTTCCTTGAGAATTCGGTAAAATCTAAGCTCGTACAGACCGATGAAACATTGAGTCAAATGTTTGGACCTGGCCAGATCACGCGAATAACGCATTGGAAGTCATTAACGCAAGACCAACAGAAGCGCAGATCGGTCAAAGGAGAACTGGACAAAATTCTCAAAAATGATTCGGTGGGTTATTCATTAATTCTACAAAATGGTAACATGATATTAATGCGTATTTGTTGCCGCTGCAGAAGCATTTGCCCACATTGACTTACGATGAGCTGACAACAGTGCGAAAGAACCTCCAACGCGAAAATGTCGATGTAGATACGGATTATATACGACAAACGTGGTTCCCAGTCTACAGAAAGTACGTGAAAAATTTCCCATTGCCAAAGCAAAACTCTACTTATCTCGACAATTTTTTACAGACATTTCTTGCAACAGGCTTTGCACCGAGCCAACGACTGCCGAAAAGCGTACTATCTGTACAGCCAGCAAGGTGCCGAGTGTGAGGTTCGTATTTCATAATAGAAGTTGCCTTGTTGCCTTCTGCAAATATGATTTCTTTCACAGATTTCCAGTAGCGATGTCGTACTCTTTTGGCGCATACAACAAGTCATCAAAGTCACGAGCAACGCGCTGCGGCAGCAAGTGATAAACCGAGAGGCTAGACGTTTAGATAAGGAGATAAAAGCAGTGCTTGACGAGTTTAGCGACGATGAGGAAAAGAAAGCGCAGCTTCTGACAGGCAAACGAGTGCTACTAGCGGAGGAGTTGAGTAAGTTCTTTGATATTTATCCCTGAAGTTGGAATTTGGTATAAACTTAATGTTTTTTTTTATTTTTTAGTCAAAGTGCGACACATACAGGAGAAGTTGGAGGAGTTTATCAATTCACTCAACCAGGAGAAATAGTGTGCCATTACCAAAAATGAATGTTGGTTGGATCTCGCTCTAGTCGTTTGCAGCACAAATGAAGCTCTGTCGCACACTAGGGCTGCTGTGTGTGGTTAATGCAAGTTCCAACTGTGTAGCAACAACTGCGTTACTTATTTAATTAAATAATTTAAGTTTAAAAAATCGTTGTTCATAGACATTGCTTGGTTGGAAATTTCCTTTATACTAGCTATTATTATTATTTAGTGCAGCAAATGTTGCTGCATACCGAAATTGTAATAAAATCGAAAACATTGTTAGTTTGTATTTATTACTAAAATCATTTTATTATATCTGCACAATTTCTTTTTAAAGATTGTAATTTAAAACATATTTTAAACAGCTCTAACTACATTTTTGCTTATTTTGAATTTCATAATACAATAGTATTGTTGTAATTGATCTGATTAAAGCAAATCGCACTCGAATGTGCTTTTGAGTATGTAACTGCGTGTGTGTTTCCATTAAAACATACATACTGCTAAATACAATATGATAATGATGATGAACGTTATTGGTATAAGGGGCCACACAATTTTTAAGACTAAATCAGATTGGCGCACAAATAATAAAACATCGTGCTTTGCGTTGGCCACTTCCAGTTTCAGTCAGTATTATATGTATATAGTATAGTTCATTGACCCCTTCTCTCTCCAATCTTTCTCCATTCTCCATTTATCAGTAACAACAATTCTGTCTGGGTGTTTGTGTTTGTATATTTACTTAGCCTTATGTACATACTATGTAACAAGTGTGTGGAGCAGCAGTTAACGGTTGAAGGGTTACTCGTATATGGTATACATGTGTATATATGTATGTAACATATGTGTATTATAGTCGTAGGTACTTAAAAACAAACAAATGCATCGTTTGCATCGCTGTCTGAATTGATGATTGATAATCATGTTTTTTAATATTACGTACATATGTATATGTACATATGTACACTCGTGTGTACATATGTATATAGTAAGCTCTTTGCTGTTATTTTCCACATTGTTAAATAACATCCTTCTTATCTTGGCAGTCGATTCGTGGCCCCAGAACAGGATGACCATATAAATTTAAATATTAAACATATTGTGTATATCGTAGGTATTTTAAAACGAAAACGAAATTTCCCCAGCACAAAAAGTTGATGTTCCTATATATTAATATAAATGTGTTCGCTTACTACATATTAATGATCCGTCAACTCTCTCCTCCACTGCTAAAGCTGATTATGATAATAGTATTTACACGCACGGCATGTTTTCTTTTTAAGAATAGTATGTGTGTGTATATATGTATGTATGTATGTATATACTCGTATATGTGAGTGTCTATAGTTTTAGCGAGGCATAGTCAAGGCACACGAAAACTTTCAAGGCACAAACATTTCATTCATTAAGTCTAATCTACAAGAATCAAGTACAAGTACATGTATAGATAGATATACATAGTATGTATGTATGTACATTTTTTAAAATTGCTCAGTTCGGTTTGCCACTCATATTACTCGTTCTTAAAGTCTATCAATGATTGACAATTAGTGTTAAACTATGTGATTATAAGCACATCATAGCATTTAAAGATTATAGTGGTCTTCATATCAGCAATCAAATGATTTAAAGGCGTTTTATGCGTAGTCGCGTCGTTTTAAGATCCTTCTAGGCTGCTGGTAAAGCCTGTGGCGCGTTTTTCTCGTTGCGCCTCTGCTCCCATCTGGACACACAGGTCAATGGATAGCAAAGGAAAGCGGATAGCAAAATCAAGCCACCGGCAAAGTAGAACGAAATATTATAGCTCTCGGTCATAGTGAACAGAATGCCTAAAAATAGAAGAATATATTTATACTATTAACATTAAATGCAAACTAGTCGAAAGATAATAACAATTTAAGCAAAGGCTAAAACTGATATCATTATATTATTTTAGATCTTGCTAAACAAAATAGTATTTAATTTCTCTAGTGCCTGGCTAGTTAGTATCATGTGCTCTTCAGTTTACTTTTTCATTGGTCCACTCTTATACTGTTTTTAATAAAGCATAAAAACAGATAATATGAAATCTTTAACAATGCATTCCATTTGCTTAATTGTGCTAAATTATCCATCGTCAAGCCCCAAAACGTCTTTCAGTTTTTAATTTATCTTTGCCGGTAATTTGAACATTTAAATTCAGGAAAATTTGAAAATTAAGTTGGTTTGTCAATTAAGAAAAGGAGTAATTTTGAAAAAAAAATTTATATTCAAAACCCTCATTTGGAGGAAAAATTGTATCCCGCCTTATTAAGTTTTGGATGCTATTATTTCAATAAAGTTTCGATAAATATTTCTGTCTTGATTCTATTAGCTTTAGCTTCCGAATAGAATTTTAATATCACTCGGTAAATTTTTGGATGCCAATTACGGGTGGACTTCCTGAATACAAGAATCAATATTATATGAAAACACTTACCAGCGATGGGACTGCCAAATGTTGCGGCTATACCCTGAAACAGCATAAGGAACCCAAAGGCATTGGTCAGTTTCTCGAGTCCAATCATTTCCACAGCGATTAGGGAACGCAACGCCGAAAAACAGGCTATGCAGATGCCGAAGAGAACCGCGAAAGTCCATTGGGTGGTGCTATTTATGACGACACCACTGAAAATAGTGGCCAAGCCACCAAGCGTGAGCGCCACATTATTCAACCAGAGCGGCTTAACACTGGGGAAGGAGCTCATAGAGCCACACACTATCCTAGCAATGGTGTTAACCAATCCAATACCAGAGAGAACAGAAAGAGCCGCGGGCTTGTCCATGCCGGCTTGCACGGCGCGATCTTCGAGAAAGGCGAAGGGCACAAAGAAACCCATCATTGTGAGAAATCCGCTAAAAGCCAGGCACATGAACGACGGCGACTTCAGTAGGCTGGTGTCCAACATGGTTGACAGCGTGCGACGTACGGCTTCGGGGCAAATGCGACATCCCCTCTGGCGATCCTCCAGCATGTCCTGTTTGGTGGGAAGACGCGTGACGGACATGTGATAGGCCAACGAGGTTTGCGACTGATATTGCGGTATGCGAGTGAGGGATCCGGTGAAGAATATGTCGTCACGATACATAGGACGGGATTTAGAGGTCTGACCATGGTGTGAATCGTTGGCGGGCGCTGCACCGCGTTTGCCAGCAACATTGATGATGGGACGACGTCCAGAGACAGTGTGACGGCGGGCCTGAATAGTAACTGCCTTGCTCTCCAACTCCAGCAAGTTGTCATTCTCCTCATCCTCGTTGTTCTCGCCCACAGTAGTGAGTTCCTTGTGTAAGTTGAAGGTCAGCTGCTGTGGATCACCATTGGGCGTGGTCGGCTGCGATTTACGCAGCTGCTTTAGCTCCGTCCCTTTGCTAGCCGCACCATGGCCAGAGGGACGTCGCTCGAGGTTCATGCCTTTGAAGATTTCAGCAGCTGTGGGATAATGATTACGTTGCGATGCACCCATATAGGTGTTGTGGGCCGAATTGGGCATGGAATAGGCAAAGCGGCCCTCTGGCAAGGGCTTCGTGAACGCTGCTTGATGAAGTTGTGGTTTGGGCGCCACCGTATTGCCATGACCATTCAACTTGGCCTTCTCCTCCTCGGTGCCAGCACCGTCGACTGTCGGTGCCAATGTTATGGGCTGTATGGGCCGGAAGGCAAGTCCAAAGATGCCGCACAACAGAATGATAAGACCCTGCAAGGCCAGAGTCGTGCGCCAGCCAAAAGAGTCCAATAATATGGTGGTCAGTGGCATGAAAATGAAATTGCCGACGCCAGACCCGCAGAGGGCGACGCCGGTGGCCAAGGCACGCCACTTTTCAAAATAGAATCCGATAATGACCACCGCTGGTATGTAAACCATGCAGAATCCAATGCCTCCGAGGACGCCGTAGATCAGGAAGAGGTACTCAACACTGGTGGCAAAGTAGGAGAGTCCAAAGCATGCAGCTGCAAAGATGGCGCCTGAAATAGTGACCGGCCGGAATCCAAATCGATTGGCTAAAGCACTTACAAATGGTCCAGCCATTAAATAGAAGCCACTGAGCAGCGAAGATACAAAGGCCACATATCCTTTAGATACGCCATACTCCTTCTGCAGCTGATTCTGAATCAGAGGCGAACAGAATACAATGCCGTCGATGACGGTGCAGCAGAGGAAGGAAGCAACCATCACCACCCATGCCCAGCCGCTGTCTGGCGGAACAACGACGGCGGCAGTGGCATCGTCTATCTCCTCCTCATCCTCTTCCTCCTCCACCTCCTTGGTGTGGTTGGGATTTTTGGACACGAGCGCATTGAACGTCAGCTCGTCATTTGATCTCGTCTGTTGGGTGGCCATTCGAGAGCTGCAATTAATCGAACGGAAAGCCCATTGTGGGTGGTTAATCGAATTTCCAAAAGTGTGGGTGTAGGCGGGATTATTGCATAAGGTCGACAAGAGAAGTATTTACGCCGCGCTCGTAATTTCGACTAACAAATGGCCTTCACATTGCTTTGCCGCAAATATCACGCATACGCCCCTTTAGTCACAAACACACAAACAAACTGATAGGTGGGTGTGTGTGCTGCGCGTACGCTACAAATATTTGCATGGATATATCTATTTTTAATTGTCACGTGTGCTACACTCGTACCTACCCCATAAGTATGCGACAGATATTGAGCCTGAATTCTACCATTTGCTATCTGTATCTGTGAGATACAGTAGCGCGTCGACGCGTCGTAGCCCACGTCAGTGGCATTATGAGGTGGGTGGCTGTCAAATGTTAACACCGATGCCTCCATTGTCAATGCCAAATATTGGTGACAACAAAAACTACAATACATACATACTTGTATGTATGTACGTCAAAGCATAAACAATAACACAAGAAAAACAAATTTGCAATTACTCGCACCTATGGATAATGGACAGTTTTTTAAAAAATGAACTTCTAATGCGAGATCACAAACGAAATTGCTTTTCTCTAAGTTCTTTCGCAAATTCAACGCCCATTGTGAAACTTAAATCTTGCGGCTAACAAACTCATGACCTTGAATATTTTGGTTTATCTAATCGGATCTGTGTTCATCATGTGCTTTATTGGACAAACATTTAAATTGTAAATGAAAACTGTTTATTTTAGGTGATGAGTCCATTTACATGCACGCATCTTTTGAAATATATACGTATATATCTTTTCCTTAAACCTACTCTAATTGAATATACGAGCTTACTATAAGTATATACATAGACTAGAGCGATTACCCCTGGCTTTATCCCAATGATATTTTTTATGAAAGCTATATATTACACAAAGTAACAGGCAGACCCCATTGAGTAGATATATTCATAATCTCTATGACGAGGCATTCGTCTATCTGGATGAACGTCTGGATTTTAGAAACGTCTCAACCCATATTAACGAAACTTAGTATGTTGAATCTCCTTATCCTCAACACAAGTTTATTTTATTTACTAGATTTCCTCTCCTCTCTCTACAGATTTTCTTAATTAAATAATTAATACGGTATTCTCCACCTCTACTTTAGTTTTCATCCAAACATAATTATATTATTAATAGGTTGAAGTAGATGTTTTCATCTTCAATAACATTTTATCCAAGAGATCTGATGGAATGCGTGTAAAGATTTTCATTTTCATATATACACAATATGTACGATGCAAAATTGTTTCGATTTCAAATTCCATTATCAACAAAATATAATATTTTCTACATATCACTTATTGGACCAGTAGGTTAACATTGTTCCTCCATTATCATTATTATATTTCAAAACTATCAGCATATAGTATATAGAGGCGTCTTTTGCAATAAAGAGGCTTTAAATATACAGATATTTTCTTAACGGCGGTTAATAACAGGGTCTAACATAATTTTCCCACTTTCAGTTTAAGTTTTCTTTTATCATAGCAGTACCTTGATGGGCGGAATCGATTCAACAGTCAGGAAAGACAGCTCATCCTATTCGAAACTCCTTACTTTTATCAAACCGCTTCTTAGGAAGCAGAATTTAAGTGCAGTATGTGTTTCTGGCAATCTTAAAATCTAATCTACGTAAGCTTATGGTTGCATAAAGATGTTTATTATTATATAAATTTAAACGGATATCGTACACGCGATATAATACAAAAACAAGTTGCAAATAGATTTATTAAAAGCTTTCATTTTATTGCAGACTTAGCAAGAACAAAAAACGCGATTCTAAGTTGCTTGTGCTTGATAACCAACAATTAATATTTACTAGCAGCCATTTTTAAAACTGTACTAATGCTGGTTCATTGTTTCAAAATAATAAATGGCGTTTTCCAAAAATAGCATATCGTCATGTCCGTCTCTTCCTGTTTATAAGAATTGTTTGATCTAGACATGTTGATTGCGAGCTTCTACTCGAAAACCTGAAAATTGTAATCATTTAGCACATATAGAACAGTTACCTTTTGGCAAAAGATGTGCAAGGGCTTTATTGTGATAGGGTTTTGGATTAAACAGATTTAGCCTTAGCGCGTGTACTTAGCCATATCAGCTATTATGACTTGGCAACTGATTACCACTTGGTAACAGAAAAAGTGAACAAACATGTGATTTTCGTGCCGACAACTTGATAATTTCAAATTTACGATCCTAATAGAGTTTATTGTAATCAATATACATAGATGTCCAGCCATAGACCCAGCAACCACCATTTACACTTTATTTATTGTGCAATAATAATATTGCGACTAGCATTTCATTTCTGCCCAAATGGCCACGCACGTACTTATATAGAAAGGGTGTCTTTTTTGGCATTAAATAAAAAATCTTTCCCCTATTCCAGCTATTTTTGATTTAATACTTATATTAATTGAGTTTCCTTTTAAGTATTCTTACAAACATGGATTTCATTCTTCCCCAAATCTCTTCCTTTATTTTTAACGTCTCTGACTCTTTTTAACGTCTCTGAGCAAACACAGATCTCAACGAGTCGAACTTGTTATTCGATATTAATTTAATGTAAGTTTATAACCTGAATGTTTATTTAGGCATTTGCAGCTTTTCATGACGAGACTTAACGCTTATTGTATGGCATTATGATGATCTCAAAACATTTCCGAAGGGTAAACGGCAATGTACGTTATGTGAGTGTTGCCTGCCAAAGAGACACCCTTTATATATTGCCATGATTGTTGGACACATTGTTGTGACACACGTCTGGGCTAAGCTTGCTCAATATTGGGAAGCCGGGCAAGTGCTGCCTGCAACTGGCTCTTAAGCCAAACAACGGCAACAGCCAACTATAAATAGACAACGACTACTTGTTGCCGCGAATTTGTGCAGAATGGAAGCCGTTTTGTTTGCGGCACGGCCACAACTCAATGCACAAATTAAACCTAAGCCCATGCAACTGGCACGCCCTACACAAATACCAACAACAACAACAACAGCAAAGGGTACACCATGTCGATGTCGAGTTGGAGTCGCGTTTGTTTGCTTTTGCCTTTGGCTCTGGAGTGGAGCTATGAGTGGGCTCAACGGCATATAAATACAAGCATTACAGAACAATATTCTTTACACATGTATCCTCGTATCCTCCTGGCAGAGAGCCAATCCCTCCGTTGACAAACAGCGGCAGTCTCAGCAGTTCTCAGCGCCGGCTATTGGACCTATTGACAGGCGGTCTGGGCACCAACATTGATATCCCATCGATTGAATTAATAAATTTAATAGGTAAACACACATATAAGTAGCTAGCCATGCGGTGTCAGACATCGGCGTTGGCGTCGCCGTTGTCACGTATATACTACAAGTATATGTGTATATACACAGAGGGAAAAGATCAAGAACAAATCAGGCAACATTTTTTTCGGAACTAAAAGCAAATAAATTTGATTGAATAAATCAAACTTTTGGATTGAAGCTCCACAAATCAGACAAATTTATGAAATTAAAAAAAGATTCGGTAAGAAGAAACGTAGTACTTATTTAGAGTGTAACCCATTGATCTTAAGTTGAAACTTTAAATTGTTCTTTTCTCCTTCTTCAGTTTTGAAGACAACAGAGGGCTTTGGCGCTTCTTATAGTGATGTATATAATGTTTCGCATAAAATGTTTGTACAAATCAGTTTATCTTTTAAGTCGACAAAGAAATATTTTACACACAAGTCTGTGTGTACATATTCACTTCTTCTTTTTTAAATGCATTTCCAATTATTTTCAGTGTAGCTGCCGTTGCTGATGAGCTCGTGACGAGAGCAACAGCGACAGCGAAAATGACAGCGACAACTAGTTGCGCCGACACTGGCGCGTTCCTAAGAAGTTTTCCTGTTGCTGGTTTTCCTTTTAGCATTTCCACATGAGATACGAACTCTTATGTTTGTTTATCTGCTTGTGTGTGTGTGTGTGTCCGTACATACATCTATAGCTGCATATTTATTTATAACATGTTTCTTTATACGTCTGTCTATCTATTTGTCTGTGCACTCGTTTAGATAGCTCGGTTTCTCTGGGTCTGGTAATGTTGTCGCGGGCAGTTCTGTAACAACGGCGGCGTCTACACAAACAGACTTCAGGGTATAAATCCGGCACATGTTCTACTTAAAGTGAAGTAACGCACATAATATAAGTGGCAAAGTATCCTCACTTTAGCGCACATAAGTAAGAGTAATTCGACTGATCTTTGTGGGATATCAAAATCAAATCTTGTGTTACTGGCCAACACAGATTGGAAGTTTTGAGGGCTCAGCTACGACATTTAGTCACCTGGTAATCAAATATTTATAACTCCTAAATTGCAGAATACGCGGAAGAATTATCTTTAAATTTAATCAGTTATGAAAGGGTCAGCATTCGTTGGAGCCATAACTTCGAACTTCTCATTAACGCACAAATCTTTCTGGTAAGATATTTTTCTGCTTAGCACGAAGACCGGGAAACTGCTGGAAATTGTGCTGCGGCTTTTGGACCGACACAAGTTTTCTTAATAGCTAATAGATAACTCGCTTGTTGGTTACATTTACAGTCAATTATATATTTATATCTTTCAATCTTTCTTCTTGTTACTACAGCCAACTCCGGCAGTCTCTTTTAAAAGGTACTCTAGCTCAAAGTTCTTTAGGAGGTTTAAATTTTATCTCATCTTGGTCCATCTTTCCACGCCTTCTGACTCTCACATATTTACTGGATGGATTTCGTTCTTCTTATCTACCTTCTACGTTTCTTTGTTCGGCTATTTAAGAAGTTTCTCAAAATACTTATGCCTTTTATGCCTTTCAATACCAAAATTGGTTCCACCATAAATTGAGCAGTCGTTAGCCATCGATGTAATGCTCAAAATATTAATGAGCAAGAAGTGTATATGAATATTGAATGCTCGTACTTTACCTATTGGTGCTGAAGAGGCGTGGCTTAATACGGTAGTCAATACATTTAAGAGCATTGACACATGTTGACAATATGTACGAAGAAAATGTTGTTGAATTTATATTGGTTCGAGTTCTGTTTGACTGACTGACTAGATGACACGGTGAAATCGACAAAAATCAGCTCTCAGGCTCAATGGTTTTCACCGCAGGGCTGTGGTGGTGCGGGTTTGTGGCGCTCCAGCAAGCCCCCACTTCGAAATGTTTAAAGACACCGCCAAGTAGGTTGAATGAACGGCCTTTCACCCAAGTTGGGCATGCGCGCCAGCCCCCCAAGCGTTAAACGTTATTTAAAAGCGACATGCGCCGAACACTCGTAGCCCTACATACTCGAAATGTACGTGAATCAGAAATAAAGCGAGGAAGGAGAAAAAAGCAAAGATTGACGAAGCCATTCGAGTCGTGGTCGGTAGCAAGTCAGCGATGCCAGTGCCGAAATAAAAGTGATTTCTTTGTTTTGAAATGTTATAGTTAGAGCTTCAGAAGTTACTTGCAATTACATATTACTTGGAATATACATATGTACATATGTGTATGTATTTATTTATGTACATATGTATGTATTTAGTTTAGTAGAGTCCAGCATTATCAGCAAGTCGTTGTTGTCGGTCTCGCACTATCGGCACGAACAAAGGCGGACAAAGCCTGACTCGGTCAGGGAGTCAATGAACAATTAGTGGAACGTTCAATGCTCGGCCTCTTGGTCTCTGGAAATTGTGCATCCACTTCCACATATGGCCATCAAGGGCTTTTATCGGAAGTGGAGCATGGGACTTCCAATCAATTAATGTGCCAAATTATAGACACTAAAAAGTATTAGTGTTAATTTTCGACTACTTGGAAAGTGTTGTCAAGGCGTGATTTCTATTTACACACCATGTACCTGCATTTGCATTTGTTTCGATTCGGGTTATCGACACGTGTTGTTGTCAGTCGTCGATTCTGTTTTCCAAATGACGCACCGGAGGTATAATCGCAATCTCATTGACATTGACGTTATAACATTTAAGTTTTATTCTAATCTGGCATCTCAAGCAAACAGCTTTCCGCTCAAAAGTTGGCTGTCAATAAGTTATTAAAATTGTTATATAAATAAATAAATGTGTATATATAAGGTAATCATATCACTATCACTAGCCGTATAATCTAACGTCAAATCATTTTCGAATTCGCCAATTAAAGTGCATATTTCATGTTTATTATGAACTAAGAAAAAACACAATACTGTAGGCATATTTTCGCATTTCCTTCTGCTAACATTTTCGCTTCTATGCAATATCTTTTTGGTTCACAGTTGATAATAAAATAAACAACAAATACATGGCTTGCTTTTTAATCAAGTTTCGTGGACCTTCTCTAATTCTAATATTCACGTTAGTGGCTTATTTAAGTTTAATATTTAAGCAGCTAACCACTTCATCTGCCTTTCGTAAGGACTTCAACTATTTCTCAAATGCTTTCTCAAAAATGACTTTACATTTACATTTTTATTATACAAGTACATACATATATTCATTAAAAAGAATTTTTAATTTTAGTAAATATATATTTAAAAGTTCTTAAAAACTGCAGCAGAATGAAATTCCGAAGAGTTTTCTATGTGAATACTTTTTTAATGAGTGTTAATCAACTCTTAGCTATACTTAAATAGGTGAATTAATAAGAGGTTATTTCCGCTTAAGCGTTTCCCAAATCAATACCTTATAAATGTGTAGATAAGTACCCAATCATGAGAATTGTAGAATTTTCAAAATACTTATTATAAAATGAATGAACATTAGCTCTTTGTTAATTTTGGCTGTTCAAAAATGCATTACAATTCAAGATTAGTTCCAGGAATACCAATAATATAATACCCGTATTTAATAATAGAAAAAGCATTGGTTAATTCTATAAAGTGTTTACTGTACTAAAAACAAAAGAAGCAACTGGAACTGTCTCGTCTGGGGCTGAGGCATTGCCATTAAGGATTTTATATTCGTTTGAACGCAGCTGACATGCCACAGAACCCACTCGTGCAAAACCACAGCAATACCGCGGGCAATAATTAAAAAAAATATATAAAAATGGGTAAAAGCGCAAAAAATGGAAACTAAAGCAACGCCTTAACGTTATTTGGCAATGACGAGGCGTTGTTATTAATTCCAAAAACATGTTTATACCTACTTATGTATGTACTTGTAGTATACTTGTATGTTATGCTGCGGCATCTAGATTTCTAGTCACAATTTGTTTTTGTAATTAAGTGCAAAAGTGTTATTCTTGTTGCTGTTGTTGTTATTATTATTATTTGTATTCAATGATAAATGCGCATTTCAAAACGAAGTGCCATTATTGACGACTATCAGAGCAGAATGTTTAATTCGAAATGTAATTAGACGATGCTTTTGGGTCAATGGCATGCTGCACGATGAAGTAGTTGGTGGGAGAGGGGCGACTTGACGTACCAGTTGCAGTTCTAATGCTTCTAACGCGTCACGGGGATATTGATACCCATGTATAATACTTATATATGTACATATGTATTATATGTATTGGCAATGCGGCTAACTTAATTGTTTATAGCGGCATTTTTATGCATGAGCCATATACTTGTACTCGTACAAGTTGAAATGTTTATATGTGTTGAGGTATAACCGGTATGTTATGCAAATAACGAGACACGCGCCTTATATTGTTTACCTAAAATGCCGAATATTGTCAAAGATCAAAGAAACATCAAAATACCAATCAATGAGTCATTCGCAGAAAGATACCTACATACCTGTACATATTTTTCTAGAAAGGTGTGTTATTCATGATGTAGACATATACATACATATAAGATGTGCGGAAATTGAAGACATCTACATGAAAAGCAAGCATATAGCATTTTGAAATGAACAAAATATTTTGTAATTAATCAATTGATAAAGAAAGAGCAATTACTTTTAAATGTAGCTGCGCAGGTCTGTGTGGCTTAAGGCGCATTTGCATATACTATATGTACATATTTACATACAAATGAAGGTATATATATATATATATATATAAATACATATATGCATAGAGAGAGACTTGATAAAGTCGCCTTACAATCTGCAGCTGTCGTTTAACACATGAACCTATATAGTATGTGCTAATATCGATCTATCTAACTTATATTCCCCGTACACGTATACGTATACGCATTTCAGCAGCTAAAACGTTTCTTTGTCTGTTTCTTCACAAGTTCAGGGCAAAAGCTGCAGCAAGCAGTGCCAATCCGTCAGTCAGTCAGTCAGTTAGTCAGTCTTGCAAGCCAAGCCAAGCCAAATTGCTGAAGCTGAAGCCGTTAAGCGGCCGGTTTTAAGTGATTCCTGGTATTGAAGCGAAGCCTTGCCTGAAATTGCCGACAATAATAATACGACCAAGGCACATGAAGTTAGAAGAGTGTGCCTTTACCTATTCTATCCTGGGTGGAGGGTTGGCGGTTGGGGGGAGAGAGATGTGTAGGCCCGAGCCGGCAAGCAAGACACTCTGCGACACTGTTGTTTGGCCAAAAACTTGTTTTGGCCGGCCGGGTCAAGATACGACAGCGTTCGAAAATAATGTGTACAGAACTTGGCTAACAGACACTCTCTTTAAGGGGAGTGAGCTGTTGTGTGTGCAGGGCGTTTCCTTACCTTTATATCGTAAAGTCCTTTGAGTATTTATTCGGAGAATGATGATTCGGCACAGGACACTTCTCTTCAATTCTATTTTTAATTTTCAATTCTGTATTTGAAATTTAATTGCAGAGTTTTTGAACTATTTTTGGCCGTGTGGCGTTTGCACGCCACCTTTTGTTAATAGAATTTTTTCCGTAGCTAGTGTGTTCTGTGCGTGTGTGTGTGTGTGTGTGTGTGTGTGTGTAGGAAAGCGAAAGCAGCGTCCACACTCGCGCGTATTTAAAAGCGAAAGTTAACGTAGGCAGGCAACAACAACACCATCAACTACGACTAGAAAATGCGGGGATCGTCGAGCAGCACAAGTAAAAATATCTGTATCGGTTGTCAGTCCAAATTTTGTTTTATACATACACAAAACATATACACTCGCATATATACTTATGTAGAGCACATTAAAGCATTTGCATAAGATGTGACGCTACTTTTTATACTTTTTCTTTCTGTTCTGAGCCACACGCCGTATGCTAAACGAAACGCGCTTAAATACAAAAATCCGTTTATATTTCTTTATTTCTTTTTGCGTTTTTGTGTTCTTTCCAGTTCCGTTACAAGGCGCGATCAAGCGCCTACGACCGATGCGAGCGACAGCCTAAATATAACTAAAGGGAAATGTGCTAGCAGTAAAAACCACTAAGCAGAAAGCAGCAACAGCAACAAAAGCAGCAACAACAGCAGCACCAACAACAGCAACAACAGCAGTAGCAGCAGTAGCAGCAGCAGAAAAAGCAACAGAAACAGCGACGAGAACTCAAAAGTTGTCTCGCAAACGTTTGGAGTGTGCGTGAATGTGTTAGTGTGCCTCCAGTTGTGTTGGTTTGGTTAATGTTAAGGCTATGCGCCTGTTATATTAGTACGTATACATATACTATATGGGGCTGGCTGATAAGTAATCGGCCTAAGTTATAAAACATCACATTTTTGAGTGGAAATCCGTTTATTTCTCCATTGAGGAGAATAAGATGGAAGCCATTTAAAGATAATTCCATCTTAATCGATTGTCTTTTATCATTTATCATGTCTTTTATCATTTCATGGGATATGCCAGCCATATTTTGGGAGGCCTGTCTGTACTTCCAATATTTCAAAGTCGATAACATATTGATAACATTGATATAGATAACATAAAATTTAGTTTTGATCTCATCACGCAATACTAATTTTTTTTTCATTTAGATTCGCGCATGTTGGTCTGTTTAAAATCGAATACCATACTGATGAACTATGTCCATTAGTATAATTCGTATTTGATTGAAAGCACTGTTTATTCTTAGTTAGGCCGATTACTTATCAGTCACCCCTCGTGTACACATATGCACGTATTATCAGAAGCATGCTACAATCTCTCAGATATGTCCATATGTATATGTGTGTCTATATGCAAGCCACAGTACCACATGTGCTGGCTGATTCGTCATTGATTGTCAAAAAGTAACAAACAACAGCATATGCGAGCAGCTTTTGCGGCAGCGCAGCAGCATTCAGGCAACATGGCGTACTGGTAATATTTTGTAATGCTGTTAATGCATTTATCCATTAGTAATGCAAAAGGACACAAACATACTTATGTCGAATTTCACAATTATTGTTATTTGCGTAATCAACCAAAAATTCTATACTAAAATATGTATATTTACATAGGTTCTAATTCTAAAGTAACGCAAACTTGAGCCCAAATCGTTTGCATGTCTGACCATAGCTTACTTTGCGCTCTTCATTCTGTTATTTTCATTAACCAAAATCGCCTCTGCACGCTGCTTCGTCTCAGAAGCCCCGTACGTATACGCAACGCGACGCAACTGGTTGTTGTAGCAGGGCTGGGAGCATGGGATATGTTGGGAATGTTGACATTGTTGCTCTTTGGATATACATATGTATGTATATGCTCGCACGTATGTACTATATGTACATGTGTAAGTATATATGTATCTTTTCATACATTTTTCTAACTAAAAAATGTTTTTTTTTTAAATTACCAAAACCGCTTGTTTGATATAAAATTCATTGTGTAGACGGGACTACAACCATACATATTGCATGTACGTATATATTCACAAGTTTGTTTACTTGTATGCGTAATTGTGTATTCTGTCTGTGCGTTGGTGCGTGTGTACGTTGGTATGAATGTACACACATACATGCATTTATCGGTGTGATGCGGGCTTTTTCCATTACCAAGATAACAAAAAAATGAATGAGATTCATTCACGTTTTCGTGCTTCATATACATATAATGCCAAATAAAAAGAGATTATCACAAAAGTTAACGACATTATTGAGTAATTATTTCTCATTATTTATTTGGCCAATACCTTGCCACATATTTATTTACATATGTGTATATATTTCTATTTCGGAGACACCGACACGTTAAACGTACGTATGTACATATGTACATATGCATGTATGTATGTACATACATACATACGAGTATACATATTGTGAAATTCTGATGCGAAAGTCGAGTTCATATGATTAAGATAAAGTAAACAAACAAAAAAACATAAAGGCTGAATGAATTTATCATGTATGTATGTATGTATGTACTTACATACATACATATTCTATATGAGTTGTTTATATTTATTTACTTTAGTGTCGCAGCATATGTAAGCTTTGCAGAAATACATACACGTGACTAAATATACTAAGTATATTTGAACAAATAATTGAAAAATCCAAAGGTTCCTGATACTAGATGGTAAATTTCAATAACTATTGATAAGCAACAAGGTTATTGCTCGATATTTGGTATCATAAATTTTTTTGATTAAGTTTATTTTTGGTTCTAAGCATATTATTATTGAATAAACTTATAATATACAGCGATTAACGAATCGCAATTGAATGTGACAATGAAATTATATAAAATCAAAATTGTAGTGAAAATTTGATCTTTTAATGATTCAAAAAGCAATAATATTTAATGGTTAAATAATATTTATTTGTTTCGTAAGCCTTTTTTTTCAAAAATCCGTTGGTGATAAAAAAAATCAAAATGTTTTCATTGTAGTTGAAATTTAACCTTTTAATAATTCAAAAGGCAATAATATTCAGTGCTTAAGTAATATTTATTTTTTTCGTAAGCTATGTAAGCTTTATATTGTATTAGGTTAATTAAATTAGTGTTTAATTAAATTTTAGGGATACTAATTACACCAACTAGAAGTATTTATTCAAAAATTCGTTATTTGATATTTTTGAGATTGGCAGTACTTTAGTGCTGCCATTCACACAGCTGTATTCCAAGCTGCCAACACTTTACAGCACTTCAAACCGCACCGAATACCTATAATGGAAGAAGAAGATTTTGACATTGCCTCTTTCTTTTATTTCCGCCATTGCCTGAGACAGTTGGAAAATCATGGGTGAGTTGTTAAAAACTCTACTTTTTGTGTGAAATAGCCGTTTCCTTACAAAAAATCAGTATATAAATGTAATCAATCAAGTTATGCGCGCTAAAACGTAAGTAAATTTAAATGCAGCGCTGCATACTTCCGGCCGTACACCAACATTAAGAACTGCTAAAATTTGCTAACAATTTTGAAACTACATAAATCCACGTAAATCCAACGAATCGTTCTATATAATCTAATATTCACATGTTTTTTGGATTAATACGATTGTTGCAGTGCTGTAAATACAACTATTGTGCGAAACAGCTTTTATCTTAAAAAATTTAAGGTGCACCCAAACTAACCTAAAAGTGCCGCCGCGTTATTAATATTTTTTGTTTACATAGTCCGATTTAGCCATTTTCAAGAACATAACTAATGTGTGTTTTCTACGTGTGTTACAGGCAAGCCAAGAGGTCTGCGAACAGCCAGAAAGCATGTGAACCACCGTCGTGACCAACGTTGGGCCGACAAGGACTACAAGAAGGCTCACTTGGGCACAAGATGGAAGGCTAATCCTTTCGGCGGTGCCTCGCACGCCAAAGGCATTGTGCTCGAGAAAGTGTAAGTGTGCAATCGAACATATTTTAAATATGCTGGTGTCGTAATTAATCATTTGATGCGGGTTTGATGTCTCGCAGTATACTTTTGTGCTTTGTTTACTTTGAAGCTCAAATCACAGGATTATACTGTGAGTTGCAACGCGTACTAGCAGCAGTCAGTGAGAAAATATCTTCGTTCCTTTTATATTTGATTGGAACTAATGAAATTTTCCTTTTTTTGTTAGTGGTGTTGAAGCCAAACAGCCCAACTCTGCCATTCGCAAGTGCGTGAGAGTGCAGCTCATCAAGAATGGTAAGAAGATTACCGCTTTCGTTCCCCGTGACGGTAGCTTGAACTACATTGAGGAAAACGACGAGGTCTTGGTTGCCGGTTTCGGTCGTAAGGGTCATGCCGTCGGTGATATTCCCGGAGTCCGTTTCAAGGTGGTCAAGGTAGCAAACGTTTCACTGTTGGCTCTATACAAGGAAAAGAAGGAACGTCCTCGATCGTAAATCATGATAGATTTATCTTTTTCCACGCCAGAGTTAAGGTTTTACAAATCTAAATAAAAAGAAATCTAAAATACCTAATTTTGTAATTTATCTTTGGATGGTTTTGCCGCCCGTTAAGTTGAAATTGGTTCCATGACGGGGAAAATCAAAATGTTGAATACGCTTAGTTAAAGCGGGGAGCTTCATTTAGTTCATTAAATAATTTGTACGGGCATGTTGCATGTTTTTGCATCACGAAATTAGACGCATTCAAATTTTTTGAAATTGGGCAAAGTAAAAAAGATTGAAAATTAACGTATAAAAAGGTCTTTTAATTTTTGAAAGTCCAACAAATGAAAAATCTTTATTTTGGAGAAAAGTAACTAGGCATGTTCGGCGTCAGAAAATTTAAATTGGAAAGAGCCTTTTAGGAAAACGAATTTAAAAACACCAAACTGTCCAGCTGTTTATAATAAAATAGTTAGGAATAGTTATACTGTTTTATATTTATTTGCTTGGGGTAGTCTTAATGAATATACAGAGACTGCAGCTTATGGAAAACCACTTAAAAATTAATGGATAATAGATAATTTCATCATTGTGTTGCGTCTGTAAGTGCTATTTCATAGGTGTAAATGCCAAGAGCGCTTCTCATCAGTAATACCCATATTGATTCGGAAGTGCATCATAGAGTTGCCTTCATGGGTATCGACCATTGTTGTAATTGTTTGGCGAAGGGCGTCTCATTGTCCGGCGACCCCGTGAGCGGTTTGTGAATATGCGGTTGGTCGGAGGCCCCGAAAGTGCTTGATCAGGGTTGCGCTGATTAATGTTATGGTTTCGAACGCTGCCCGGTGAGGCGTCACCCTGCCAGATTATCGGGGTTGGCCTATTGTTGGAGGGTCCTCGCATCATGGCACGAGAGCCGCGACGAGTTGGAATAGTGCTGCGCAAGGTGCGGGATCGTGTATTCTCTGAAGGTGATGTTGCCTCAGCTTCGCGACCCTCCTCCTGCAACAAGAATGAAAAAAGATTGATATCACTTATGCAAAAACCTGTACAGATGTTCAATTTTAACTAAGTTGTGGATGTGTGACAGACAAAGCAGCTTTACAGACTCTTCCATTTCTTCTTAACTTTCTATATCTTACCTCAACTCCTTCCACCGCCTGTTTCTCACCCTCTGAGGATACGCCATCAGTACCTTCGTTTTCCTCCGAGCCACGATCGCTTTGGAGGCCTTGGTTGTCCGCAAACTCTGATTGACTTGTTCCGACGTTTTGAGCTGTGGATAAATAAAATGTACAGATATGGGAATATGGAAAATAGTTTTGAGTTTTACCACATACTTTCGCTGCCCGACTGCTGCAAATCATCATCGTTACCAGCTTCTGTTTCTTGTGCAAATGCTTCATCAGCTTCGTTGGCATTGTCGATGCATGCGTCGCCGCTTTCATCGGGATTTTTGTGGGGGTCCGCCGTACTTGTTTCTGCACCCTCATTTGGCTTTGGGGGAGAGTTATCTGTGGTGCAATCGACACTAGTGCCAGCACTATCCTTCACCCCGCTTTCGTCCACAGAAGTTCCGTCTACTTCAGTATCCATGCCCGTTGACTGCTCACTAAAAACAAAGTTTGAAACCTGCGGTGAACTCACAATTTCGACGGAACTATTGGATAAGAATTTAAAAAATTAGTTTCCATTTGATATAATAAATATTTACACGATTGCCACAATTGTACTATTTTGGTCTTTGGGAGTACATACTTTCTTCTTATACATCAACATGAGAAACACATATGTCTTCTGTTATAAACAAATTTGATCAGCATCTAGAATTTTACAAAAATATAGTTTTGCGTCTTCTGTACTTACATTTTTATCCGCAAATCGGTTTTTTGATTTTTAATTACATAGTTGACTAAATAGAAGTGAAACGATCCGTATTTGTTTGGTTCTTAAATTATCCCCACTAAATAATTATTACAAAACTTTAATGCAAAAGATAATACTCGGTATTATTTGATGGAAGTCACATAGTAGCTGCATCGAAACAATTAGTCCACGAATGAGCCTTTCAGATAATGCGCCATGTTTTTATATTTAAAAGTCTAAAACAAATATCCAATTACATATTTGATGTTTTTTTTTCACCACGAAGCAGTGCTACGTTCTGTCTTGATCAAAAATTGTACTGTTAAGTGTGGCAACCGTGATGGTCGTGGAAGGAAGCTTACTTCTCTGTGCGACGGCTAGCTGCTGAAGTCGACGGAGCTTGCTTCCAGGCGAGCTCAGCTTGTGGAATATTACTTGAATTCGATTCGCCACTTCCACTGCTGATGGCTTGGCTTTGATTATTTTCCTGCACCGATACATTAGCTGAAGCTGCGGCATCTAAAATTTCTCTCTCCTCTTGGACTTGTAATGGCTGCTCGGACATTTCCACTTCATTGTTGTCTTGCACCTCTGCTGGTAGACTGTGCTCATCGTCCACACCTTCGTTGTCGTCCATTTCATTGTCCTGTTCATATGAATCTTCGTATCCCTCCTGTTCGCCATCACCACCATCAATGGGGCCATCATCTGCATCAGCCAAAGCATCCTCATCGGAATCAACAACAACAATATCATCTTCCTGGTCGCGTTGCGATGATGTAGGCATTTGGTCTGCATCCATACCAGAGTCTCCTATGTGCGCTCCAGAGAGTTCTCCACTATGCATGGGTGCACGTAAGCGCTTGCCCAGTTTGGCTATTTTCTCGGGTACACCCTCCTCGGCGTTGGTCGACGAATCACCCTCAATGTCACGCGGTCTTTTGCCTATGCCAATTGATGAGCAACCGGCCTGAGTGGTCGTTACATTGCTGCTGGATGGGGTGTGCCGACTGTGACTGCTGACTACGGTTGAGGAACTGCTGCTGCTGCCCGATGTGCTAGGCTGCTGCTGGTTGCTGGCCTCCTGAGAAATTAGGACACTGGGAACTGTCTGATTTTGTGTGGAGGTTGTGCTAGTGGATGTCGACGATGAGCCTTCGACACGGGGAGACACCAATGCGACTACCTGTTGCTGGGAACCACCACCACTGCCGCCACCACCCACAAAGAGTTGTGCATCATTCTGTTGCGAGTGTTGTTGAATGCTTTCGGCTTCCTGCGAACTTTCGGCGGCAGACGATGCCCCCATCGGCGGAATGGCGGCAACAGCAACAGCTGCTGAGCTGGTGGACGGCATGTAATCTGTGTGCGACGAAGTTGGCGACGATGAAGCCATAGACTCCAGAGTCGCGCTGCCAGTAGTATGTACCTGCTGCTGTGGTGGCACCAAAGCCGTGTTGCCCGCTGAGGAGCTGCTACTGCCTGTGCCCGAAGTGGCCGATGATGCCGACGATGACGATGTGGACGTTGAGGATGTCGAAGTCGAAGCATTGCCCGCTGAGGGTTGCTGACTGGTTGGCAAGATAGCGGCCGTGCGACTATTCTGCACTGATATGGGGCGTATGCTGGCCAGTGGCGTCTCCCCTCCACGCCAAGGAGTCACAGTGGCCGATTGTTGCACTGTAGCCGAGCCCGACATGGGCTTGACGTTGGCAGTGCGTGGCGAAGAGTCGGATATGTTGCCCTTCTCAGCAATGCCCACAGAACTAGTCGAGGGTTTTGTTGATTGCTGAGATCCCAGCTGGCGTGTCAATTGGTTGATGCGCAGATGCAAGGATTCATTGTCCCGTGTAAGACGCGCATTTACATCCTTGTTGGAAGTAATATGCTCCTGTAATTCCTTTTCCAGGCGTGCAATCGTTTCATCATAACTGGTTTTGGTTGCAGCAAACGATGTTTCCTGATTTGCCAGCTCCGTCCTAGTAACTGTAAGCTCATGCACTAGTTTTTCTATTTTCTGCTTGGATTCACGCAGTACAGCAGCCGTGTCAATGTCGATGGTGGAACGGGTCTTCAGTTCATCACATTCGGTAGTCAATTTGTCTTTTTCCTCTTTGGTGGTGCGCAATGTGTTATTGACTTCTTCTAACTCGGTGCGCAATTTCAGCAACTCGGCTGCCTCGGTTCCGCCTACCTGCGCCTGTAAGCCCTGATAGTTGTCCTTATAGCGTTTCGCCAGCTTGCGCAACTGCACCTCCTTCGTTTCCTTCTCAAGTATAAACCTGTCCTTGGTCTCAATATCTTCGTTGGCCTTCAGCAGTTCCTCCTCCTTTTGCAAGAGACGATTCTTCAGCTCCATGATTTCCTGCGTCATGCGAGTGATATTTTGTTTTAGCGAAATTGCCTCTTCGCTCAGTTTCTTGCGCTCTTCACTTAAAAGTTGAATATGTTTATTGAGCGCAGGCACCTCGCTCTCCAGGCGTGACTTGTACGAAGCTATTTCCTCGTTAAGTTTCTTTATGTGTTCCTTTTCAGCCGTTAGCAGCTTGGCTAGATGTTCCCGCTCGGCTTGCAGCCGCTTGAATTCTTCGGGGTTTCTGTTGCTCTTCTCGACTAGGGCATTGGCACGCTGACGCCATTTAATAGCTTCGGTACGAAGCGAAGTGTTCTCCACGTTAAGCTCTTCGATCTTAGATGTCAGCTCTTTGTTGCTGCGCTGCATGGGGAACAAATCCTTCTCTACACTACTAATACGCTCAGTTAAATCGGCAACTCGTTTTGTTAATAAATTACGCTCCTCACGTAATATACGATTGCTGTCCGTAATAGCGTTAAGGGTCTCGATCTTGCGAAGCACTTCCTCATGTTTTGAGGCGGAAACAACGTCTGTTTCGCTCCTAGAACGCTCCTGATTTAAATAGCCATTTAATTCATCAACCTTCTTTTGCAGTATAGTGTGCTCGGAAACGAGGCGTGCGTTTTCAGCCTTCACAATGTCTAGTTTAGCGGAATACAAATCCTTTTCTTTGCGTATGAATTTAATTATTTGCAGAAGCTGCTCGTTCTTAAGCTCCTCACTTGCATTGGAAAGATTTAAGTCGGTAGTGGAGATGTCTGGCTGCGATTCGTTAATACTCTGGTTAGGGGCAGATTGTGTTAGTGCGGCCAGTTTGGTGGTCAAAGCTTCAATTTGGTCGTGCAAGCTGGAATTAAGTGCGTTTAAGTCAGCTGTGCGCTTCTCAAACTCATCCTTCTCCTTTTGCAGCATTATTTGAGCTTCCTCATTGGCCTTCTTTAGTTCATCGTGAGCCGACTGCAGAGAGTCCCGACCGCATTTAAGTTTGTTTAATTCATCTTGTATCTAAAAAAGGGGTTTTATGTTAACCTTTTATTCAAAAGAGAATTTTTTTGTTGCTCACCTGTGAAAATTCGGTTTTAAATTTGGTCAGTTGCTGAATATCAGCCGAATGCAAGACCATTTCATTGGCGTATTTGACCTCGACAGCATTGAGGGCATCGGAAAGTGATGAATTTTCAGCTCGCAGTTCTCGAATCGTACGTCCAGATTCGGTGAGTTTTTCAAGCAGGTTTTTGAGCTCTTCTTGCGACGTTCTTAACTGATCCGATTGGTTTGTAGACTTACCCTGCTCTGTTACAGTGGCGAGCATCACTTCAGCTTCCAAATCTGTTACACGCGTCTTTAGTTCTGCCTCGGATTTCTTAAGTTTTTTAATCTCCTCTTCTGACTTGGCCAAAATATCAGAATGTATATCATGCAAGCGCTTGATTTCACTCTCAGCACATTGAGACATTTTGTAGAACTGCTCGCCGTGCTCTCGAGCCTTAGCTAGCTCATTGGTTAGGGAATCAACTTCAATCTTGGTTTGCTCATATTTCAGCTCAAATTCACGTGCCTTCTTGTTCGCCGCTGTTATTGGATTCTCATTCTGGGAGGGTGTCAAGCTATCCTGCAGCTTCTTACTGAGCTCATTGAGCTGATTCACTTTAGTGGCCAGCTCTTCACGAACGCTTATTAGTTCCGCCTGTAATTTCTCGGCCTGTTGTTTCTCTTCCTCCATTAGCTTTTTAGCTGTTTCCGCCTGACGTTTGAACTCGTTGACGGTTTCGCGGAATTTTTCTTCTTCCTCCTGGAAATGACGTCGCTGTGCAGACAATTCACGGACGGTATCGTCGAGACGCTGTTCTAAACGCAAACGACCTTCAGTTTCGGAACGTTCTAAGTTGGCCTTAATGAACTCTAAGTTATTAAGCAGAAGTGTTTGATTATGCTGCTCACGATGGAAGCCTTCCTTTTCGGCCTGCAGACGCGAACTTGTGTCCTTCAGCATTCGATTCTCATGACGCAGATGATGTACTTCGGATTCAGATGTAGCCTGCTTGCGATGGGCATTCATCACCTCATCCTTAAGCATGTTTACTGTCTGCTCGTGTTTGATAATTGTTTTCTCATAGTTCTTTGTGCGCTCCTCAAGCGTTTCAATTTGTAGCTTATAGGTGGCAATGTTCTTTTGTAGAAGCTCAGCTTGTTCCTTTTGGAATTCGGAGGCGTTCATTAGCTTGCAATTTACTGAGGTCAGTTCACGAACTTCCTTGCGCATTGCATCGAATTGTTCCTGCAGCATGGCATCATTCTTACGTTTTTCGTTCGTGTAGTAATCATGGCTTTCCTTAAGAGCTGCATACTTCTTTGTTTCATCTTGCAGCTGTTGCTCCAAGCTTTTGATGCGACGCTCAAGTTTAGCCTCTACATCTTGAGTGCTTGTACTACTCATGGGCTTTGAAGTATCAGCAGCAGACTCGTCTGCTAGCACTGTCGAATCGTCCAGGTCGACCAATTGGTTGCCAGACTTCTTTTGAGCCTCAAAATAGAACTTCTTATAGCGTTCGCACTTGGCCATTAAGGTGGTAATGCTGTTGTTTTTCTGCGCCAAGACCTCTTCCATTTCCTCAAGCCTTTTTGCGGCCTTCTTAAGTTTTTCCTCGTGAACTTTAAGATTAAATTCATCATTTCTCTTCTCATTCTCTTCCAATTGTGAGCTCAAATCTCTTATTAAAGCCAAAATCTTTACATTCTTTTCTTGCATTTCAGTAATGGAGGCAAAGGTGACAAGCTCCTTCGAAATAGCGTCGTTTGAGTTATACACGGGGCCTGATGGCTTTTGGTGGCGTGAAGGATTGACGCCTGCGCGCAAGTAGTTGATCTCATCGAGTAGCGCACACACTTGGCGACTTAGATCCGTTTGTGATTGCTTGAGTTTCTTGTTCTCTTTTGTTGCATGTGCCACATCGAAGCGCGCGTTTTCTAAGTCGTGTTCGAGCTTTAGTTTCTTTTCCATCAGTTCGTCTCGTTGCTGCATCAAAATGTTCTGGGTATCAAGCAATTTGTTGTAGTCATTGCCTTGCTTTTCTAGCACGGGAGCACGTTCGTTTATTTCCATCACAATTGCCTTAATCTGCAACGAAAGCTGAGAGTTTTCGCGTTTTTGCACTTCCAATTCTTCGGCTGTTTTAGCATAGAGTGAGTAGAGTTCAGTTAGGGACATATCTGATCGAATAAGGCGACTGGCGACGGCAGCGGTAGGTGCCAGTTTGCAAATAGCACTCTCTAAGCTTTGTTCCTGCACCTCCTTTAGCAAGTCGTTTGCATGGGCTATTTCTGTCTTTAGGTCGTCAATAGTTTTGTTTAGACAATTCACCTCCTCAGCATGTGACTGTTTAGCCCTCAAAAACTGAGATTCCAAAGCACCATGTTGCTCTGTTGCTTCAGTTAGCATACGCTTCAAATCGGAAATTCCTGTGAGTAGCTCATTTCGCTCTGCAACGCTATCGTCCTCTGCATTCTTGTATATATCTACGAGCTTTTCCTTTGCATCTAGTTCTTTTTTTAGAGTGTCCACATATTGCTCGGTAGCCATATTGTGTTGGTAAATATTTTCATTTAGCTCTTCAATCTTCTTGTTCAAGTCTTCGATCGTTTTAGTATACTGTGAATTTTGGTTTTGTACTATTTGCAACTCGTCGGTCTTTTCCTTAAGACGTACTTCTAAGTGCATTGTGTTTAATGATTTGTCTCGGCGTAAATTGTTGAGCTCCGCTTGGTTGCGACTCAGGTCGGCGTTCAGCAATTGTATTTCTTTTTGCAGCATAGCATGCTCGCTTTCCAAGCGCCGCTCTTTGATGTCCAATGCCACCTCTTTGCTTTGTACTTCATCAACCCGAGCAATGGCTTCACATTTGGCGGTTATAGCGCTACTTAGCTGCTGCTGGTAAGTGTGCAAATCATTTTTCAGACGCTCGATCTCACTGTTCTGACGCTCTATGACCTTCAAAAGTGAGTCGCGCTCTTCAACTACAGCGTTTTTCTCCTTGCGCAGCGAGCCCACGCTGAGGTCATGGTTGCTGACCGAGTCAAATAATTGGGCACGTTCTGCCGACACAACGTCCAACTGGGTACGTAGCTCGGCAACATTTTGCTCAAAGTGGGTGAACTTTAATTGATAGTCTTTGATTTCGTTTTGCAACTCTTCAATTTTCTGCTCAGAATCATCTGAAAATGGGAGAGATAGAACTTAAGTACATGTATGCAACCTGCTGTCGAAGTCTCCCTAATGTCAACCTTTTTTTTAAACGATTTAAGTTATGCGAGAATTACATATTTGAAAACTGTTTACAAATAATTTCACCGGCTTTACTCACAAAGGCGATTGGCTGCGGCGCGTTCTTTGCAATATTCATTGAAAATTCCGTCAATATAAGTAGTAAGTTTATCCCGCAAACCGACTGACAACTGTTCAATCTCGGCGGACTCAAAAATGTTTTCCAACGACTGCGGACCATTAAGATCCATTTTAGACAAAAATTTTAATGTAATTTACACTCTTTTTATGTATTCTTAACCTGTCTGCATGCAACCAAATTATAGAATATACAAAACGCGTCTGAAAAAATTTGCAATGCAATAAAATCTCAAGTGTGTCCACACCTAAAGACCAAAAACAATAAAACCCACAATTCGCAACATGCCGGCTTTGCTTGTGTAGAGGAGCTCTAGCGCTCCAACGTTTTTCGGTCGAAAAGCTCATGACATGCGTTAATGGCTAAATAAATGTTATCATTTACTTACTTAGGCGATTGGCTGATGCTCGGTATTTACAATATTCATCTGAAAATTGTTCGATATATGCTGTGAGTTTTTCTTTAATGTTGTCTGGCACAAGCTTTAGTTCTTCCTGAAGGAGTATGCTGGATAGCGACTGAGGACCATTGAGATCCATTATTGTAATATGTGCTGCACTGTTTTTGTTAAGTATTTCGCTGCTTATTATTAATTGAAGTATACTTTACGATTGACGAAAAACTTGTGGACGTTCTTTTCACGCCAACATAAATCGCAGGCCTTAAATTAGTGATGTGAAATGAATAAAACTATCGATAGCTGTGAGTATGTACACACTTTTTAAGTACTTTTACAGCACCGTTGGGCGGCAAATGCAAATTTTTAAACCCTAACTAAATATTTACTGATGTAGAAATTTGACAAAATCATTGAATATGTTTAAATGGGGAATATATCATATGATTTTCTTTAAATTAAATTTAGGCGGTTCGGAAAACATATTTATGTAGTATTCGCAATATAAGGTAATGGTGGAAATGTAAAGCCGGTATGGCACAAAACCCGCACATAAACTTACATAACAAATAATAACAAAAAGTAAGGGATAAAGGCAGACAGCCATCAACATCGTGTGTGCTTGCTTGAACGACAGAGCCTGGACCAACGTGTGCTGCGCTTCATCTCTGATAAAAGTCAACTGCACCTACAGCGAAACTTGTGCAAACAACTTACACTGAACAAAACTGATGGCTCTGCGTCCGATTCATTCAAGCAACTCCAAGTTTGGCTTTCGTGTTTCTTTTCAGTGTAAGAGGGCGGACGATCTTCTTATCAATAATTTGTTTTTCTTTTATTTTCAGCATTTAAGTAAGATTCGCAGACGATAGCAGCTCAAGTGTCACACGCCCACAATTTTGGAGCAGCCGATGGGCCAAGCGGCTATAGGTTGTTGCCTGGACGCAGCCGAGATGTGGCTTAAGACGCTCTGCGCTGCTCTCCGTAGGTTCGATCAAGCTTAAGCCATTTGCACATGCGCCACTCCAATAAGCTTGTAGTTACCACCGCCATGGCCCGCTTTGATCCCCAGACGTGAAGGCGGTCGGCACACGCTTACTTTTTGTTTTGTTGTTCTTCTTTGGTCTGGCCGGCCTGTTGCTGTGCCTCGTTGGATTGCGCATAAATCCACGACCACAGCAAGCGCCGCCGGCAATTATCGCGATGTGATAAACAAATATTTTGCATCTAACCCACGTAGCGCTTGTGCGGGGCCGGCTTTGGCATTCTGGCGCTTAATTATGAACTCTGGTTGCTTCTTTCGGCATATTCTGAATACGAGTATGGATATATAGATGTATATTAATGCCTTACGCGTGGCCAAATGCACTTTTACCTGGGTGGCTTGTTGGCCTCGCTCGGCATGATTTTAGCAGGGCTTGGCCTGTGCCAGCAGTTGTAATATGCAATTTAGAAGCTTATCATTGCCGGATGCCAATCAGCTACAAAATGGGAGGTGACCAAAATAAGTTTTAAATATGGCTCTATTTGAGTATTAAAATTGATTTTCCCTTTTCCGCCAAGAACGGCGTGTGCGTAATTTAACTTTAGTTTTGTTAATTATATCGCCATTCAGTCAAAAGTTCTTGAAACTTAATATTTGATAAGCAGCAAATACTTATAAATTATAATTATATATATAAATTATAAATTATAGAATTAAATTCCACATTATATTGTTCATTCAAGTAATTAATTTTGGAATTGTACTCATTTAATTCTTGAATTTTTGGCTTAGTTCGAATGATGTATCTGTATTTTTAGAAGCTCGAGTTTTGTAGAAAAAGTTCGCATAATTATATATTAGAGGTGGCTTGGCATCATTTTAATAAATTCTTACAAGGTACAAAAAAAAAGACTTTTAGAGTTAACATAAGCCTGTTAATCTAACGTCAACCATTTCAATAACCTTAAAGGAACGTTACGTTCCTCATACAAAAAGAGACCTGATAAGTGAGTCTTATTTTAACCGATTTAAGCTGTGTTAGGGCCAAAGCGCTGACCGAATTCCACCTAAGAACCACCAATAAATAAATAATATTATTTATTGCAACAATTTAAGCATTTGAGTCGTTGAGCATAAGAATACTTATCATTGGCACCTTAGTAATCTTAATGTATTGACCTTTTTGTGGTTTTATTATATATAATACAAATTTAGGGTTGTTTTAAAACTTTTTCGCGTAAAGAGAAAACTTACTAAGCTTACAATGAATTTTATTTTATATCTTAACATGTGATATTTTAGGATTTCAACTAGAAGTTATACTTTTACATTACTTTTAATAAAATAAGTATTTCATACATTTAAATTACAATTGAAATTGTTTACGGCTAATCCTTCCATTTCGGTTTTACCGATTTTTTTTTTAAATTATAGTACAACAAACATGGCCTGTTCTGTGGCCGGTTCTGACTTGTTTGCAATAAAAGAACCCTCTTAAATCATCATTCTTAAAGCTGCACCAGAAATGGTAAATGAATTAGAATTAGAATTAGAGACAGTCATTGCCAAATGAATTTGCCAGCATCTTAATGGGGATTTGTAGTATTAACGTGTAATATGGGCCTGCATTAAAGTGTCTATTAAGCTTTTATTTTGTACAAACCATCTTTAATCGTTAATCGGCTAGATTAGCGGAAACTACTAACACTTAAAGATGTGGTTGTATCAGAATTAGAATTACATTGCAGTTGAAATGAAACAAAAATATATTAACTTTAAGCATCATCTCTTTTTTATATCAAGAACGATTACACAATAAGGATATTTGTGGGGAGTGATTAAATTGGACACTTGGTGGTTGTTTGCTTTTTCAACTCGTTTTGGATGCACCAATAGGAGGACAAAATAGAGAATCCCTTATGCTGCGTATTAAGCAATTAACTTTATAACCTTTAACGTTATAACAGTAACAATGAAATACATTGTAATTTGAAACCTCGCTCCTCCTCTTTGACACTTCTTGATTTATTATACATTTTAGGCAACATTGATTTAGTGGCGAAAGCTTAGCTTATAGGATAAGTTGTTAAAATAATCCATTGAAGGAAGCAAATCCTAATTAAATATTTATTAACAGTCCCTTTGGATATGATTTAAGAATTTCTGCTTTGAAATCAAAGTAGTGAAATATATATGTATGTATGTATGTATAAACGTTATAGACAATAAAGGCGAAGCCCTAATTTTCATATATTTTATGAAAATAGATCTACAGTGGTTCTACAAAGATTTCACATATTACCTAAAATATTTGCATACCGTTTATGCGTGTATTCTCACACATATACGTACATATGTATTTATGTATGTGAGCCATGTGCTTGGCTCGTTGTATGTAAGTACACTATCACACACACACACACATACATAGTAGCACAGCGCCAACGGCTCCACCAATTGAAACTAACCAAATGCAAACAAAGTCTCTCCCACAACAAAAAAAAAAAACGCAAGAACAGGTTTTTCTGAGCTGTGAGTGTATTAATGTGTGTGCATGTGTGCAAGACACAACAGCAGCTTTCAGAGAGAAGATATTTAAAAGACTGCCACTGCGAGAACGAATATTAAATAAGTCTGTTTCATTAGATTCAAAAGAACTTGCCGCATGCTTGTTGTTGCTGTATGAGATCGGCTAACCACTGGCCGTACACTGCACACTCTCCTGTCCCCCCAGTGCACCCCAGACACCATGGCTTCGGCCGTTCCGCTTTGCTGGGCAGCTGCTCTATGCGACGGCGCGCCTGCTCTCTGGCCTCAGCGATGCCAACAACGACAAAGTTGGCCCAAGACTGGCTGCGCGAAAGGTTTGTTCGTGCGCTTTTCTATACCCTATACTGAGCAACCCGTGAAAGAATATATTGGTTTCGTAGAGCTGTGTGTGTCTCGAAGCGAAAAAAGGCATTCAACACTTGTATTAAAATCATACGGAATGCCAAAACACATATTTTAGTTGATTGAATTAAATTATATTTTTAGTATCGCGTACAATGACAGGCTTCTGAGTCACCGCAGTTTGCTTGCAAGAGGACTCCTTCCTGCTAGACCTTTGCGAAGACTGAAACGATTAGGTTTTTTCAAAACATTTAGATAAGCATAAGCCACCACTAACTTATTAATCCTTGCGCGGAAGTGCTCTAGGTTGGGCTATTTTATATTTGTAAAAATGTATTGTTGAATGTCTGTTGAATGTTGAATGTCTGAATGCATGGCTTCAATGCTTTGATTAAACAGAAAAAAAAGTATCGCAACTAAATATGTTTAATAGATTTTTATAATTTATTTATTGAACTTATTAAGATCTTCATCAAAGTCAGAAATATTTCAGATATATGTTAATGGAAGCACCAAAAAAACAAGATGAATAATTTCTATCTGGTTGGAGAAAAATGTTGTATGATAGCTTTAGACATGGTGCTTCTTCTGAGTCTTGAGTGTGTAGCTGTCAGAATGTTTGATTTGGAGAGTATGTTCGAATTAGCATTTAGTTTTACGGAATACATATTTATTAACAATGTTTATAATTTTGAATATTTCGAATTTTTATTATAACGCTGAAGTATTTATTGTTGATGGATAATTAGACTACACATAATTATAACATATGTAGGAAAAGTGTTTTTGGTGTACTTTAACACTATTTTGGTATTATTAGTGTAGTTGTTTGGAATTTGCAGGGTATTCCATAGCCGACCTCTGCAGAGATATAGCCTTTTGACTTGTTGCTTTTGGCCTTATGCACCGCATCGACGATCGTCGAGCTTCGCGAATGCCGCCAGTCAGCTCACAGCCTGGGAGAGCGGCGCACACTCAGTTAGTTAGTTGCGGTTCGTCATCGGCACGGTTCAAGCTGTTATATCTGCTACAAGTATATCTGGCTAAAGCTGCTGCTTCTCCTCTTGTTGTTGTGGCTTGCCTCGCTTTGCGCGCTTATAATCATAAATATCTACATACTGTGTGTATCTGGGCCTGGGCCCCCCCCTCTCAGTATATAGGCCCGGTTATATGCCAATGCGTTGTTGTGCATTTTCCCAAGAGTGTAGTTGTTCGAGCGCGGCTGAGAGCACTTTGTATTTATAGTTTTATTTTTGTGAAATGTTAAAGCTGAAGCCCTTGATTTTAAGCACCAGATACGTTCATTAGTCGTCGCAAGACTTTTCGTGATCGTAAACGCGCTTTGCCTTTGTCAACTTCTCATTCGTCGGCGGCGTTGTGGGAGCAGCAGCCAAAGCTGCAAGCTCGGTATCAACGAATACTACGGTGTGCTAGTAAAAAATATAATAAAAAACCAATACGGAAAAGTGAAATGTGCGAGATACATATAGTAAATAAATGCATACATATATTTATATGTTTACTAAGAAGTTGATTCTGCGATAAATAATACAATAAGTGCGCTGATTGATTTATTATGATCCCCCAATGTGGAAATGTGCTTACAGAAAATGAAATGTGCGAATATTCAAAACACAATTCTCTTACGAAATTTTAATAATTAACGTGGTGGGTTAGGGCCCAAAACTAGCACAAGCAGCAAACAGAGAAACACAGATTTATATGTAAATACATGCATATAGTATATACATATATACATATGTACATATGTATGTATGCATGTTTGCATAGTTAAAAGACATGCCAACACACTTAGTTACACATATTCATCAAGACGAATGAGCAAATTTATGGTTTGCAGCTAACAGAGCTAAGGAAAATGGTACCACGGCCAAGACAAGGGAAAAAACTAACGGAATAATGCAACATTAAGCAAAATGCTGCTGGCCCTGCTAAAGCAAAACCGAAAACAACATCAACAACAACAACAACAACACAAACAACAACAAGAATCACATCGACCTGCCACCGCCATCGCCACCGACGTCACCAACACCGTTACCACGACGCAAACGCAAACGTCGTAGCCGTTGCTGTTGCCGTAGCCGTAGCTTTTGCCGTTGCCGTTGCTGTTGCTGTTGCCTCGCCATATAAAATGGAACCCTCATATGATCACGAACATCCACATCATCTGCTAACAAATTACAAGTAATATTTACATTTTTCCCATGCTAAAATTTTTTTTCTCGCTGTTTAATTATATCCAACTGAAGCGAAGATACATATCTTCAAGATAATAACCATAATGAAAAATGGAAACGCGCATGTAGTTGTGAAGAAATTCTCTAGATGTCTGTCGGTTAGCCGTTGCCGTGTGCATACAAACATATACATACATATGTATAGATATGTATATATAAATATATATGTACATATATACATATGTACATGTATGTATGTATGTGCAGTCACATGCACATGTTAAACATAGAGACTATGACTCGGGGTTTTCAAGACTTAGTCACATATACGTGTACACACTCGTACAAGACAACAACACAACAACGACAACAACATTCGACTTAAACTTAAACAACAACTAGCGACGGGGATGTAAAAGTATAGCGCTACTTTTTATACATCGCTTTAAATCGTTGAGAGTTTGCTCAGATTTGTCTGTGCTGGTGGCGGCTCCAGTTTTCCAAGACTCCCATAAAATACATACAACCGTAGATATTTTATATATAGTACTTACTTATACTACCCATGCCCATTTACGTGTCCCTGTTTCTGCATATACATACATACATACAATATATAAATGTATATATACTATGTATATATGTTTATAGGTATGCGTATGTCCGCTTTTGATTTCGTGTGTGTGCGTGTGTTTGTATGAATATGTAAATACGCCCGCGAATAATTTAGATTCGTCTTACTGTGTCTTTCTTGCGGGCTAAAATACAACTTCAGACTCAGAATTGGTCAAGTGGAAAGTAAACCAAGAGAACGCTCTTCGTTCTTCGCTTTCTTAGGGTAGCCGACATAAAAACTGAAACTCAAAACACCATGAGAAAAGTTCAAAACTGTGTATGGACAGAGGTCATGCGGTTTCGCTCATTAAATATTGTAGATAATGCTAAACATTTATTTTGATTCAGCTACTTCTCAGATGTAACAGTTTTGATAACAAGAAATGATATTGTGCGTCTTGCAACTGGACAGCTTTGGCATTTTAAAGCGTTTTCCCGTCGGAAAAATCAATTTAAAAGCACAACAAAAAAACCAACAAAAATATAAATGAAGCTCGAAAATAGACCAAGAGAGGCTTTTGGGGTTATTATGCATATTTTGTAAATAATTAAAAAAAAATATGGATCCTTTGTCCCGAAATAGAATAAAGTGAGGCTATATAGTAAGTTTTTTGCTTTTAATTTTTGAGAACAGTTTTAACAGGATATATTTCCAATTCAACATAATAAAGGATGATCGTCATGAACCACGAATTATCTTTAGTTACAATTTTATTATTGAAAGTCCTTCTGCAGTAGGACCATCGTTTATTTTATAAAGTATTGCCAGACACAATTTAGGTACAATAAGTAACTTTACTTATATAGCACACATTATTTCCGACGTTATATGAATATTATATATCTGAATATTTAATTATAGGCAGAGTTGCAAATTGATGCACTTTTACCTATTTTGAAACGATTGCGTGCACATTTTTACCTAATCCTAGTTAAACTAAATGTATAGATACATTACAAATGAGCAATGCTTAATTTTTAGTGCAACTATTAATATTATATTTGACTTCAAATTTCCATATTTTGAAGGCTTATATTTTCTTATGAATATGGATAGTAATTGTTATATGAAAAATGTATAGAATGATTATTTTTAATACAACTTTTTAATACATACTGAACAATTAACACTGTTAAGGTATAAAGTTAAAAAGACTTTTAAATTAATTGCGTAACTGTTAAGTTAAGCATTCCAATATTCTATCGATATTGCAAAGATATCTAATACATACTCGTAATTACACGGACTAGCGAATTAAGCTTCGCCCACAAGTCCGTAGTCATTTTGTTAAGTTTGACTAACATTCTTGAATTTATAGTTTTCATATAATACATACTGAGTAATTCTGCTGTTAATTAGTGAAATAAAAATGTATATGTACGCTTCTACTCCACTCCTTTTCATTACCTATGGCACAATGAAGACGCTTAAAATGTGGTTTTATTAAGTTTAACAATCGCCTAGTTATAGTAATAGTGATCTTCACGAAAAACTGATTAAATGCTTTACTACTTAAATATTAAACTTTATTAAGCCGCAATCGTGAACAAAACGAAAGCAATTACTAAACGATTAATTAGTAAGAATTGGAAAACTTATATAAAATTTATCTAAAAACCTGCCAATTATTTAGCAGATTTAACGAAAGCAATTACTAAACGATTAATTAGTAAGAATTAGAAAGCTTATATAAAATTCATCTAAAAACTGGCCAATTACTTGGCGGATGTATATATAATGAGGTTTCGAGATGTTTTAGTTACGCAATCAAACCGTTTTTACTGAAAAGATAAATAAATTAAAAAACAAATAACAAACTTTTGGAAATATAGAATATTTTTCAAATGGATATAGAATATATTTATGAACAGATTTCAATTAGAAGTTTCTAACTCGTGTCAGATATTTTTATATAAGAACGGTACCTGAAAGTGAAATTAATTGGATAAGATGCGTTTACCTGCAATATAGTAATTACCTATGATATGTATAGTATGTCTATTTAAGTCGTGTCACTACAGCTTTTCAATACCCCCTTCTCACACCTTCCATTGCTCAATCAATAATCCTAAATAAAACTTTAGACTGATACGCTTTGCAAAACTCAAGTTTAAATATTTGTACGATACTCTATAAAAAGGAAAAGAAGTATCGATCATGATTTCTCCACCGATCGTTTATATGGTAGCGATATACTTATAATAAAGTGGATCGATTTTGTTGAATAATTTAAGGTATTAATCTATTTAAGGTATTATCTACAAACTTAAGGGTTATCGTACATACCATGTTAAGTTTCCCTAGCTGCTATGGTTCAAGTTATCGGACATGTTTATATCAACTCGCCTCGTCAAGCTGATCATATAGCATCCATATAGCATCCACGCATCTAACTGCCGAATACGTAGGTTTGACTTCAGATTTGCAAATATACTTCCTAACCCGTGGAGTAGAGGATATAAAATTTAATCTGTGGTTGGTTCGGCTTGAAAACCTTTGTAAATTTCTATATGCATATATATGGTCTGTGAATCCTATAAGTCTCAATAACTTTGGATTTATGGGCTAATAATAATCGAAACAGTTCGGCTGGTCGTAGTTTCTGTATTCGTATCATGGCGCTAATAAGTTATACCTATAATATACATAGTTTCTGCTAAATTCTTCGGTGTTTTTTAGTAAGCGCGGATTAACATTTCCCTGATTGAAATTAGTAGAAAAATAAGTATTTTGATCAAAACTATTGTGGAAACTTGAACGGCTTGCCAGAAATCAAATCTTGCTTTTAGAGAAGATACATTTAAAAATATAAAAATATCAATCAATTCTTATTGATAGTAAATTTGAGATCCTTAACACGTACCTGGAATAGTCGAGCACCTCTTAAGCCCCAAAACGCTCACATAGTACATGTTAAACAGTTTTTCACACTCTGAGGAAGTCAACTGCGGTCTAGAATTACATTTTCAGATAGATTAATAGTTAGTTAAAGAAAATAGAAAAATGAAAAATTTTCTTGAAATTTCGAATATCTTTCTAATATATTCTTTCTCAATGTAAGTAGAGAATGTTGTATGGACATTTATATATTTGGGAGCTCATTTTAGTAAAAAGCGTACACCAACTTTCCGACCTACTCTATAAGTAGTTATTTTAAGTTCTCGCAATTATCGTTGCATTCATGTATATATGTTTATATACGACTATGTATAATACATAAAGTAAATACATGCTGGGAACAATGTGAGGGTGTAGGTGCGTGCTTGAATTCATTAGATTTTTTTTTATTTTCTAGCTCTTGAAATCGCTTGTGTGAGAACTAGGTCTCCGTTGTGTCTTTAGCGACGGTAGTAAACCTCATTAGCCGAACGAGCGCAGAAGTCGAGTGTATTAAGTGATGATGGCGGTTGTCTCGCTCGCTTCATTAATTTAATTGTGTGTGTGTGTGTGTGTGTGCGAGTGTATACCTTTATATATACGAGTACCTTAGTAAATACTATGCATATGGATATCTCTCATATGCAACCATAATACGCGAGCATGCGTACAGGTCTTCTCTTGGTCTTCCAACCTTCCTCGGTTCAGCCTCCGTTTTCATTTGCTCGCAGAGGTAAGGCAGCTACCTGTGGCGTTACCTTCATGCCGGGCCGTATTGTCGTTGTTGCTATTGCTGTTGCTGCTGTTGTTGTTGTTGTTGTTGCTGCCAATGCTCATTAAAGCAACGCGTTAAGATGGCGGGCCGGATGCTGCGCTGTTTATGCTTATTGGTCAACAGCATCTACATTTATACATGCTTGCTTGCATATGCATATGCCTACAAGTATGTGTGTACGAGTATGCATATGTATGTATGTACGTGTTCGCATATACATATAGCCAGATCGAGTCATCGCGACTGCGTCGTTAAGTTATTCCGGTACATCACACCTGGGGCCGCAGCCGTGTTGGCACTTGGCACATTCAGCCACTATTCAGCTTTGCCTTGGTCGTGCCGAGCTCGTGACGGTTTCGCTGCGCCGACGCGTCGGTCAGACCAGAGACTGGTTTTTGTAAACTAAGAAAAGCAACAAAAATCTGTAGAAAACAAATGTAGTCGAGTTGCGGCGCCTGTGGACCCGCAAGCATCAGCCAATAGACTGCAAATGGAGCACAACAAAGATGCGGCTTCTTGTGGAGGCCACACCCACTGTGCCCGAAATCAAAATGGCTTTTTCTCTTAAAAACCATATTCACGTTACATACTTGTACGAGTACAACAGCAAATATGGTCAGAGAAAGGATCAATAGCTATTAACTGCCACTTATCGGCATTATTTCGCTTACAAATATTGCAGACCTATGCAGATATTCATAATTGGGGATAGTTTATATAAGTACATAGACATTTTTCTGTGTAAAGCTGTATGTCTCTACATATCCAGATATATTGCAACTGCTTAACTTTTATTCTTTCTGTTTACAAGAACTTTTTGTGACGATCGTCCGGTTTTAAGTACTTTTAAAGAAAATACATATGATTGTAAAATCTCAATACAATTATGGCAGCTGTGAAATAAAATGTAGAAATTTGTAGTTAAGTAATGATATAATGTCACACAATAGATATAAACATTTAAAGTATGTGCAAAGTACTCTTAAACCTTTAAGCTCTCATCCCATATCATATCGTTAGCATATAAATAGAATACTTTCATGAAATATTAATAATAATGACAGATTATTTAGTACATCTCTATAATCTAGTACACACAAGTATTATGAATACGTTATCAAACAAATCCATGTATTTGTCAATGAACTTATTCCACTTCAGAACAGTTTTAGTGGATTTTCTAGCATATTTGGGTTTTGCGTTTTTGCGTCTATACTTGAACTAAAATCTGATTATGTTACATTATTTATTTATTTACATTATTGTAGCTTAGAACTAATCATAAATTACAAGCTTAATTTATACCAGGATGATATTTTTAGTAATTAAAAAAATAACAGACGCAATAATACTTATCTCTCCATGCCCAAACTGCCATTTAATGATTTTTTGTAGTAGACTCAGGGAAACAGTACTTGTACTACCGTATTGTACTTAAAATTGAAAAGTTGTTGTATTTACTGAAATTATTAATTCGAGAGAAAAATTTGGTAGTTGTGTTCAATTTGTGCTCGAATAAAATTGAATTGGTTATTTATCGGTGACAAATAATATTATGGTAATAGCAAAAAAATATATATTCCTAACAAAAAAAAACATCTGGCGGGAAATTAGTATAAATACTGGCAGAAAATAGTTTAAAAGAAAACAAAATGAACCCTTTTAAAAACACGATGTTCGACATAGAAAAATAGGTTACTTCAACTTACTTTATAAACTTTTACTTTATAAAAACTTGTGAGTTAGCTACTTATTTTAAAATTTGGTATTTATTATTCCTTAATACGGTCAGATAGGCGCATAATGTGCGCAGTATTGTTTCAAAGGAAACAGTAAAATAAGATTTAAGATTTAAACGGAAAAAATTAAGCTATTTAACAATCTTCTTTAATATTTATTGTTCATGCATAACTGGAAAAATTTGACCGATTTGTTTAAAAATTCTTTCCCCCATGTCCAATGACTTTTCAAATATTTCGTTTAAAAAAACTTTAGAAATCGTAATTCGAAAACCTACACTATACATGTAAGTAGTAATATTTCTGGAAGTCAAAATTATGTACTTTAATATCATATATGCCTAATTAAGATTTGCATATTAGATATGCAAATAAGATACTTCATTTGAATATATATGGATTGTTTATTCTGTAATTTGTTCACACGCTAGATCAAGATAAAAACATACACAGTTGGCCAATTTGGCTATTATATATATCTTTCTGAAAGTTCCTTCTCCGCCAATCTATATAAATATGCATAGCTAGAAAAATATAATTTGATAGGTACTTATATTCTTTTAGCAAAACTCCAAATGAAAATTATTTGAAACCAATTTGTTGATTGAGGATAGAATAGACGTCTAATTAATCAGTAGTAAAGGGAAATTAATCTGCTATAGTTGCAATCTTAAAATAATTGTCGAGTTAGTTTATTATTAAATACCAGGGTCCATATGAATATTTCACCAACTGAACAGGTCGTATTAAATATTTTGACCGAGCCCAAGTATCGGCAAGCCGCCGCTTTTCGAAGGAAAGTTGGTAGACAATTGTCTGAATGTGTGTTGGCTACCATCGAATGACAAGAATGGTCCCAGAGGGGGGGTGGGGAAGGTAACTTAAAAGGCTGTCTTGCGCAGCGCGGCGCACCGTCACATGAATCACAATATGCTAAAGCGCTGACACTCTCCAGATCAATGCGGCTCCTGAATGAAGCTTGTTAAAGGAAGGCAAGTTGCCTACTTTGCGGCAGTGGTTGAGCGTCCCCTGTACTTGCCATTACCAAAGCCACCATAGTAGTTGCTGGGGTCGTAAACAAAACGTTGCACAGCCAGCCTGTCGGACAATGGACGTATGTACATACTACACTTCTACATATACAAGTATATACATACATACACATCGCCGTGTATACATACATATGCAACAAAGCGACAGACAAAGGACAGACAGACCGGCCGTGGCCGGCCAGCAATGTAGAATATGTGGCATTTTGCAAAGATGTTGACATTTTGCGCGCATAAAAATGCCAACTTACCGGCCACTGTATGTGTCCTATTTTAAAATCAGGGCCATGGCTAAGCCCCCAAGAACCCAAACAAAGCCAAGCTTAGCCGTTTGCAGGAGTTCGTGCATCGTGAGCGCTCGCTTACTTAGGATAAATCGAATCCAACCGACCGTCGACCAGCCGACTAAGCCGACCAAACCGACAGCCAATAGTCGACAGTCGACAGTCGGGCGGGACAGCCGTACGGACATGGACGGTATAATTTTGTGTACCATGGCGTATCGACGGCGGCGAAGTATTTAGCAGCAGCATCAGCAGCAGTCGCAACCGAATATCAAAAACGTAACGACGTCACCAAAACCCTCAATAAATTATCCAGCTGCCGCATTGCCCATGGGCTGGTACTGATACTCGTATGTTTTCTTTGGCATCGGCTCTCTTTGGGTTTTGGGTCTGGGTATGGGTATGGGTATGAGTCTGACTCTGACTCTGAGACCGGGGCCGGACTTTTGTGTGTGTGTGTGTGTGTGTGTGTAGAGAGGGAGCTTGACAAAAATTTGCAAGTTTATCGTTGCGCTGGCGTTGTGGTTATGGCGAAGAAAGTCGCGCAACTAGAGCGCCTAGTTGCGCCAGGGCCTGGTTAGTAGACAACAATTAGGCCGCTTCTTGTCCAAGTCCAACCAAATTCGAGCAAGTCAGCAGGCAAGAGACTAGTAAGCCAAACTGCTCTGGCTGGGCACACAATAGACCAAAAGTGTAGTGGGCAGCAATAAATTCAAACGGTAACAAATCCAGTGGCGAAGGCCCAAAGGGAGGCTTGCAGTAATATTTAAACTTGTCTGGTACGTTCGAGCTGTGCCGCTCATGGCGACTTGCTGTCCTCGTCGCCCGTTTGTGGTGAGTTCTTGGAAGCCGAATTACTTTGAAATGTGTCGATATGTCGCAACTTTTTAAAGTTATGCATAAAGGTCTGCAACGGCCTCGGTCTCCGAGCGCAGCAGCCACAGTCCTGCCACAGCTTCTTTGCTTACCCTCCTGTGAGCTGTTGGCGGTGGCACTGCGCGAGCTTGTCGGCATACATCGGTGCGGCCTCCTTTGATAATACAATAGCTGCACGCGCCCAATTTACATTTATGTCTACTGACATTAAGGAGCGCGCCGATACGACGACTCGACTCGACTCGAATCGACTCGGCTCGACGCGTTGTCGCGCTGCCCTAGCGAGGCACACAAAGAGAGGATGGGATGGAGGGGGTAGAAGAAGGGGAGGGCCTGAGCCTGGTCCTAGCGGTGTGTAGTGTGTCTGATAAATGCAAAGTTTTTGGTTCTCGAATTGAATTTCTTGTGCCCTGGCAACGTGAAAATTGTCAACGCTTTTAAATGTCATTATAAAAACGGAGCGCATTCTTTACCAGTGGTACGTAATTTGAAGCAGTAGCTCCAAGAAAAATAATAATGCAGGTAGAACATCGACAGACATGGTATACGAGCCGGTCTTCGCGGTCGCACATTAGGCAATAACTATTAATTGATATATGTATAATGATATAATACTATATATAGGTGAAGCTTGTGAAAGCATTTACCAATAGTTTTTCTCATTGAGGTAAATTCTTAAGAGTGTTTATTTTCAAGACAGAGAAAAATATTTCAATATACTCAACGATTTCCATGTAGATAGAGAAGTAAGATTAGGTGAATATATCATTTTAGACTAAAAGAAAAGGTGCCTTAAGCTGACGAATAAAAACAAGTTTAAAGAAAGGTTTCTAAAAATTCGTTTCAATATCTAAGAAATGCGAAATATTTAAGGAAATTGCATTATCTTTTCCAAAACCTTTAAATTTTTAATTTTTTTAAATGCTATTTGTAACTACATCTTCCCCTCGGAAAATTAAAAAGCTACAGCCACCATATTTAGCTCATAAATAAGAAGGTTCAACGGTAGATCTATTGAAATAATTCTAAAGTTGAAATCCCATAGGAATAGATGTTGGTCTGTCGGACCCACCATTAACTACAGTACGAACTTCTTTACCTTGTTGTACTCTGTTCCCGAATATCTGTTTGCTTTGAATTATAATTGTACATCAAAGACCTAATTTGATCTAATTCGCTACAACATGGGCAACGCAAATGTAGTTTGTAATTAGAAATGGAATATTTTAGAGATAAGAAATGAATGAGTGTAGTGGCCACAACAAATATCTAAGAATTTCTTCATTATAGTATATTAATATTCTTGAAATCTTAATGTAAATTTTACAGGTTTTCATGTGTGTATCCTAACTATACAATCTTTCCTTACCATTCTAGCACGAAAAAGTATTCGCATTTATCGCGCACGCCCGAATACAGCCACTCGACAGGCAGTGATTATCCGGAGCATGGTTACTTAGCTGATATGCGGATGCTGCAGGACAGCACCAATGATGGAAACGGCATATACCATGTGCGCCAGGGCAGCGAGCACTCATCGCCCAGTCTGCACTCCCCAGCCATACAGAACGCCAGTAGTTACGACAACGAACACTCAATGGTGGATGCGGCGCATTCGGTGCACAGTCACTCCCCGATGGTTTCCAGCGCGTATGTGGGCACAGGAGCCTCACTGATTAGTACAAATATACCGCTGCTAGGTGGCGGTACATCGGTGCTAAACAAATTTCTATCACATCCCAGCATGGTGTCTGTGGGAATGTCGCCCAGCGGCATGGACGACTGTCCTTCCCCTATTGAGCCATCTATGTGGAGTTACGATTATAAAGGCGACATATGTGCACCTAATTGTGGTGGCTATATGGACCGACATAAGGGCATGCCAAACGATTTAAAGTACAGACCCGGCGGAAATCAGTCAAAAAGTGCCAAAGAGTCGCGTATACGTCGGCCGATGAATGCGTTTATGGTGTGGGCCAAAATAGAACGCAAGAAGCTGGCTGACGAGAATCCCGACCTGCATAATGCGGACCTCAGTAAAATGTTGGGTAAGTGTCCAAAACCCCAGGCATTATTAAACCATCAAATCATCATATTCATTTCATCGTTTAGGTAAAAAATGGCGCTCGTTGACGCCTCAAGATCGCAGACCTTATGTCGAGGAAGCAGAGCGCCTGCGGGTCATACATATGACGGAGCATCCCAATTACAAGTACAGACCTAGGCGGCGAAAGCAGTCGAAACTGCGCACAATGCAACCAGGGGGCAAGGAACAAAATGAAACTCCAACGAATGGAAGTGTAAATGCGAAATCGACGCCCAAATTATCCACTTCGCCACTAGCTACCACAGGTAGCTACAACACTCCCACCGATGAAAGCACCTGCACATCGACACATATGTCCACCCAGAATAGCGGCAGCATCTACGAGCAGCCACTCAAGCCAACCTACTCGCCCAGCTCCGTTGAATGTTACAGCAATCCCGACACAACGGAACAAATCGAATCCCTGGCAGCTAGTTGCCAGCCGGCGGGACTTGACAGCTACGACAGCTCACTCCTGCTAAAGAAGCTGACCAAGCCAAACAATGCCACGAGTCGCGCGAACAAGCCACGCCAGCAATCCGCCACCTCAGCCAACAACAGTAGCAGCACTGGCACTGCCAAAACCGCCAATGAGAAACAGGCCAAGGCAGATGAAAAATCTAAGACACAGCCGGGTCTATACTCATCTTATCCGCTGGCGCCCACTTCCGTTGCGGTCGTGGCAGGACGTGGCATGTATGTGACCTGCAATAATCGCGGCCTGCTAGATCACGGCCACTCTGTGAAGGGCACCTTCTATCCCCCTGTCTCCGCAGTTGAGGAAGATGCCTCGTCCAGCGCCGCCGCCGCCGCCGCCATGCGTTCCAATATGAGCAGTAACAGTGCCCTCCACTGCGTCACCGTGACCTCCAATAGCATGACCCTGACGCCTGCACCCAGCATTCAGCGTCCGCTAGAAGAGCTGAACAATTACACAGTCCCCGACAATTGCAATAGCCTGCGCATAAGCATGAACGACTTGAGCAACAGTGATTACTTGACCACTGGAAACGTGTATGGGATGCAATACGAGGATTTTTTGCGCTACCAGAGCAACGAAGTGGAATACGCGCCTGTGCACTGCGAGAGCAGCATGTCCGAGCAGCACAAGGACCCAAACAACGGAGGCAGTCAGAAATGCGTCAAGTATCCAGATACAAATCACAATTATGACGACTACGAAGCCTACAACAATGCCATGGCATTGTCCGCTCCCTCAGCCAGTGGTGCCAGCTATTATACACAGCTGCCCTACTCTTTAGCCCCGGGCGGAGCTTGTGCCCCAACAGGTCTGACTGCCTTCCCGCTGCAGCTGGCAGTGCCGTTTCAGCAGACCGGAGGAGCAGGCGGAGCCGCCGCCTATGCCCATGCACATGCACACGCCCAGCCAATGCAAACTAGCTATTTGCACTACAACAACTACAGCTTGGCAACGACCAGTGGCTACGATACAAACGGCGCTTCCACACATCTTGTCCAGCAGCAGCAGCAGCAACAGCAGCCTCTGTTGGCACCAACGCCGACACCTCCTCCGCCGCACTCCCACTCCCACACTCAGGCACAAGGCGTAGCCAGTGGAGCCACTCCTAGTAGCAGCCCTATGCATCCGCACCATTTCTCGGCCAATGGCACTATTGCCGCTTCTGGCGTTGCCGTGGCCAGTGAGATGATATTCGAGCAGCGGAAGGATGATGAAATCAGCAACATCTTGGCTGGTGTCCGCAAGACATGCTACAGCAACTGACCACTTGTCAGCCGATACCGAAATACTCTTCCACTATGGGCTAAGCCACGGGTTTTGTTGGCCAAAATGAACATATCTTGCACATGTTATTATCACCGAATTTTTACAATTTTTAGATTTACATGTTTTATATCCAATGGAAGCGAAACCGATAAAGAATGGCTACATTTTACAATCCGAACTCATTTAGACAAGCCTCCCACTATGTAAGGCTCATAAATACGTTAAAACGGGAAAAATGTTATTTTAGCAAACACGCTTAAAGATAGTCAGCTCGGCGAATATGTTGCACACAAATTTGACCCATCATCACAAGTTACTCTAACGAAAAGCAAAACAAATTTTATACGATATAAATAATATACTATAGTTCTCTGCTACGAGAGAAATTTGAGCGTTAATTATTCGAATGGCTAACCGTAGTGTTTTGGTTCTATGACAGATAGAGGCCAGTAAATACTCTAGTATATGTAAATAGAGCTGACTTCTTTAAGTACTATACTCAGTGTCACATTTAACTCGAACTTCCCTAAATACCTCTATTCTGGAGTATATATTTTGTATTCATCTATATTTTAAATATCCCTAAAACAAATACTTGGTGTTCAAAATAAATTTACAAAACTTTCTAAAAATGCGACATTCAAACCATCTTTAAGGTACATATTGTTATAACTGTTCAAAAAGCTGAGATATTATTTTGGCCGGCAAAACTGGTGGTTCATTTAAATAGTGAAACGCGTGTATAGTCGTTGAAGTAGTATATCAGGTGTACGTCATTTTAAAAGTTCTCCCCTTTCATAACGCGGTTTAGGTTGTCATAAGCATCTAGTTGAGAGATCTTAGCAGTTGTGTAAATTTGAAATAGCAACACATACATATAAATGATTTTAGAATGTACAATAAATATTTAGGATTTAAGTAAATTCAAAATTAAAAACGTAGCAATTTAATAAATTTAGAGTATGTCTTTCAAATAAATCGCAATTACTGTTACAACACTGTCTTCTATTTGTTTATTGGATCTCAATTCCATGTGGCTGTAGTGTGGATCTCAAATGTGTCAGAATCAGCACGGCTGGACCATATGACATTGACGCAGCCACCACATATGTACACAGGATTCTGGGACATGCGCATTTTGGTTTAGTTTGACCAAAAATTTTCCTTTCATCGCATCGGCTCTAGCTGAGGGATTTCGTTACATAAAATTCCTATATAATTTTTGTATTATATTTCATCTGGAATTGCAAGTGCTGCCCACCGCCCGGATCGTAAAGTGAGAAACATGTGCAAATTCTACAACAAGCTCGCATGATACACGCGCTTCATTCATATAGCGCCTTTTATGCGCTGCATTTTGGTCGAGATTTGGTGAAATTGCTCAATCAAAATTAATCTAGTTTTTGAGTTCATTTTAGATTGTTGTTGTTCTTAAGTAGTGTAAGTTTAAGTTCTTATTTGAAACTCAATGTGCAAGAAAATTCAGAATCCAGCATTGCAACAGCATACAACATTAGCGCGCCTGATATTGCGACTATAGGGAAAATCGATATTCTTCAACACATAAAGCGTCGAACGTCTTGACACCACCGCGCCTGCCGCCGCCATCTTCTCCACCCACCACCATAATCACAGCCTCAGCCACAAACACAGCCATCAACAGCGTCCGTCGCCATTTCATCGCACGCGCCCACAAGTGCGCTTCGCCCCATTTGTATTTAGCTCCAGTTTACTGCCACCGCCGAAAAAATGTCATTCATAACGAAATTGAAAGCAACGCCATTGCCACCTTTAAAGAATATATTGAATGTAGCCGTTCAAACAGCACGACAGCACATTCCAGAGCGCAAGGACTACGAGCAACCACCGGGCGGTCACGGCGGTAGCAGCAATCCACAGCAGAATTTCGCTCAAGGACAGGCGATGTTTCAGCCCGGAAGTGAGCTTGATGATGGCAATGTTGCTGAGCGTCCAACAGAGCTAAATCCCTTTCGAAATCCAAGCAATTGGTCCAACGAGGAGGACGGAAATTACAAAACAGAGTACCAGAGCACTTCGTTTACGGGAAAAGAGTACGATGGCAGATATCAGCAAACAGATGGTTTCAGGTATATTTACAGATCATACTGCTCCTTGTACACATATCTATTAGCATCTTATATGTATTTTTCATTATAGGCAGGGCAGCGTTGCCTCTGAAGGCAGCTCATTTGTTTGCGAAGGAGAAGGTGGTGGCGGCTGTAAAATCGATGAAATGCAAGCCGCTTGGAATGTTACGAATGCCATTCAGGGCATGTTCATCGTTTCGCTGCCATTTGCAGTCCTTCATGGTGGATACTGGGCTATTGTCGCAATGGTTGGTATAGCGCACATTTGTTGCTATACAGGTAAAGTTTTGGTGCAATGCCTTTATGAGCCGGATCCAAGCACGGGTCAAATGGTCCGGGTCCGAGATAGCTATGTGGCCATTGCAAAGGTCTGCTTCGGCCCCAAGTTGGGCGTTCGTGCTGTCAGCGTTGCCCAGCTCATCGAGCTGCTGATGACATGCATACTGTATGTCGTCGTCTGTGGCGATCTGTTGGCAGGCACATATCCGCAGGGTTCGTTCGATTCAAGATCTTGGATGCTGTTCGTTGGCATATTTCTGTTGCCCATGGGTTTCCTTAAGTCACTGAAAATGGTCTCAACATTATCTTTTTGGTGCACAATGTCGCACATAGTAATAAATGCTGTTATTTTAGGCTACTGCCTGCTGCAAATCGGAGATTGGGGCTGGTCCAAGGTACGCTGGAGCATTGATATGGAAAACTTTCCCATTTCATTGGGTGTTATTGTATTTTCGTACACTTCGCAAATATTTTTGCCTACGTTAGAAGGCAATATGATAGATCGTTCCAAGTTCAACTGGATGTTGGATTGGTCACATATTGCTGCAGCGGTATTCAAAGCCGGCTTTGGCTATATTTGTTTTTTAACATTTCAAAACGATACTCAACAGGTTATTACCAACAATTTGCACTCACAAGGCTTCAAAGGATTGGTAAATTTTTTTTTGGTCATCAAAGCTGTGCTTAGTTATCCATTGCCATACTATGCTGCCTGCGAACTCCTGGAACGCAATTTTTTCCGAGGCCCACCTAAAACTCGTTTTCCAACTATATGGAATCTGGATGGTGAACTAAAGGTTTGGGGCTTAGGCTTCCGAGTGGGCGTTATTGTGTCCACCATACTAATGGCCATTTTCATACCGCATTTTTCCATACTAATGGGCTTTATTGGCAGCTTCACGGGTACCATGTTAAGCTTTATTTGGCCCTGCTATTTTCACATAAAAATCAAAGGTCATCTACTCGATCAGAAAGAAATAGCTAAAGACTACCTCATTATAGGACTCGGTGTGCTCTTCGGGGTAATAGGCATCTACGATTCAGGCAACGCCTTAATTAATGCTTTCGAAATTGGTCTACCGTTTTAGACGATGACAGAGCAAGAAAAAAATATATACATATATAAATTATATCGAAATCAAAAACATTTATAAACGCAATTACCAACATATACAGCTCTGTATTGCAGCTTAGCACTGTGCCTTTGGCAATTCAGCATGTCAAGTCTTCCAACAACTACAGAATATATGTATTTGTAAATATTTATGTTTGAAATGACAAAAACACAGTGCTACGAAGCTCAATTAAAGCAGTCAGAAACAATAACTTAGAATTTAAGAAATGAAACGCAAGTCTTCCAAATGCGAAACGAAAAAATGTCTTCCAAACATAACGAAAGAAATAAACTATAATAACTAAATATAAATTGTTAAGTAAGACAATACAAGTACATACAAGTATATACAAATATAACAGAGAACTATTTATTGTATTATGAAATATTGATATTTAGAAAATTTGACTAAACAATAAACTGCATATGTATGTACACCCTTATACAAATCTTAATGTATATGTACGAGTAATAGATAGAATCCATTGTTTATTTAAAGTCCGAACGATTTTTTAAAAGTTTAAATATAAAGTTATTATACAAGTACATATGTATTTATTAGCCTTTAAAACGACACTAGCATTTTTAAAGAGCTCTCAATAAAAATGTCATCTCCAGTTGAACCTCGCTTACATTATTTATGCAGACCAACCCATGGGCTTGTCTTCCAATAAAAAAGCCGCAACTTCTAATAATTGTTATTTATTTATTTGTTAAAAATGATTTTCTTTTATAAATCGTATATTGTATAAAAAAATATTGTCATGAATACTTAGGGCACTATTTTGATAATATTCAAATGATATGTGTAAGTAAAGTAATGTCTTCTGTTAGTTTGAGGTTTTAAAGAATTTATGTTCTTGAGTACTCCTGGTATGTTGGAATGCACCTTGTTTTATTTTATGAACAGCACATGTTGTGGGGGCAGTTATATATTCGCTTTTATAAAGACTGGAGCCGGTTGATTTCTCGTTGCCCAGACTGATTGAGGACTGATTACTACGATTGCGTGTAACAACACGCTCTGTACGACTATGGTTGTCGGTGTACGAGGGGAAATCGAATCCACTGGACATATGTTGACCACCACGAGTGCGTCTGATAGTGCGCTCGCTATGGCTGTGTGATGGGAAATCGATACCGCCTGACACGTACGTGCGTGTGACCGTTGACCTTTCGATATTGGACTTATTGTCATTGCCACCAGCACCAGATATAACGCGTGTCATAGAGGAAGACGTCTTCAGGTTATGCTCATGGTTTTCCTTGTGTATGTTGCAGCTACGACGCTCAGAAGAGAAGCTGGAGCTCAAGTCCGACTCCCGGTTTTGACGATGTAAGCTACTGTAACTCTGACGGTCCGTGGCATAATTGGTACTTGAGGGCTGTTCATGCAAATTTAGAATACTCTTGCGTTGCATTTTCCCATTCGAAGTAAGACTACTGCTTAGACCATTTGTATCACTTGTAATATTTTTACGATGGAATATTGAGTTTGAGACATCGGCCTCAGAGGAAAACTCACTCTTTCGATGATGGAAGTTCTTTGCAGCTGTCACTTGAGATGTTGAGCCGTTAATCACTGTATTTCCTTGTTTTGTTGTCGTTGTATGAATGGAATTGTTGGAAGCCTGTGTTCCCTTTATATGTTGCTTATCCACAGCTGTATTTTCTACAATATTGAGATTTCTTTGCATCGATGTGGATTCCTTGTGGATATTCTGAGTGTTTTCGATATTTGTTGTCGTTGTATTTTTTGCAATATTCTCAATAACATTTATCTTTGCTGGTCTTTTTACATACTCAGTTTCAGGTTCCTTTTTGCTTCGGCCACCGACGACTGTTGTAACCTTTTTTGTCGAAACTACTATTAAACCGTCAACCGGATTTTGATTATTCGACTCGACTTGCTTTACCGCATCTTTTCCAGAAACAAAGCTCATTTGATTTGTTGTTTTCAATATTGCAGTATCACTTCCAAGGCTAATAGAAGAGCTATTATGCTTGTATTTTTGTTGAGTTTTGTGTATAGTAGTATTCATTGTTGATTTTTTGTAGTCATCTTTTCTCGTTACTGTCATAGAACCTTCAAGTTTTAAATTATCCACAGGACGTTTTGGAGTTTCTCTTCTTATATTTTCTGTAATCGTTTTGCTATCTGTTTCGCTTCTTTCATTTCTTCTGTAAAATTCTCCTTCCGGCCTTAAGTTATCCTTGGGTTTCTTTTGAGTTGGCCTTTCAGCTGGCTTATAGGTACCTTTGCCTGGAACATAAAATTCTCCTTCTACCTTTAAGTTATCGGTTGGTTTCACCTGATCTGGTCTTTTAACGTGATGATATTCTTCTTTTTGGGTAAATGTCATTTCGCCTTCTGTTTTTAAGTTGTCTTTTCGTACTATTGTTTTTACCTTCTCTGCGGGCTTAAATGGTTCCTTTTGTGGTATATGCATTTTACCCTCAGGTTTTAAGTTGTCTTCGTATTTCTTCTGTTCGGGGCGTGGGCCAGATTGATATTTTGGTTTCTGTGGAGTATACATAACTCCCTCGGGCTTCAAATTATCGTCCGGCTTTATTGGAGAGGGACGAACAACCTGTTGGAACTCAATTTTTTCATTGAAAATCATTTCTCCTTCAGTACGAAGATTATCTTTATGTATAACTTTCGTAACCCTATCTGCTGGTCTAAATTTATCTTTTTGTGGTATTAAAATATCTCCCTCAGGTTTTAAGTTATCTTCAGGCTTTTTTTGCTTGGGCCTTTCCGTCGACTTGAAAACTTGTTTCTCTGGGGCATAAAATTCTCCTTCTACTTTCAAATTATCTGTGTGTTTAACAATTGTACGACGTTCGCTCGCCTGATATTTTGGCTTTTCGGGGCACGTAAAATCTCCTTCAGGCTTAAGATTGTCTACAGGCTTCACCTGCTCAGGTCGAGTCACATACTGATATTCACTCTTTTCGGTAAAAGTCATTTCCCCCTCAGTACGAAGGTTGTCTTTTCGAATAACTTTTTCAGTTTTCTCAGCCGGTTTATACGTTTGCTTCATCGGTTTCACAAAATCACCTTCAGGTTTAAGATTATCCACTGGTTTTTTTTGTAAAGGACGTTCGCCAGGAGTATATCCTGTCTTTTCGGGGCTATAAAATTCACCTTCAGGTCGCAAGTTGTCTTCAGGCTTCTTCTGAACTGGTCGTTCGGCTGGTCTATAACCTGGCTTATCAGGTGTGTAGAATTCACCCTCTGGCCTGAGATTATCTTCATGTCTCACTTGGGTGGGACGTTCTCCTGGCCGGAATTTCGGTTTCTCAGGGCTGTAGAACTCGCCTTCGGGCTTTAGGTTATCGGTTGGTTTTACTTGTTCAGGCCGAGTCACATACTGGTACTCTTCTCTCTCCACAAACGTCATTTCGCCCTCAGTCCGCAAGTTGTCCTTACGTATGATTTTCTCCGTTTTCTCTGCTGGCCTAAAAACTTGTTTCTCTGGTTTCACGAAGTCCCCTTCGGTCTTAAGATTGTCAACAGGTTTCTTTTGAACTGGTCGTTCAGCCGGCTTGAATCCGGGCTTATCAGGTGTATAAAATTCTCCCTCTGGCCGAAGATTATCTTCTGGTCTGACTTGTGAAGGACGCTCGCCTGGCATGAACTTCGGCTTTTCGGGACTATAGAAATCACCCTCCGATCGCAAGTTGTCTTCTGGCTTCTTCTGAACTGGTCGTTCAGCTGGCCTATAACCTGGTTTTTCTGGAGTATAGAATTCACCCTCTGGCCTGAGATTGTCTTCAGGTCTCACTTGAGATGGACGTTCTCCTGGCCGGAATTTCGGTTTCTCAGGGCTGTAGAACTCGCCTTCGGGCTTTAGGTTATCGGTTGGTTTTACTTGTTCAGGCCGAGTCACATACTGGTACTCTTCTCTCTCCACAAACGTCATTTCGCCCTCAGTCCGCAAGTTGTCCTTACGTATGATTTTCTCCGTTTTCTCTGCTGGCCTAAAAACTTGTTTCTCTGGTTTCACGAAGTCACCTTCGGGCTTAAGATTGTCAACGGGTTTCTTTTGAACTGGTCGTTCAGCCGGCTTGAATCCGGGCTTATCAGGTGTATAAAATTCTCCCTCTGGCCGAAGATTATCTTCTGGTCTGACTTGTGAAGGACGCTCGCCTGGCATGAACTTCGGCTTTTCGGGACTATAGAAATCACCCTCCGGTCGCAAGTTGTCTTCTGGCTTCTTCTGAACTGGTCGTTCAGCTGGCCTATAACCTGGTTTTTCTGGAGTATAGAATTCACCCTCTGGCCTGAGATTGTCTTCAGGTCTCACTTGAGATGGACGTTCTCCTGGCCGGAATTTCGGTTTCTCAGGGCTGTAGAACTCGCCTTCGGGCTTTAGGTTATCGGTTGGTTTTACTTGTTCAGGCCGAGTCACATACTGGTACTCTTCTCTCTCCACAAACGTCATTTCTCCCTCAGTCCGCAAGTTGTCCTTACGTATGATTTTCTCCGTTTTCTCTGCTGGCCTAAAAACTTGTTTCTCTGGTTTTGCGAATTCGCCTTCGGGCTTAAGATTGTCAACGGGTTTCTTTTGAACTGGTCGTTCAGCCGGCTTGAATCCGGGCTTATCAGGTGTATAAAATTCTCCCTCTGGCCGAAGATTATCTTCTGGTCTGACTTGTGAAGGACGCTCGCCTGGCATGAACTTCGGTTTTTCGGGACTATAGAAATCACACTCTGGTCGCAGGTTGTCTTCTGGCTTCTTCTGAACTGGTCGTTCAGCTGGCCTATAACCTGGTTTTTCTGGAGTATAGAATTCACCCTCTGGCCTGAGATTGTCTTCAGGTCTCACTTGAGATGGACGCTCGCCTGGCATGAACTTCGGCTTTTCGGGACTATAGAAATCACCTTCTGGTCGCAGGTTGTCTTCTGGCTTCTTCTGAACTGGTCGTTCGGCTGGCCTGTATCCTGGTTTATCAGGGGTGTGGAATTCTCCCTCTGGCCGTAGATTATCTTCTGGTCTGACTTGTGAAGGACGGTCGCCTGGCATGTACTTCGGTTTTTCGGGACTATAGAAATCACCCTCTGGCCGCAGGTTGTCTTCTGGCTTCTTCTGAACTGGACGTTCGGCTGGCCTGTATCCTGGTTTATCAGGTGTGTAGAATTCTCCTTCTGGCCTGAGATTGTCTTCAGGTCTCACTTGAGATGGACGTTCTCCTGGCCGGAATTTCGGTTTCTCAGGGCTGTAGAACTCGCCTTCGGGCTTTAGGTTATCGGTTGGTTTTACTTGTTCAGGCCGAGTCACATACTGGTACTCTTCTCTCTCCACAAACGTCATTTCTCCCTCAGTCCGCAAGTTGTCCTTACGTATGATTTTCTCCGTTTTCTCTGCTGGCCTAAAAACTTGTTTCTCTGGTTTTGCGAATTCGCCTTCGGGCTTAAGATTGTCAACGGGTTTCTTTTGAACTGGTCGTTCAGCCGGCTTGAATCCGGGCTTATCAGGTGTATAAAATTCTCCCTCTGGCCGAAGATTATCTTCTGGTCTGACTTGTGAAGGACGCTCGCCTGGCATGAACTTCGGTTTTTCGGGACTATAGAAATCACCCTCTGGTCGCAGGTTGTCTTCTGGCTTCTTCTGAACTGGTCGTTCAGCTGGCCTATAACCTGGTTTTTCTGGAGTATAGAATTCACCCTCTGGCCTGAGATTGTCTTCAGGTCTCACTTGAGATGGACGCTCGCCTGGCATGAACTTCGGCTTTTCGGGACTATAGAAATCACCTTCTGGTCGCAGGTTGTCTTCTGGCTTCTTCTGAACTGGTCGTTCAGCTGGCCTATAACCTGGTTTTTCTGGAGTATAGAATTCACCCTCTGGCCTGAGATTGTCTTCAGGTCTCACTTGAGATGGACGTTCTCCTGGCCGGAATTTCGGTTTCTCAGGGCTGTAGAACTCGCCTTCGGGCTTTAGGTTATCGGTTGGTTTTACTTGTTCAGGCCGAGTCACATACTGGTACTCTTCTCTCTCCACAAACGTCATTTCGCCCTCAGTCCGCAAGTTGTCCTTACGTATGATTTTCTCCGTTTTCTCTGCTGGCCTAAAAACTTGTTTCTCTGGTTTCACGAAGTCACCTTCGGGCTTAAGATTGTCAACAGGTTTCTTTTGAACTGGTCGCTCAGCCGGCTTGAATCCGGGCTTATCAGGTGTATAAAATTCTCCCTCTGGCCGAAGATTATCTTCTGGTCTGACTTGTGAAGGACGCTCGCCTGGCATGAACTTCGGCTTTTCGGGACTATAGAAATCACCCTCCGGTCGCAAGTTGTCTTCTGGCTTTTTCTGAACTGGTCGTTCAGCTGGCCTATAACCTGGTTTTTCTGGAGTATAGAATTCACCCTCTGGCCTGAGATTGTCTTCAGGTCTCACTTGAGATGGACGTTCTCCTGGCCGGAATTTCGGTTTCTCAGGGCTGTAGAACTCGCCTTCGGGCTTTAGGTTATCGGTTGGTTTTACTTGTTCAGGCCGAGTCACATACTGGTACTCTTCTCTCTCCACAAACGTCATTTCTCCCTCAGTCCGCAAGTTGTCCTTACGTATGATTTTCTCCGTTTTCTCTGCTGGCCTAAAAACTTGTTTCTCTGGTTTTGCGAATTCGCCTTCGGGCTTAAGATTGTCAACGGGTTTCTTTTGAACTGGTCGTTCAGCCGGCTTGAATCCGGGCTTATCAGGTGTATAAAATTCTCCCTCTGGACGAAGATTATCTTCTGGTCTGACTTGTGAAGGACGCTCGCCTGGCATGAACTTCGGTTTTTCGTGACTATAGAAATCACCCTCTGGTCGCAGGTTGTCTTCTGGCTTCTTCTGAACTGGTCGTTCGGCTGGTCTATAACCTGGTTTTTCTGGAGTATAGAATTCACCCTCTGGCCTGAGATTGTCTTCAGGTCTCACTTGAGATGGACGCTCGCCTGGCATGAACTTCGGCTTTTCGGGACTATAGAAATCACCTTCTGGTCGCAGGTTGTCTTCTGGCTTCTTCTGAACTGGTCGTTCAGCTGGCCTATAACCTGGTTTTTCTGGAGTATAGAATTCACCCTCTGGCCTGAGATTGTCTTCAGGTCTCACTTGAGATGGACGTTCTCCTGGCCGGAATTTCGGTTTCTCAGGGCTGTAGAACTCGCCTTCGGGCTTTAGGTTATCGGTTGGTTTTACTTGTTCAGGCCGAGTCACATACTGGTACTCTTCTCTCTCCACAAACGTCATTTCTCCCTCAGTCCGCAAGTTGTCCTTACGTATGATTTTCTCCGTTTTCTCTGCAGGCCTAAAAACTTGTTTCTCTGGTTTTGCGAATTCGCCTTCGGGCTTAAGATTATCAACAGGTTTCTTTTGAACTGGTCGCTCAGCCGGCTTGAATCCGGGCTTATCAGGTGTATAAAATTCTCCCTCTGGCCGTAGATTATCTTCTGGTCTGACTTGTGAAGGACGCTCGCCTGGCATGAACTTCGGCTTTTCGGGACTATAGAAATCACCCTCTGGTCGCAGGTTGTCTTCTGGCTTCTTCTGAACTGGTCGTTCGGCAGGCCTGTATCCTGGTTTATCAGGGGTGTAGAATTCACCCTCTGGCCGTAGATTATCTTCTGGTCTGACTTGTGAAGGACGCTCGCCTGGCATGAACTTCGGCTTTTCGGGACTATAGAAATCACCCTCTGGTCGCAGGTTGTCTTCTGGCTTCTTCTGAACTGGTCGTTCGGCTGGTCTATAACCTGGTTTTTCTGGAGTATAGAATTCACCCTCTGGCCTGAGATTGTCTTCAGGTCTCACTTGAGATGGACGCTCGCCTGGCATGAACTTCGGCTTTTCGGGACTATAGAAATCACCTTCTGGTCGCAAGTTGTCTTCTGGCTTCTTCTGAACTGGTCGTTCAGCTGGCCTATAACCTGGTTTTTCTGGAGTATAGAATTCACCCTCTGGCCTGAGATTGTCTTCAGGTCTCACTTGAGATGGACGTTCTCCTGGCCGGAATTTCGGTTTCTCAGGGCTGTAGAACTCGCCTTCGGGCTTTAGGTTATCTGTTGGTTTTACTTGTTCAGGCCGAGTCACATACTGGTACTCTTCTCTCTCCACAAACGTCATTTCGCCCTCAGTCCGCAAGTTGTCCTTACGTATGATTTTCTCCGTTTTCTCTGCTGGCCTAAAAACTTGTTTCTCTGGTTTTGCGAATTCGCCTTCGGGCTTAAGATTGTCAACGGGTTTCTTTTGAACTGGTCGCTCAGCCGGCTTGAATCCGGGCTTATCAGGTGTATAAAATTCTCCCTCTGGCCGAAGATTATCTTCTGGTCTGACTTGTGAAGGACGCTCGCCTGGCATGAACTTCGGCTTTTCGGGACTATAGAAATCACCTTCTGGTCGCAGGTTGTCTTCTGGCTTCTTCTGAACTGGTCGTTCGGCAGGCCTGTATCCTGGTTTATCAGGGGTGTAGAATTCACCCTCTGGCCGTAGATTATCTTCTGGTCTGACTTGTGAAGGACGCTCGCCTGGCATGAACTTCGGCTTTTCGGGACTATAGAAATCACCCTCTGGTCGCAAGTTGTCTTCTGGCTTCTTCTGAACTGGTCGTTCAGCTGGCCTATAACCTGGTTTTTCTGGAGTATAGAATTCACCCTCTGGCCTGAGATTGTCTTCAGGTCTCACTTGAGATGGACGTTCTCCTGGCCGGAATTTCGGTTTCTCAGGGCTGTAGAACTCGCCTTCGGGCTTTAGGTTATCGGTTGGTTTTACTTGTTCAGGCCGAGTCACATACTGGTACTCTTCTCTCTCCACAAACGTCATTTCTCCCTCAGTCCGCAAGTTGTCCTTACGTATGATTTTCTCCGTTTTCTCTGCTGGCCTAAAAACTTGTTTCTCTGGTTTTGCGAATTCGCCTTCGGGCTTAAGATTGTCAACGGGTTTCTTTTGAACTGGTCGCTCAGCCGGCTTGAATCCGGGCTTATCAGGTGTATAAAATTCTCCCTCTGGCCGTAGATTATCTTCTGGTCTGACTTGTGAAGGACGCTCGCCTGGCATGAACTTCGGCTTTTCGGGACTATAGAAATCACCTTCTGGTCGCAGGTTGTCTTCTGGCTTCTTCTGAACTGGTCGTTCAGCTGGCCTATAACCTGGTTTTTCTGGAGTATAGAATTCACCCTCTGGCCTGAGATTGTCTTCAGGTCTCACTTGAGATGGACGTTCTCCTGGCCGGAATTTCGGTTTCTCAGGGCTGTAGAACTCGCCTTCGGGCTTTAGGTTATCGGTTGGTTTTACTTGTTCAGGCCGAGTCACATACTGGTACTCTTCTCTCTCCACAAACGTCATTTCTCCCTCAGTCCGCAAGTTGTCCTTACGTATGATTTTCTCCGTTTTCTCTGCTGGCCTAAAAACTTGTTTCTCTGGTTTTGCGAATTCGCCTTCGGGCTTAAGATTGTCAACGGGTTTCTTTTGAACTGGTCGCTCAGCCGGCTTGAATCCGGGCTTATCAGGTGTATAAAATTCTCCCTCTGGCCGTAGATTATCTTCTGGTCTGACTTGTGAAGGACGCTCGCCTGGCATGAACTTCGGCTTTTCGGGACTATAGAAATCACCTTCTGGTCGCAGGTTGTCTTCTGGCTTCTTCTGAACTGGTCGTTCAGCTGGCCTATAACCTGGTTTTTCTGGAGTATAGAATTCACCCTCTGGCCTGAGATTGTCTTCAGGTCTCACTTGAGATGGACGTTCTCCTGGCCGGAATTTCGGTTTCTCAGGGCTGTAGAACTCGCCTTCGGGCTTTAGGTTATCGGTTGGTTTTACTTGTTCAGGCCGAGTCACATACTGGTACTCTTCTCTCTCCACAAACGTCATTTCTCCCTCAGTCCGCAAGTTGTCCTTACGTATGATTTTCTCCGTTTTCTCTGCAGGCCTAAAAACTTGTTTCTCTGGTTTTGCGAATTCGCCTTCGGGCTTAAGATTATCAACAGGTTTCTTTTGAACTGGTCGCTCAGCCGGCTTGAATCCGGGCTTATCAGGTGTATAAAATTCTCCCTCTGGCCGTAGATTATCTTCTGGTCTGACTTGTGAAGGACGCTCGCCTGGCATGAACTTCGGCTTTTCGGGACTATAGAAATCACCCTCTGGTCGCAGGTTGTCTTCTGGCTTCTTCTGAACTGGTCGTTCGGCAGGCCTGTATCCTGGTTTATCAGGGGTGTAGAATTCACCCTCTGGCCGTAGATTATCTTCTGGTCTGACTTGTGAAGGACGCTCGCCTGGCATGAACTTCGGCTTTTCGGGACTATAGAAATCACCCTCTGGTCGCAAGTTGTCTTCTGGCTTCTTCTGAACTGGTCGTTCAGCTGGCCTATAACCTGGTTTTTCTGGAGTATAGAATTCACCCTCTGGCCTGAGATTGTCTTCAGGTCTCACTTGAGATGGACGTTCTCCTGGCCGGAATTTCGGTTTCTCAGGGCTGTAGAACTCGCCTTCGGGCTTTAGGTTATCGGTTGGTTTTACTTGTTCAGGCCGAGTCACATACTGGTACTCTTCTCTCTCCACAAACGTCATTTCTCCCTCAGTCCGCAAGTTGTCCTTACGTATGATTTTCTCCGTTTTCTCTGTTGGCCTAAAAACTTGTTTCTCTGGTTTTGCGAATTCGCCTTCGGGCTTAAGATTGTCAAGGGGTTTCTTTTGAACTGGTCGTTCAGCCGGCTTGAATCCGGGCTTATCAGGTGTATAAAATTCTCCCTCTGGACGAAGATTATCTTCTGGTCTGACTTGTGAAGGACGCTCGCCTGGCATGAACTTCGGTTTTTCGGGACTATAGAAATCACCCTCTGGTCGCAGGTTGTCTTCTGGCTTCTTCTGAACTGGTCGTTCGGCTGGTCTATAACCTGGTTTTTCTGGAGTATAGAATTCACCCTCTGGCCTGAGATTGTCTTCAGGTCTCACTTGAGATGGACGCTCGCCTGGCATGAACTTCGGCTTTTCGGGACTATAGAAATCACCCTCTGGTCGCAAGTTGTCTTCTGGCTTCTTCTGAACTGGTCGTTCGGCTGGCCTGTATCCTGGTTTATCAGGGGTGTGGAATTCTCCCTCTGGCCGTAGATTATCTTCTGGTCTGACTTGTGAAGGACGGTCGCCTGGCATGTACTTCGGTTTTTCGGGACTATAGAAATCACCCTCTGGCCGCAGGTTGTCTTCTGGCTTCTTCTGAACTGGACGTTCGGCTGGCCTGTATCCTGGTTTATCAGGTGTGTAGAATTCTCCTTCTGGCCTGAGATTGTCTTCAGGTCTCACTTGAGATGGACGTTCTCCTGGCCGGAATTTCGGTTTCTCAGGTGAATAAAAATCTCCTTCGGGGCGGAGGTTATCTTCTGGTCTGATTTGTGATGGTCGTTCACCTGGTGTAAATGTTGTTTTTTCTGGGCTATAGAAATCACCTTCTGGTCGTAAATTGTCGTCGGGTTTTATTTGAACAGGTCGTTCAGCAGGCCTGTACCCTGGTTTTGTTGGAGTGTAGAATTCGCCCTCCGGCCTTAAGTTATCTGTGGGTCTTACTTGCTCTGGCCTTGTAACAGATTGGTACTCTTCTCGCTTTATGAATGTCATTTCGCCTTCTGTACGGAGATTGTCAGTACGAATTATCTGAATGGGCCTTTCACCCGGTCGGTAAATTTGCTTTTCTGGTATTTCAAACTCGCCTTCTGGCTTTAGGTTGTCAGTTGGTTTCTTTTGAGTTGGTCGCTCTGCTGGTTTATATTCTGATTTATCCGGAGTATAAAACTCTCCCTCTGGTTTGAGGTTGTCTAATGGTCTCTTTTGTTCTGGGCGAACTACATATCTGTATTCTTCTTTCTCAACGAAAGTCATTTCGCCCTCTGTTCGCAAATTATCTGTATGTACAATCTTAGTTCGCTTTTCCCCGGGCTTATATGGCTCCTTCTCTGGAACTATGAATTCACCTTCCTGCTTTAAGTTATCTTCAGGCCTTTTTATAACAATATAGTCCAAAAGTATTTCTTCGTTTGGCTTTAACTTTGTTCTTTCCTTCTCCAAATCTGTTTTCGACCAGGTGTTAGTACGAACTCTCGTGTAGTTTTCATCGGTTTGCTCTGAAAAAGTGTACAATTTTAGCTTCGGTTTTGTTTATTGCTATTGAAAAATATACCGTTTATATCAACAAGTGTTTTTTCAGAAGACTTTGTTGTGCTGGTTGAGCAATGATGGCGCCTGAAAGTTAAAGTATATTCATAGTATAAATATTCAAAACAATATAGTTGGAGTTAACTATACCCGCAGGTGCATATTTCACAGATACACTTTTCGCTATGAATCGACTGTAGAGATGTTTTTTTATTCTTTTCGACTCCACGCTAACAAAAGAAATAGGAAAGAAAGAAAGATCAATTAGCACATAGAAGTATACAGTATAATTTGTATTGCATAACATACCTTTCTTGAATCGTCTAGGGTTTTATCAGTTTTTATGTAATCGAGTTCATCATAAATATTCTCGGTAATATTTTTGTGTTTCGATGTTTCGTTTCGGTTAAGGGTTACGTTTTCGTTGTTTTCAGAAATTGATGTGTTTTTCTCAATTTCAACAAACTCATCAACGTATATAGTTTTCTTGGGAGTCTCAACAATTTTCTCTATAACATCTGTATGCGTTTTTTCATCCAGAACACGCCAATCGTTTATGCTTGCGTCAAATATCTGTAATTAAATTAATAAGACATTGGACTTACAAACATAAAGCGAATGCTTTAGACTATTATGTTGCTTCAGTTTTAACATGCACATAATCGTAGAATGGGCACGCAACTAAGTCTCCACCGAAGCACTACAAGTTAATTACCTTTGTTACTTCAGTCGTAGTTGTTATGTTGGCGACATCGGTGTTATCTTTTTCAATTTCACGAGCAATGTCATTGGGCACAAAAGCTTTCGTATCAGTGAACGATTTCTCGTCCACGACCGTCCACTTGCCGAGCTTTGTGTCATACACCTTAGTTGTGTATGTTGTTGTTGTCGTATTAATGACATCATCAACTATTTCAGGATAACCCAAGTCGTGCGTGCTGTCCACAGTTTTCTCATCGACCACACGCCATCTATTATTTCGCCTGTCGTATATCTTCTTCTTGTATGTTACTTTATATGAGCCATCCGACTCCTTGCTAACGTAACGCTCAAATGTCGGATGCTTCTTATTAGTGTAATTAGTGGTTCCATCGCTATATTCGCTCCAGGTTTTCGTTTTTACATCGTAGACTTCCTTTTTCGAGGTCGACTTGGACTGTTTTGTGGTGCTGCGGTTTGTTGTGCTCTCGCTGATTTGCTTGTTGCTACTGCTGCTGCCCTTTACCGTGTCCAATCGTTTCGTGTCTACAAAACCACCACTGCTGCGTCTGTCTGTCGTATTAATGTCGGCCACCAGTAATGTCGATGACGTTGCTTCATCAACAGCTGTGGTGCTGGTGCTGGTGCTGTCAGTGGTCGCGATTTTATCGTGACGTTGCGTTGATGACGTAGCTTTTGTTGTGGTCGATGTAGACGAGACCGGTTCGCGTTGCGACGTCACCGGCGCCAACGTTGATGATGACGTAGTTGTAGTGGTACGGTCAGCTGTAGCTGCACCTGGAATCTTTGGCACGCTCGCACGTATAGCACCATTTGTCTGAGATTCGTACACTTTATCAGTACCGCCAACGCTGTAGCCAATATTGTCGCCGCTAATGTTAGTAGTGTTGGTGCTGGTTTGCTGTTTGGTATTTGTGATGGAGGTGCTATCTATGCCAACCTGTTCTGCAACATATTTGCTGTTCACCGATGATGATGAAGATGATGTCATACCGGTAGCGCTCGCTCTCTCGCTCGCAATGAGCGTTTCGTTGGCGTTGCGGCTGGAACTGGTTGTAGACTCAAAGTAAGTGGAGCTGGCCTGCTGATGGCTGCTGCTAGCCGATTTTGATGAGGACGTGTACATTTTTGATACACTGTCGCCGCTGGCAGACATCGTTATGCCACCGCCGTACTCCACTACCTCGATCGGCACGGAAAATACCGGTTCCTTTTTTTCACTTTCGAGGAGATCAATTGACGAAATGATTTTCTCGTTCGAGTAATCTCGCGAGATCTTCGCACTCCTGCTGGTGCTGCTGCTGCTGCTGAACTGCTGTGATTCCAGGGACTGAGATTGCGCTGTGTATGTGCTGGAGCTGGACTTGCCCGCTTGACTGCTATAGCTTTTAGCACCTGCATCTCGATCATCCGAGAGCTGTACAGTGGATATTGCAGTTGCTGCTGGCGTAGGCGCACCGTATGACACAGAGCTCTGCTCCATGGAGGTCGAACTGGAGGTTGTTTTTATTGTCTCTGTGGCATCGGGACGCTGTTTTTTGGTTAATTTGGTTGCCGACTCCGACGTTGTTGTTGTTGCTGATGTAGATGTTGCCGACGATTGCTGTTGATGCTGCGTCTGCGAGTGCGACGACAACTGTTTCTTTTTATTGTTTTTTGAGACCATTTTGCTGGTTTTAATTCGACACAGATGAGGTAATCACTGACTGCGTGTAGGTAAATAGACTTTTGCTTTTTTTTTTCAGTGGCTATCTGCATTAACTTTTTAAATATCGCTGCTGTTGTTAATCACAATTATCGCTCGGTTGGTTGGTTTGGCACAGAAGTAATATTTTATTTTTTAATTTTAATTGGTTTTTTATGACTATCTCATAATTTTCACGGCGGAATGTCGAAATACTTATTTTTAAATATTATACACACTCACGTACAAGCTAACCATAGTTCAAGTTGAAACGACAAACATACACACACACACAAAGGCAAGCACACACATACACACACGAATATGGGCGACAGTCGAACGTGTAGCGTGGACAAAAAGCTTAGCAAGTTTAGCACACACACTCACGCACAGTTAGAGAGATACAAAACGTTTGGGACTGATATTTTTTATTTAGATGCCCGAATGGTATTTTTTTCGTGTTCGGAATGCTTTTAAGATCAACAACCGTCGCGAAGCACAACTCAAAACGTACTGATCATTCGGAGCTGTTACTGCTGCTTTCGACCGTGTCTACTTTTGCCGTGCTGCTTGCCAAAAGCAGCACCAGCACCAGCGCCAGCCAAGCGTTTGTGGGTTTCGTTCGTTTAGCTTGGCAGGCATGCGTGCGAGCGAGAAACACGTCGCGCTGTAGCGCTTCGCCTTCGCAAATGGCAAAAACTCAGCGCCAAGCAGCGGCGCGTAGGTTGGTGCATGACTTACATTGTACGTGCATACATACAACTATATCTACATATATGTATTGGAACTGTCTGTCGGGCTGAGACTGTGGCTGAGTCTGAGACTATCTGTAAAATGCGTAGGTATACGAATGAGTCGGTGTGTCTGTTTATTTTATGTCGCTTTTGTGCCACGCAACGAGTTCAATAAGCCAATAAAACAAAAAAGAGCCCCCTTTCGAAAGTTTCTACACACAATGGCCATAAACTTGTCTCGCTGTTGTCTTTCAAAAAAGACGCTTCTCGCCATCAAACGTCCGACAAACAAACAAAACAGAATTGGTGCAGAAGCCCAAAAATGGCCAAATACTAATTGCCTGGAACTATCTAGCCGTCGTCCGACGGATGCATTATTAAAATACATACAAAAAAAAAATATATATATATATATATACATATATATATTTGTAGAAACGCCGCTCTGACACGGCTTAGTCAGCGACATGTTTTGCATTTATTTATGCAAACAAGTACGATGTATTGAACATTAAAGCTATACTCGTATTTGTGTCTGGCCAACTGTCTGGCATTACGTGGGCGCCAAAATTGCTTATGACTATTTGAGAGCTCAATAACAGTAGACTTCCACGATTTATACATTTAGTATTGATGTGACAATGCTGGATATTAAATTGCCTAATTGATTTATACCGGCTGTTGCAGTGGGCGTAACTAAAGAGTATCTAGAAGTTTTGTGTGTCACCAGCAAGCTAACTACACGCAGACAAATTAGTTTTTTGAAAACCGTGCAAAACTTAAAAAATGTCTTTTTTATATGTACATACAATATATGAGTTAAAGCCCTGATTTCAAATTAGTAGACGAAGCGTTTTTTAAATTTCGGTAGCTTTAAAAAATTACAGATTCGTTCTTACAATTCGGGCGAATGATATGATGGGATTTTTCTAGTTTTTAGGGCAATATCTTTCGTTGAATTTAAAAACTAACATTTCTATAATAAAAAAAAGGTCAATTCGCCCTGAAACTAACTACAAATTCAAAATTCCCATGCGCGTTTTCTGTCATTGTCTGGTTTAAAATCGAGCTGTGGGTTTCCACTTAGTTATTTATCATTCATTGAATAAATTAATAAAATAGATTTTGTAGACTTATTCAATTCAAACTAGTAGATTACCCTTTAACGTGGCGCGACTTTAAAACATAATAAGAATTTGATTAACAAATAAGAAATTAAATAGAATACAAGTATTTCCCATTAAAAACTAGGACAATATTTCTTCTTTGATATTGAGAATTCAGACACTATAAAATATTTACTTAGTTTCCACCTACCATTATAATAAAGAAATTTTGACCTTAGACAGAAATTTTCTTAAAAGTAGAGCTAGTTTTAATATTAAGTAGATTTCGGTCAATTTTTTTAAGCTGAGTGTACCTTTAGGTTTAAGGTCAGAAACTTTGATTGTCGAGAGAGCCGCAGACTTAAGCAATTTGACCTTCGAACACTTTAGCAAATCTTCTAAATTACTTATACAGTACAGTAGTGTGTGTGTGTACAAAAGAGAGAAACAGCAGAAAGGCCAATTATTGTTCAATTCACAGCGACAACGATGATTGTCATGACGTCATACATGGCGTATACACAATAAACCAAAAGTCACTTTTTAGTGAGCAACCAAAATCAAAATAAACTGGTTGCCGACGCATTAAAATGAACAAACAAGTTCCGAATGCAAAACTGAAGTGCAAAATGAAAAACAAACACATAATGTATGTATGTATTAGAAATTCAAAGCAAAAAAGTTGGGACACACATACATACATAGGCAAATTGGAACAAGTTTTAATTTAGTTCAAATCGCAATTGGTAATGGACAAAAAAATGCAGCACCAGTACGACTATCTACTTAATTACTTCGCGTGCTGATATGCTCCAAATTGTTCAGCAGGCACAAGCTCGTAGATACATTAAGTATACGAGTATATACTTGTATACATACATAGGTATACAGACATATTCACATGACATTCATTCCAATGTGGCACGAGAGATGTGGCTGGGGTCGGAGCAATGTGGTACTCGTCTTTTCCTTGGAATTGAATTTGATTTGCGGCAAGGCGGAGTTAACAAAATTTATGCGCATCGTATGGCTTACGTACAATTTATTTTAATTTACGATTTGCGATCAGACCAGTCAAAATTTCTAAAGAAGCTTAGAGCAGAGCAGAGCGGAGCAAAGTGGAACCTCAAGGTGGTTTGTATGTCCATTTGACGACACACGAAGGTTAACAGCAGAAGCCTTGCCAGCGATATCCCTTTTTTGGACATTTGTAATGTCAAAAAAAAATGCATAAATTTGTTAAATCAGTTTTTTGCTCTTTAAACTTGTCAACCATTGGACTTATAGGGCACGCAATTGCTCGCTTGCATTTTTCATTTAAATTGCCACAAAAATGACGCAATCCCCAGCGGTCACGTAATTGTAGGTAGTGTTTAATTTTTTCTTTTAAATTCATAAACAATTAAAATAAATTATTCCGTATGTGTGTGCATGTGTGTGTGAATGAATGAACTGTAATAACTACGGCAGCAATATCATTTGAATTCTAAACATATACATATTACAGTATTAGCTTTTGTGGGTGGTGATTGGCGTATCTCCATAGCCAGGTGGAACGTGCCATGAAGTCACTTTTAAACAAATTACTGTAGATTACAGCAAAAAGTACAACTTAATTATAATGTAGCCACTTAACTATTTTCGTTGTTATCGCATTCAAAAGTGAATATGTATATGTATCTAATCTAGTCTAATTCCGTGTATTATAAATTAGCTGCCACAAACAAACTCGTACATTAATGTTTGGAATACGTGCGAGCTTTGAACTCGTTTATACCTTCCTTCCATACCCATTTGAGGCCAAACTTGTTTGGTTTTTATTACAAAACTAGACTATTTTAATCAAATAAAAACAAAACTTGCCGATTTCCCAGAAAGGATTTTAGTATCTCTCTTGTCCATTAGTCATACGATTACGAACTCGTATATTTATTTACCTGTAAGTATATATTCGTACATACTATAGGTATAGGTTTTAAGGCTAGCTGGTGATTAAAAGCTGTTCAAAGAACAACATTCAATTATTCTGACTCATCCCTTAGGCACATCATTAGCTTTTTAACTTAATCGTTCAGTATACTCATAAAAAACAAATTCATTTCGTATAGACTTTAAACGGCGCTCAAGGAAAAGGTTAATAGCCTTATATAAGTGTTCTAAAAATATAATTTGTGTAACTTGTATTTCCAATCGATTTTGATAAAGTGATTCAGCAAATGATAAGACGGTTTATCTAATAATATATATACAAAATAAATTTATGAATATGTTTGGGAACGTTTCGTGAGCTTCACAAAAGGTAAGGCTATACGGCTACCCATTCTCAAATAAGTACAGTGATGCCTTTTTTCAAGAAAGTTTACTAATACAATCAATAATATATGATTAAATTCAATTTGTTATCGGGTAATCGCTCAAAAAGGAAAACTGTATTCCAGGGTGGCGCCTATATTTCATTTCATTAAGTACGAAAGCTTACAAGGATTGTCAATGGATCAACTGGCACCATAAATGGAATGATAGTTCCCAGTTGTTGAGTATTTAGAGATTTTAAAAAGGTACAGATGCGAAATATGCGTTAAAAAACGCATTTAAAATTGTTTTTTCCAATTATTCATCGAAATTTTGTTTTTCCATGAAGTTCCCTACTTTCCCGAAATGCTAATACTGAGAAAAATAAATTTTCGGAACTTGAGCGTGGTCTGCAAAGAACCCACTTCATTTCAGCCTGGGCATTGATGCTTTACCATTCAAAACCAGAAAATTGTTCGAACCTTCGATTTTCCAAACACAATAAGAACTGGAGAATTCGGCATTTCCATTACAGTTACACATTTTTTATTATTCATATTTTTGTATTTCTTTAAGGCTTACATATTAAAATATACGCTTAGTTTACGACCATTATTTCGTTTGATGTATCAGAATATTTCCGATTTAATGTGCTTTTATTTTTGCTTAGGCGTAGGGTATATATATTTTTTACAGTGTGATATCGATTTTGTTATTTTTATTTTCATTTTCACCAAGCGTGCGACTGTTGCATGTGGCATGTGGGTGTTTGGTGTAATTATTTTTTCAATTTTTTGTCGTCTGCTTTTACTGCACCTTCTCTAAGTTTTTGTTGTTTTACCTTTGCCTTTTGCTTTAGGTGGTGTGGGTGTGTCGTTTCTTACTTCCATAGATCTATTATTTATTTTACAGTTGTAGCTTAAAACTATATATTATGCTTCTCTATACTATTCTGCCGATTTTTGTTTTAGGTGTTGTGCCAAGCACACGCTATGCGATAAATCAGCTGTGTGTATGTGTGCGCCTTTGGGGAGCCGTGGGTGTCGCTCGCTCGAATTCGCAAACTAACTCCAGCCGACGCATAGCGTTTCGTTCACTCTACATATTTAAATATTTTATAGACCTGTTTCTTGTTCGCTTACGTTAGCTTTATGCATAGATTTTTTTTATTGTAGACTATACGTTTTATGTACAAAAATTTATCTGTTCGCTGGCGCATTCATTCAGGCCTTTTTCTTTTTGCCTTCCAGTATGTCCACATTGCAGTGCACCAACGCACGTCTAGGGAGGCGCCCACACCTGAAGTTCTAGTTGGATTATGTGGTTAATTTTTTGTTTACGTATCTCATGCTTTTGCAGGCAGCATAGTACAAAGAATTTCACGGTATCGTCACAAACTAAACAGTTCAATCGTCGCGATCATACTCCTGTTTTCCAAAACAACGGACCCCCTTTTAATTTGATTGTTTCGAAATCCATACATTCTTTTAATTATTCTTTTGTGGAGAACACACATGTGGCAGACGGTACCGTTTAATTCTTTGTACAGATGGTACTGTAGGTATGTATGTATGTAGGTCCATAGTAGTTGGTTGCTTGCTTATGTATTTCTCTTTATATGTAGGTATGTATACATTGTTTACAATTATTCGTTTATGCATAGGTGTGTATACGTAGGTATGTATGTATGTTATGAATATGATAAAAATTAGTTGCTAAAATATAAAATCAATCAAAAATTTATCGTATGCAATAAGTAAAAAGGTTGCAACTTACATAGGTTGTTGTTTTAGATGTGACCAACACATCACAAGATTAACAGTTACAATTACAGTTACAATATGCATTTATGTAACTCTATATAATTACAGTTTATGTTTTTGTATATTTATTTTACATACATATCTAAATGTAACTAAAAGCTTTATAACTAAGGGAATACACTTCTGTGTTTTATTATTATTATAATTATTATTATTCTGGTTTATAAGTGTAGAGGCTTTTTAAAGTGTGAATATGGTGTGTGTTTGTGTGCGATGTAATTTTTGTGTGAGTGTGCATGTCTGTGTGAGAGAATTTGTGTAGGATTTTTCCAATCTTAAGCTGCACTAGTCACATGTTGCGCGGTTTTTGATTTTTTATTTAAATTTTAACTTGCCTGCCGGCTAGTTTACTTTTAGCTTCAATGCTAAGCACAGCAGTTATATGTATGTATTTACAGTAAATTAAAATGCTATACACAAATCTTGCATCGCCACACAAAAGCATAAAGAATACATTTTAGCTGTCGGACGCTCAAAGGTTTGCTTGAGGATTCGGGATGCTTTTAAACTGACTATTCCCAATACCCGTAAACGTTTCACTGTTGCTGTTGTTGTGATCCCTGACCCTCCTGCTGCTGCACATTGCGGCATATTTCGTATTTGATCACTTTACCGTGACCACCAGGCAATAGAACTTCAACCTGTGTGGGCTGCGATGGCGTTGCAGCCGACTGCTGTTGTTGCTGTTGCTGCTGAGCGGCCGCCTCCTGCAAAAATTGTAAGCAGAACTTTAGTCAATGGTATTCGGGGCTAAATCCTTATCCACAATCGCGTCAGTCAGCAAAAGCCTCTTAAGCACTGGCAGCCTTTCAAGTAACTTATAACGAAATCATATAATGTATGTATAAGCTTATCTAAATTACGCTCAGGCAAGAGTTCATAAATAAATTATGCATATGTATGTAGTAGGTTCATCCATACATAGATACATAAATACACAAACAAAATTCACAGCCGGCTGGGGAGTGGGAAAAACACGTAATAAAGTAACGAATTTTGTAAAGTAGATATTAATGTAATTGACAAACAAACAGACGGACGGACATAAAGATACACATGTACATACATATGTATATGCAGGAGCGTCGAGGGGAATTACGGGCCCGAAGTTGAAATTTCGGACCAATATACATACATACATATGTATAGTACATATATAACATGAAATGCTTAAAGGTTCAATTTCCGTGGGAGTCCTCCACTGTTCATCCCATCTCGACGGGCCTGTATATTATTATGTAGGTAGGTAGCAGATGGAAGCTGCACAACAACATATACAGTGTACATATACAAACAACAACAAAAATTATGATATGATAAATAGACAATTAGCAGTAATTTTTTCATACACACCTAAACGCGTACAGTGAAGCCTTTTGCGTACGTTTTACAGTTTTACAATTTATTGCGTTTATATATTTGTATAAATGTTATTGGTTTTATTGTTTATACAATCTATAAAAGGGTAATTTTGACGCGAGCGTGAGTGTGTGTGATTGTGTGGGTGTGTGCGAGTGTGCGTGTTTCCGGTGTGGTCACGCATCGTCATCGTCAAACTGTAAATGGCATTGCAACTGCAAGTTGTGGTCGCGCTCGCTTGTGGGTGTTACTAGGCAGCGGGGCAGCGAGAGAGCGACGGTCCCATATAAAACAACAAACAGACAAACACATACATAGATAGCTAATACAAACACATACACAACGCACAGACATGTAATACGCACATTACAGCACAGGCAGTGCAAACGAACCATTACACATTTATTGGGGGTGGGGGAGTTCATTTCGCGGCTTTTGTCAAACACATATACATACATATGTATGTATGATATTTCCCATCGGTGCTTGCATTGTGTTTCTCAACTGATTGGAATGGATGATGTTTCATTCTGATTCTGTTATGTCTGTCTGTGTATGTGTGTGCGCGCGCGCTTTCTTGAGTGTGTTCTTGAATGAGTGGCATTTGCAATTTTCTTCTAGCTCGTGTCTCAATTTTGAATTGGTTGTGTTTTCAATCTTTCCATTTAAAAATGTGTTCATCTTTTTGTTTTTATTTTATTTGTTATTATTTGCCTTATATTGGTTATTTAGTAAGAAGTAGTTGGTACAACAAGCTGCAAGTATTGAAGTTAAAAAAGTAATGCAAATATGTTTAATTTCATTTCGGGTTCTTCATGTTCAATATATGGGTAGTATGTGGTAGCATGTATGAAGTAAAAGAGCGGTATACAGATAGACATTTAATAAGGCAATACAAACAACAGTTTCTGTTATGAAATTGTTTACCATCTTAACTAAATACTAAGAAAATACAGAGAAGTTCTAAACGAGGAATATCAGGTCTATTGTCCTTGAAAGAAAGGCTGTTTAAAGATAAGTTCCTTTATAACTATAATCTCATGCAATCTATTATTTGAGGAAAAAATTAATTCTGAAGCAGTTAAATGAAAATGCAAGTGTATTTCTATAATAGCTAGACCTAAAATCTGAACTAAAAATTTTGCTTGTTGAAGATACGATTTGAAAATCTTTTTTTTTTTTGGCAAATCTATGAAATTTTTATTGTTTATGTTTTAGTGGTTATAATAAAAATCTGACATAAGCTAATATGTATCCGAAATTGTATTTATTTTAATAGTTGACATTAACTAGCAAACTATTTTAGAAAAATATAGAAACGCTTCTGAGAAATTTCTCTTCTTAAACTATTGTGTAAATGACCAAACCCTAGAATGACAAACACCGTTGCTGCCACCTTGAAAATTTATTATTTAAAACTATACTGCCATTGCGCTGCTATTGAAACTGCCTTACAATTAAATTTTACTCTATTTTGTTGTTGACAAACCACAAATTAATCATTAAAGCATCCGAACATATTCTAGTTTTAACTAAGCATATAGTATTAAAACAAGCCAAATTAAAATATGTATTTACTCATATATATTGTATAAGTAAGGCGAGTGTGCGCAAATTTTTATTTTCAAATGCAATTTCAACTTGTAAATTTTGTAAAATTTTGTATAAACTAGGCCAGGCCATTTGCCAGGGCATTTGCGCAGCTCATTAAGCAGAAAGTTTTGGGATACATATTTCTGGGATTGTTTTGAGGTTGGTGCTAGGCACTAGCATACCTGTTGCTGCGATATGGCTGGCTTCGTTTCCAAATGCTGGCGCTGGTGCAGCATCAAATGATTCTTTTGGAAGAACGCCTTTCCACATTCGCAAACATGTGTGCGCACAGTGCATCCGCCACTGGGATGGCGGCGATTGTGCTGCATCAGACCGTGCTTAGCAGCGAATCCCTTGCCGCAACTGGCGCAGAAATGGGACTTTGGCTTATTGGCCGATGCCACAGTCACCACTTGCTGTTGCGCCTGCTGTTGGACATGATGTAGATGGGCTTGCTGCTGGCCCTGTACGGACATTGTCGGCACAGCGGTGACGACGGCTTGCGGATGGGTTGAGTTGGCGGCCTGCACCAGCGTGGTCTGCGACATCACCTGGCCAGTGGACGAGATTATTTGCACTGGCACGGGACTTTGGCCCACAAGATTTGGATTGGCGGTTACCACGGTGCCAGGATTCAAGCTGGCTGTGCTTAGGAAGTGGCCCGGCAGCGCTGCTGTTAAGGCGCACAAGTCAGTCATTAGACTCTTGTCGCCGGTATGCAGGCGCAAGTGCAATGCCAATGCCTCGCGACTATTGAAAGCGCTACCACACTCGCTGCAATTGGAAAAAGATGCATTGTCAGTGTTTCAACTTCCCCATTATGATGTTATCTACCCCGAGAACTTACCGGCATACAAATTGCGGCCTTGCCACTCCATTAGCATCAGTAGTCGAGACGGTAAGCAGTGTTGAATTAGCAGGATTGCTCACAACAGTGATCGTCTGTGGGTGTGGCGCTCCGGGATGGTGGTGCGGCTGCTGTATCTATCCCAAGGAATAATTTAGTCCACGCATATAATTTATAATTTAATTTCGTTACGTACCTGCTGATTGGCAATTATGGTACTGCCCGTATTTTGATTGACACCATTGTGTGCGGTGCGCATGTGCTGGAGCAGCTCGGCCTTGGTTAGGAAGCCTTCACCGCAGCTTAGGCACGGATGCGGCTGATCGCCTGTATGTATGCGCCTGTAAGGAATAGATTATACAGATTATTTATAATCTGCGGCAACGCCAGAGGCTAAAGACGAAGTAGTTTACCTCATGTGTGCAACTAGTGTACGTTTCTGTAGAAATTCCTTGCCACAAACAGTACAGGAGTGGGGAATTTTACCGTGTATACGCCCGTGATTGACCAACTGGAACTTTCGTGGAAACGATGCTCCGCACTCAGCACAAACAAATGGATTCAATGAACCATGAAAGCTGCAAATAATTTTCGGATTAGTAAGTCAATCAAGAGTGTAAGAAATACTATATTTACTTAAAGTAAATATGATGTTTGACCTACCGTGAGTGCATAATAAGGTGGTTCTCCTGGGCAAAACTTTCACCGCATTCCTCGCAGACGTAGGGACGTTCGCCGGCGTGAAATTTGCTGTGGGTGACGAGGTGCCGCTTGAGCGGAAACGAGCGTCCGCACTCTTGGCAGACAAACGGCCGTTCTCGACTGTGAACGCGAGAATGGGTCAGTAGATGATGCTTGAGGGTGAAGCTCTTCTTGCACTCCTGACACTGATATGGCCGGTCGGTCGAATGTAACAATAGATGCGTGTTCAGGCAATGTTTGTGCGCAAAGCTCTTGCCGCAGTGGGTGCAAATGTGGGGACGTTCACCTGAAGTCAATAATAACAAATAAACAAAGAGAACCCGTTAAACCCGCTCGATTGCCAATGATAAATCGCCAGGAACAAGAACAACCACCTGTGTGCACGCGCGCGTGTGTTGTCAAATGATGTTTGAGCAGAAAGGATTTACCGCACTCGTCGCAACTGTACGGGCGTTCCTTCTTGATGGTGGCGTCGGTCTAAAAAGAGGCAACGAAAAACACAAAGCGTTGGTTATTTATCAACTGCTCCAAGTGCATCGCTGATCTATAGAGTGTTTGGGATTGGGCTTACTTCGCTGAAATGCATTGATTCCTGTAGTTCGGTCTTTGGGGACAATTCTAAAGTGCCTGGCTCCAACTTTAAGTTGGGTGCTTCGCCCTGCGAGTCCTCGGTTTCTTCGAGTCCTTGTATTACTTTCTGTACTTGAACTGAAATACCAGGAAGTATGTCACCTAAGAGTGTTGTTGCACCGCCAGCGGAACAGAAACAACAAAATCGAATAATTCAAAGGAAGAAAAAGAGAAGAAACAAAAGAAAATCAAAGTACGAAAACCAAAATACGAGCCAAATAAAAACCAAAAACAAGATGAAAAAACAAAAACCAATTTAATCAATACAAGAAAAAAAAAAACAAAACAAAAACAATGATAATCAAAACAAAATCGGGGAAATTGCTTTTTACACAGACTTGGAACCAGAACCAATACTAATACCAATGCCAGTACCAGTGTTTAGCCAATAGAATAAACAACAACACGTATATTTGAGATGCTTACTTGGTGTCGCGCCTGGCGCCGAATTATGATGGTGCGCTCCGTCGCCTGTTGTGGTGATCGTGTGCGTCTGATGATGTCCGGCAGCGATCGCGCGTTTTATTAATATCTCATTGCATTCCTCTTGGGTGAGGTGCAGAGCGCCAATCGAGTTGAAGTGCGACTTTGCCGCAGCGCTCGACGTCAATACCGTTTGTCCAGTCTTGGCGTCAACAATGCTGCCATTCGTCAATGTGTGATGATGTGCAGCCGCAGGATCGCCAGCGGCGGCGGCTGCTGCAGCAGCGGCTGTCGCCTGATCGACTAATAAATCTACACATACACATGTACATATGCGCGTGCCGCCCGCCCGTCGGTCATTGATGGTATATGAATTGTGTGTGTATGTGTGTGTGTGTACACGTGCGTCGATACGTGGGTGTGCGTGTAGGTGAAGGAGCAGGTAATTTTTTTTTTTTTTTTTGATGGGCGTGGGAGGGCGTGCGACAATAATACAAGTAGCAATAATTGAAGCACATCGGAGCAAAATACAGAAAGAGATTGTGATAAAAGAGCGTGAGAGAGAAAGAGAGAAAACAATCGATTAACAAAACCCCAAAATCGATTATATTACAACACAGCAACAACGCGTGCAACACTGATTGACTGACTGATTTGATTGGCGACCACTTACAGTTCTTATCAAGCGAATTAATGCTCAACACCTGTTGTGCAGATGAGTCCTGCTTTTTGACTACCGTCGATGCCCCACCTGTAGTAATGACTCTGTGAATGGTAGAGAGAATCGGAGCAAACGAGTGCAGTTCTTAGTTTAAAGTTGTTTCACTTTTTTATATTTTCCATTTCAATTAATTTTTTTTCTTGTTTGTGACATGGAAGGTATTTTGAAACGCACCTTTGTGTTCCGGGCGCAAACGTATCGTTCACAACGAACATACGACGCACGACATTGCCCTTATTGCTAGCTGAGAGTGCACCTTTAACATCCTTTTGTACGGCCAATGATCCATCCGCGGATAATAGATAGGGCATCTAAAATAGTTTTAGGGTTTCAATAAGTGTGGTGTATAGTTGGAGTGAATACGCGCTTGAAATTCAAAATTCAATTCTTCATGTTCATGTTGTGGTTGTTTTTAAAACGGAACAAATGCAGTTATGATTATGTTATTGTTGTAGTTGGTTAGTGTTTATTACCACTATTTTTTTCTTCGTTTCTTTTTGATGCTGTTTGTTGTTGCAGTATTAGGTAGTTGTAGCTAATGTCCCCAAAAACCGAATAATTACAGGAATACAATGCTTTTCAACATTGTCCAACACACTCATACATATTTGCATAAATAATTACACATTCAATAATTAATATTATTATTAATATGTATGTACAGGATATGTATGAATAATACTAAGCATGTAAATTGGATTAGAGCTAAAAAATTAATGCTATTTTTGTAGAAAGTACAGTCGTCTCCATGGAATACTTTTGTATTACAATTGAGTTACTGAATTAAATGTTGCTGTTGTTTGTTATGTTGTTTTCCTTTCTTATCTATCGCGTGCTCGTCTCGTTTTTGCTTCAAATTAAGTTATTCCAATACTGTTGTTACATATATATGTACATATTTATGTACATCGATGCATTGGACACGCTACACCTGCGCAGCGGTACGGCAACAGATGATAAGAAGCGGCAGCGAAGAGTTGGAGAAAAAAACAACAAAGGCGCGCGCGCGTTTTATTATCGTACGGCAGTACAATTGGACTTCTGACAGTTTGCTGGGCGCCAAAACGAACGCAAGTGTAATCAAAACACATATACTCACATATTTACTCACTCACGCAAGCAAGCACGCACACACACACACGCAACGAAAGATTGAATTGGGTGTGTGCGTGCTTGTGCCTGTGCCAGCGCTATTTGCATTGGGGATGGGAGTTTTTGATGTGTGTGCGTGTTGAATAGAATATTCAACGAACGGCGAATTGAATGACGCGCGCATACACACACACACACAGGCGGCCGAAGAGTGGCGGCGAATTTAAACACAACGAAGCGGCAGATACATATATAGATATGCATACATACATTCAAGTGTATGTATGCATATAGATACGTGTGTGCGTTTGTGTATATGGCTGTGTACATCAGTGTGCGCAAAATGTGGAAACGTAGCAAACAGGGTTGCACTCAAAAGCAAACGAAAAATTAACTCGCAAATTGTATAACAAAAAATGTACAATCAGCGAATGAACGGAGAAGCAAAAATATAAGCAGAGCAATGCAATAAAATGATATCAATTAAAACCTAAATTCAATTATATGTGTAATTATCTAAATAGTTTATCTTAAAATTTGCATACATATATACATACATACGTATTAAAAACTCCGATTGCTTTTTAGTATGCCTGCTTTTATGAGATTATTTAATTTTTGCGGTTTGAACTCATCTCTATGAGTATCGGGAGCCGTATTTACTGTTGATGTTTCTACATGCCCGCAATATTATGTGCGTATTGTTTTTGATTGTTTGCATACACAAATATACGCATACTTTTTACAAATACCAAATTATGAATGTTTACGAATGAAATGGAAACGAAAAAAAATCGTATAAATGTATAGTAGGAAGAATTCTAACACACTCGCCCGCATTCGCATGACCAACGCAGTTACATAAAAGTATATGTAGCTGTTTTCCTTTTTTCTTTATTGTATATTATAACGTACGTGTAGGTACACGTATACATACAGGCACAGCCCGATATACATGCATATATGGCTGATGCACTTATACATACAAAATGGTCCGACCCAAACCAACGAGTGAGCGAGCAAGCACATACTGACGCAAACCAGCGACTCACTCGACAAGAAACTCTGACATACGGATATTGAATGTATGTATGTATATGGTATATTTGTATGTATGGCGGCGTCGGTGTCGCCGACGTTGTTGGGTCGTGCGCGGGGGCACCTGAGCCACAACACGATTTGCTGTGGGAAAGCAACAGCAACAATATTACGTGGGTGGCGGGGGGTTGATTGGTTGGGTCGATTGGTTTGGTAAAGGCAAAAGTAGCTTGCACTGCAAAAGCACTCGATATATACGTATATATATGTATGTATGTATAGCAAAGGAATACAGTGAAATGCAACGAAGGAAATTTTCTGTATACAGCAAAAATATGCGCTCACTTACCGATTCCCCACTGACAGTATAGTTGATATTTGGCGATATTTCCAAAACTGATTCGGCGGCACGGCTGCCGTTGTCTGCAAAACCCCAAGTGTAGCCGAAGGGCGGATTGCTCTGTGCGGCGCACATTATAGAGTAGTGAAGCAAGAGGGGGGAGGCGAAAGAGAAAAAAGCGCAAAATTTCCAAACGCAAATGTAATTGCACTTTTCTGTTGCTTGTATTATATGTATGTATTTATTTAAATCACGTACAAAATACTAGCCTCCTTTAACGACGCGCTCGTTTGTGTAAAATACACAATTTTTCACTTTTTTTTGATCGCGACAATCGATCGGCGACGGCGACCGACGAGACTACACCGAAACAAGAAGAAGAAAGTAGTCAAGTTGCTTCTGTGGCTGCGGGCGCCATTTTTTTCATTTGCGTTTTGTGTAACTTGTGTGCTGTGTTGCTGCCAAATCAATTCATTGATAAGGGTACTTTCAAGTATGTGTTAGTGTGTACGCGCGGTGTACATATGTGCGTTAATTGCAATAAAATTTATAAACAAAATAAAGCGCACAGTTTTTTTTCCCCAATATAATTCACAGACACAGACACCATCGAAAATTCCTTAGTGTGAGAAGCGCACGCGAGACGGACTGTACGACGAATGGAAAACAAGTGTTGCCCCATCAATCTGAAGTGCTCAAAATCGCGTATGTAGTAGTGCACAAAATACCGAGAGCGAAATGGCGAATTGATTTTGGGAAAACAAATCAGTAGTTTCTTATATCCTAATAACAATATACTGATTTAATAGCAAACACCTTTGCTTAAATAAGATATTTGGAATATTTCAGATAACATAAGCAAAACAAGCTTGTATAAAAAATACTAACATAGGTTTATGTATTTAATAGTGGCACACTCATTGCAGCGTTGCATTTTTCAGTGCTGGAAAGCCCCCGCTAACAATATTCTGAATGCGGTTGTTTTCGTAACACATTTTAGGTAAAAAGTAATTAAATTTTGTATTAAAAAGAATCATGTCGTTATCACCTGCAAGTGGCATCGGCCGCTTCTACAAACACTCTGCCAAAATAATACGATTTGTGCGCCTTGGGTGCACCAATAGGCCGTTTTACCATATTGTTGTTATGGAGGTAAATACGTTTAACGGAGAGTATATTAATATGCATCGTAATAAGAAATAATTCATCGCAGCGCCGAAAAAATCAGCATCAGCCGGTGATTGAGCAAGTGGGCACATACGATCCGCTACCCAATGAGCATAATGAGCGCCTTGTGGCCCTTAACACGGAACGCATTCGTTATTGGTTAGGAAAAGGTGCTCATATGTCCACACCCGCGGCAGAGTTACTCGGCATTTCCGGAATCCTGCCCATACACCCACGCACTTATATGACAGCCTGGCGTAATCGTCAAGCAGCCAACGCTGATCAACAAAGACAGGAGAATGCCGAGGGCGTGGCTACTCAATAAAACAATATTTTTATAAAGGGATAACAAGCATTGATTTTGTTTAAATAGCTCCATACATTTTTAAATTGTTTCTTCTGTAAAGTGTGTAACACATCCTAATCCGTGCTTTTTAACAGTAATCCATTACAAACTTAAAAATTTACAGCTATGCATACGCAAATTCTAACCGAGAAGGGTGACAAAGAAGACTAAAAAATTTGTAAATTGATAGGCATGCCTTGGACGCTAGAAATGCTGGAGTAATGGTTTGTTTAATCACGCTTCAGCACGTTAGAGGCCCTCTCTTTTGCGTCGTCTATGATTTTGTCAACGGCTGAAAAATATGTTGTAATATAGATAAGAACAAATTTAAATATATTGAAAGCCTCAATGCTTACCACCATGATGCTTCAGGAAGTAGGGTCGCACCAGTTTGTTGTAAATAACGTAAGAACCGTTGCTATCTGTAGGCAGCATGCACCAAACAAGAAATACGCACTGCAAAGGAATGATGGAATCATCCATTAAATAATGTTGATAAATGTGAAACACGTTGTGGTTACCTTTAACAGCCAGTAGAAAGGTATTACATGAGTCAACACACCCGAAAAGAACTCGATGACAGTCAGAATGCCAAATGTAACCCAGTAAGTGAGCCATTTTGTATCGTCCAGCTTGGTGCTAGACTCAATGGCATGTATGGAGATGTATGCGGGATATGCCACACCGATTATGTTGCACAAAAGCTGAGCACCATATCCAAACACTAAGTATAGTGCGCAGAAGGCAGCGGCACCTGAAAATCAAGGTTAGGTTATTAGTAATAGGCACTGACCGAAACTAAATAAACATATTTATTTATGTATATAATGTTGCACATGGGATTTACCAATACGGACAAAACTGTTTTCTTTAAAAATCTCTACTAGTTTATCTTCCAAAGCTTCAAACACCATGGTCTAGCTGTTTGAACAAGTAAAACACGATTGGACTGCGAAAAAATTGTTGGGCTGCCCTTTCGCTTCATGATGAGGGCGCTGAGGTGGTGAATATTTGCAGCTATTATTAACCTTTTAGCTCTTGTCACAAGCCTCAATTTTGTTTTTTGAAATATGCGGCCACGCGTATGTCGACCATTAATTATAGGTACATACATATGTATGTGTACGTATGTAAATACATATTTATTTGCCATTAATTGTCAGGCTCTGGGATGCAAGTGAAGCGCTAGGCTGCAATCAGTGTTGCATGGCCAGCACAACCGATCACAAGGCATACGGCGTCCTCCGCCTTAACCGTGGTTCATCGCGTTTTAGAAATGTTTGTTTTTGTGCTTTTTTTTTTGTAAATGATGTCATGCATGAGTATATAATATGCATACATACATATTTATGTATGCTTGCTCGACTAATGAATTTTGTGCTAATTATACGCCGGGGATGTCTAGGTGTAAACGCTATGCGACAAGCTGGCGACCAGCTGATTGGTGTGTGTGTGTGTAAGCCACAGCATTACTCAAATTCTGCAACTCACCTATGCCAATGTAGACAATGGGCACCCTGACGTTACGACGCGCTTCCTGGCGTTGCTTTATTTGCATAATATAGTCCCAAAGCCACATTAAAGCCAACTCCGTTTGTTATCACATGTGAAAACTAGTCAGAAATAGGGCTATCGGCGACAACAAAGCACAACCCGTTCACACACATACACACGCGCTATATTAATTAAGTATGAATGTTATACACGTCTATGAAAGCGCCACGAAGGCAGCTCCAAAGTATTCAAGTCAAGCTGAACTTTGATTTTGGCTAATTGTTGGATTTGTCGACCTCTTGAGCTGTTTGAATTTTCAGATGCGATCGAGGAACAGTATTCCCACGTACGATAAAGTACACAAGAAGAAAATCGAAAAAACGCAATAAAGACTATGGAATTTGTAAAATTCCCGCATACATACATATGTGCACAGAAAGGTGTTTGCACGTCTCATATACACATATGTACATACATATGCATGTACATATGCATGTATGTATATGACGAGCATATGTGTGTCTGCCCCAACATTTGTGTTGGAAAAGCAGCTGCTGGAGCCGCCTGTACATTCACATACAAATACTTGTACATACAAACATTTTTATATTTCTATTGTTGTTGTACTGACACCGACTGAAACAATCATAGTCAGTTATTGAAACCGCACTAAGCTTGTGATTAATCATCTTATTTAAAGCTTTGTTACTGTTACTAAATTTAACAAGTTGCTGTTGCTATTTATAAATGCCAAAAATGTACTGCGTTTTTCAGGTCAAAAGACAGGCTGCCACGTATTACGTAGTCGGAATGTATGGTGGAGCCTCTCCCGATTTAAAACGCTTGTAAAAGGATGACAACAACGTAACTCACCGTAAAATATCTTGTTCCTGTCGACATTCGTTCGCTGCTCCAAAAACTCAAATCCTTTCGTCCATGGCCTCGACTGGTCATGCAACGCCTTGTCGACAGTGTTTTTGTACTGTTCGAACCATTGCTGTGCATTCAGAGTATATTGGGCAGCCATTTCTTTCTTTAATTTCAGTAACTATTTGATTAACGTAAAAAACCGAAAATGCTGCTTTGCTTTTAGTTTTGCTTTAAAGCTGTGTCGGCTAGCTCCGTCTAGTTCAATGAACCAGTTTTGAGGTTAAACTGCGATGTAGCGTCCCTCCTGGAAACATAAATAAGTTATTCTAGTTCAAAATCGCTACTCCAAAACTGATAGATAACTTATATGTTATAAGCAAAATGTAGCGTTTAAATATAAAGATTTGTTATATTATTTTATTTTTTTGATGTGATAAAATACAGAACTCTTGGCAAGTGGCAGCACGATGTTTATAGCATACAGCTTTTATTTAGCTTCAGTCAGGGATCTCGAAATTTGTCGCGCCAAAATTTAAATTCGCTACTATCAAATAAAACCAATCAAATTTTAAAAACAAAATAACGCAGTGTTTATTTGATCACAATATTGCACATAACTTACTATTGGAAGGCACACATTTTGTTTGTAAACGGCACCAACCCACTGTTTTCGTTTGGTAAATAGCCTCATAGGAGTAGGAAATTAAAATGATATGTGAAACTACTTACTACAAAGTAAAGCAAATCAGGAAACAAAATTTGTATTTCAACATTTGACAAACACGGCGACGGCTAGACTACAGCACCAAACAAGGTTCAAAGATTATACTTTTCACGCAAGGCGCAAAATTCGTCAAAAAACAACAACACCAGCGTCGAGTACGGTGCACTACGCATGTAAATGGCCCAGAAGCCCTTATACATACCATAAAAGCCTTCAGAGCGTAAAATTTTGACAATGCAGTCCAGCCAGCCGTTGTAGTAAATACCACGCCCATGGATGTCGACGCCCTGATTGTATAGACGTGTTGTAATTACGTCCGCTGGCGTAATGGCTAAGGTCACAACTGATCCCGCAATCAGACCTGCTGAGAAGGAGTTCAGTGTCGGATGCGAGACTAGATCGTGTGCCTTAAGCAGCTCCTTGGTCTTGCCAAACGTTGCAATTTGTGCAGAAGACCCGATGGCGGCACGTACTATAGCAGCCGTTGATCCCCGCCAAAGACCGAAAATGCCTCCTTCGTTGTAGATTTGCTTAAAAGCATGGCTCATCGAGGTGTGAGAGTGCTGATAACCAACCGCAATTTCTTTGGCTGCTTGCGATTGTAGCTGGGTCTTGATCTGAAAAGTCGAAATTACGATATTAGCAATGGAAGGTTTTTCAGCATGTTCCGCATCAAACCGAACCTTATCAGTGATAATCACATATGCACTACCTTATCTTATCTAACACGAAATGTCTGGAAAATCTATTTAAATTTGATGTACACGCCACATTGTTTATGGTCGCTGCTCGACAGACATCATTATGAGTGGGATGATCATTTAATGATGCATTTTTAGATAAGCTGTCTGTCTGTCAACATTTATGTAACACACCATAAAAAATGGACTGGAGCAAAATGAGCCTACAACGCCGCCCATTGCTCCCCACATCAGTCCCAAGCCATATGAAATTTCGCCATTCTTGTTATGCATCCAATGTCTGTCCACCGCCATTGTGTAAATGCTCAGCCTATGGACATATGTAAATGTACGTCAAAATATTTTAACATTTGAAATAAATATATATGCAAGCGTCTCACCTAAAGGAATTGATGATGAATTGAAAGTTAAGAGCAGGCACTAAGCCCTTTTGGAGGCCAAGTATGCCTTCATTTTTAGCCACTGTGATGAAAGCGTTCAGAACTCCTTTGTAGGGCTCCACGTAAGTTCCTCGGGCCGCTAGTTCTCCTTGCAGCTGAATCCGAGTCTTGATGACCTCGATTGGATTTGTAAAGAAGGTGGCACCGACGGATGCAAGGCCTCCCAGCATGAAATCAGAAGTAGCCATTGGTTACACTACAGCAGCTTTTAAAGTTTCTTGAACGCAAAAAATTTGCCAGCATCATCCAATTCCGTGTGCTTTGAGCCAAGGCAGGCGGCCAAATGTGCATGCGTCCTCAGAAATAATGCGTACGGGAATACAACTAATAAGAATAACAATAGGGTTGTGCCAGTTTCGTTTAGAATAAGTTGAACAGAGTGGTTCATTTTAATGAACTTCTAAACTGCGCTAATTTTAAATTTTGTGTGAAGACTAGAAGGGAATAGCAGCACTTAAGACTTTTTTTTTTTTTATAACTACGATTAATATTTATAGTAATAATTTTGATAAATAGCATGTGAAGTGCTACAAAAGCTTTTTTATGTTTCTAAAATCCTATTGAAATGGGATAAGTTTTCAATATTACGACAAGTACTATGAAAGCATATTTTAATTTATAAACTTTTTGTTTTATAACATTGCTGTCGGTTTTCTTTTCTACGAAAAAGTAATTTTTTAAACATCGATGTTTTTATACGATGCATCGACAAGGCATCGATTTTTTTAAATGACCCATCTATGGACATCGATGTTTTCGCTCGGACTTACATCCTTACTTTCAGGTACAGAGTATAGAAATTCGGACAAATAGTAGATTATTTGATTGCGATTGCTGCTTTGCCTGTCTGTTGTAGAGCTGCAGAATAATCGATGTTGACTTCATCGATCTTTTTTTGGTGGGATTTTCTATAAATTTAAATCGACTAATCGTTAGCAGAAGAAACTTAAATATCTATTAAATCTAGTCTAGTAAAGCAGGTCATCTATCCGCAAATGTTTATTTTTGTATTCGTAGTTTTTATTTTTCCACAATGCTGGCTCATTTTTTACAAATGATGTTTGTGGAATCAATGCTATTCATTGTCATAGTACATGTTCGCATGAATAGACACAAAGAAAAATTTATATTCTTCGCAAACTATATTTTGAGGGCAAGCTACAACGCCTCGTGATATTTATATAATTATAAAACGGTAAAAGTTTTAAAAGGATCTGGTGAGTGTTATATGTACCGACGTTTTGCAGTTTACGAATGGAAAGCTTCACTCCTGTGCCTACCAAGCGACTTTTTTTGCGATCCGAACATGACCAACCGATTACAAGGCATCCGGCGTCCTCCGCCTTAACCGTGGCTTATTGCATTTTCCAATCTTTTTTGGTTGTGCCATGTTAAACATATGTACATATGTACATATGTAAGTACATATACTTGGTCGACTAATGAATTTTGTGCTAAATATACATATGGTATAAGCGTCATATCTGTATGTCACAGCATCAGCAACATAACTCACCGAAAAATATGTTGTTCCTGTCGACATTCGTTCGCTGCTCCAAAAAATCAAATCCTTTTGCACATAGCCTCGACTGGTCATGCAGCGCCTTGTCGACAATGTCTTTGTACTGCTCGAACCATTTCCGTACATTCAAATTATATCGGGCAGCCATTTCTTTCTTAATTTCAATATCTATTTGATTAACATTAAAAACCGAAAATGCTACTTTGCTTTTAATTTTGCTTTAAAGCTGTGTCGGCTAACTCGTCTAGTTCAATGAACCAGTTTTGCAGCGCCCCTCTTAAAAATATGAAATAGCTAATTTAATTCCAAAAAAGATAACCTCTTGGCAAGTGGCAGCACGATGTTTATAGCAAACAGCTTTTGTTTAGCTTCAGTCAGGGTTCTCGAAATTTGTCGCGCAAAAATTTAAATTCGCTATTATCTCTTTTAACAAATAAAACCAATCAAATTTTATAAACAAAATAACGCAGTGTTTATTTGATCAAAATATTGCACATAACTTACTATTGGAAGGCACACATTTTGTTTGTAAACGGCACCAACCCACTGTTTCCCTTTGGTAAACAGCCTCATAGGAGTAGGAGATTAAAATAAGGATATTTTGAACTACTAACTATGGTTTTGTTTTAAACAAAGTAAAGCAAAGCAGGGAACAAAATTTGTACTTAAACATTAGACAAACACGACGACGACTAGACTACAGCACCAATCGAAGCTTAAAGATGATACTTTTCACGCACGGCGCAAAATTCGTCAAAGAACAATAACACAAGCGTCGAGTGCGGAGCAATACGCATGTAATTGGCCCAGAAGCCTTTGTACATACCATAGATGCCTTCGGAGCGGAAAATCTTGACAATGCAGTCCAGCCAGCCGTTGTAGTAAATACCACGGCCATGGACGTCTACGCCCTGATTGTACAGACGCGTCGTAATTACGTCTGGTGGCGTAATAGCTAACGACATTATTGATCCCGCAATTAGACCTGATGAAAAGGAGTTCAGTGTCGGATGCGTGACTAGATCGTGTTCCACAAGCAGCGCCTTGGTCTTGCCAAACGTTGCAATTTGTGCACCAGACCCGATGGCGGCACGCGCTAGAGCAGCCATTGACCCCCGCCAAAGACCGAAAATGCCTCCTTCGTTGTAGATTTGCTTGAAAGCATGGCTCATGGACGTGTGAGAGTGCTGATAGCCAACCGCAATTTGTTTGGCTGCTTGTGATTGTAGTTGTGTCTTGATCTGAAAAAACAAAATAGCGTATTAACAATGGACGATTTTTCAGCATGTTCGGTCCGATTCGTCTTATCAGTGAGCAAATACGCAAAATCACTACGTTATCTTATCTAACATGAAATGTCTGGAAAATATTTAAATTTCATATACACGCCACTTTGGGTTTGATCGGGTTTGACCTAGCCCGGCACCATTGTGACAAGATGTTAATAAAACGATAATTTCCTAGATAAGCTGATTGTCTGTATCTCAACATTTATGTAACACACTTATTCGGCTTACCAAAAAAAATGGACTGGAGCAGTATGAGCCTACGACGCCGCCGATAGCTCCCCACATCAGTCCCAAGCCATATGAAATTTCGCCATTCTTGTTATGCATCCAATGTCTGTCCACGGCCGTAGTGTAAATGCTCAGCCTACAGACACAAATTTTGGTACATACATACATACATATGTATATAAATATTCAACTTTGGATGACTTCAACTCACCTAAAAGAGTTGATGATGAATTGAAAGTAAAGAGCAGGCACTAAGCCCTTCTGGAGGCCAATCATGCCATCGTTCTTAGCCACTGTGATGAAAGCGTTCAGAACTCCTTTGTATGGCTCCACGTAAGTTCCTCGGGCCGCTAGTTCCCCTTGCAGCTGAATGCGTGTCTTGATGACCTCGATTGGATTTGTGAAGACGGTGGCGCCAACGGATGCAAGGCCTCCCAGCATGAAATCAGAAGTAGCCATTGGTTACACTACAGCAGCTTTTAAAGTTTCTTGAACGCAAAAAATTTGCCAGCATCATCCAATTCCGTGTGCTTTGAGCCAAGGCAGGCGGCCAAATGTGCATGCGTCCTCAGAAATAATGCGTACGGGAATACAACTAATAAGAATAACAATAGGGTTGTGCCAGTTTCGTTTAGAATAAGTTGAACAGAGTGGTTCATTTTAATGAACTTCTAAACTGCGCTAATTTTAAATTTTGTGTGAAGACTAGAAGGGAATAGCAGCACTTAAGACTTTTTTTTTTTTTATAACTACGATTAATATTTATAGTAATAATTTTGATAAATAGCATGTGAAGTGCTACAAAAGCTTTTTTATGTTTCTAAAATCCTATTGAAATGGGATAAGTTTTCAATATTACGACAAGTACTATGAAAGCATATTTTAATTTATAAACTTTTTGTTTTATAACATTGCTGTCGGTTTTCTTTTCTACGAAAAAGTAATTTTTTAAACATCGATGTTTTTATACGATGCATCGACAAGGCATCGATTTTTTTAAATGACCCATCTATGGACATCGATGTTTTCGCTCGGACTTACATCCTTACTTTCAGGTACAGAGTATAGAAATTCGGACAAATAGTAGATTATTTGATTGCGATTGCTGCTTTGCCTGTCTGTTGTAGAGCTGCAGAATAATCGATGTTGACTTCATCGATCTTTTTTTGGTGGGATTTTCTATAAATTTAAATCGACTAATCGTTAGCAGAAGAAACTTAAATATCTATTAAATCTAGTCTAGTAAAGCAGGTCATCTATCCGCAAATGTTTATTTTTGTATTCGTAGTTTTTATTTTTCCACAATGCTGGCTCATTTTTTACAAATGATGTTTGTGGAATCAATGCTATTCATTGTCATAGTACATGTTCGCATGAATAGACACAAAGAAAAATTTATATTCTTCGCAAACTATATTTTGAGGGCAAGCTACAACGCCTCGTGATATTTATATAATTATAAAACGGTAAAAGTTTTAAAAGGATCTGGTGAGTGTTATATGTACCGACGTTTTGCAGTTTACGAATGGAAAGCTTCACTCCTGTGCCTACCAAGCGACTTTTTTTGCGATCCGAACATGACCAACCGATTACAAGGCATCCGGCGTCCTCCGCCTTAACCGTGGCTTATTGCATTTTCCAATCTTTTTTGGTTGTGCCATGTTAAACATATGTACATATGTACATATGTAAGTACATATACTTGGTCGACTAATGAATTTTGTGCTAAATATACATATGGTATAAGCGTCATATCTGTATGTCACAGCATCAGCAACATAACTCACCGAAAAATATGTTGTTCCTGTCGACATTCGTTCGCTGCTCCAAAAAATCAAATCCTTTTGCACATAGCCTCGACTGGTCATGCAGCGCCTTGTCGACAATGTCTTTGTACTGCTCGAACCATTTCCGTACATTCAAATTATATCGGGCAGCCATTTCTTTCTTAATTTCAATATCTATTTGATTAACATTAAAAACCGAAAATGCTACTTTGCTTTTAATTTTGCTTTAAAGCTGTGTCGGCTAACTCGTCTAGTTCAATGAACCAGTTTTGCAGCGCCCCTCTTAAAAATATGAAATAGCTAATTTAATTCCAAAAAAGATAACCTCTTGGCAAGTGGCAGCACGATGTTTATAGCAAACAGCTTTTGTTTAGCTTCAGTCAGGGTTCTCGAAATTTGTCGCGCAAAAATTTAAATTCGCTATTATCTCTTTTAACAAATAAAACCAATCAAATTTTATAAACAAAATAACGCAGTGTTTATTTGATCAAAATATTGCACATAACTTACTATTGGAAGGCACACATTTTGTTTGTAAACGGCACCAACCCACTGTTTCCCTTTGGTAAACAGCCTCATAGGAGTAGGAGATTAAAATAAGGATATTTTGAACTACTAACTATGGTTTTGTTTTAAACAAAGTAAAGCAAAGCAGGGAACAAAATTTGTACTTAAACATTAGACAAACACGACGACGACTAGACTACAGCACCAATCGAAGCTTAAAGATGATACTTTTCACGCACGGCGCAAAATTCGTCAAAGAACAATAACACAAGCGTCGAGTGCGGAGCAATACGCATGTAATTGGCCCAGAAGCCTTTGTACATACCATAGATGCCTTCGGAGCGCAAAATCTTGACAATGCAGTCCAGCCAGCCGTTGTAGTAAATACCACGGCCATGGACGTCTACGCCCTGATTGTACAGACGCGTCGTAATTACGTCTGGTGGCGTAATAGCTAACGACATTATTGATCCCGCAATTAGACCTGATGAAAAGGAGTTCAGTGTCGGATGCGTGACTAGATCGTGTTCCACAAGCAGCGCCTTGGTCTTGCCAAACGTTGCAATTTGTGCACCAGACCCGATGGCGGCACGCGCTAGAGCAGCCATTGACCCCCGCCAAAGACCGAAAATGCCTCCTTCGTTGTAGATTTGCTTGAAAGCATGGCTCATGGACGTGTGAGAGTGCTGATAGCCAACCGCAATTTGTTTGGCTGCTTGTGATTGTAGTTGTGTCTTGATCTGAAAAAACAAAATTAGCGTATTAGCAATGGACGATTTTTCAGCATGTTCGGTCCGATTCGTCTTATCAGTGAGCAAATACGCAAAATCACTACGTTATCTTATCTAACATGAAATGTCTGGAAAATATTATTTAAATTTCATATACACGCCACTTTGGGTTTGATCGGGTTTGACCTAGCCCGGGACCATTGTGACAAGATGTTAATAAAACGATAATTTCCTAGATAAGCTGACTGTCTGTATCTCAACATTTATGTAACACACTTATTCGGCTTACCAAAAAAAATGGACTGGAGCAGTATGAGCCTACGACGCCGCCGATAGCTCCCCACATCAGTCCCAAGCCATATGAAATTTCGCCATTCTTGTTATGCATCCAATGTCTGTCCACGGCCGTAGTGTAAATGCTCAGCCTACAGACACAAATTTTGGTACATACATACATACATATGTACATATATAAATATTCAACTTTGGATGACTTCAACTCACCTAAAAGAGTTGATGATGAATTGAAAGTAAAGAGCAGGCACTAAGCCCTTCTGGAGGCCAATCATGCCATCGTTCTTAGCCACTGTGATGAAAGCGTTCAGAACTCCTTTGTATGGCTCCACGTAAGTTCCTCGGGCCGCTAGTTCCCCTTGCAGCTGAATGCGTGTCTTGATGACCTCGATTGGATTTGTGAAGACGGTGGCGCCAACGGATGCAAGGCCTCCGAGCACGAAATCAGAAGTAGCCATTGGTTACGGGAAAATGTGAGTGTTGACTAGAGAAACGGTACAGCAGCTTTTAAATTTCTTAAACGCGAAAATTTTTTAGACAAAAAAGGCCACCACCGCATGTTCGCTGTCCGGCACGGACTTTAAACTCCTATTCGTCAAGTTAAGCCAGCATCATCCAATTCTGTGTGCTTAGAGCCAATGCGGGTGGCAGAATGTGCCTGCCTCCTCAGAAATAATGCGCACCGCAAAATAACTAATAACTATAACAATATTAGAGTTGTGCCAGTTCATTTAAAAAAAGTTCAACAGAGTGGTTCATTTTCATAAATTTCTAAACTTGTTGCTAGTTTCAACTTTTTTGTGAAGATTAGAAGGTAGTGAAACATTTAAGACATAACCGCCGAACTAAATAAAAATATATATATTAATTTTAGTTGTACAAAAATATAATTTTAAATTGTTGTTAACCTATATAGCATTAACTTTACATGTATTTATATTCTTAATTAAAGTGAAAAATCAATATTTGAACAAAAAGTAATGAACAAGAAGTTCGTAATGAAATTGTTCTCAAATAATGAAAAGAAAAATGAAAGTGATACACTGATTTGAACTAGAATTCACAGTCTTAATAATAGTATATTACTAAGTTATCGGAAATATCAATTACAATATATTTCAAGTGGCGTATCAGCAAACTTTTGTTGGCTGTCCATTTACCGCTTGATGCAAATGGTATTTTTGTTTAAACTTCAAGTTGGCAGGGCAGAACGCAGAGGATTCTTAGAAAATAAATTAAATATCAATTAAAATTTCAATTCATACACCAAATATTGCAAAAAGCATATGTAAATGCTAAGTAAAACGCGTTATAGACCTAAAACTAAATAACACGCACGCGGGACGTGCTCGAAAATGAGGAAATGCGAAGTTTTGCTGTACTTGTGGACACTCGCCTCTAGCTGTCTTTTTTGTTGTTGCTACAAAAGAGGTAAGCTATAGAATACTCTGATTTGTGTCGTTGCTTGACCCAATTCTGTCTTAACCAACAGTGCGCCTACAGGACAGCTTATGTTCGGATAAGCTACTTTTTACTCTATCAAAGCCTTTTCGAGGTGATCCGACCGTGGCGTTAACCGAAGATGAAGATTCGGGAGCGATTATAACCCAGGCATGGAACTCTTCATTATCTGTAGGCCATTCGATCAACAGGATTAAATATGACTGCCATTTTAAAGTGCAAACTACAGATCGTCGGCCCCGTGGCATTTACACAATTATAACACGGTTAAAGTTTCGAAAGGATCCGGTGAGCGGCAAATGCATCGATTTTTTGCAGTTCACGAGTGGAAATCGTCCGCCTAGCGAACGCATTTGCAGTGACATATCCATCGATGGACCTTCTGGCCGCATGATCTTTGACCAGCGGGACCGTGAAGTCAATGTGTACGTTTATGTCTCGAAGCATAGGGTCATCTTTGAAGAGCCACTGGAGCTTCGTATGGTAATGACTGCACACTCGGAGTGCTTACCGGGTGACTTTCTTTGCAATCCGAAAGATCCGTACTCGTGCATTTCTCGCCATTTTGTGCGAGACAATATCACCAACTGTATGTATCCATGCCGGGACGAGGGCACATGTTTCTACGATGCCATTCCGCATGAGGAAATTGACACCACTAATGTCGCTCTATCAGCAATCACTTCTCTCATATTTACAATGCTCGGTGTTGGATTCTGTATATGGATCTGTTGGAAATACTGGAACTGCATTACTGTCCAGCAACACGCGCATGAGGCATCGGCAGCACGTTTCAATCAGCGACGGACTCGCGTAAGTGAAGCAGACATAACAAATTACAGCTCTTAAATGTATTATTTACTTTGTTCGCTTGTAGTCGGCCGTCCCCACCATCGAGCTGCCCTCTGCACCGTCATATGATGGGGTGATGGCGCACGACTTAGCGCAAATCCCGCAGGATCAGCAGCAGCCGCCAACACCCAAAGATTTGCCGCCAAGCTATGAGTCACTGTTCCCGGAAAGATAAGCACGGGAATCAAAAATGATGAATCCATTTTGTGCCAGATTCAGGTTAGTTAGTCGGCAACAGATTGGTGTGCCACAATTTAATGAATATACGAATATGTAGAATGAGAAAAGAAGCGAGTTTGTAGTAGCAGAGCGGCCGAAACGGTAGCTTCAACTTCGCCTGTAATAGTCCTATTAGGTAAATATGTATGTACGCTAAATGTTCGATCACTCCATGTATATATGCACAACTTTCATAGTTATGGGACTGATTTTATGTTTTTCGATAATTATTGTTCGATTTTTATTTGGTTATTAATAGGCGTGAATAGAACATGTTTAGTGTTATCGTATTACCAAATGTTTTTTTTTTTATTTTACACTGTTTATTTTATATTTGTGCTTATCTTTATGTTATCTGATCTGTATATATTGAAATGTTTTTTCTTAATTGAAGCGCCTGAAATTTTTATGTGAGATTATAAAGACATTAAACCGAAATAAATCATGTTTGTATACTCAACACACTAAATCTCATAGCACTACTGAAATCTCACCCAATTAAAAATGAAATTATATCAATTATTTCGTTAATTTAAGTGTAATTTTTAAGATGCCAATATGTATACAAAACTCTACTAGCTAGCTCAAATTTTGAAGCAGTATTTAAGTAAATACGGGAATATTTGTAAAAACGCGTAGTATTAACTTTAACAAACTTAGTGGGACAGCCTTGGCTTCCCATAAACTGGAAGAAGAAAAAACACACATACACTCAACATATATAAATATATTCCACATAGTTGTACCTGTTTCTAATGAAAAATAAAAAAATCACGCTTTTGTATACATGTAGTTGTTTGTGCAAAGCCCTTAGAGAGCAAGTTAAAAGAAATGTCGAATTACAATAACCCAAATGTAAAGAAGGCCATTTGTTAGCTTCCTGCAAATGCGCTCATGCTCAAATTGTCAATTGTTTATAATATTGTATGTATTAGTGATATCTGTGAAATACATTTTGTAAAGCCTCATAAAACTATCAAAACAATCTATCAAGAACTCCTGCATAAAACTTGCATCGTATGTTTCAATTAAGTGTTGACAGTAAATGCAATTTTGAGTGTTCAATTAAAGTGGGCAGATTAAGGCCAATCTTATTTATATACATATATACAAATACGTAAGCAAATGAAAAGTATAAATAAAACCAACTACATGTTATTCGAAATGAAAACACAATATGTATTATTTTATTTCAACAAACTCCTGGCCCCAATCCGTGAAAAAAGCGAAAGAGTTCCCAAATTACAATTGTTGTTAATCAATTCGATTGTTATGGAACACGTTTTTAACATGAATCTGTGACACACATGATGACACCGCCCCCTCATGAGTCAGCAACAAGATATGTTGCTTGCACCCGTGTCTAACAATGCCCCGTTTACGCCATTTACATTACGGCGTTTTGCTAAGTCAAACCCAAAGTGGGTGACTTTGGCCATCTAAACTACTAGTACTAAGTGTTTACTTAATGTTAATGTTTATTAAGGATAGATTTCGAGTTCCTTTAATTTCAGAAGAAACGATTCGATATGTACGTATGCGCCCGTCTGTCCGTCCATTTATTGTATCTGTTCGCATGAGCATCGAGAACCATAACAGATAAAAGCACCAGACCTGGTATAATAAGATTTGTCTTATTCTTACGCAGGTCTTACTATAAAACCTTAAAAAATAATAATTTCTTTATATTTTATGTTTTTATATCGTCGCAAAATTCGATAAAATAATCATTTTTCGTACAAACAATCTTTTGTTTACATATGGGGGCACTATATAATAAGGCTACGGTTTGTTTTCATTAAAGGGCTGCCACTTGAAAGTAATTACAAGATATGCCCCTTATATGATACGAAAGGTTCGAAAAGGTTTAAGGTATTAACGTACATACTCAAATCGCAATTTAAAACAAGTTAGCACTTAAGTGTTTAATAAGCGCCATCACCATCTGAAGTATCAATATGTGGTCTTAAGGGCATTGACTTTTGAAAAGCTTTATAATTTGAAAAACTGGTTATTCGGTAAGAGTTGTGTATTTAAAACCTACAATACATATTGTACGTATATGCGACCGGTTGTGGTGATCAAAAGTTTCCATTATAGATCGTTAACAATCATTTTAGATTGCTAACATAAGTTTAAAGGTCCATTAAAAACGGTTAAACATCATAACCTAATACTTAGATCTTTATTCAAATATTTTCATTAATAAATGTACCTCTAATGTAACACCTTTCTTGACATAAGTCCAATAAAATATGGTTTATAGTATTTTTTTTTTTTTTTTTTATTTTTTTTTGAACCAACACCTCATAGATCCTGTTTGGAATAGAGCTTCAGCTGGCTTTGATTGCTTGGATTAAGTCTAGTATGGTTAAGTATTGTTCGGCCCAATACATTTTTCTGTTGAGAGTGCGCTTCCCCATGGGAATGGGGAATCTTAATGGAAAAGATATGAACTGAAGCCTTTTTAATTTAACATCTCGATGACATTCTGCAATCCAGATAAAATAATCTACGTATATTTATATTCTTGAATCCCGGTATCTATTTTATTTAATACAAAATACAATAATGTTGGCGCATCAGCATGTATCCATGTATGTATGTGAATATCTATCGCAGATGTGTACATAAATACTATACATACATACATATGTACATAAATATATGTATGTACATACATACATATATACTGCGAGTGTGAATTCGAACTCACCTTGAAAAGTTCAGTGTGGCTTGCAAAAGCTTGCCAATCAATTAGAGAATGTGTTTGTGTTTTTATTTAGGAAGTGATCAACAAGTGGTAAGTAGAGCAATGCAATTAATAGCAAGTAAAAGCTAAATGTACATATATCTATGTACATATGTATGTATGTATGTACTTTTAAATGTACATAGAGAGAGATACACCTGATTACATATAAACACCTCCAATGTTCATTTTGATGCCTGTGCGCATATCTAGCCATTACGAGTCAATGCTCGGACTATGCAGGGTTCTCTTTCTTCCAACGATCCAAGTTCAAGGTCTATTGGCACCGCCAGGTAGCTGCTTTTGATCCATTTCCCACTTAAGTACATATGTATTTATGTATGTACATATGTATGTAGATTTTAATCATGAAATGCATTTATTTAAATTCACAATTTACTCAAGCTTTATCTTCGGACAACAGTGATAACTAGTATGCAGAGTCAGCAACCTGTTAAGCATCATGCGAACTGTATATCTGAATAGACAGATGGGCAATAAGCAGCTGATAGTAACGACTTAAGTTTTGATGAAATTCAAATGAGAACTTGATTTGTCTATGTATGTGTGTCTATAAAAATTATGTCAATTATGTGTGCGTGTGTGTGCTTTGTATGTGTGATTGCATTTATTTATAACAGCACGCCATTAACAAATTTACGGCCCAACGGCGAATCGCGGCAATAACAAAGGAGACAAATTCACAGCGAGATGCACTAGAGCTGTGTGCGTGAGACACACAACGTAATCATTTATTGTCATACTCGAAGAATTCTTAAACGTTTTTTATATTTTACATAACGTGCGTCCACGACCGAATTTTTATTTTTTCATTTCTCTTTATTGAAAGTCCCACTACCCTTTTTCCAGCATTAAAATAAATGTTGCAAAATATTGCACGATGTGTTGCAATAATCATTTATGCATATCAAGAGAAAAACAACAAATTCAACTCAGCTTCATTTGAAAGAGAAATAGTGCACCATAATATTGGATGTGTGGCTTTAGATTGCGAAATTTTTGTTTTTAATATTTAGAAAGGCCATTGCCTAAGGATTCGAAATGTTATTTATGTGTGAGTCGGGTATGATATTTGTTCGTGAAGTGGCAGTGGCAGTATCACTAAGAGAAACTCACGCACTCTTTTATGCACAGCTCTAACAAAAGCACATGTATGCACCCGTTATGCACTGGCCATTCACACACCTATGTATGCAAAAACACTCACATGTACACACACACACACATATGCATTCCCAGACATGTAATGCTTGCGCTGCGCTCTCTGTCGCTGCCGCCGGCGCTAACAAAGTCGCTATAAAATCGCGTCGCAGTCGCGTACTCGGCTTCTTCTACTCGCGTTGCTCGCAACATACAGTTCGAGTATCTCTGCACTTGTTTTAATAAGCACTTAAATACATATCTACGTATGTATGTTTTTGGCTTTCAAATTCGCAAAAAAGTTCGTTGTTATCAGAAACAATTAGCCACGATACACTGTTGGCAACAAAAACGCAAATTGTAGACCGGTTTCGTTCGCTACAATTTACCATTGATCGGGGATCGTGATTCATGGCGGTGAACCAACAACAACAGCAACAACAACAATACCAATACCAGCAAGCCAGAGCTTGTGTTCGAAGCTAAGAGTTGTACAAGAGTGCCGGCACGTTCAGTGTTTGGAAAAAACTTGAACTTGAAAGATCAATTCGTTCGTGGCGAGTCTGCCCGTCTGCGCCAACGGACGGTTTTATGTAAAAGAGTGCACATACATATAAATATACAGATACCGATATAGTTGTATGTACATACATACATACGTATCTGTGCAGTGCAAAATTCATTAAAGCGATTTATTGTGAATGTGCGCACAAACGGCAATCATACCTACCTAGACGACCAGTGCTTGTGCAAAACTAAATTGTATAAAAAAATTAAAGTAATAGTTTTTAACCAACGCAACGCGGAAGTGACAGAAGAAAATCATATAAGATTGTGTGAAGCAAAAATATATACCTACGTACATATATACATATATTATATATTTGAAATTTGATTTGTTCAAACAAAATAATCACAATTATGGGTATCTGCAAGCCAACAACGTTGCTGATTTTTATAACAGGTGTGTGAATATTTGAATTTGTTTGTATGAATTTGGATTTGTTATCATTATACAAGTATATCCATTATGTTTCTAGATAATGTAATATGATTTTAGTTTTTATAGCCTGTACCCAAAGGGTGAAAGGCTATACTAGTTTTGTGCGCATGTATGTAACACACAGAAGGAGGCGTGGCAGACCCCACAAAGTATATATATTCTTGATCAGGATGAGAAGCCGAGTCGATATAGCCTTGTCCGTCCGTCCGTCTGTCCGTCTGTCCGTCTGTCCGTCTGTCTGTCCGTCTGTCCGTATGAACGCAAGGATCTCAGAAAGTATAAGAGCTAGAATAACCAAACTTGGTTTCCATATTCTCCTAAGACCGAGAAAGTACGAGTTTGAGTTTTTTTTCGATGCACCCCCCCACTCCCCCGCAATTCGTGTTTTTTCTTATAACTTCCGTAATTCTCGGAATTTTGAAATCAATTTTGGTAGGTACATCCAGTTAGTACTAATGTGCCCGTGTGCCAAATTTCATCATGATAGGTCAATTCTGAAGAAAGTTATAGCCATAAGTAAAATCGCTGCTCATGCGCTGCCTGCAGCTCAGTCGCCAGCGCTGCCCGCAGCTGTTGTTGTTGTTGCTCCTTTGGTTTAACTTTGTGCTGCATACATACACGCATATAAACACGCATAGGTACGTGATGTAAATGTATGCTGTTAAAACTAAACATAAACATATATTCTAATTTAATTTAATTAATTAATTCATTAATTTTTTTTAATAATTTAATTTTTTTTTTAATTTTTTTTTTTTTTAATTTTTCTTTTTTTGTGGAGAGTACAGGCTATTTTACTGTCGGGCTTGCTCGACTGTAGCGTTCTATCTTGTTTTTTTTTGAATTCAGTATATCTGGATATATTTTATGAACGACATGAGGTCTGCTTTTAAGTTTTTATGGATTTATTATACCTAATATTCATTTAAGTCATACAGCCATATAAAATCTCATATCCAACATTAAAAAAATTTGACGTTTAAAGAAAATAAGTTTTACAAAGCAACTGTAACGAAAGCAACATAAAATCCATTCTATTCAATGCATTTAATGAACGAGTATGTAAATATAATATGATCAGCAAGAGATCTGCTTTTGGGCTTTCATTATAGCTAATCTTCATGTTAGTCATAAAGCTATCAAAAACCAAAATCATCTCAGCACACTTGCTAAATTTGCAATCTTCTTTATACAAAGATAGCGTTTCTTCTTCGTACATTATTTTGTATATTGCTTGGTGGCGTATCTTCAAAAGAAACTTTTCAACTTTTATGTATTTATATGTACATATATACCAGTATTTACTTGCTTTGAAAAGGGCGTGTTGCCACAAATAGTTGCAGTTAATGAGCCTTTTGGTTATCGGAAGTGGTCCGAGTTTTTTAAGTGCTTAGGAATTTCAAAGTGATAGAAACTTAAACAATTCCCAATTGGTAGGGTAGGGTACTTCTGAAGAAACTAAAAGCTATTTTCTTCCAAAATAAACTTGCCACTTTCTCTAAAACTATGGCCAGACTTGCAAATAATTCTTTTCTATTTCATTATATGTTGCAATAAAAATATCAAAAAGGCAGTGCTAATTATGTGAAATTTCTATTCTAAATAGTAATAATTGCGGTTGTGGTTTTATGTTGTACAAGTTCTATACATAATAGTGGTAATGAGTATAGTGATGGGATGTCGCTAACAAGTCATTGAGAACATACTTGAGTTAAATAATTCATACGTAGTGTGCATGGGAAACTGAACACTCAATTCCAATTGGCCCTGGCTGAGAATAATCTATGGGAACAATGGCAAGCGTGTTCATTGTGCAAAAAGCTATTAAACGTGTTTACATAAAAGTACTCGTATATGGCCCAGATACGACTAACTGGGCTGTAAAATAATCCTGTATCAAATAGAACGATCCGTTGTGGCAGTAATTTTTAATTTGCATTTTTCGAATGTCGTCAGGAGAGGGGCCATTGAAGAAAGCAAACACAGGAGTAGCCGTTTAGCTTATCAGTTCCATAAACAAACTAATGATATCTATGTATCTGCCCGTATATATTAGTATATTGCCTTGATAGCGTGCCGTGTGCTCAGATAAAATACATGGGCACCGCACATGAGAGACAAATGAACATAACTACAAAGTGTATTAACCAAATAATTAAGCAACTATTTATTGGAAAAACAATTTTAATGAAGTGAGCATCGCAACAGCGTGTGTCAGAGTTCTATTATATAAAGGGCAAAACATTTACTATATAGTAAGTTCCCTACAATTAAATAAACCAGTCAAACCACTCCAGGGGGCACATTCGTATCGATATCGACATCGACATCGTCAATTTAAATGCCAACACATAGAACTTAAAGGCGCGTGTGGCCCATTCGACTGTGATTTGAGCAAGAATATGAAAAATTGTGAAAACCCAAATGCACAACCTCTTTATGCAAATTCCAACAAGTTTCGTAATGTTTGTGACTGTCGTGTGCTGTCACTGCTGTTTAAGTCTCATAATGCCAATGAAATATTAACACCCGGCAGTTTATTCTCGGAAATGTCATACAAATTCTCCTCAATTGAAGGCACACTTGAAAAATGTTTGATTTCGTTAAAAAAAAGTGATTTAAAAATAACCCCTCACTTCGGGGCATTTTCTCTAGAGAAACGGGGGAAATATACAGTCATCACATTGGATCAATAACCCCATAGAAAATTTCGTAATTTAGCCTTGTGTATTGTTATACAAGGTGTATTCGAAAGTAAACAGGACTTTTTTTTTTAAAAGAAAAACAGAACAAATGTTTTTTTCGGCAAAATCAATTTATTTTATTCAAAATAGTCTTCTTCATTTTCCCGAAAAGGTAGAAGTCGCACGGTGCCATATCAGGTGAATACTGCGAGTGGTTAATGGTTAAAATGTGATTTTTGCTCAAATAATCGGTCACAAGCGTCGATCGATGAGAGCAATTTTTGATCGTCATTCAATTTGTGCGGAACAAACCGTGCACACACCTTTCGTAAGCCCAAATGTTCGGTCAAAATGCGATAAATCGATGTTTTTGAGATGTTCAATTCCATTTCCATCAATTTAAATGATGATTTCGGCTGATTTTTGATGAATTCACGCACAGTTTCGATGGAATTTTCGGTGATCGCGAATTTTGATTGGCCCATATGTTGATCGTCATTTATGTCCACACGACCACTTTGAAAACGTTGAAACCACTCGTGCACTCTACTACGGGATAGGCAATCATCGCCATAAATTTGTTCCATCAATTGAAACGTTTCGGTAAAAGTTTTACGAATTTTAAAACAAAATTTAATGTTGGCTCTTTGTTCGAAACTCATTTTCGCACCGATAACACAAACATACTGACACTTAAAACGCAATAACTTCACTTCCAATCGATGAAGTGTCATGAAATTCTCACTGGACAATCGATAAAGATAGCAGATTCTAACGCACCAGTCGACATGTAGATAGCGCCACCAGGGGGCGCTACATTCAAAAGTCCTGTTTACTTTGGAACGCTCCTTGTATTAGAGTAGCGAAAAATCAGTTATTTTTGATTATTAAAAGGTCGACAAGGAGTTGACAGAATACTGCATACTACTAAATTATTTGTCTTTTAAGCTTGCATTTGAAATTCACTTTTGAGCTAAGAAACTAAGGACTTAATCGAGCAAATTTTTTCATAAGGCAAAGAAATGGCATAGGTTTGCAAAATACAACAAATTATTGTGTTTTTATGATGATAAAATTATAAATTGATCAATTAGCCATCGTTTACAGATCACACTGTATAAGATATACTAGTTTTAATAATAAGTATAATAACTGCACACTCTATAATTATTTGTTTCGCAAGAGAAAATGTTGTTGTATAAAAATGTATATTCGCAAGAATTTTACGACAACTATTTGGAATATTTAGATTTTCAGATCTGTACCCATTTCTATATTCTTCAAATCAGGCTTTTCCTTATGGAAAGGATGTTGTCTGCTGCAGAACACTTCCATCAATCAAAACTATTCATGGCGAGTGTCATCACTGGAGTTGAAAAAGTAATAAATGATAGATGCTTGACAAGAGTTGCCTCGGGCGCTTTTATTTGATTTGCTTAGTTGTCTGGATTTGCTTTTAAATGGAAACGTTGACTCAGGCACGTAATGCCATTAGTGGTTAATTACAATTTAATTGCAGTGCCTTCCTATTGATAGCTTCCACAGACAGCGGTGACTTTTATACGAGAGTGTGATTGTGAGTGGGCCTACGCGCCTTTCAGCACAATCTACAGATAGCCGCTTGATTGTCGCAGACGCATCTTGACACCCATATTTTCTAGATTATTTGTATTTGGTAAACATGATTGTTGCTGTTTGCATTTTATATTCGTATGATTCGCACGTGATGTGGTTTTACAGTTGAATACAATAAAGTAAATGTTCGTTGTACAGTTAAAACAGCAATTATTGTTAATCAAACAAAAATATAGATGATTAATGTAAAAAGAAAGTAAATACTATATACTTGTAAGTAGTATGTGTGGAGAGGATGAAGCTGCAATCATTCTTTGAATACTCAGCTATCAAGCGTTTACAGTCCAATTAGTTCATGAGTTTTGGAAAACTAACTTAAGAATGGTATTCAATCGATAAGTTTAACCGAATATTATTCGCGTCACCTCTTTGGTGAGAAAGAAACATTTGCCTTCTTCGACTTTGTAACACCCTAATGAAGCTCCGAAGGTTAAAAATAGGTACTTTATTCTTTCTACTAGTATGCAACAGGCTCAAGGAAGCATTTCTGATCCCACAGACATGCCTGTATTGCAAAAACCATTACCAAACCATTAACCAAACTTTATATATCGTCTTGATATATGGAATGGAACGGCGAGAGATGTTATTTGCAGCCCAAATAAAAGTAAATATTTAAGCCCCTTTCGTCGGATGACACATCAGAGTAGGAAAATGTTATATGAGCCGTGACAAAATAAACTTAATAAGCTGAATCAGTGACCTACGACAACCAAAAACTACCTACATACATACATATACGCGATTAAATGTGGGTACATCACATACATACTTACGTTTGAGTTTATTTTTAAATGCTCATTACGCGGCATGTTTGCGAAATGGTGAATTTCATTTCAGGCAATCAAATATATTTCACAAACCAAATTACTTCAGAGACATGTGCAAAATTCCGAATGATAAGCGTAACTTATAAAAGTCGGGTGTGTTTTGTTTAAATTATTGCGCACACTTGTAAAAACATAAAACGGGATATTTATGACGCAGCCGACAATAATATTGCTAAAGGTGTAACTTTATAATGACTCGTCAAAAAATATTGATAACATTGAGCATTTTAAAAGACGGAAAACAAACAACACTTAACTAGGAGACTTGCAGACGACTTTTGTGAAAGGTTTCTTTATCAGCATTTGCTAAACGGTCTTAACAGCTGTTTCTGGGCTGTGTTATTATCAAGAAACTAAATCAGAAATGAAGTGCTTCAGGCGGAATTCTCCCTGATAATAGAAAACATTCGTTCTATAAATACATATTTTCAACTTTATTGTGAATCGATGTCTCGCAGTCAACTTTATTTTGAGTTATCGATGTTGCTATATAAAATCAAATCCCATTTCATTGCATATCTGTTTGATAGAGAACCATTATCAATACTGAAGAAAATGTCATATTTGTTTCGGGTTTGACTTTGTTCTTATCTGCCATTAGCCATATTGTTTTTACTAGGCCGCCACTGATAATACCTATTAATAAATATATTTTTTATTCGCTTTTCAGTATTGTACATTCACGCACCGAGAACGCACGCCCAATCCTACCTGCTCACCATAGACGATGTTCTAACACAACAACTGCAATATAATCTAACAAACGGGAATAGTTCGGAAGCCGATTTGTTTGGGGACCAGGCGGATAATAATACAAAAATAATTGTCTATAAAAATAGTAAGTAAAACGTGCTACGAAGACCACCGAGGAAAAATTAATTAACAACAAAAATTAAAAGATTATGAACTATATATATTTTGTTTTTTCAAATTTGGTGAAGCTTTTTAAAATTATTCTTCTTTGCACTATATATCTACGTTATTTGAATCGAAGTGAAGTGACAAAACTAAAACTATCCAAAAAGCAAATACATACAAATTTAATTTACATACATAATTTAAGCAATTGTCTTGGCAACAAAATATTAAATGTTTTTTTAGGCTGCTAGTAATGTTAAACATTTATGAAAAACTCAATTAATTTTTGCTTTTCAACAGCTACAAAAACAAAAATCAAGAAACAAAAACAAGATCAAGAAATGTTATAAATAAAATATGTATTAATATAGAATCCTGAAATATTTCTAAAAAAGTGTGTGCTATCGATATAATTTTTGACAAGTTTACATCACGATTACTACATATAAAAATAAGCCCAGCTTAATCGTTTTAAAATCGCAGAGCTACATAAAAAATGAGTATTAAAAATAATAATATTAAAATATAAACTATAATAATAATATTAAAAATAATATTTTTAAAATAAGTAAGAGAGTATGTTGATATATCTACATAAGACGGGTGCACATTTACATAGCTCCCATGTAGCCATCAGCCAATATTTTGGTTTATTCGAGAATCAATTAGGCATTTGAAACGTGCCGTTAAATGCTATAAATTAGCGAATTGTGAACTTGCCTTGCACGCCTATGTTTATATGTATATTAATTAAATATTATACATACTTATATATATGTACATATATCAAAATTTCGCATTTAGTTTCGTCATAACAAAAACTGATAAGGTAATACAAACTTTGCCACTTGCTATGAACAGTGGTGGACGTCACTGACTATATATAATGTTTGGCTTATTCAATGCATTTGTCATTTGTCAATAATCATATCAGAGTTTTTTTTTTTTTTTAGCGGTACACTCCTTTCCGATTAAGCAAAGCGTTCTTATCGTTATATTTACACAATTGTTTATCGTTAATTTATTTGCAGCCGTTGTTCAGAAAAGCAACGAACTTTCACAGACCGCCATGGATGTGATTACCATTGTTTGGTATGTGGCCACATTTTTGGCACTAGCCGCATTCTTTATGCTGATGGCGTGCTCGGATAGGCGCTGTCGTGATATAAACAATTCCCAGACCAATCAGGCGGCAGAAGCCCAAAGAGCGCCACCGACGCCATCGCCGTCCTACAGCGAGTTCGCACCGCCCAGCTATGATACGGTTATCAAGATGCAGAGTGCGGCCAAGACGAGCATTTTCGTGATACCCTTTAATGCCTCAGAGACGGGAACCGGCAACAACAACAATAAAACCATAAACGAGAGCGGGGGCAACCAGTCCACGGATTGTAGCTTATATACCGTTAATGAGCTGCAGAAAATGGCGCATTAAGTGTCAGCCAGTGTTGACTACTACTATGTAGAAACATTCACCAGTGTAGCCTTACTTTGTTAAGATAATTAGCTACCATGTCTCTGTGATATTTGCTGTGTTTGCACTCGAGCCCATCGAATGGCGACCTGGCGCCCAAAATGGTGGGAATTATTTTGAAATTATTGTTTTTGTTTAGTGCAGTGCGAAATGTACATATATGTATTGTCGTTGTTATTAATTTAAGAAGCAACTGTAATACCTAGGCTGACCAGTATTTTTTTGATATGTCATTTAGTAATAAGTCCCATAAGCTCCTAGGTGGGCCTGATAAACATTCGAACAAGACTGAAAAAAATGTGTACATCTATATATGTCATGTTTTATTGTAGTCCATTTCCTTTTCAACAAGTTCCCACAAATCGCCAGTGTAACTGCATGAGAATCAAAGAAACAACAAATCAATGTGTACATAATATATATTTATTATATAATAGAAAATAAAAAATAATATATTTTATATGACTAACGCGTTTTAAATGGGCTGTGACGAATAGGCTTAAGATGTTCTTTTAAAATGTATTAATTTTTGACGTTGCGATGACTTTGTTGAAATTTCAGTTACCAACTGTGGGCGTCTGCTGATATGCTTCTGATTCATTCAGTTGGGAACAACACTTTGGGGGAACCCATGCTAAGCACACACACACACACATCTGTTGCTAAGAAGATCTAGCATCAGCACTTGCTGGTAGGAGAGAGCGTTAGAAAAGTTGAGCGAAATTTCGGAAGCTGTGCACATTATGGCTTGGCAATGCTTTTCACGTAAAGCTTTCCCAATCTCAATGAGCTTTTGTAGCTAAGACACCAACCGGAACCTCTTTGTAAAAGTTTGCACGTCTAACTTAAGGTCGTGTGCAATACAAGCTTTTACGTTTAAAATCAAAGCTAACATATATGTATGTACTTATGTACCTTGTATACTTTTATTTAAGTGGCTTACAATTTTGTTTAACGTTTTTCATTATGTGGTAAGTTTCTTCAACATATTATTGCTCTGTGCCATATAGGTCTTATTCTTATTCTTCTTCATATCCTACATACAGATTGTGTAAAACAAGAGTATCAAATAGGAGCAGCGGTGCCAAAAGGAAATCTTATCGACCCATTCTTGCATACGTACTATATATAGTAATCGTAAAATATATATAGTTATATAGTAATCAATAATCATAGTCAAATTACTATGCCCTATACAGAGTCAATCAACAAAAATACACATACACGTTCACATTTAATAGAGAGCTTCTTTTTCGCTGGTTGTAAACAGTGTTATTATCCCGCAGCCTTATGAAATTTGAAGACTAATGTGACATTGCAAACTTAAAACGAACAGTCTACATTGGTTTTCTGGCGCATGCTCTTCAAAAAAAGAATGGATAGTATTTTATGAATCCAACCTAAGATCCTGATAATCATAACTGAAACTCCCTGATACTCGAATGATCTTCATTGCAAGAGTAAAAACCAAAACAGTCCATTACTTCACAAACTAAGTAAATTGTCCTCTGAACCTAATCGCCTAGTCACTCATTCTATAAGACCTGCTAGTCTAATACCTGATCTTTAGGCATTTAATATGAAGTTTGAAGACGTACTGTGATTTCCCACAAAGAGAAGTTATAATAAATAAATGCACAATAAAATGTGTATTTGAAAAAAAACAACACCTTTATTGTTGCCAGAGAATTTTCGTTAAGATTGCCCTACTTTACCATTCCGATAAAACTCAGATTATGTACATATTTACTGACGATAATTTCAACAAGCCCTTGTGTTCCCATTTTCATTGACAGTTTTGTTTACTCAAGACAGGTGTGCTGTTCGTTTTCCTTGAAGTGCACGAATACTGGAAATAAAATAAATAGAAATAAAACCAAGTTGAAAGCTTTAAGCCCCATAAAAAAATGACAAAATAAAATTATTTAAAGAAAAAAAAGTATTCCAAATCAGAACAAATGATAAAATGAATAAAATAAATAAAATAAATAAAAATCAAATATGCATATATTTGTAAATAGAGGAAAAAATTAAAGATACAAATTCAAAAATAAAATATAATAAAATTAAAATTAATTTAATATGATACGAAATTTTTCTAATAAAGCATAATTAGAATTAGAAGATGATCCGGCTATTAAAAGAGTATAAAGGCATAATCTTTTAAAACATTAACAAATAGGCCCCACAAATGAAATTAATGCAACTGTTTAACAAAAAAGGTACAAATATTAAAGCTTATGTTGCAAATATGTACATAAAAAATGGGAAAAAATAATTTCTCGACCAATTTTTATTATATTCTTCTGTAAATTATTTAATTACATCATAATAACTTCATAGACGAAGTTATTGATATTTGTTTTGAACAAATTATTATTGAAATTGATGACATCTATAGTGAGAATCTACCTAATTATGAGTATCAGAAGTATGAAATGTCAAATTAAATAAACAAATGGATATTGAATAGATTATATATTCGCTGAAAAGGGAAGGGCTCAGTAGGAGTAAAGTAAAAGACAATAGTCGCGGACCGCCGTGCGTCTGTTCGCTTTAGAGTTTTATTGGAGACTGACACTTTTGCTATACATATTCTTTATGCTTACATTCGTATGCAACAGTGACAGATAACTTGTAGATAACATAAGATTATTATCTGCTTATATTAACATGCGTGCATTGGTACTTATGTTTGTATTGATTTTCAACACCCTTCCTCAATGCAAACATGTTTTACAAAAATTTTCAAATCAAATTTAACAGCTTTGTAAAATGAACATGCTTCGCTTTAGGGAGATTTTTCGTTAAAATATCAGCTATCATTTCATTGGTTGATGTATACTGTAAAACAATTTGTTCTTCGTTTACAACCTGTCTTGCAAAATGATATCTAATATCAATATGCTTTGTTCTTTCATGGTGTACAGGATTCTTAGCTAATTGTTGAGCACTTAAATTATCGCCATGAAGAATAGTTGGAGTACTCGAGTCACCGCAGCCAATCTCCACTATAAGACGCCGTAGGTATATGGCCTCCTTACACGCAGTTGAAAGAGCCATATACTCCGCCTCCGTGCTGCTAAGTGCCACGCTGCGTTGCTTTTCAGATCGCCAGGATATGGGTCCTCCAGCCAAGTGGTATACATAGCCAGTATACGACTTGCGATCGATGCGGTCGCCACCCCAGTCTGCATCCACATAGCCGGTAAGGGGTTGTCCACACTCTTTGTAGTGCAACTTCAGGTCCACAGTTGACGCCAGGTATCGAAGCACATGTTTTACACCCACTAGGTGCTCTGCATGCGGATCTTGATTCCGTTGAGCTAACTTGGCAACGGAATGCAATATGTCTGGCCTTGTTGTAAGCGCCAGCCACATTAACTCGCCAATTGAAGACTGGTAGGATGCAATGTCAACCTTTTGACAATGCTCGCTGGTACATATCACTTGGAAACCAGCATCCAGTGGGGTCGCTGTAGGTCTACAGGTCTCGCATCCATGTTCACGCAATATGTCTTTGATGTATTGCGAATTGCTTAGCGAAATTTCGCCAAGCTCACCGTCGCGCTGCACTTCCATGCCAAGGAACAAATGCAGCTCTCCCTTGTCAACACATTCAAACGATGTTGTAATGGCTGACTTGATGTTGGCCAAGTCCTCTTTTGATCGGCATGCTATAATTATATCATCAACATAAACAAGGATTAATGATAAGTCACCTCTTCCGTTCCTTTTGTAAAGACACGGTTCATTTTCACATGCTACAAAATCTATGCCTTGTAGTACACAATCGAGCTTGGAGTTCCACTCGCGCCCCGACTGCTTCAATCCATATATTGCCTTTTTAAGCAATAAAGCCTTACTTGGATTATTGGGATCTGTGTATCCCTGTGGCTGCTTCATATAAACAGTTTCATGCAGGTCGCTATTCAAATAGGCGGTACACACATCTATCTGGTGAAGGTACAGCTTCAATTCCGCTGCTAACGCCAAAATAAACCGCACGGTTTCCAATCTGCAAACGGGTGAGAACGTCTCTACATAGTTCACGCCATACTTCTGGGAGCACCCTTTAGCAACGAGTCGTGCCTTGAAACGTTCGACTTTTCCATCAGAGTCACGTTTCAGGCTGTATACCCACTTGCAACCAACTGCTCGCTGATCTTTTGGTAAATCAGCCATCTGCCAGGTTTCGTTTGATTGTAGTGCCTGATATTCCTTTTGCATCGCCTCTTGCCAGAATACTGCATGTGTGCTACCAACGGCCTGATCATAGGATGTCGGAACCATTACGTCACTAGCAACCAATGCTCCAAGCACATTGTATTGCTTTCTTGGACGACCAGGTTTACCATTTCGAACAATTTTAGGCCGGCCTGGCCCAATCTTCACAGTATCCTCGTCAGAGTCTTCTTTTTCGACTGCACTCTCATATGCGTTGGAGCTGCTGTCGTCAGAACTGTGCTCACTGTCATCGTCGTCGATGCTTCTGTCACCATCCGTGTGAGTGACATGCTCTTGAACCTCGCATGCAGGAAAATCTACCGTAACGGTATCTTCATTGGTATGACCACCACAACGCTCATCAAATAGAATGTCTCGTTTTTCGACAATCGTCCTCGTCTCTGGGTCGTATAACCGATAGCCTTTGGCTGCTACCGAATACCCAACCATACGGTACTCATGCCCTTTGGGTTTGAATTTGCCTTTACGGGGACCCTTTGCAAGTGCAACTGCAATGGAACCAAAAACTTTTAGATGGCTAACACAGGGTTTCTTACCTGTCCACGCTTCCATTGGAGTCAGGTTGTTCAGTGCACTGGTAGGTGATCTGTTTCTTATGTATACTGCTGTGTTGACTGCTTCGGCCCACAAAGACTCGCCTAGGCCCGACTGCACCAATAAGCATCTGGACATCTCCGTTAATGTCCGGTTTGCTCTTTCCGCCACGCCGTTCTGCTGCGGAGTATAAGCCACGGTCAATTGCCTTGCAATACCATGGTGTTTCAGGAAACCGTTGAATGTTGTGTTGACAAACTCGCCTCCATTGTCGGTTCGAATACATTTGAGCTTTTTATCTGTTTGCCGTTCAACCAAGTTTTTAAATTCGACGAACTTACTGAACACTTCATCTTTCTTCCGCAAAAAATAAACAAATATACGCCTGGACTTGTCATCGATGAAGGTCAGAAAGTATTTGGATCCAGCAAGTGACTTCGTGTCGAATGGGCCGCATACATCAGCATGAACCAGTTCCAACAGCTCTTCGGCACGGTTAGTGCTTACCTTTGGGAATGGCTGTACATGTATTTTGCTTAGCATACACGTTTTGCAATTCAAGTTGTCTGGGAAAACAACCTTTCCAATACCACGCACTAGCTCTTTGCTGATCACTTCCTTCAGACTGGTAAAATTTAAATGGCCATAACGCTTATGCCACAATGTACCATCTGATTCAGTTGCGGAATAACACCTATTTTGTTTACCTTGAAACATATAAAGGTTCCCAACTTTATTCGCTTTCAGTATACACTCGCCGTTTTGTATAACTTTAGCAAAATGTGGCCCAAAATGTATAACATTGTTCTTTTGCACTGACCGGCTGACGGACATAAAGTTGCCATTCATTTTCGGTACATACAGTACATCTGACAACACCAAGGTACAAAGTTCTGTCTGTAACTTCACCTCTCCTCTGCCTTCGGCCTTCAGGAAACCAGCGTCAGCTAAACCGATCATTTCAGTGTGCGCAATAAATTTTGAAAATAACGTCTTATCGCAACACATATGGCTTGTTGCTCCGCTGTCCAGACACCACATGTTGTTCTCTATCTTTCCAACGTCCAACGCATTTAACAAGCTGCTCTGCTTTTCCATCTCTTTCTTTGTCGATTGCTTTTTCCCTTCACCGCGAATTTTCTCACGCTTGCACTGTGCCTTGTAGTGCCCTTTTTCGCCGCAGTTGTAGCAAACGACGATTTTTGAATTCCTTTTTGAATTCGCTTTGGAATGCGCGACGATCTGCTGCGTAGCTATAAATGCTCTTGCATTCTCGCTCTCTCCATCTGCATTGCCTCTGCGCTCTCCCTCTTCCATCAGCTTGATACATAACACATCAAATGACGGTAAATTGTCACGCGTCTCAATGGCGACGACAAAATTTTCGTATGGTTCGGGCAAGCTTGACAACAACACGATTGTTTTTAACTCATCATTTAATTCGATGCCAACTGTACACAAACCATCCAGAATTTCGTTAAATTCGTGTATGTAACTTGAAATGCTTTGGCCTTGAAACATGCGTTTGCCTAGCAATTTCTTGTACAGCGACACTTTCCGTACAGGTCCACTCGGCTGATGAACGTCCTTTAACTTTTTCCATGCCTCGTACGAAGTGTTGCAATTTTTAATGAAGCCCAATTGTGAAGCTTTTACACTTAGCGTTATAATTGCTAATGCCTTTTCATCTTTTGGCCTTGAACTCTCAGTATTACTAGGTTCAGCACCTGATGCCACACTCCACAATTCCGCGTGCACTAAGACAGATCGCATCTGTATGCTCCATGAGTCATAGTTATGCTCTTCCAATTTGTCTATTTGATATAGCGCACTCATTTTTTAAATGTTATATTTCTTGAGTCACCAAACGATTACTATTTCACAATACTTTGAACTTCTCCTATGAGCCTATATGCCCTGGGCCCATAACCTATTGAATAGATTATATATTCGCTGAAAAGGGAAGGGCTCAGTAGGAGTAAAGTAAAAGACAATAGTCGCGGACCGCCGTGCGTCTGTTCGCTTTAGAGTTTTATTGGAGACTGACACTTTTGCTATACATATTCTTTATGCTTACATTCGTATGCAACAGTGACAGATAACTTGTAGATAACATAAGATTATTATCTGCTTATATTAACATGCGTGCATTGGTACTTATGTTTGTATTGATTTTCAACAATGGAGAGTCGCACTATTTATTTCAATTGTTTCACCAATAAATCTTACTTTATTCCACACATGACACTTCAAACAATTGGCTCGCTGAGAAATAACAAAATAATTTAATCACGCGGCCAGTTAATCGAAAACGATGTGCCATCAAGAGCCACATGTGATAGTCGGGCGTTTTCGAAATTCCCTAAATTTAAAATCTCAACATTTAAAGCCAAAAATGTAAACATTTACGAAATTCGAAGCAATCTTTAGCATAGCAGATCGATCGCCTTGGATTACACACACAAATGGGTAACCTAATTGTAGATCTAATTTAGTCTTAACGGCTGAGAAAGTATAAAAAAATATAACAGAGAATAACGAAAAGTTAAAAAGAAGCGCCTAAAAGCATTAATGGAGGCGGGAAACTAAGTCTTAATGAAATCATAATTAATAAACTTTAGAAAAAAGGCACATCTTTACAGAAATTTTTCACAAATTTCACAATTTATTTTTATTTAATTTAATTTATTAGAAATTTCACAACTTAAATCTCGATTTTCCATCACTTAGGTAATTGGTATGAGAATCGCAGAGGAGGGCGGCCACAATATTTTTTTATTTAATTTAATTTATCAGAAATTTCACAATTTATTTTTATTTAATTTAATTTATTAGAAATTTCACAACTTAAATCTCGATTTGCCATCACTTAGGTGCTTAGTATGAGAATCGCAGAGGAGGGCGGCCACAATATTTTTTTATTTAATTTAATTTATCAGAAATGTTTTAGCTTTGGCTTGTAGTTAAGGAATCGTGGGTTCTTTCCTCAAAGAAAGGCAGATTCTGTCCGGCAAGCTACTATTTTATTTTGTACACAGGCACAGGAAACGGTTTAGACCTTTTTAAAATATCTGTCAGATGTGTCTCGCTTCCTTTACATACTTATATGTGTTTGTTTATAAGTATTTTGGTCTTCATTCATTCATTATTTCCTGGCCTTGATTTTAGCCATGGTGTGGGAAAATAAATAATAATATGGCTTTGATCGAAAGAAGCAGGAAAGTTCTGTCACATGACGTATACGCAATGATCGTGATAACGAGATAATGTTTTAAATCGTAATTTTTGCTGTTCAATGAATTGCGCTATTTTTAATAAGTCGAACAAAACTCTATTTTCCCCCATCCCCAGCTTCTTATCATCAAGACAATGCATAGATAGACGTATAGTATGTCTGTTTTAACTGTTTTATACTGGAATAATGAATGCAGGTTAATCACGTTACGCCCGGATAAATGCGGTTGATCAAGAGGAAGCAGCGGCGTAACCATCTTATGTTTTGGAGGTATTGGGGCATGTGGTACGCGCATCGTTTAATTGCTGGTTGTTGCCGCTCTAGTGTTCAATAAACAATCAGAAAGGCACATAAATAAATAAGTATGTACATAAATATTGCCCCTGCAGACCCATTCATTCACTTGAATATTGGCGTCGTGGTCATGCTTTTCAGAGCGCGTGAACAACACACTTCATATGCACATATATACATATATGGATTACGAGTATATTGGTCGGATTGTGGGCCCCAATTGATGTTGTTGTTGTTGTTGCTGCTGCTGCTGCTGCTACTGCTTTTCTTAATGCGTTGCTCATTGAGGCTTCAGTGGTCTGGCAGACAATGTGAAGTTTAGTTTTCAGTTGCTGCACAAAAATCTACAAATATATACCAATATAATTAGCTCTCACGCTCTTTAATTAAACTGAGCGGCGCCCGCATTGCCAGAGAGATAGACCGACATCCACATAGACCGATGGACAGACAGGCAGACATAAAGACATAAAGACATATAGACAGAGAGACAACGTCCGCGTGCGAGTGGAGCGCTGTTTGGCGCTCATTTGCCGATCGCTCGTCCAGTTGTGCAAAACGTTGTGCTGTTTGGTATTATTTTTTTCAAAAATATATTTTGTTTAAAAACATACGAATCGTAATTAGGCGTACTCAGTGCTACGCGAACCGTGCTATAGAGTGGATTACTTTTTACCCCAAAAAAATAGCGGCTGCTGTAATTCGAACGTTTTGTAGTGATTCTGTGAAGAAAACACGCATTGAACAAACAATCTTTACGCTGAAAACAATTTTCAGAACTAAAGAAAATACAAAACAAATAAATTAAAATAATAAATAAAGAAAATGTCTGTAAAGAAGTGCATTTTGGGCATTGGCCTAACAATCTTTTTAGTTCTGCAGGCAGTCAGTGCGAATATAGAGACGAACGAAGTGAACGATGGTGTTGAATATTATAGTAAGTGAATTAAACCGCTTGTTGGAGAATTGCAGGGGTTCTAAAAGTGAGGTAGACCCAAGAAGTCTAAATTTTTTATAACTAAAAGTCCAGAGCTACAACTGTTTCAAATATATTTCGTTCTTAAAGTAAAGCATTTTTGAGGAGAACTTGAAAAAATATTTCTAAAATTCTATTGGGAAAAATTGCCTGTTAACTAAAAATAAAAAAAAAATGTAATTTAAATTTCATTTCATTTTTTCATTAATATTCTTTGTGACTTACTTTTGAAATTGCAAAAATTATTCTAAATTTAGAAATATAATCAAAAGAGCTTAGCAATATTTCTTAAATATAGTTTACTTTCTTCCAAGTTTCAGTTTATGGAGTCTCTGTGAGTCTTCAATAGTGTCCAAAAATATATCTAATATTGTTTAGGAAAATTGCTTTTACATTTATCATATATCAAGTTAGCTTCTTGACATATTTTAGATAAATTATTTCACTTTTAGAAAAAAAATAAAAGAGCTTGTCTGCAATTAAGGAAAATTGTTACTTAATTTTTTTGGCTTGTAGTTGTTAGCTTTTATAAAAAAAAGTTCATAGACTTCTACTTTTATTAAGTCTCTCTCGGTCTTCTATAGTGCTACAGGGCGTCCGTGTGTATCCGAATGATCGTCATTGTGCCCTAGTCGGTGGTCTTTGTGTGCAATCCAGCGACTGTACAGAACCAACCACAAACAAGGGTCTCTGTCCCTCCAGCTCGCATTTGGGTGCCGAATGCTGCTATGAATGTGAGTAACCAGTGATTATAAATTGTTAAATGCTTCAATTTTCTATGCAACAACATTTCCTGACAGATAAGCCCAAGCTACCCTATCGTTAAAATTGTGCGAAAATGCATTTCTACAAAAAAAAAATCCTATTATTAAAACATTCCTATGTGGGGCTTAAAGCCCTTTGAATTGGTATTACAATATGTTCTCATTTATTGTTCTCGTTTTCCTTCCTTATATCTGTGCCCACTAACTCCAACACTACCAACACTTCCTGGCTCTCTTTCTCTCTCACTCTCTTTATTATCCGCTCTGTGTCACCACCTACTGTTATTTTGTGCGTGTCTGTGCATGTTTCTAGTGCCGGTGAGACCAGCACCTTGTGTCGAACACTTGGGCGAGTGCAAGGATCGTTGCCACCAGAGGCTTCTTCGACCCGGAACCGATTGCGAAAATGGACAAGTATGCTGTGTTCTAATATAGTTGCATATGAAAATTCCTATAAATTCTATGTTAAACAAAAAATGAAATGAAATGTGCAACTGTGAAATCAGTTCTGTCTATATACACATACATGTATTTATTTAACTCTTTAACTATATGCTTCTTATATTGTATGTACTTTATAATATGTATATGCCGATTTTAAGTATCCGATGAAATATTCGACTGCTGTAATAAACACACTGTAAATATAAGTAAATAAATATTGTTATTGATCTGTCTCACATCAACGGTTTATAGCTGATTATGTAAGTACACATGTATATACATATATGGTATGATTCATAGGCGTAGCGAAAGGGGGTGCGGCAAGACGACTTGTTCGCCCCCGTAAGATCAAAAATATTGTTTTTTCTTTACTTGTTATTTTCATACTTGTACTTTCTACACTTATGCTTTTAACACTATCCAATATTTTTTCAGAACTGAATGGGGAAACATAGATGTTTTTTATGAATCATTTTAGATGTATAGTATAATGTGTTATTTATTTAAAACTATCATCAAAGTACTACTTGTAAAATAATTTTCGCTTACGATAAAAATTTAAAACATTCATTTATAGATCCTAACAATTTATAATAATCAATTTGTATACCCTGTACCCGAACCGTATACTAGAAAGTCTAATCAATATTACTACAAGTCACTTATAGCGTTATTATATAATATAGCTGTCATAGGACCGATCGGTAAAAAATCACTTTTTTTTTATAAAGATATTGCAAGTTCAGTTAAGTTATTAAGTTTAATCAAAATCGTCATATTATCATACAGCTGGCATAGGAATGATTGGGGCAAAAAAACGAGCTTAATACCAACAGCTTGTTTATTTAGATCTTAAGAAAATCTGATTGTTATATTCCTGATATGGGATGTATGTATTATATAGCTGCTCTGGGCAACTTTTTTCTTTACGAAGATATCTTAAGCAATTCTGGAGTTTACAAGTTTTGTGTTTCGTCAAAATCGGTGCACTTTGTTTTAATTGAATGCCCATAGCGGCAAAAAGAGTAGGGCTGCCACGAAAGGAATTATTGCTGTTAAAGGTAGGTGAACAGGTTAAAATACTCGTTATCTGAATTCTTTTTCTCCCTTCTAATGGAGGTGCTGGCTACGCTCATGGCTATGATTATGAATCAATGGTCACAAAGGCTGGGTGCTGATGCTGGGCCTGGGTCAGTTGGCTTATCAGTTGCACATACTAACATACATTGTACTTATGTACATACGAGTATGTACATACTATATAGTATGTATAAAATATTTTTAGTTGATGATGTTTTGTATTTTGTTTTCCAACCGTCACGTGTACAGTTGAGTGCGAGATGCGCTCATCGTATTGAGCACGCGCTCGCAGCTCGTTGTTGCCAGCAAGTATATGTGTATATATGGATGTATATACATACATACTATATATAAGTTTAGTATAGTTATATAGTAAACATCAGACATATACTTTTCATTTCAATTGTGGCGAGTGCGCTAAGAAATAAATGAAATAAACAATTCAGCGCGTTGTCGTATCTCTTGAGATTCAATGTCAAGTTCAGCTAAATAGATTGAATCCACTTTGTCAAATCTTTTCATATATAGTACTGTTTATACCTATTTTGCAATACCGTGCCAGCAGATTTAGCAATTTGGAATATTTGCAATATCACAAATCAAGCGTCACATAACTCAGAAATCGCAGCAAGAGATTCGTTTTGAATATTCTCGGAATTATAATTTAAAAATAAACGTCCTTGTTGCGCATCTATAAGATGTTTTTTTTTGTATCCAAACGCACGTTCAAAAATGTGTGTGTATATATACAAATATTTTGTTATTATTACATACATATATGAGCTTTAGTTATGCACGATTTCATTGCTAGTGCCTGCTTGATTTTGTATGCCATATCTCTATTTATAGTTTAGTTTAGGGGCGTTGTAGGCATGTGGCGTTTCCAGCTAATAGGTTCAACGATTCGAAGCAATATGACATTGAAAGCACTACTTTGAAACGAAACTCGTGCTTTATGGCGAACTGTTAAGTTTATTACACTTGGGAGTTACATGAAATTCTAGGTATTCGTGACATCGATTTTTCTAGACTCAATTTGCCTCTAAGGGAGAAGAGTGATTTGCTTGGCAATTTTTTTCTTGAAAAGCTTATCAGCTATATAATGCCAAGTTAAATATACCTATGTACTAGTATATTTATATTATTTCACACAGCAAATGCTTTATACATTTTCTAGCAGCCTTTATCAAGTTGGTTTGATTCAAAAGCATAATAATTAAGCACTTTTTTCTATACAACAAAATTATACATTTTTCTTCCTTTAGGACAGAATAGCATATATGTATGTATTTATATTACGAGGGTAACAGCAAAGGGCAACTACTTTATACACAACAACAAAAATTATAAACAAAAACTTTATTTCTCTGCTTGAATTGTTCAACTCCAGCGCAATTGTCCTAAAATTCTTTCACTATGTTCATTAAAGCACGGTTGATATATTATTAATATATTATATCATAAAATACATGAAACGCAAATTTTGCTTTTATTTAAGTTATTGACTATTAGACGACGATTAATTTAATTTTAATAAGTGACTATTAAGTGACTTTCGCCCTAATCTTAATCTCCAAAGTGTGAACTTCGTGTAGGCGATGTTCCTGCAGATGTTGTAGATTTCTGTAATATACCGAGAAACAATGTTGCATTTTCTAAGTCGTGGCTTCTCCTACGATTTCTTTTGAGCTCTTCAATTCAAATAAAGGATCAGACTCTTTCAAAACACATGGAACTGCAAAGAAACCTACTGACCTACTCAGAGGTAACTGCTTTAGAGCTGGCTATTCTAAGAAGCTTTGTACAACAACAGTAGATAGATGCAAGAAATGCAAATGGCCAGAAGCCTCTTGCTAGCACTCACGATGAACAGCATAAGGAGGCGTCAAAATTCTCCTCGGGCGTATTATTTTCGCAAATCGTCTTCTAACTGATCTCCAATATCCGGAAACACTCAGGAGTACCTTGTGCACATGGGGCTATTAAGACATGTCCACCTATGGATTTAAAAGAGCCGGGACCAACAAGCAGTTGATAGTAAATAAGTTTTTTTCTAATATATCAATTAAATCAATTAAATTAAATTATCAGATGCGATTTTCTTTACTGTTGCGGCATTTGCAAATCAATTGGGGATTCAGAAAAGTATTTTAAATACTCGTATCTTATATTCTTATGCAGAGCAATCACGATTGAAATGTGTTTTAATTAAAACTTAATTTTTTAAAATCCCTAAACTGAACATATTCTTAATTGTTTAGTTTGTTGATTACATTTGGAAGCGAGTCATTGATTTTCGCTTATCCGTAGCCATTTGCGAATCGCGTGTTATGTATGTAAGTAACTTTATATTTGAACGATTTAGTTGCGATTTGATGTAACTGAAAATCACTACTGGCCCTATTATTTCTTGGAAAGCAGATCCATATTTTGAAATAGGGCGAAACACGTTGGATTTTGTAGGTGAATTGGATCGCGGGATCGTTAGCTGAACAGCGGTCAGTTGAAATAATTACTGTATTTATTGCATATGCTCGTATGTGTGTTAGTAATCGTGTGAATTAGTTTCAGTGTCAGTGCGCATTTCTTGAAATTACTTAACCTCAGTCAATGGCAGTGAAAACAACAGGCGGCGACTTTGACACATCAAATGGCAGTCGCTGTCGGCCTTGCTGATTGCATCAAGAACTTTGTTGATGAAATCTGTTATACTTTAGCCCGTGCGATACATACACACATACTTGTATATATATGTGTACATACTATGAAGATATGTAGTATAAATTCTCAGTATACGTATTGCATATACGTAGGCTCAGAAATGATAATGCTCAATTGAATCGAAACATTTTACTGCGACTTAGATTGCATAACACAGAGACAAGGGTCAGAGACAGAGCTGGAAGAGCTGCCCCGGCAGCTGTTATTGGTTTGGTTTTTGAACTTTCGTTTGAATATTGACATTGTTTGCATATACTTGTATTTGCGCACATAGCTTGCAATTAATTACCGAAACGAATCGATTTTAACTAAGTCATACAGCTGGGGAAAAGAAGAGGGACAGAAAGAAAGAAAAAACCCCAATAATACAGTATATGTGTACACTTAGAAAAAAAGCTTATAAATACATCTTCCACTATTTAAATAAGTTTCTACTAACTGCAATGTTTGAATTAGTTTATTCACATTAATAAATCATGACAACAGATTGGATTTACAAAATGATTAATGCAAAGAATATACGAACCTCATTGAGAATACCACAATATCGATAGTCAGTCTATAGTTGTATTTCAATTGAAAGATGACAGAGGGGAAAAATTTGATTTGGAGCAGGTTTTCCCCCATTTGAAGGTTCAGTTCGGTGAACACAGCACAACTCAGTAAAGTATAACTATCACATATTAATGAGAATATTAATTAACAACTGAGGGCTCTTCTTTGATACCAATGGCTTCAAATATCGTTAGCATTTATATTGAATTGATTCTGGTAGTAATGGAATAGTACTTTACTTTTATATAATTGTTATGATAGTTACAAAAATAAACATTTAGAATAAGTACATTAAGCAATTTTCTTAATTGCTTAATTCAAACAACTAATTTATTGAAAAAGTAACTACTGGTAAGTAATTTTAAAACCAAACCCTGCTTGTAAGTTATGGCTTGTTATGTTTAACCGAATTTTAAATTTTAAATTTAAACACATTTTTCTCTCTGTGTACGTACTGGTAAGTATTTCGTGAAGGCTTTATCAGCTCGGCCGGCATGCATGTCATACTAATAAATTATTTATGTGTTTTTGTTTTCGTTTCGTTTAGTTTCGTTTCGCTTTTGTTTTGACGGCAAGAGTGTGAGCTAATCTTTGCCAATTATATGCATGTCATATTCTATATGTTTTTCAAATAAACAGACAATAATGTGCGTCGTGTGTCTGTTTGTGTGTGTGTTCGTGTGTGTGTGTGGGTCGAGTGCAGTTTGATGTGTTGTTCATATTCCATGTCATAGTTCGCACTCATTTTTCACTTGACATATACTGCGTCTCATAGCTGTGGGCGGTGCAACGCAATTTGCATCTACATGCTGGGTGGGTTTTTTATTTTTTTATTTTTCGCATTTCACATTTCAATTTTAAATTTTA